GTTTATCACAAAAAACAGTGTGTTGACCGGATGATTTCTGCATTTGGTGATGAGCCCCATCCCAAACCACAATTTATCGCGTTGATGAATTTCAACGTGACTGATCAGTGATGATCTCCGTCAAGGTCGTCCAAAAACTGCAGTCACCCAAGAAAACGTTGATGCTGTGCGTAAGCTGATTGAGGAAGATCGACATGTGACATACCGCGACCTTCAGGCAACTTTAGACATTGGCATGAGTCAAATACAAATAATCTTGCATGAACAATTGGGTGTAAAAAAGTTGTTTTCCCGATGGATACCGCATTCGCTCTATGAAGAGCAAAAAGCGGTTTGCGTTACTTGGTGCGTCAGAACTCTCGAAAGATTCCACGCAGGATCCTCAAATGCTGTATACAACATCGTATCAGGTGACGAATCCTGGATATACGCGTACGAACCCGAAACAAAAGACCAGTCACGAGTTTGGGTGTTCGAAAATGAGTTAAAGCCAACGAAAATTTATCGTTCACGGAGTGTTGCAAAAAAAATGGTGGCCATGTTGTGACTTTCTCTTGAGGGCAAAGAACCGTTAATGCAGAATATGCTAACATTTGTTTGCCACAGGTCGTTTCTGAACTCCGTAAAGAGAACTGCAACGGCCGCATCATCCTCCATCACGACAATGCGAGTACTCTCACCGCGCACAGAACAAAAGAGTTTTTAGAGCAAGAAAACATAGAACTATTAGACCTTCCGCCGTACAGCCCCAACCTAAGCCATAATGATTTCTATACTTTCCCTAAAATAAAGAATAAATTACGTGGTCAGAGATTTTCATCACCTGAAGAAGCTGTGGACGCCTACAAAACGGCCATTTTGGAAACCCCAACTTCTGAATGGAATGGTTGCTTTAATGATTGGTTCCATCGTATGAAAAATGTGTCAAATTTCGGGGAGAATACTTCGAAAAGCAATAAATACATTTTTAAATAGTAATGTTGTGTCACTTCCTTGATTCCCGAAATTTTCAGTGCCGCCCTCGTATGTTCGAATTAATACATGCAGCTGAGTTTCATCAGACGTCGAGAAAAACGAAATTCCACCCGTATTACGACGTCCCTTACACAACCCTGCGATTCTGTAACTCACTCCATCCGAAAACCGCTGTGTGATTCCTGAACACATTTTTTAAGGCAGTTTTACCACTACTATGTGAAACCAGGTATCCATTGAAGTATTTCCGAACCAATTCGACTTAGGCTCCTTCAGAGAGCGTACCACTTCTGAAAATACATTACTTTTCTATCCATTGCCTCCTGTTACATAACAAGAGAAAACTTTGTACCAAAAAAGGTATTTTCTTTTCGTTTTTATGCGTAATTAAAAAATAAACATTCGGACAAATTATGAATACTTTTTTAATTATAATATATGACTTGCATGTTTTCTCAAGGTGGTGTTAAAAATTCCTATATATCTAAATATATATTACGCTTATAATACAATTCGCTTTAAATATAATATATTTGTGAAATGATCTATGAAGATACAATGTTTGAGAAAAATAATTGTCAATTCATTTTTAAAATCAGTCTGGGGAAAGCCTTAAACAAAACTTGTTAATTTTAACATGACAACGTCTAATAAATCGAAGAACGCCGGCTGCACGCACGTACGTCCTGTTACGCTCATTGTCCCGTTACGCTGATTGTACGGTTGCACCGAATATATATCTATTCCACTCGATTGGCCTATACCTCCATGAATTCACTCCTTCTTTGTATCCATACAAAATTTAATAAAAATTATTCAATTCTATTCATAAAAGTCTGCATCATTTCATCAGTGTTTTGTTATGGCGTTGTCACGTTAAACTATCGTCGGTAAACCAACTTTACACACAACCATTATTTTTAAATCTGTCTAGGGACACTTCGCAAGCCTTAGACAAGTTTTGTTTAAGGCTTTTGAGGCTTTTGCTAGTCAAGAGACACCTGTCTTGATACAATTTTTATATTAATTGAACTTATAAAATAAAAACGCAATTTACTTAATCGCTGTAAGCTAAGATGTTAGGGGATTCGCTTAAAGTATTGTACTTTAAAAAAACGGACTAAAAACCTCGGTGTCTAAGTACCAGTTTATATTTAAAACCTTAAAAATACAGATTGAACAAGGAAAAAAATAAAACAGTATGAAGATCAATTAAATAAATATATAAGATTAAATTGCGCAATTTATTATCCCATAACTGCTTTAAGACACTAAAGTGTTTCAGTTTTAAAAATAAATTTATTCATTTTAGTTTGACGCTGATTTGCTAGAAATGGAGGCCATTTTTGTATGTCAATTGTCATGTTAAATATTGTACTTCACAGATCATAGGTAAGTATAAAATCTACAGTTTGTCAAAGTGTAATTTTAACACAGACAAGAGCGAACAAACAGCGCTCGTAAACGTCAAAATGACAATTCAATTTTGACAGATAACATACAATTTATGTGTACTTTATATATTCCCACGATAAGTTCTGATGACAAATATCTATCGATATTTTTCAAAGTATATCCAAGTCCAATAAATCATTCATATAATATAATAGATATCAATTAATACAGATAAGGTTTGAAGGTTACGTAGGCATAGACAATATTTATCTATTACATAATAGCTTCCAAAAGTATTTTGTCAATGCCCAGCATGCACAGACAAATACACTGATTGAATGACAGCGTATATTTGAATTACGAATACAGTGCTACATACTGGTATAATAGAAATAGGTAAATACTCATTCATTAATTTTTCTTAAGTCTTTTTAATTAATTTAATCTTATCCCTTTTTTTTTTATATACAATACAGTGTGGACTTCTTATTATCCTTGTATTCATATCATCGTAGCATTGCCATACATTTTCACGCCTACAATTTGCTTTATAGTGGCCCATTGTACCAATAGCAGGCGGAACAAATTCAATTATTGAAATCAATTCATATTCGTTACCCTGTAAAAATAGGTTTGTTGGTGCTTCATAAACAGAAACAGTTTCATCCGATATTTCAAAACTAATAATGTTGCGTAAGATCAGTTCAAATGATTTGATACCATCGCAAGTTGCTTGACGGCATGGTATAAAGGTGGGTGTATCGAGCATTTGTCTATTCGCTGCTTCTTCAATATCGTTTACATGTGTATCATGTAAACGTAAAACAGACACTTTTCTAACTAATTCATTTATAGGGCAGGTTGAATTAGTGCACGACGCTTTTTCATCTGCACTGTAAAGAGAACACTCAAGCAGAATTCCATCAAATATATATATATATATATATATATTTTTATATAAGTCTTTATCTTGCAATCAGTCAGCTAGACTACGAGCAGATGTGTTGAGAGCTGTTAGGCGTTCAAAGCAAAATCTCCATCGAGACTGCTCCTCTCTTTTAACCGTGTCTATCAAGACTTAGGATTTGTCGCCTTTTAAGCCTATTTATTCGGTCCGGTATGGTTAGTTGCGTGGCAGCTTATTAGCATGCATTTCTAGCCTTTTTCTGTATTTCATACTCCAGGTCTTGATGATCTCCTCTTTGACAGTCCTGATTTTGAGGTGCTCATGAATCTCCGATGTTTTTATAAACCACGGAAAGTTGGATATTTGTTTCAAAATGTAATTTTGAACCCTCTGTATGGATACTTATGTTAGAGTCACACGCCGAACCCCATAGTTGAATCAAATATATTTAATTATTTAACACATTACATTCACAAGCAACTTCTAGCATATCTCCGTTTTGAACCTTTTAAAATAAGTTTTGGCAATGGATGATCTGATTTTATAAACCTCTTTATTGTTATTTTCACACATAGATCGGATGAGCTGGCACATAATTGATCACTTTCATGTATTAATATAATAAATTATAATTATAATTCTGGTTGCTATAAATACAGGAACTGGTCGGCTCTCAATTCGATTGAGCGGTCGAACCAAGCAGAAGCCTTTAAACAGTAGACTCTAATGTCGACATTAAATGGCTGATGCCAACAAACCAATCTACGACAATAAGAAGAAGTATTGGAATAATATAATTGTTGTAACGAAGCAAGCATTTTATTATACAACAGAATCGAATTATGAGAATTCATCACACAAGTGTAATAAAAATTAAACTACCCTCATTTAAGATCACCTCGGATTCATCATACCTACCTAAAAATAGTTGCAAATAATTTTAAATGAAAAATAACTTTATTTTCTCTTGTATTCAATATAAAAAAAAAGTGATTCCTTTACTTTGTGAAAGTTTTTACCGTTAAAGTACATATAGTTAGGGGTTCTGTTACTACCTACCTACCTATATTTATATAAATAAACCATAATTAAACTTATTTTAGCCAAATATTTTTTGCCTGTATATTTTTATCAGGCGCTGGGGGGTATTGTAATAACATTGTTCGATATTTTAATTCCATGATAGGTACAGCATCGAGGATGGAAAACCTAGGAAGAAGCAAATAGGAAGCAAAATATGAACTATGAAATAATCGATAATTCATTATAGTGAGTACAATAGGATAGGTGACCAGCCATTCTGACGTCAGAATGGACGGTCACTAAAATTGTTGTGGTTCTCCCAAGATACTAAGGAAGCAATTGTCTTGTAGTAGGAATTAAATAGAAGCAATTGGGAAGTAATTTTTAAACGACATTTTAACCTTCTACACGACTAGTGACCAGCCATTCTGACGCTCACCTTTTCTTGGCCGGCGGCTGAAGTTTGTACTACCGTCGCCATTTTGAAATGTCAGACTGACTGAATACAATGAATAATTATACCATCTACCAACATCTAATAAAATTCCAACTAAAATTTATTTATTGTTTCTTGCATTATTAATTAGAATGGCAAAGTTGTAAGTAAAGAGATGGATATACTTTCGTTATTGTACTGTCGATGAATATATGGAAGTCCCTTCAAACCTTTTTTATCTATAGATATAGAAATAATTACACTTTAATCTAGGCAAGTATTTGAACATGTTTTTTCTCCCGCGGTTCCTTTAGTACGTAGGACGAAGTTCGTCTCAGGGTAGATGTTGAATCTGAAAGGCGAGAAACTATCTGAGACGTAATTTCTACTACCGTATTTACATGCATTTAATATCTATGGAAACAGTTGAATATATATATAAAAAAACAACAATGACAAACATCAAATGAGAAAAAAAAACAAATACCGATTTTCGTGACAAATGTCAAAACTTTCGGTTAAATATTTAATTAAAAAAAAAAGAAACAAATGCTTATTTTTCAGCACAAAGGACAATCAGGGGGCCTCATAGCCTAGCGGTCTTATTAAGTGGCAGCTAGGTGAGGGGTACCGGGTTCGATTCCCGGTTCGAGGGCAAGTTTTAATTTAATTTAAATTTGTTCTCGGCCTTTGGGAGGGTTGTGCGGTACCGGGCGAGTGCTTAAACCGTACATGGAGGACACGGTCGAATTTCTAAAGACAAGCACGAATTATAAAAAAATCCTATACTTGACGCTGGCTAATGCACAAATCGTGCCAGAGGATTAAAAAAAATGACAATCGTCAAAAGTTTGGGAGCTATTGTTTATAAAGTACCAGGCTAGCATAAACTTACTGCAGTAAGCGGGCGGTCGCACGCAGCGCGGCAGGGAGTGCGAGGGGCGGCGGGGGGAGGAGGGCGCGGACGCCCCCCTCCGCGCCCCGCGCTACGACCAGCGCAGTTCCTTCAGCTCCACGGTGCTTGACGTGTCTGCCTGAAATATTTTTCACCATCTTACTGCAAGCACTACACGGTTCCGATAAAAACATCTGCTTTATAGGACTGCGCCATCTGCTTACTGGAAAATCTATATGGTCAGATTTTTGAAGTTATACTTCTTTTGGCGCGTTAGGGAAAAATGATGAGAGTATATTGTTACGATGCGCGCGCACACCATCACAAAAAACCGACACCCTGAAGTTAGCTATAGTCAACATTTTAGTTTTTTCTATTGTTAGCACAATGGGCTGCTACAGTGGGTAGGCTGGAACAATTCAAGTATTTTTTATTTCTTGAACTCCGAGGATTTTTTGGACAGAAAAATTGCAACTTAAAACCTGTTTTTATCCTGGAATGAAACAGTATAGATAGAATAGCAAAATGTATCGTATGTAGGAAGATATTTATGGAGAGAAAATTAAGAAAAATTGCGTGGAAAAACCAGTTTTTGAAAAAAGTTATAAGGGCGAAACAAAGTTTTTAAGTATCAAAATATATCTAGAAACTTTCACAGTAGGTATCTGTGGGTAAAAGAAATCAAACCTCATATCTAGAAGGTGCAGGTGGAACATGAGTCGCTGGTGAACATCTGGAACAACCAGGCTTCAGTACGGTCCGCGAGGACCCACCCCGCATCGCTGTACGCAACTCCTGAAAATAATAATACCCGGTGTTTTTTTTTAATTTTGCTTGCCGGGGAACAAAGTCATAAAGCACTATTACTAGTGTTTTTATGTTTTCTCATTTTTGACTTCCTTGGGTGTACTGTAATTTATTAAAGAATTTTTGCAAAACATCTAATATATAAAATTCTCGTGTCGCGGTGTTTGTGGTTAAACTCCTCCGAAACGGCTTGACCGATTCTCATGAAATTTTGTGTGCTTATTGGGTATAACTGAGAATCGGACAACATCTTTTTTCATCCCCCTAAATGTTTAGGGTAGTCCATCCCAAATTTTTTATTTTAATTTTTAGATAAATTTTTATTTTTTTTATTTTATTATTTTTTTATGATACAGCATTAAAAAATACATACAACCCCTAATTTTCACCCCTCTACGATCAACCCCTATTTTTTATTATAAATGACTAGGACCCCAATTGTCCTGCATTTTAAAGCGATTAGGATATTAAGCAAAGTATGAAACGACCAGACTTTCTAAACCATTCCCTCCTTAAAAATTTCATCAAAATCGGTCAGTGTTTGACATACACCAAAATTTATATATAAGATATACATGGCAAAACGACGTTTGCCGGATCAGCTAGTTTTATTATAAAAACACGACGTTATCTTTATTAAACGGAAATTATTTTGTTTACAATGTTAGTTATACTTCTTTACCTAATTTTACTCTCCTGAAATAGATCGCAACAACCATAAAGATAGTTATAGTTTAGATTGGAATTCTACCAAATAACCATAAAAAATGTGACTGAAACAACTAAAGAGTGGTAATAATATATCTCTATTTCACCAAGGTCATAGTATTTCCGCGAAAAGAGTGGTAATAGATTATTACGATCTAGACATTCGTCAAAATTACCTTCGTAATGTGCGGTTACTGTGTCGTCCGTAATAATGTTTAAACAGTGAAACAATCGTAAAACGCTTTTGATTTTTAATTAAATAAATTACTGTAATGTACATTCAGTTATATTTTAACTACTTACACTAAATACATAACAACAGTGTTCAAATCGTCGAATTGGTATAGCTTTCACTTGATATACGAGTATATAGATTAGTATGTACAGATCTCAGCCCCAAAAAGAGAACCCCCAACCCCTGGGCCCCCCTTTCCTTTTGTTTTGTCATTAAATTAAATTTTAGTTAAACCTAACCCCCCCCACCCCCACCCCACCCGTTTTATTTGTGAATATCAAAAAATAAAAAAAAAAATTACCATTTTATAATAATGTGGGTATTGGGGGGGAAATAAGCCATCCCTTCTTTTCTTTTTGCCCGCGCACCCCGCGCAGGGGGGGGGTGAATTGGGGTAGTTGTGTTGTGTTGGGCAGGGGGGCCAAACGGCGAAACCCCCGTTTTTTTTTTTTTTTTTTTTTTTGTTGGGTTTTTTTTTTTTGTTTAGAAATATTGTCGCCCCAAGTGATACTTTGAATCCTAATAATACGAGTAATAGCATTGAGTATTTATTGGAGCACTGTGGTGATGAGGTTGGACCGGGTCGGGTCTATGTTATTAAAATAGAGATCAGTGCAAGCTGCTCGTTATTCAAGCTAAAGTGTTATTTGTAGTGTTAAAAGGAATAAATTAAATTCGTGTCTTGTCGCACTTAACATGACACTCACTTAAGGCCCGCAAATGACATACGGTGGGAACTGACCAAAGTTACGAGGTGTAATGTAGCATTCGCATCGAGCATGTTACGCTGTGTTTTAAAATCGGCGTAACATGCTCGTCAAAACTCTGTGCTCCGCTTTCGCCGCCAGTGTTCACGAGATGGCCGACAGTGAGGACGCGTTGGTATCTTTGATTCTACTTAATTATCGTTTCATCCAAATTAAGAAAAAGAAAAAACGTTACTGGACATTAAACTTATTTAATAACAGAGGTGTATGTGGTGGTTTGTCGTTGATTTCAATATTAAAAAACCTAGATTACTGGACAGTATAAAAACTTTGTACGCATGTCTTCGATCGATTTTGAAAAACTGTTGAATTTAATTGTACCAAAAGTACTTAAAAAAAAACATTTTAGATAATCATAATCATGATCACTCGCGACGTGCGACCCGTAATGACTGAACCGCGTAACAGTCAAAGGATTCGCCGAAAAACCGACAGCCGGGTGGAGCACTCTTCGCTGGTTTCCCCGTAACACGATGTACTGACTGCACGAATGCTCGCTGTGTAACGTGTTACATTACACCTCGTAACCTTGGTCAGTTCCCACCTTTATGTTAGGTTAGAAAGATAATATAAAATAATTTCTGTGTACAAATTTAAACTTTAAAATACCTAAACTGTTTAATATATATTTCGTACCTGCCCCATCTCGCTGCACAATGATTGCCGACCCTGAGACGCTGTCTTTCTTGTGTTCCAACAAAACTCTAATATCGCCACAACTATGGCAAGCACCAGCCCACAGAGTAGTGTCACGAAGACTCCACCTGTTTTTATTCAAAACAAAATTCATTTATTAATTTTTGCCACATTAAAAAAAAGGGTGCGTGTACGCGCGTGTACGCGCGGGTGAAGTTATACTTCTTTGGCATTATTAAAAATAGTTTTTGATTGCATGCAAATAATTAATTACAATTAAATAATCAAAGACTGGAAAAGGAGTCATTATAGTAAATAAAGTTCAGTTTACTTTTGAAAAATTAAATAAATAAATATTTATTATTATTCTCTTACATTAAGTGTAACATAAATTCTATTATTATTCGAATGTTGTTTTTAAATTATGTCCAATGCCGTAGCATCTTCCGTGGGCAACTTCATTCTCTTAATTTTCTGTCACGGTGCGTGCGCATCGTAAAATTTCACTCTCATTCATTTTTCATAACGCGCCTAAAGAAGTATAACTTCAATAAATAAACCAGTGACGCTACAACCTTTTTCGGTCTGGGCCTCAGATGTCAAGACCCAAGTATGATGGGTCGAAGGCAAGCCGGATTCCTCATGATGTTTTTCTTCGTACGGGCGAATGTTAAAATTATTTAAAAAGCTTCTTTTTGATCTTTTGTTTTGCCTCGTAATTAGCTACTTTTTATATATATTAATTATTTTAACTCAGGTAACCTTTTGGCTTTTAAATTTTTGTTTATAATTTTTTTTTTTTTTTTTAGATTTTTTTTTTATTTAGTTATAGTTACGTGTTATTTTGAGTTTTTTTTTGTTAATCATTTACGCACTTGTTTATAGCCATTGTAGGTGTTTCTTTTTTATTGTTCCACATTAGGATTGCCTGGAAGAAATCGCTTGTTAGCGATAAGGCCGCCCGTTGCCCTATAACTTATGTAACCTGCTTTATATTTTTTTTAAATATGTGTGTTTTTATATAAGGTACACTTTAGTAAATAATAATATGGCAATAAACTCTCCGCCACTCTTTTTAATCGCCAAGTTTTTCTTTACACAACGTTTGTAAGGAGCTGCAACCATTACACCATGTTCCACATGACATATTAAGTAATTAATAATAAAAAAAAGAGAAAAAAAAAGATTTGTCCTCTATCAGCGGGAAGCATGGTGAAATATGCCAAGCGAAGAAAAATTTAAACTTACCAATATTCTGCACTCCAAGAGGACTGGCCTTGCTGTCTTTTCCGTCTCTATTGCAGACGTCACCAGTATTCTTCCACCACTTATCATATAATATCTGTATCACTCCTTTCTCTTGAAGTTCCAGAATCGCTAAAGAGATCTTATCTCTCCAAGGGCTGCCTTTCCACGTAGCTATTCCGTAACCCTATGAAACAAACATTTATATAGTAATAATTTATATATTACTAGCAGACCGGCCAAGCGTTGCTGTGGCTAAGGTTTTTGTTACATTACATAGTAGCAAACTATTCAAGGGAAACGGTAGGAGAACACCAGACATGGGGACCACCATACTTTTTTGGTGGTTATGCCATTAAATTGTAGCTTATGTGAAACGTTGGTACAGGGTGTCCCGTGGCAGATTTAGGATTTGAAATTCGAATATTTTTCTAACGGTTGCGCGGGTGACCGGGGAGGGGTTACAGTTTGGCGCTGCATTTGTGCGGATTGTTTAGTGTTCAGTCATATTATGTTTGTAATTTAATATTTAGTAATAAAGTAGATTCAACGCGAAGCAGACGTTTCATTGTACTAAATTTGTACTTAGTAATTAACCAGTCCGAAAGCAACCTTATCGCCGTAACATATGGTCGCAATCTCGCCGGATCTTGTGTCTACTGAGCTGCATCGAAGGAACAATAGACTACGCATTCCATTGCGATAAGGAACACGTTTAGCAACTATTTTGTGCAAGTTTAGACTTATAACTTTTGAATAATATTGAAATAGAACGTGCAAGTGACTTTAAAGTGAGGATTATGGCAAATGTGGAACAGTTATTAAGTGTACTTGAAAATAATAATGAACTATTAAAAAAGACTCAAATAAATATTAAAAAATGTGCAAAGGCTAGACTTACGAAAGGTTATCTACAAACACGGATGGAGTGTATAGAAAGTTACTGGAAGACGTATAAAAGTGCACATTTAGATTTAATAAAAATTACGCCGCGTGAACAAAAGTCAATTTTACCATATTTTGTCAATGAGGATTATTATTTGATCGAGGATTTATATTTATGTATGGTGTCTGACATCAGGGATATGTTAGAAGGTTTTGAAATTCAAAGAGGACAACAATCCTGTAATCAGGGGAACGGCTCCACTGCAGTCGAACACAACGTACAATCATAGGTTCGACTCCCGCGCATTGAATTACCTACTTTTTCGGGTAATTATGAAGAATGGCCTTCTTACAAAGATATTTTTGTTGCACTGGTACATGATAACACGTCACTATCTAATGTTCAGCGACTACATTATTTGAAATGCAGCATAACAGGTGAAGCAGCATCCTTATTAAAACACATCCAAATCACGGAATCGAATTACTTATCTGCTTGGGAGACTCTAAAACTTAGATATGGGAATAAACGAATGATTATTAATTCATTATTTAAACGATTATTTTCACAAAAGAAAATTATGTCACAATCGGCTTTACAATTAAAAGGAATATTAGATACAACAAATGAAGTTTTAAACAGCTTACAAAATCTTAAGGTGTCCACAGAGTCATGGGACCCTATAATTGTATTTTTAGTAGTTCAAAGGTTGGATCCAGATACTCATAAAGAATGGGAACAATTTTCGTATGATATAAGTCAAGAAGAATTATCTACCTGGTTTGATAGTATTGTCTTTGATTAACATAACTTTTATTACATCTTGGGAAGATTCTTCCCAAGATTGGTACGCGAAGCCATTGAAATCAAAAAACACCCCAATTTCAATAGAGAAGACGGCCTAAAATTGTCAAACACCTGGGATCCAATAATATCCAAATTAAAATCTCAAAAAGAACAATCCGCGAAAATAGAGGACACCGTAAGCCATTTTTGCCAAAACCCTCCATCTTTTAGTCGATACCAACTCCGGGGAAATAAATACAGATAATGCAACTTTCTTTGCAGCTGTGATACTTTTTGACATTCAACATCTTTTGTCTTCAGTCACCGTGACCACGCACGCTGTAAAGCACGCGAAACGTCGGATAAATTTAAAATTATGTTAATAGTATAAGATCCCGCTATACAACGACCTTCACCGAGATGCTTATTTAATGAAACTTATTTTATATTTAATTTAATATGTCAATAAATATAATCCATATGGGTTGCCTAGCAAATTTCAGTCCAGAGTATGTTTAATTAATATTAAAAAAAAAAATTTTTTTATAATTTGCATGTAGTAAATTTTTTGAACTTTTTTCAATCAATATTTTTAATCAGGGTAGTATTAAATATGTATCACTATAACCTTCTTTTATACTAAAGATGTATATATACTTTAGTGTCACATAAAAAATATACACATAAATAATTAATTGATTAAAAACAACCTAACGTTTGCATATTCTATGGGCTTCATACGTTCGATTGGTATAGAATTTATCTAATAATCATACCGGTGAAATGTTTAAAAAAATAATTTTTTTTAAATTAATTAAACATACTCTGGACTGAAATTTGCTAGGCAACCCATATGTATTATATTTATTGACATATTAAATTATATATAAAATAAGTTTCATTAAATAAGCATCTCGGTGAAGGTCGTTGTATAGCGGGATCTTAGACCATAAATAGTTGTAAATTTATAATAATACATAACTTCAATCCGGTCAAAATAGTGTTTTATTACCTGGTTTGAATTACAGAAGTTTCTAGAAGGAAAATTTAGAACGTTAGAATTGTTAAATCCACCTTTCAAACCAACTCTCAAGCCGTTAAGAGAACGTGTTTTCCACATGTCTATAGAGAAGACATGTAATATGTGTGAGGAAAATCATAGCTTATGTCGTTGCAAAACATTCTCAAAAATGTCACCTGCGGAAAGAAGTCACTATGCACAACACAACAAAATCTGCTTCAACTGCTTGGCTCCAGGGCATTCGGCATTTAGATGTAATTTACCTCTTTCATGTCGAATATGCAAGGCTCGTCATCATTCTCTTCTTCATCAGTCAACTAAAGCAAATGCGTCGGCATCTTTAGAACTCAAGCAACCGATGACATTACATCAGGAAGAGGAGAAGACTCTTGCTACAATGACAGCTTTACATAATGTTACAGAACATATCAATCTATTGGCAACCGCAATTGTGGTTATAAAGGGAAACTATGGGCACACAACTGTACTTAGGGCGCTAATAGATTCGGGGTCGCAATCATGCTTTATCACTCAAAAGGCAACTCAAGCACTAAAATTGCAACGCAAACCTGTAAATTTGGTCGTCACGGGTATGGATAATATGAAGGTAAACATCAAACAAGAAGTCAATTTTGATTTACTATCACGTTGGGAACCTAACTTTGAGCTACCAATACACGCCTACGTGATGTCACAGCCATTAAAGTTTAACATACCTTCATCAGAATATTTGCAACAGGAACTGCGTCACTTTGAGAAATTGAATCTAGCAGATCCAAATTTTATGGATTCCGGAGCATTGGATTTGCTATTAGGGGTGCAAGAGTATACAGCAATCCTTAAACAAGGATTAATCAAGGGTCCATCAGGCACAGTATGCGCACAGAAAACCAGCCTGGGATGGATTGTTATGGGTGGAATAAATATCAACATGAAACCAAAGCATAAAGCCATAATGGCAATGAATATCACAACTGATGCAAGTTTTAATGATTTAATTAAATCTATTTGGGAGATAGATACAGACACAAAACGTAATTTAACTAAAGAAGAATTGAGATGTGAAGAATTTTATAAAGAAACTCATGCTAGGAATGACGAAGGAAGATATATAGTTAGATTACCCTTTAAAACTGAAGCACCATTGTCATCTGAAGGAAATACAAAAGAAACAGCAATTAAGAGATTAATGCAGCTCGAAAGAAGATTTAGTAGAAATCCTAACTAGAACTAAAAGACGAATATCTGAAAGTAATAAACGAATATAAAACATTAAATCATATTGAAGAAGTACCTGAAAAAGAATTATATAAAAAATCAGTTTACTTACCTCACCACGCTGTTGTCCGTCAGGACAAAGAAACTACGAAGACACGTGTCGTTTTCGATGCTTCCTGTAAGGGCTCCAACAACATTTCACTTAACGAGGAGCTTCTGTCAGGTCCAGTTTTGCAAGAAGATTTAAGAAATTTAATCATGAGATGGCTTGAGAAGGTTGATTGGGATGACGATCTTAACATTTTTCTGAAAGAAGAATGGTTGAAGATTCGCCGAGATCTTATGAATGTGAATAACATTTCTATCGATCGATGGTTAAGTACTTCATGCTCCAACATGGATACAATTCAAATTCATGGTTATTGTGATGCTTCTATTTTAGCTTACGCCGCCGTGGTGTATTGCCTAGTCAAGAAAACGGACGGTTCATATAGAACAGCATTAATTGCAGCCAGAACCAGAGTGGCTCCCCTCAAGACAATTTCGTTGCCAAAATTAGAACTTTCTGTAGCTTTGCTCTTATCCCGACTATTGAACCAAGTAGCACAGGCCATGAGAATACCGATGGAAAGAGTTTTCGCATGGACAGATTCATCTATAGTCATAGCTTGGTTGTCTGGCGAACCAACGAAATGGAAGCCATTTGTGGCCAATCGAGTAGTAGAAATTTTAACAAATCATAAAAAAGAACAATGGCATCATGTCCAGTCACAAGAAAATCTAGCAGATATTGCATCTAGAGGTATGTTTATCTCCGATTTGAAACACTGCAACCTTTGGTGGAAAGGACCTACTTGGTTACAAAAAGGAGAAATCATCTTAACAGACGAGAACATAGTTACAACAGATCTAGAAAAGAAAAAGGAAAGAATTAAAACTCTCATATTGACAAACATTAAAGAAGAAAAAAGATTTTCTGAAAAATTTGAAAGATTTATTACCTTAAATGAACTATTAAGAACCATAGCTTATTGTAAAAAGTTTATCAAGTTTAAAAAGGATAATAAAAACATAATTATCACAACAGAAGATATAGAAGAAGCATTACTAACATGTATCAAAATAGTGCAAAATGAAGAATTCGAAACTGAAATAGATTCGTTAAGGAAAAAGAACAATATTAAAAAGAACAGTAAATTGAAGACGCTTAATCCATTTTTAGATAATAATGGAGTGCTCAGGGTGGGCGGAAGATTAGCAAAATCAAGTTTAGAAACAAATACTAAACATCCTATAATCATTGGAAACAACAACACTCTTGTCTCACTTATTATTGCCGACGCTCATAAAACAACATTACATGGAGGTATTCAGCTTATGCTTTGTTATTTACGGTCTAAATATTGGGTATTGCGTGCAAAAGACATGACAAAGAAGCATATCCATCGATGTCTAATTTGCGCTAAGGAAAGTGCAAAGGTAAAAACTCAATTAATGGGTGATTTACCTTCCGTTCGTACCACACCTTCTCGACCATTTATCAATGCAGGTGTAGATTTCGCTGGTCCATTTCAAATTTTGATGAACAAAGGAAGAGGTATCAAAACAAACAAAGCCTACGCTGCGATTTTTGTCTGTATGTCTACTAAAGCAATTCACTTAGAACTAGTCGGTGACATGACGTCAAATTCATTCATAGCTGCATACAGACGATTTACATCAAGAAGAGGTAAATGCGCACATCTTTGGAGTGATCAGGGAAAAAACTTCGTAGGAGCAATCAAAGAGTTATGTAAAGCATGGGAAGAAGCAAAATTGCAATTTGACCAAGAAATCATAGACAGCTTAGCAAATGATGGCACTCAGTGGCACTTCATTCCTGCATACTCACCAAACTTCGGAGGACTCTGGGAGGCTGGAGTATAGTCAATGAAGTATCATTTAAAACGAATTCTTAATAACAACCTTACCTTCGAAGAGATGTCCACTGTTTAATGTGAAATCGAAGCATGTCTTAACTCACGGCCACTCTGCCATATAAGCCAAGCAGATGATACTCTTGATCCACTAACACCTGGACACTTTCTAATTGGTGAAGCCCCAATAGTTGTACCGCATCCAAAGTTGAACGATATCAAAATTTCACATTTAGCCCGTTGGCAATATACACAAAAGCTATTAAACGATTTAGTAGTTTAATATTTAGTAATAAAGTAGATTCAACGCGAAGCAGACGTTTCATTGTACTAAAATTGTACTTAGTAATTAACCAGTCCGAAAGCAACCTTATCGCCGTAACATTTAGTAACAATGTCGCAGTGGACTGGCGCGCATCGCGCCTTCGCAGTTGAAGCGTATTTTGAAGCTAATAAATCGTGCACTGTTGCTCGCCGAAGATTTTGTTCTCACTACAATATTCGTCGCTTAAGTGAAGCACCGAGTGAAAGTTTGATTAGGACGTGGGTCCAGAAGTTCCGTGCAACAGGTTCAACCATTAACGAGCCAAGCCCAGGTCCTAGCCGAACGTCAAGGACTGCACAAAACATTGAACGCGTTGCAAACAGCGTGCAAGAAAATCCCCGCCAGTCAGTGCGTAAGAGAGCGTCAAGTTTGCGCCTTCCAAAAACCACAGTGCACCGTATTTTAAGCTTGGACATTAAATTCCATCCATTCAAGATCCAATTGGTACAGGCACTTAAACCAAATGACTTCAGAGAACGCAAAGAGTTCTGTGATAACATGTTGAGCCGATTCCGAACTGTTAACACCATTTGGTTTAGTGATGAAGCTCATTTTCATTTGAATGGCTTTGTCAATAAACAAAACTGTCGCTATTGGGCGCCAAGAGGACAAAACCCACGATTGAAACACCAAAAAGCATTGCATAGCCCAAAAGTAACTGTTTGGGCAGCACTTTCTGTCAATGAAATAATTGGGCCGTTTTTCTTTGAAAATTCTCGTGGAGCAACCATAACTGTTGATGGTGATGTCTATCGCCGCATGCTTACTGAGTATTTTATACCGAAACTAAGAGAACATCCACCGAACAGCTCTCACACGTGGTTTCAACAAGATGGCGCCACGCCTCAAACATCAAGAGCCACCATGAGCCTCCTTCGCGAAGAATTCCCCGGAAAATTGATAAGCCGATTTGGGGACATCGCATGGCCACCCAGATCGCCAGATCTCACCCCATTAGATTTTTTTTTATGGGGTTACTTAAAGGGAAAAGTGTACGACAGTAACCCGACAGACCATCGGGTTTAAAAAAATATCGTGCGAGAAGTGTAAATAGTATATATAGTATTCCTCGGTCAGTTTTGCATCACGTCACTCAGAATACTCTCGAAAGATTCCGCGAGTGTGTACGTCGCGATGGAAAATATTTAGACGGAGTGATCTTCAAAAAAAAAAATCCGCATGTCTCGGCTTTCTTTTTATGACAAATATATGTATATTCTAAAATAATAACATCCTTTAATTTAATTAAGAAATCCTAAATCTGCCACGGGACACCCTGTACTTTCAACACAACGCCATCTGTTAGAATTGTGACTATCAAATAATAAACAAATATTTTGCAATAAAATAATATTGCGGGTATAAGTTGAGATGTAAGCTATCCTATCTTTTAAGTTAGATGAAACTGCACACGGTGAGCAAATTTGATTGAAATCGGTTAAGTAGTTTAGTAGTCCATAGCGGAAAAACAACGTGACGCGTAATTTATAATTTATAATATATTAAGATTGACAGACAATTAAGAAGGTTGGAACAAATTAAGGAAATAGCAGATACATGAGGGGCCGTTCAAGTGGTACGTAAGCAGATTTACTGCAATTTATTCCCCCCCTTCCTCTTGTCAGCAAAAGTAAGCAAAGCTTTTAAAAATAATAGTACATAAACGTATTGATTTTTTTAGGAATCCTCGAAAATGTATTTCGTTTTTAAGCATAGACAATATGTGGGTAATATGTGTAAAAAAGTATATAATTACTGTTGACGTAATCACCAAATAAGAAAATCAAACACCCCCTGCCCCCTATCGTGCTTACGTAATACTTGAACGGCCCCAATGAACTTTTTCAGCGTATTTAACATTAGCTCGAACGGTGAAGGAAGACATCGTGAGGAAACCGGCTCTAGAAAAAATCGACGGGGTGTGTAAAGCACTGGTGGCTGATCACCTACTTTCCTATTAGATTGATAAATCATGTAACAGAAATCTGAGGCCCAGACCTAAAAAGTTCAAGGCTTTATTTATTGCAGCCTCCTGAAAACTACATTTGCAATGTAATAAATTCTCACCTTCGAGTCCAAAAGCCCACCAATTTGGGTCAAATTACAGTCTCTCTGGACCCTGTGGTCCAACATGGTAGACTCCATTAGAAAAGCATAGTTGCCCCCTAAAACCCGCCTGACCCCTTCTTCATAAGACGACACCAACGCGGGAGGAGTGGCTGAGGACATGTGCTGCCACATACGTTGGTAGATATCTATATTCGAGTCCTGGAAAGGTTTATGCCATCAAAAACATAACTGTACAAAGCTTTAAGACCACACACATACACACAAATGTGTGTATGATTATATAAACGAGGAATATTATAAAAAAAACCAAGGACTAATAATTTGCTTGTTGATGTGTGTGTGGGAATGTGTGGGTGTGTATGTTTCTGTGTGTGTGGTCTTAAAAGCCCATTTGGTTTTGTAAAAATATAGCCAATAATGCATACGACGAACACTATAACAAAAACCATGTACTAATAATTTGCTTGTTGAGATGTGTGGGTGTGTAAATGTGTGGTCTTAAAAATCCTTTAGATTTTGAAAATACGCGTTTGGTGATAATATGGAATAAGTCTAGGCTCATCTTTCTTTCATTATAAAAATTATATCTTTCGTTATTGGAATGTCTTATTGTGTGTATTAAAGTTATGCAAATAGCATGATTAAGATTCTAGAGAAGACTGACAGACGCACAGACGCTTATAACGTCTCAGTCACACTCCAACGCATACACACCCATACATACTCATACACTCACACTACACATACTTAAAGTATAACACGACTTTTGTTTAATTATTTATTATATATCACTTATTGGTGAACAAAAATGTATTTACGTAGGTTTGAAAAATGACAGTTTAATTGGCGAATGGACCTATCCTCCGCGGTATTACTATTATATAATTAACTGTATAAGTCTCGTAATATCCCCCTAAATTTGGGGACGAAACCCCCAAAGTCAAACTCTCAATAACTTTATTCATATAGGTAACCAAGTACACTTATGAACGTAAACAGAAGAGATGTTAAATTGATTCTGAATTTACATTCACTACCAGTTCGCAAGTCAAGGGCGTAGAGCGAAGAAGAACTGGCAAGAAACTCTCCACCACTCTTTTTAATCGCCAAATTTTGAGTCATACAAATTGTCAATCAATCCCAATAATTTCAATAATCGTCAAATTTATAAAAAGTTTTATTGATTAGTTCAATGTTTACGTTCAACGGGAGTTTTGAATTTATTCAATACTAATTCAGTGAGAGTTTGTTGTAAAAAGTTGGCATCACTGGTCACAGATTACTACTGCCAATGAATTTTGACACTTACCCGAAAGAAGGTCATCGTCGACCCGCCATTCAAAGTGCCGTACTGCACGCTGTTCTGTGCAGCCAAATCTGCCGCGCTTTGTATGGGCAACACGGTTCGTTCCACGGTGAGAAAGGCAGCCAAATTGGCAGTGTATGAAGATAAGATTATTAGCGTGAAGAACCACCAGATACCACCAACTATACGGGTCGAGGTTGCCTGAAGTATGAGCGAAATTATTAATATTAATAAATATTTTGTACGAAATCTTTTCATTTAAATTTTAGGAACTTTGGATTAAACAGCAGTATTGGCTTCAGTGTGAATATAAGGTCGTAGTTTCAAACCTAAGCACCATAGAACTTCCTATGAGCGCATTTAACACTCGAAGAGGCTTTAGATATGTTAGGCACAGGTTAGCCTATTAAAAATTATCATGGGTCAGATACAGTTAAAGCCCGGAGATAACGTAAAGCCCTCTTTAAAAAAAAATGGCGGTTTGTAACGTCGGTTAACGACGATATTACGTGATAAGAAAACATCAATGAAAATTGTGTACTTTTATGAGTTGAATTGAATTAATTACTGATTTACGATTATTTTGTTTAATAAAACACAATTGAAATTTTCGAAATGAAAACTTCTTTAGCGGCGTTTTACACTTTTTTTGGAATGGGTAAAAAATGTTAAACTCGCGTCAGGACACGTGACCTGATGGAATAAATAAATATTGTATTCTACCACATAAATATACTTTTATACTGATAACTATAGCAATTCGTGCAAAATTATTCCCTAACCATTCCAAAATATCAAAAATGCACAACGTTAATATTCAAGTTTTCACTTCTGCCGGCACTCCCGTTTTTTTTCTATAAATTAACATATTATATGACATATAACACTCGTTAATTCAAGTATGTTTTATAATAATAATTTATTTGCAAGAATATGGTACGAAAATGTTATGGTGGTAGAATCTAAAGTTCGCATACTCGGCCACACATAATGGTGGGCAAATTTGTCTTAAAAGAATGTGAATTACCTTATAGAAATTATATTTTTAAAATTAAAATTTCGTAAGAATTTATTAAATATTAGTATTTTATATTTTATGCAAAATAATTTATTGGAATCTCAAATGACGAATTGTAAATTAAATGTCACGTGTTTTTATTATCAAAGAAATAAATTAAATTTTTTTTTTATTATTTGTATTAATTTTCGACACTTAATATTTTAAGGACAATTAAATTCCTAACATAATTATCTTCCTTTTTCCCTCCCTCTAAGTCTCGGAAATCTAAAGTTTTAGATTTGTTTAAATTTGAAAAAGACTTCAAAATTAGTTTGCCTGACCTGTGTACTTTGTACAATTTAAGTTACAGGAGGCAAACGCAGGTTCACCTGATGTTAAGTGATATCGCCGCCCATGGGCACTCGCGTTGGCAAACGGCTAGCAATCGCGCTGCATTTTTTTAACATTGGTACGCTCTTTTCTTGGACATCAAAACATACTCGTAAAAGAATCTAACAAAATTCAAATCAAAATAACCAATTATTTTGGCAATAAGAAACACTTACTTTTGGATTCAGGCCCGAACCCTGCCTCAGAAATGTCCCCGTGATGAACCAAATGGAGTTGCAGACGCTGAACTGGTTCGTCAGCATTTTGGTTTCGTGACCACACACGTGTGTGCTACTTGACCTGAATTAATAAAATAAAAAGCCTTTTTTTCTTGCAAAATCAAAGCTCGCAAGTGCGTTGCTGGTCTTTTAAGAATTGGTACTTATAGAACAGGGGGCAAACGGGCAAGAGGCTCACCTGATGTTGTGATACAACACATGGACACTTACATTGCCAGAGAGCTCGCGAGTGCGTTGCCGGCCTTTTAAAAAATTGTACCTATAGAACAGAGGCCAACGGGCAAGAGGCTCATCTGATGTTATGTGATACCACTCATGGACACTCTCATGGCCAGAGAGCTCGCGAGTGCGTTGCCGGCCTTTTAATTGGTAGGCTCTTTTCTTGAAGAACCCTAAATCTAATTGGTTCGGAAATACTTTAGTGTATATTTATAATAAATACCTTTTATTTCATTAAAATTACTGTCAAACAACACTTGTCTACATTAAAACACAACGGACACTGCACAGACTATATCCGTATACTCTTTGAAGTTGACAGATAGGTCTTATAATAAATGACAGCTAAACTTTAGTGTAAATTTATTTTAATACCTCCGTGAAAAAAATGTTTCCTTTATTTAAAATAACTTACCATTCGTAAGGCGAAAATCGGGCCATCACAAACAACGTGAATGATACTAATATATAGGCCGCCAAGACATACAACCATATCTCAATAGCAAGTGGATTTAAAAAGCTAAAGAGCCGGGTTGGCTGCGATGATGGTACCTGAAATATATTGATTCATTTTTAAATAAAAAAATACGTGTGGCACTCGGGGACTGCCGCGGTAAAGCTATTGCATAGCATTTTTTGTAAACTTATGCAATATAATGATTTATTAATTTTTTGCAGTATTTTTTTTCTTTGATATTAATTCAATCTACCACTCTACCAGACTAACACGCCTATCCGATCACACTAAACCGATGTGAGACGCAGTATGCGTTCTGTCCCGGTCTAACGCGTATTGGCCGCACCTATATTACGTCATCGTGTGTTACGTTTATTTCGTTACGGAATTTCTTGATTAGGTCTCCGCGCTCAAACCCCGCGATAAAATCTATGCAATAGCTTAAAAATGGCTGTCTGTAAAGTTTACGGATAGTTTAACGTGACAACGTCATATCAAATCATTAATGAAATGCTTGCGTACTTTTATTGAACTATCACTATGTTGCATGGATACACAGAAGGAGTAATTCCTCGGACGCATAAACCAATCGAGTTCAAGAGATATAGATGCGGCGCATACGTATAATGAGCGTAACGGGACAATGAGCGTAACGAGACAATAAGCTTAACGGGACAATGACCGTAACGGTACTCTGAGACAATCCCCGTGAAAGACGTTGCCTACTGAATGCTTTATCCGCTTATGACATCTTTGTCATCGCAGGGTGAGTTCACAGCGATATTGTGTATCTTATGTATTTAATTTTACATATTTAATTTCGACATTATCGTAATGGCGTATTGTAATAGCGTATGTATTTTTCTAGTGCAGTGTTGGCCTAGCGGCTACAACGTGCGACTCTCATCTCTGAGGACGTAGGTTCGATCCCCGGCTGTGCACCAATGGACTTTCTTTCTATGTGCGCATTTAACATTCGCTCGAACGGTGAAGGAAAACATCGTGAGGAAACCGGCTTTAGACCCAAAAAGTCGATGGCGTGTGTGCACAGGAAGCTGATCACCTACTTCCCTATGACAAATGATCATAAAACAGATTCAGACATCTGAGGCCCAGACTTAAAAAGGTTGTAGGTTGTAGCGCCACTGTAAAAAAACAAATCTCGCAACGTAGTTCCACCAAACGGATCTTTATATAATTTACCGGTTTTATAGTTTACCATAGATAGTGTGACTCCAGAGGAAGGTTTTGATGTATAATTTTTTAGTTTTATGTAAATTGTCTGAAATATTAGATCCTTAAATATTAAATTGAAGTTTGTTCGTACTGGCCACTTTGATCTCAAATATCTCCTCTTTGGTTAGGAATTCCAAATTCAATTTTTTACAGCTAAATATCAAATACTAATATTTCATAAATTCTCTTTACGAAATTCTAATTTTAAAAATAGAATTTCTATAAGGTAATTCACTCTCTCTCAATCGGTCTCAATAGCTCTCTCCCTTTTCTTCCACAAAAACGATGCACATCTTCGTGACGTTCCGTAAAAATTTTCTCATGCGCCTAAAGAAGTTTATCTTCAAAAATCTACTTTTTGTTCCTCCCATACCAAAAAGCCAATGTCATATGTAAGGATTATTAAATGTTTTCTGACCTTGAATAAAATTCCTATTCCCAAGTTCATGAAAGGTTTCGTGAAGTCAATGACAACTTCCCTGGCGTAGGATATCGTCATGGAAGCCACGGCGATGTCTGCTTTCTGAAAAAGAAAACACCATACAATTCTCGCGAGTGCGTTGCCCGCCTTTAAGAGTTGGTACTTATAGAACAGGGGACAAACGGGCAGGGGCCTCATATTATGATGTTAAGTTATAATATCAACCATGGATGCTCAATGCCAGAGGGCTCGCGAGTACGTTACCGGCCTTTTAAGAATTGTTATTATAGAACAAGGGGCAAACGGGAAGGAAGCTGATCTGATGTTAAGTGATACCACCGCTCTTAATGCCAGATGGCTCGCGAGTGCGTTGCCGGCCCTTTAAGAATTGTTATTATAGAACAGAGGGCAAACCGGAAGGAGGCTCATCTGATGTTAAATGATACCGCCCATGAATACGCAATACCAGATGGCTCGCGAGTGCGTTGCCGGCCTTTTAAGAATTGTTAGTATAGAACAGAGGGCAAACCGGAAGGAGGCTCATCTGATGTTATATGATACCGTCCATGAATACGCAATACCAGAGGGCTCGCGAGTGCGTTGCCGGCCTTTAAAATTATTTTGAAATAATAAAAAATTTGCATCAAATTGCCAGAAATCCCATATTACTGAACTGAACCGATTACGATGGACTTATTATGAAGTGAAGTTATTTACTCACCCTATCAATTAGTTCTCTAACGATGCCATTCCATTGCCCCGTCTCCGGGTCCCATGCCCCATACATGTTATCCGGGACCAGTCTTAACCGGTAATCGAAGCCGGCTCTTGCTGCTACCCGGGCGAGTAGGTCGATACAAAACCCCTCAAACCTGGCGTTGCCTTGAAGGTTCCAGCCTTCTTTTACCATCACGTATGGCTTCTCCTGAAAAGAAGAAGCCTGTTATGCCTTCGGACCCTCTGGTGAAGCATAAGCATGGGGAGCGAACTAAAAGTATGTATGTCTCCAAAAGAGTGTGTGGATCAGGATTAGAGTGACATATGGCAAGCCTGGTAGAAGTTGCGCAGCCTCTGGACTATCTCTCATTAATGGTTAAATTAGGAAACAGAAGTTCTATGTATAGAGTCATGATACTCTTGACATGTGGAGAAATCCGAAAGGAAATTCCAAATGTTTACTCATGATGTCTTCCTTCACTGTACCGAGCAAGTGTTTAATTAGTATATGAACAGAAAGTCCATTCACAGCCGGGATTGTCCTGTTCTTCAGGCCCAGCGGTAGCAGCCCAAGCCGAGGTCCGAGGCTAATAAGAGACTTCAGGCCAACAGCGAGATTCCATTAAAAAAAACCCTGGCCACTGGGGCCTTGAGAACAGTCAGTGTTAAAACTGGTTGAGGATCCTTTCTTTAAGTTGGAGACTGTTCACCATCCTCCAGAAGAGAATATAAGATTCCATTGATTATATTCAATAGGAAGAAAACTATTTCCTCTTGATACCTTCCCTAAGTCAATTATTTTTGTATAGTAAGACTGAGACCAAGGCATGAAACCGCTGGACATATTTTTGAAGTGAAACTTCTTTAGGCCATGAGAGTAAAATTTGTATAGAACGTCACGAAGATGTGCAGCGTTTTTGTCGAAGGAAAGGGAGAGAGCGCTTGAGAAAGAGAGAGAAGGGTGAATTACCCTATAGAAATTCTATTTTTAAAATTTAAATTTCGTAAAGAGAACTTATGAAATATTAGTATTTTATATTTTATGCAAAATAATTTATTGAAATCTCAAATGACGAATTGTAAATTAAAATGCCACATGTTTTAATATCGAAAAATAAATTTAAAAACTAAAAATTTATAATTTGTAGTAATTTTGGACACTTAATATTTTAATGATTATTTTTCCGACCCAAATATCGGCCAATAAATTGCACCATTCGACGTCACGTGGTACAACCTACATGGTATTATACTGAAAATTTTTTGTGAAAATTTTCTCTGGTCGTTGCTTCAAGAAAAGTATTAAGTAGTTGTTTTATTCATTATGAAATTCTTATTTGTTAACTGTACATTTCGTCTCATGGTGCAATTCTATTGGCCGACATTTGGGTCGGAAAAATAATCCCCGAAACCACTCGAGCTTCAAAATTATCTGGTATTTCCCTCAAGGTTCGTTGCAAACAAATATAGTCGTCATGACGACTGTCGTCGTCATGACAACTATATTAATTGATTGCAACGAACCTATCGGGAAATACCCGATAATTTTGAAGCTCTTGTGGTATTACATATGACAATTTAATTCATTACAATACTTTTTCCCTCCCTCTAAGTCTCGGAAATCTAAAGTTTTAGATTTGTATGAATATGAACAAGACTTAAAAATTGGTTTGCCAAAGAAGTTTCACTTCTGACATGTGTACTTTGTACGCACGCACTTTTTTTTCAGGACAGGAAAAGTTGGACGTAAGGCTCTGATGTTAAGTGATATCCTCAAAGAAATCTGGCACTACAAGAAGACGTTCTCTTGAAAGATAGTTAGACAAACTTCAATAGGCAGCTACAGAACAGCTCTGTTGTTCCCACACTCCTCCCGGAGTGGAACTTCATGTTCCGCGTCGTCTTATAGCTACTCCTCTTTTAGGATTTCCTTACCTCAACTGTGACCACTGTAAGCGTAACATTCGGTGGTGGATCCCGTCTGTACGCCGCTGGATCTGTGACTTCCAGCCCTTCGTCGGGACTCCAGGTGCCAGACATGACCGTTCTTCCATCTTCTCCCCCCACCAGCCTCATAAGCTGGAGGTTGAAGGTGGTACGGACGCCATTTGTGAATTCTATGGGGCCTGTGAGGCCGTGTGCTTGGACCTACGAAGTTTATTTATAATTGGATTGGACTACATTGAATAAATATTACGCGACATTTAAACAAAAATCCATAAGTTTTAAATTCGAAATTTATGAGTCGGTAAAGTGACGAATTTGATCGAAGTATGTGATTTTTCTAGAAAACTGTGTAATTTAATGTTCTTATTTTTATTTTATCTCAAAACAAACTCTTTTGTTTGATTGTATGCAAATTTTTCATAATAACAAATATGAATTAAAATAATTATGACAAAAACTAACACGATTATATTATTTTGAAATGGCTGCCCTGTAAAGTTTACAATTTGTCAGATCAGTCACTATTCTACGACTACGACGAAATATATGGCCAACAAAAAATCACACATTTCCCAAAAACAGTTTTTATAGGAAATATTTGAGTATAGTATAAGATCCCGCTATACAACGACCTTCACCGAGATGCTTATTTAATGAAACTTATTTTATATTTAATTTAATATGTCAATAAATATAATCCATATGGGTTGCCTAGCAAATTCCAGTCCAGAGTATGTTTAATTAATATTAAAAAAAAAATTTTTTTTTTATAATTTGCATGTAGTAAATTTTTTGAACTTTTTTCAATCAATATTTTTAATCAGGGTAGTATTATATATGTATCACTATAACCTTCTTTTATACTAAAGATGTATATATACTTTAGTGTCACATAAAAAATATACACATAAATAATTAATTGATTAAAAACAACCTAACGTTTACATATTTTATGGGCTTCATACGTTCGATTGGTATAGAATTTATCTAATAATCATACCGGTGAAATGTTTAAAATAATATTTTTTTTTTAAATTAATTAAACATACTCTGGACTGAAATTTGCTAGGCAACCCATATGGATTATATTTATTGACATATTAAATTATATATAAAATAAGTTTCATTAAATAAGCATCTCGGTGAAGGTCGTTGTATAGCGGGATCTTAGACCAGTAGTTTTTAGTATATACATTTATTACAAACACACAAATATACAGAATTTACTATATTCTTAACCTACTTAGTAATAATAATAATAATTAAAAATTAATAAAGTCACTGAAGCCATCTCACACCGACTCCAAGTCTTCATCAACCGTTGTCTTCGCCATATTCTGGTTATCAACTGGCCCGAGAAGATCTCTAACAAGCAACTTTGAGAGCACTGCAGAGAAACCCCGATTATCCAGCAGATCAAGCGACGCAAGTGGAAATGGATAGGGCCCATACACTGGTAAGAGATTCCAATCATAACCCCAAGCAGGCGCTTGATTGGAACCCGCCTGAAAGCGTGGCTGTTCCAAGCAAGTCTGGCGTCGTTGCAGATGAGGCAAAGAGAGCCGGGAGAACTTGGATCAAGGTGAAATAGGAGTATCAAGACCGCAATGGAAACTCACTGTGGATCTGCTCCATCTAGGCATTTAACTCAAGTCAAAGTAGCAAAAACTACCGGTAAAAGACGCTGTTCTGGGATAATAAGTAGTATCTTTTCCTTTTGTCTTTAATTAGGAAGAGATCGCTCAGTAGCCATAAGGTTCATTATCAAAGATCATTTACGCGTCACGTTGCATCAGTACAGGGTTTTCTCATAGGCTATCAGCAAAGGAAATTTAAAATGATGTCACTACGTTCGGAGATCTCTCCGGTGTTACCTTCTCATACAAATTTCTAAACAGAAGAACAGAACCGTATTTAGAGTATATTAACATTCCCTTATTTAGATTACGATCAGCAGAATTTTCCAAGCTCCGTCTGTCTCCAACCTAGGAGTTCAGGCTCTTATTGGAATTATTCGCAGATATAACAGAATAAACACTACTTCTCCAGAACTTGATTTGGTAGTGGGATGATCAATTAACTAGCTTGTTCATATACTGTAGATATAGCATTGAACTTTTATAAATAAACTTGATACAGTTTTTATTATACACACATACACACAAATACCTTATGTATATTCTGTAAAAGCGTCGTGCCATGCGCCAGGGGCACCTCCGTATCACAGGATACGTTCGTCTTCTGTTCATCCTTGGTCGACGCCAGCGCCAGTGCCAGCACTTGGACTGCGTCATATATAAGCGCTGGATCAGTCTAGAACATAGCCATGATGCACTGGTAACAAGATCTAGCTTTCTCTGCTGCTTTAACTAGGTCTGAAGCTTTACAGCTCGGGCTGTTTTAGCTGGAATGGAATTTTCCCGCAGCTAGCGCAAGGTCTCCTGCGAGATTCGGAACTTATATTGCCAGAGAGCTCGCAAGTGCGTTGCCGGCCTTTTCAGTATTGATACTTATAGAACTGGGGGCTCATCTGGTGTTAAGTTATACCACTCATGTACAGTCACATTCCCAGAGAGCTCGCAAGTGCGTTGCCGGCCTTTTCAGTATTGATCCTTATAGAACTGGGGGCTCATCTGGTGTTAAGTTATACCACTCATGTACACTCACATTCCCAGAGAGATCGCAAGTGCGTTGCCGGCCTTTTCAGTATTGATCCTTATAGAACTGGGGGCTCATCTGGTGTTAAGTTATACCACTCATGTACAGTCACATTCCCAGAGAGCTCGCAAGTGCGTTGCCGGCCCTTTAAGAATTGGTACTTATAGAACAGGGGGCAAACGGGCAAGAGGCTCATCTGATGATAAGTTATACCACTCCTGGACACTCTCAATGCCAGAGGGCTCGCGAGTGCGTTGCCGGCCTTTTAAGAATTGGTACTTATAGAACAGGGGGGAAACGGGCAGGAGGCTCATCTGATGTTAAGTTAAAAATACTGATGGACACTTCCAATGCCAGAGGGATAGCGAGTGCGTTGCCGGCCTTTTAAGAATTGGCACGTATAGAACAGGGAGCAAACGGGCAAGAGGCTCATCTGATGATAAGTTATACCACTCCTGGACACTCTCAATGCCAGAGGGCTCGCGAGTGCGTTGCCGGCCTTTTAAGAATTGGTACTTATAGAACAGGGGGCAAACGGGCAAGAGGCTCATCTGATGATAAGTTATACCACTCCTGGACACTCTCAATGCCAGAGGGCTCGCGAGTGCGTTGCCGGCCTTTTAAGAATTGGTACTTATAGAACCGGGGGGAAACGGGCAGGAGGCTCATCTGATGTTAAGTTAAAAATACTGATGGACACTTCCAATGCCAGAGGGATAGCGAGTGCGTTGCCGGCCTTTTAAGAATTGGCACGTATAGAACAGGGAGCAAACGGGCAAGAGGCTCATCTGATGATAAGTTATACCACTCCTGGACACTCTCAATGCCAGAGGGCTCGCGAGTGCGTTGCCGGCCTTTTAAGAATTGATACTTACAGAACAGGGGGAAACGGGCAGGAGGCTCATCTGATGTTAATTTAAACCACTCATGAACACTCACATTGCCAGAAGCTCGCAAGTGCGTTGCCGGCCTTTTAAGAATTGGTACTTATAGGAAAGGGGGCAAACGGGCAGGAGGCACTCTCCCAGACGGAAGCTCCTCGGAGTGAGTGAAGAGCAAAGTAATTTCCAGGTCTTCCCCGGTGAAGGTCTTTTACCGTAACCTGATTTTGTTAGAAGTTATTCTATCCAAACCTTAATATATCCACCAGAGAGTATAGACGCTCCAATCGGATGGAACTTCTCCATCACTTGCAACGCGTCCTTCACTTTATCAGAGTCTCGGTTCACGAGACGCCACCCACTCATGTTCACGCGATTGTAGTAAAAATCTTCCAGATCAAACAGTTCCATATCCTAAAAAATTACATTGCAATTAAATAAATAGGACGGCAACGGGTACGCTTTCGAGCGATCTCTTAGGAAACCACTGTGAGAAAAAACAAAAATTATGTAAGGTAAGTTTAAGGAACTTCATATGAACAGTTGTATGAAAATACCACAATGTCTAGTCGCGCGATTTGAAAACGCGCGTCAAGTTTTTGCCATCTGAACATAGCCTAATAGAGAAGCAGCAGAGACGAGAAGATATTTTATGTAATAACCGCTACTTCTTCCCTCAATATAGTGCTTGATTATAGAACAGAAGATTTATATATACTGCTCAAAACAATTAGCGGAACAAGATTTTTCTCCTTTCTATTCCTTAAACTAAATTTTTTTTTATTTTTTTTTTCCCTTTTTTTTTTTCTTTTTTTTTTTTTTTTTTCTTTTTTTTTTTAAAATTTTTTTTTTTTTTTTTTTTTTTTAAAAATTTTTTTTTGGGTTTTGGGGGGGGATTTTTTTTGGGGGTTCCCCCCCCCCCCTTTTTTTTTTTTTTTTTTTTTTTTTTTTTTTTTTTTTTTTTTTTTTTTTGTTGTGCGCCCCGCCCCCCCCCCCCCCCCCCCCCCCCCCGGGGCGGCCCCCGGTCTTTTTTTTTTTTTTTTTTTTTTTTTTTTTTTCCCCCCCCCCCTCTCTTTCCGCGGGGGGGGGGGGTGGGGGGGGGGGGGCCCCCCCCCCCCCCCCCCCCCCCCCCCCCCCCCTTTTTTTTTTTTTTTTTTTTTTTTTGGTGGGGGCGCCCCCCCCCCCCCCTCCCCCCTCTTCCTTTTTTTCCTCGTGTGTGTGGGGGGGGGGGGGGGTGTTTTTCTGTTTTTTTTTTTTTTTTTTTTTCCCCCCCCCCCCCCCCCCCCCCCCCCCCCCCCCCCCCCCTCTTCTTCTCCTTTTTTTTTTCTCTTCCTCTCTCCCCCCCCCCCGCCCGGGCCCCCCCCCCCCCCCCCCCCCCCCCCCCCCCCCCCCCCCCCCCCCCCCCCCCCCCCCCCCCCCCCCCCCTCTTCTTCTCCTCCTCGCCCCCTCCCCTCTCGCCCCCGCGGGGGGGCCGCCCCCCCCCCGCGCCCCCCCCGCGCGGTGGGGGGGGGTTTTTTTTTTCCCCCCCCCCCCCCCCCCCCCCCCCGTTTTTTTTTTTTTTTTTTTTTTTTTTGGTGTTTTTGGGGTTTTTTTTTTTTTTTTTTTTTTTCGCCCCCCCCCCCCCCGGCCGGGCGCCCTCTCCCTCCCCCCCCCCCCCCCCCCCCCTCTTTCCCTCCCCTTCCTCTTCTCCCCCCCCCCCTTCCTTTTTTTTTTTTTTTTTTTTTTTTTTGGGGTTTGGGTGTGTGTTGTTTGGTGTTGGGGGGTTTGTGTTCTTTTTTCTTTTTTTTTTTTCCCTTCCCCCCCCCCCCCCCCCCCCCCCCCCCCCCCCCCCCCCCCCCCCCCCCCCCCCCTCTCCGCGGGGGGGCCCGCGCCCCCCCCCCCCCCCCCCCCCCCCCCCCCCCCCCCCCCCCCCCTTTTCTTTTTTTTTTTTTTTTTTTTTTTTTTTTTTTTTTTTTTTTTTTTTTTTCTTTTCTTTTTCTTTTTTTCCCCCTCCCCCCCCCCCCCCCCCCCCCCCCCCCCCCCCCCCCCCCCCCCCCCCCCCTCTCCTTTTTTTTTTCCTTCTCCCTTTTTTTTTTTTTTTTTTTTTTTTTTTTTTTTTTTTTTTTTTTTTTTTTTTTTTTTTTTTTTTTTTTTTTTTTTTTTTTTTTTTTTTTTTTTTTATATATACCAGCTGTTTATTTTCTGTATAGATAAATAACTTAGATACTGACTGCAGCGCCATCTGCTGATTTGTGAATCTAAACCATCCAGGGCGCCACCCAAAATAAAATAAAATAAAATAATAAATTTTTTTTTTTTTTGAAAAAAAAATACATTTTTCCCTTTTCCCCCCCCCTTTTTTTTTTTGGCCCCCCCCCCCCCCCCCCAAAAAAAGGGGGGGGGGGGGGGGGGGAAAAACCCCCCCCCCCCCCCCCCCCCCCCTTTTCCAACAAACCACCCCCCCCCCCCCCCCTTTAAAAAAAAAAAAAAAATTTTTTTTTTTTTGTTCTTTCCCCCCCCCCCCCCCCCCCCCCCCCCCCCCCCCTTTTTTTTTTTTTTTTTTTTTTTTTTTTTCTTCCTTTTTTTTTTTTTTTTTTTTTTTTTTTTTTTTTTTTTTTGGTTTTTTTTTGCCGCATACGTTTAAGAGGTGTTCATTCACACACGTACAGTAGAATTATACATATAAATATATATTATATACTATATACTTACAAAAGATGTAAAAATGTAGTGATAATTTTCGTTGTTCATTTGTAATTGAAGAATCTGAAAATAAGTTTTTTTTTAATTTTCTCACTCTCTTACTAACTCTATTGCAAGCAGCCGGATGGGATCTCATTGATCCCTTGGAAGAAGGGATGGGCTTTATGGGATGCTACTGTATTGCGATACTTATTCGTTAAGGAAAGCACCAGCTCTAGGGTCCACCAGGTGTACCAGGTGCCAACTTAAATCTTTAATTAATATAAAAGTGGGCAAACGGGCAGGAGGCTCACCTGATGTTAATTGATACCGCCCATGGACACTCACATTGCCAGAAGGCTCGCGATTGCGTTGCCGGCCTTTTAAGAATTGGTACGCGTTTGAAGGACCCTAAGTCGAATTGGTTCGGGAATACTTCAGTGGGCAGCTGGTTCCACATAGTGGTGAGGGCATTTAGCTTAAAAACGCTCAGTTGTGGACGTCGAGGTGGTACGATACTCCAAAGGGAACAAAATTATTAATTATTTTTTTAAAACTTACAGCTCTAGCCAACTGCCGCAAATGCTTCGGATCTGTATCGACAACGATCCGGGAGATACCCTGCGCCTTGAGCTGCGCAAGCGCACGCCTGTACTCGTGTGACGTACACCGCACCGCGTACATGTCCCTACCATCGCTCGCCATTCGCAGCACATTCAGTTCACCTGCAATATTATTTATTAAAAAACTAAGGCCCTACAACCATTTTAGGTCTGGGCCTCAGGTTTCTGTATCTGTTTCCTCACGATATTTGCCTTCATAGAAGCGAATATTAGCGCATACAAAGTGCATTGGTGCACAGCCAGGGTTCTACGACCTCAGGGATGGGAGTCGCACGCTGAAGCAACCAGGCTAACGCAGGCGGAACAACAGGCGGTTTCACTCTCGTAGACACCGTAGGGGAAATAACCAAACCCTACGAAGACAATCCATTTTTGGCGACGGCTAAAATGCTCTGTCGTTCCATTTTACCGAGTTTACACTCATATTTGATAATCAATGGAAACCAAATGAAGTAAATAAAACCGTACAAATAACATTAAAATATACATGTGTTTGTTAAAACATAACAAACAGTTTTTTTTATTATTTAAAAAACGGGTGTAAGTTTAAATCTGTTAAAATAATTAACTGTTGGAATCGAGTTTTCGTCAACTGTCATATTCATACAAAGGTCTATCCATAGACACCGATACGACCTCCCATGGATAGCTTGTATCGACAGATGGCTATTACAATCCGTGGATTGGTTATTGGCACACTTGTTACAACATTTGGATTAAGATTACTGTCTCAGATGGTGGATTATGCATTGAGATAGGTTATTAGGTTCGGGCGTAAGTCGGACTATAGATATATTTTTGTTAACATAAATTTTATTTTACTTAGTTATTAATTACTTCCTTTTTGTTTTTTTTTTAATAAATGTAAAATAATACCTATTCTACTCCCCTGCCATTGTGTCCATGGATTTTTTCTATCTATCTAAACTAGACCCTTTTTGATTATTAGATATACACTAACATTCATATATCAATATACAGATTTTAATTTACAACGAATGTATATCTAATACAATTTTAAATTTGTAACATCATTTGCGTAGAATGTCCGACATTAGTAAATTTAAAAATACTCTAAAGGTATTGAAACATTCTTGATTTCAAGTAGGTAATGAAAATTTTATAATCAGTACAGGAATTTTTAGCTTGATTATTATTAATTGTTAAAAATAAAAACAAACATTCAAAATACTAAAATTTCGTCGATAATATTCGAGAAGACATTTATTTGTAGAAATTCAGTGTCTTAGAACTTCCCTAGGTACACAACATATGACGTAGTTTTGTTTTGTGGCAGCAAAATAATTTGATGTTCTGGAGTTTCGACTCAGGATAGGCCAACATACAATTGCCCATGGGTAAAAGTAAAGTAAAAGTAAAAAAAATCATTTAATCGTGTAGGTAACATAATGTACACTTATGACTCGTCAGTAAATAAATACATATTAATGCTTCTAATTTTACATTTACTGCCAGTTCTCAAATCAAGGGCGTAGAACGGAAGAGAAGAACTGGCAATAAACTCTCCGCCACTCTTTTTAATCACCTTTTTGTTTTACACAACGTTTGTATAGGCAGCGGCACGTAAGTCTAGCGCTGTTCGATACGTGGAGGGGATTGCTGCGCATGAGTACTGTCGCGCGGGGGACGGAATGCGACTGGAGAGCCAATCGAAACTCTTTATTCCGCTAGCCCCCCTCAGGTACCTTATTTTTTACTTCTGCGCAATAACGGTCAGCGCTAGAGTTTCGTGCCGCTACTTGTAAGGAGCTGCAACCATTACACCATGTCCCACATGACATATCAAGTAATTAATAATAATAACATAACTTTTAAAAAAAACAAAGATTTGTCCTCTATCAGCATGGTGAAGTAGGAGCACGCACTTACATTCTCGTGGGAAAAACACGTAATTTTTTCACACCTTGATTTATATTATTGCATTTTTTTAAAGGATTTTTTTTGAAAATGTTATATAGCCTATGTCAGTCGGTGAAGATGCAGCTTTCTAATGGTGAAACAATTTTTGTAATCGGTCGAGTAGTTTTTGTACAAACATACATACAAAAACACAAAAGTTTCCTCTTTATAATATTAGTATTATTATTTAATAAAACACTATTTTGACCGGATTGAAGTTATGTATTATTATAAATTTACAACTATTTAACATAATTTTAAATTTATCCGACGTTTCGCGTGCTTTACAGCGTGCGTGGTCACGGTGACTTATTATTATTATTTATACATACCAAATCCATAGTCTTCATAAATTATTCCCATCCTTGTCCAATTTAAATACGCTGAGAGATCTGTAAATGCTACATCCAGGAGTTCCCTAGAGGGGTACAAATTCAGCGTAAACGATGTTGTGCTGTTAGACGCTGAAATTTTAAAATTTTTGTTGTCTATACTTATTTCCAACACACAAATATACAGTACTTACAATATTCTGAACCAACATAGTAATAATAATAACGGTAAAAAAATGGTCCTTGTGGTAGACCTTTAATGCTGGCATTTCCTCGCTGTATTTCGATGATTCGTTGATGAAAGCAACAGCTCTGGGGTCGCCGATAAACTCAAAATATCTTTATTCATAGGTAAACAAGTACACTTATGAACGTCAAAAAAGAAGTTAAATTAATTGTAAATTTACATTTACTACCAGTTCGCAAGTCAAGGGCGTAGAGCGGGCAAGAAGAACTCGCAAGAAACTCTCCGCCACTCTTTTATATCGCCAAGTTTGGAGTCATACAAATTGTTTGAACTGGAGCAATAATTTAAATAATCGTCAAAAAAAAAGCTTTATTGATTAATTTACGTTTAACGTTTTGAATCTATTGTGATAATTCTCTAATTTCGCTTGGGAGTTTGCATATAAGGAGTGGTTTATCTTCTGGAGCCTGGTTGGTCGTACACTCAAGTTCTGTTTCGAGTATAATACTACCAGATAGTGTCATAATATTTGCTCCGTTTGCCCGGAGATCTGAAAGAAAGGCACACCTCTCCTCTCCTCTCCCTTTCTGAGTCATAATTCAAGATGGAAGAAAAACTGACCAGCAAATTTTACTTACGTGTATAATAACTAGGATCTATTGTGAAGTGTGGAGTGTGAAGTGAGTTGCTCATTGCTGACAGAGTCGATCCAAGCAGAGGTCCCGCGTTGCTAAATATAGCTACCGCACCCGATTTTATCTGAATACAGGCTGAAAGATAAAATAAACCACATTAATTTTATAGCAGTACAAAACGCTGACTTCCCAATTTCTGTATATATGTTGCTACTTCTCTTCAGTCTCTTATGTAGCAGCAGTATTAGCCTAGTAGCTGCAGCGTGTGACTCTCATCCCTGAAGTTATAGGTTCAAGCCCCGGCTGTGCAATGGACTGTCTATGTGCGCATTAAGCATTTGCTCGAACGGTGTAGGAAAACATCGTGAGGAAACCGGCTTGCCTTAGACCCAAAAAGACGAGGGCGTGTATCAGGAGACTGATCACCTATTTGCCCGTTAGATTGATAAATGATCATGAAACACACTATTTGCCCGTTAGATTGATAAATGATCATGAAACACACTAAAAAAGTTGAAACTCCTTTCTTTTCTGGTTAGCTCATATCTGAGCGTCATCAGCAAGTAAACATCTGGAGCGAGCTGATTCAACTGGCCTCTGTCTAGCGCCTCTCTTATTATAGTGTACAGTTTTATGGATGTATTTTCATCGGTCCATCTGGTTGGTGAATAACCAAGTCACCTTCTCTGTTTCCAACCACGATCAGTTTCTCCAAGTTCTAATAGCCTCTGCGCATTCTCTTGTTTCTTTATAATATGCGAATCTCTCCTACAGCAGGAATACTCCGTATCTTCTTGTCAACAATCACATAACGTAAGGTTACAGGTCTTAACATCTTAATATATATAAATTACGTGTCACATTGTTTGTCCGCTATGGACTCCTAAACTACCGAACCGATTTAAATCAATATTGCACACCGTGTGTAGTTTGATCCAACTTAAAAGATAGGATAGCTTACATCTTCATTTATACCCGCAATATTATTGTATTGCAAATTATTTGTTTATTATTTGACACTCACAATTCTAACAGATGGCGCTGTGTTGAAAGTACCAACGTTTCACATAAGCTACAATTTAATGGCATAACCACCAAAAAAGCGTGATGGTCCCCATGACTGATGTCCTCCTACCGTTTCCCTTGAATAGTTTACTACTATGTAATAACAAAAACCTTAGCCACAGCAACGCTTGGCCGAGTCTGCTAGTTTTAAATAAATCTTGGCAATTTAAAACTGAAGGAGAGTACTGCCAGTTTTTCTCGTTCTATTCCTTTGATTCGAGGCGCTCTTCGTTGAATACGGTTAAGCGGAAGGAGTTGTGCCTACCACGCAGAGGTGAGAACAGTACTCCATGTGGGGCCGAATTTGCCACTCCAAATGAACGCGAACATCATCAATTATTCCAATGCTGGCTGGTTCCACATGGTGGTACAAAAACTGTCTTAAGAAATACGGATACGGACGGTATTTTGTATTCTGCCTTGACGTCTGATGAGGAAACTCAGCTGCTGCTGACTTAAAAAATTCTACTAAGTACAATTTTATAATTAAACTATTGTAATAAGAATAATTTCTGTAATAAGTCGCGTCATTACTTTGAAGCCGATTAAAAATTTGCTTCAACTCTTAAAAGTAGTGTACTTAGAAAGCGTTTTATATTAAAGAGTTGAGCGCCCTTGTTTGCATTCTATGAAACCGGAAACACCTACTTCACGTGAAAGCCTACCGGAAGTGGGAATTTAAAATAAGAAAGCTCTTCACAAATTGTAGGACTAAACTTTTAACAAATATAATTTCTTACATTAAAAATAACTTTATTGATATAGGTAACCAAGTGAACGAACGTCAATAGAACGTAAATAATGAACGTCAACAGAAGAGATGTTAAATTGATTCTAAATTTACATTTACTACCAGTTCGCAAGTCAAGGGCGTAGAGCGGGCAAGAAGAACTGGTAAGAAACTCTCCGCCACTCTTTTTAATCGCCAAGTTTTATGTTTTACACAACGTTCGTAAGGAGCTGCAACCATTACACCATGTTCCACATGATTTCTTAAGTAATGAACCGTTAATTAATAATAATGCAATAAATTAAAAGCAAAGAATTGTCCTCTATCATCAGGAGGAATGGTGGACTAATACCTGCAGCTGAGTTTTATCCGTACCATCACGACATCCGTCATTCCACAACTGAGCGTTTCTTAAGGCAGTTTTGCCACCACCACTATGTGAAAGGACCCACTGAAGTATTTTCGAACCAATTCGACATAGGGTCCAAGAAAACAGCGTACCAATACTTGAAAGGCCGGCAACGCACTTGCGATCCTACTGGCAATGTAAAAGTCCATGGGCGGCGGTATCACTTAACATCGGATGAGGCCACCAGTTTTCCTCCAATTACATACGAGTTAGGTAGAAAAGAAAGTCCATTGGTGCAGCTATCGAACGCACCAGGGTTGAGGGGAGCATGCGCACCACTTTTTTTAAGGTCAACTTCGGTCGAAATAGCAATAGGACTGTGGCTACACAGTCAAAGTCTATTAAAGTAGCAAGACCCTACCAAAAAAAAAATCTCAACCACGCCCTTGCACATCGCGGGAACAGCCCAGCCCGACCTGAAGATTCCAAAAAACGCTCACAATGCCAAGGGGCCGTTCAATTATTACGTAACTACTATAGGGGGGAGGGGGATCTTTGATTTTCGTATTTGATGATTACGTGAACAGTAACTATTTTATATTACCCACACATTTTAAAGGCCGGCAACGCACTTGCGAGACTTCTGGCAATATGAGTGTCCATGGGCGGTATCACTTAACATCAGGTTAGCCTCCTGCTCATTTGCCACCTATGGCATAAAAAAACACATTGTCTATGCTTGAAAACGAAATGCATTTTCGATTCCTACAAAAAATTAATACGTTTATGTACTATTATTTTTGAGATCTTTGCTTTTTCGACAAGAGGAAGGGGGGTATAAATTTCAAATTTGCTTACGTAATACTTGGACGCCATTTTTTTAAACAATCTCGCTTAGGCCTTTACAGTTCAGCACGGGCTGTTTTGGCGAGCGTAGCTCGGCCTGTATGGATGTTTTTCCCGCGACTAGCGCAAGGGCGTCTCCTGTGAGACTCGAACGGCGAACCTCGGCTTGGGCCGTCGCGGGCAGCTGGCTTCAATTGCCTGAAGGGCAGGACGGAAGCTCACTAGAGTGAGCGAAGTACGAAGTAAAGGTCTACGCTTTCCGGTTTTTTACCCTTATCTGATTTTGACTTGGCCCCCAACCCAGCAATTACCTTTTTTATACGCCCTGAAGGTGTCCCTCGGGGTGATGTATTGTATGTCGTACACCAAAGTAGATTCTGGTAATATACTTCTTTCTTTATTAACTCGGTAAATCGCGTACTTGAATGCTAGCTCTGTACTTCCACCACGGGCATCTTCCGCGAAAATTGCTCCTGTAACAAAGCGTGGACATGTAAAAACGACTGAATGGATTTTAATGAAACTTTACAATACTGGCGTGCGCTGCCAAAACTGCTAGAGTTACACATATGTAATGTATTATTGAAATTTTTATCTTAAATAGTCCTACAAAAAATCTCGCCACAGGATATATTTACATCTTGTGTAAGCCAGTTATCTTATCAATCTATCAATGCTGTATCATAAAAACAGAAAAAATATCTAAAAATAAAAAAAAAATATTTAGGGATGGACTACCCTTAACATTTAGGGGGATGAAAAATAGATGTTGTCCGATTCTCAGACATACCCAATATGCACACAAAATTTCATGAGAATAGGTCGAGCCGTTTTGGAGGAGTATGGCAACGAAAACTGTGACACGAGAAATTTTATATATTAGATTACACATACATGATATTTTTCTAGTGAGCTGTTGGTGTATCGCGCATCTTCAGCTGTTAAGATTTGGAACACATATGATCCGTGTCAGCAGCTGATCAATATTTAAATAAAATATAATAAAATTGCTATTCAACTGCTAAGATTTAGCACACACCATGTCACCATGTCAGGAGTTTGTTGATGTACAAATGATGAAATCTGAACAATTATTTTAATCCAGCTCAAAATTAATAATATTAGAACGTAAGCTAGCTAAACACAAAATAAAAAAAAACAATAATAATAACTAAAACTAAATTCAAACTCATTTATTAATTAAGGTAACACAATGTACACTTATGAACGTAAAAAATAAATATACATTAAATGCTTCTAATTTTACATTTACTGCCAGTTCTCAAACCAAGGGCGTAAAACAGAAGAGAAGAACTGGCAATAAACTCTCCGCCACTCTTTTAGAAATGGAAACTTATACCTCATTAATGGATAAACAAAGTTACGGTACGTTGGAAGATTGTTGTAAAAAAAGCTGTGTAAAAAGGCTTACTATAAAGTTAACGATTATCTGGTTAATAAAAGGACCTGGGACTTGTGCTTGACAGGCTACTTCTAATTAATTATAATAAATAATTTAGACTTTAGACCTAAAAGGTCGACGGCGTGCGTCATGCACAGGAGGCTGATGATAACAGATTCAAAACACACATCAAAAAAACCTTAATGTGTAAAGGTTACTACACAGTCAATGACTACCTGGAAGATAAAAACGCTTGGCAATAGTTCTAATTATATTCTTATAATTTGATTTGTTATCTTTGAAGTGTTATGAATATGTGTGTAATGGTGAATGTGGTAAATCACAGAACAGATTTTTTATTTTTTTTTACTTATGTAATTTTAATGACGTTGTGGTTTATGACATTTTCCTTTGAATAATTGTAATGTAAAGGGAGGGCAAACTTGCTGAGTTTCTTGCCCGTTCTTCTCAGAACAAGGCCTCCTGGTAGTTTTGCGAACGGATGGCGTAGTCTTGCTCTTTCGTGAATTTTGTAAACGTTGTTGACATTCATAAGCATGCTCTAAGAAGCATCTAAATTGAATAAACGTATTTTGATTTGATTTGATTGATGCCTTGAGGATGATGAGGCCTATTAGATTGAAAAATGATCATGATGCAGAAATCTGAGGCCAGACCTAAAGAGGTTGTAGCGCCACTGATTTTTTTATCACGTCAAAAAAAGATACATACATGTGAGTTGTTGTGAATACTCACCAATCTTAATAACAGGAGATAGACCGGCAACCACATTGACCATCACCAGAATCGAACCCAGACAGCTCCACATGATGTCTCCTCATCACAGCATCCAAGGATTGAGCCTCCACCTTATAAAAACAAAATATATATCGTTCTCATAGAGATAAAGTTTTAATTCAAGTTGTGGGATGGGATGGAACTCTTCAGAACATCGCAAGGCAGCTGCGACTAAAATTTGACTTTTTCTGATTCTTCAGAAAGGATATCATTCCAACACTTCGTCGCGCTATATTTAATAATTTTTAGAGACGGTTCGATTGGATTAATCTTAAATTTGATCGAAGCGCGTTTTCCGCAACGCTGTCGATGCAAGCCAGTCTCAACTTTTCCTAGTCGTCAAAATGTCAATGACACTCAACGTTGAGGACTCACACGAGATCGAAGATAAATACATGCCCCCTCGAATTCTGCGTCAGCAAACTCTAAGTGGTTCGACTACGAATTGCAATTTTATAGTGAAATATTGGAACTGCCTTTAAACAGATTCACAACAAAAAAACCTTAATGTGTAAAGGTCACAGTCTATGACTACCTGGAAGATAAAAACGCTTGGCAATAGTTCTAATTATATTCTTATAATTTTAATGTGTAATGGTGAATGTGGTAAATCACAGAACAGATTTTTTTTTCACTTATGTAACTTTAATGACGTTGTGATTTATGACATTTTCCTTGGAATAATTGTAATGTAGGGGGAGGGTAAAACTTGCTGAGTTTCTTGCCCGTTCTTCTCAGAACAAGGCCTCCTGGTAGTTTTGCGAACGATGGCGTAGTCTTGCTCTTTCGCGAATTTTGTAAACGTTTTTGACATTCATAAGCATGCCCTAAGACGCATCTAAACTGAATAAACGTATTTTGATTTGATTTGATATCAAATATATTATCAACTAATAATAATACTGTTTAAACTCTTTATAACGAATTTCAAGACCGAGCGTTTTTTTGCGTTATAGGGAATGGAGAAAAAAAAGCAAATTTAACCAATTACAATAATAGGTAGATGACGATGGTGCGTTTAGTAACTTAGACCAAAATTTCCTACAGGCAATGTAATCTGAGAATAATGGCACACGTGTTAATGCAATTAATAAATAACTGCTCATTGGACGGCTCAATGGTCTAGTGGTTAGTACCCCTGACTGCGAATCCATGGGTCCCGGGCTTGATCCCCGGCTGAGACAAACATCAATGTGATGAGAATTTGGTGTTGTGCTTAGGTCTTGGGTGTTTAAATATGTATTTATACGTTTATCTATCTATAATATGTATGTATATCCGTTGCCTAGTACCCATAACACAAGCTTCACCAGCTTAGCATGGGACAAGGTCAATTGGTGTGAATTGTCTAATAAAAAACAAAAACAAAACAAACAAAGGCGAGACGGCTGTTTATGACCTCAGGTGTCTTTCTTAGAAATTTCGGCACCTCAATAGGTTAGTTTCGTAAGCTGATTATTCATCAGCCTTTTCAAATTAGATAAAAAGAAGAAAAAATTTATAAATTCTTTTATTGGGGGAAGCGCTATAATAGTTAATATTAAAAAAACTTTCTAATTCACTATATTATAATCTATCCTACGTATTTTAATTACTATTATCTGATCGTTTGCATGATGCGGGTGGTTGTATTTAAGGGTTGAAAATTAAAAAAAAAAAATTTATCGACGTCAGATTTTCTAAGGGAGTTTAATCAAAAAAGCTCTATTATAATTAATTTCATGGGACCAAACAACATTTTCTTAATTTGCAAAAAAAATCCAATTTTAATATCAAAAAGTATATTGGTTCCTCTTTTTTCTAAACTACTTTATAATTAATTATTAGAGGGATTCCTATTAAAAAAAAAGAAAAGGTTCACCTAAAGCCATCCTAATTCCCCTAATTCCATTCTGCGCTTAAAATTGATATTTTAGCTCGCTGAGTTCAAAAAATAAATTTCTATCATTTAGCTCTCCCAGCTCAAAGTCTATAGAAGTTTCAAAACACTATTTTGATTTAAACTCAATTTTAAATCAAGCAATTTTCACTTGCGCTCAAGTTTTATCATTCTCATAAGTGATTTTCAATTTTAATTATCAACCACAAATTTATATCATTAAAACTTTTTGGGTTTTTTCGTTAATATTTCAATCTACACTCATACGTTTTTTCAACTCAAAGCGGATAGTTTTGAAGTTGATCGATAAAGAAACCACTTTAAAAAAATATTTTTATTTTAAGATTTTTAAAATTTTAAAATTATTCAATCTTAAATTACAGAAAATGTAATTTTGAGGGAAATATTTAGAACGCCGTTAGTAGATTCCGATGTTTAAGGAAATCCACTTTATCGACAATTTTTGTTATTTCGGCTTCAAACGTCAGATTATATATTTTTATTATTTTGAATTATTTCCTTCAAAATAAAAAAATTATACCAGAATTCAGATCTTTTTTACAACTGTTCCCTCCCTTTTTCCTACTTAAATTGTCAAAGTGGAATATACACTTTTTAATTAATTAATCACCCTACCTAATCTGACGGCTGGAATTTCTATGGTCAATTTTTTTTATAAACTATCTTTCCTTCATCATTATGGGCCTCATATTTTGTGGAGGTACTTAACCGGTACAAGTATCCCCTTATATTAATTCCTTAGTAAATCCCAAATCCTTTGGGTCCCCTACCATAAACAATTACACTTAAATATGTTGTTGATGTCTAAATATGAAGATATTCGTTATATATAAAGGTAGTTGCGTTATAAAGAGTGTTACATGTATTTTGTGTAATTTTTACGTTATAGAGAGTTTTCTGTTATAACGAATAACGTAATAAAGACTTTACACAATAATAATATTGATAAATAGTAGAACAATTTTGGTCTCTGTGGCAGTGTCCCTTTAACGCTGGCAGAATTTCGCTGTATTGCGATAATTATTCGTTAAGGAAATCACCAGCTCTGGGGTCACCGGTACTACAACTTAAATCTTTAATTTAAACTAATAATATAAAAGATAATACACAAATCCCCTCTGGCTCTCTTTATGTCCAGAATCCTGTAACCCACATATGTCAAAAACGTATAATAGAAACAGCAACACTGAACACTTATAACCTACATTCATGTATAATACTTTGTAATTTTCACTTTTTCACAGCTGCATTGTGCTTTGAGAAAGTTTTGCTTTAATCTCGCTTGTTTAGCCACAGACCATTTATAATATAATTATAATTTTTTTTTGAAGTGAAACTTCTTTATAGAGGTTGGAAAAAAATTTAGTGTAACATTTTTTCGTTACGCGTCACATTTATCGGTTACGCGCCATGTTGCTTTTTGAAGTCAAACTTCTTTATCGGCGTTGGAATGAAACTTCTTTATCGACGTATGGGAGAAATTTTGTAGCAAATCGTCACGTTTTTCAATGATAGTAATAATTCTATTACAATTAATGAAATTCTATAATAATCTTCGTAGTAATAAGGTAAAATGAAATATTTGTATTCATGTCTATGATAATAAAAGCGTTTTGTTAAACTTTATCTAATTTAACGAATTTCTGTAAAGTTGCATATAGTAGATCATTTTTCGAAAAATAAGATCATAAAGAAGTTTCGCTTCTTACGTGTGTACACCTAGTACACGCACAATTTATTGTTTTTTCTGCTCTGCGGCTATCTGTTGAACACAGCAATAAGCCACTACTTTGTCCAATACGAGTGTATCCGCTTAGGCTTTTTAGCGTGGTGAGACACTTCTCCAGTAGGTGTCTCATGCCATCCTGAGGAATCTATTTTTTAGGGTTGGTACACTATGCCTCTTCAATCTTTTGTATTGAAGGCCTTGATCTCCACTGAGTTTGAGGGCAAGCTTATTTTTGTGGTTTCAGAGTCTTTTTTGGTATATCTTTCTATCTCCTGTTTGACAGTTGGTATATTTAAATCAAGGTATATGTTCTTATTACTGATGTATTGAAGGATGTTAAATAAGGTCCCCAGTGTTTGGTTTGGAATCTTTCCAGTATCTCAATGTTACTGTTGCTAGCAGTACCCCAAAGCTGTATGCCATAGGTCCATATTGGTTTCAAGATGGCTTTATATAGAGTCCACTTGCTGTGTGTGCTCATTTGTGAGTGTCGTCCTATTAACTATAATATAATTATAATGTCTTGACTTTTTTTAAGTAACAGGAGGCAAAGGGGCAGAAGTCTCACATGAAGTACTGTTCTCACTTCTGGGCGGGAGCTTCCCAATTCAGCTCATTTCGCTTGACTGTATTCAACTTAGAGGGATTCGAAGTGTCGTCGACTAAACAGTAATCACTAAACATGGGAAAAGGGATACTCTTCTTTAATAAAATCCCAGAGGCTCTTTTATCTGCTTATATTGCGTGTTGTTCCCACGAGAATGTAAGTGCGTGCTCCTATGTCACCATGCCTCCAGCTAATAGAGGACAAGTCTTTGTTTTTAATTTATTTATTATTATTTATTACTTAAGATATCATGTGGAACATGGTGTAATGGTTGCAGCTCCTTACAAACGTTGTGTTAAAAAAACATTGTGATTAAAAAGAGTGGCGGAGAGTATATTGCCAGTTCTTCTCTTTCGTTCTACGCCCTTGATTTGAGAACTGGCACTAAATGTAAAGTTAGAGGCAAGTTTGTGTTACCCATGTACAAATAATGCCAGAGGTTTCGCGAATATGTTGCAGGCCTAGTAAAAATTGGTACGCTATTTTCTTGACTTCGACGATTCGGAAAATTTGTGATACCCATGTTCAATTAATTATATAGTTATCGCGACTACGCTGCCGGCCTTGTAAAAATTGGTACGCTCTTTTCTTGACTTCGACGATTCGGAAAATTTGTGATACCCATGTTCAATTAATTATATAGTTATCGCGACTACGCTGCCGGCCTTGTAAAAATTGGTACGCACTTTCTTGACTTGGTTCGCAATATTTGCAACAAAAAATCTTGAAACATTTTTTTCCAATGATAAATAGTATATAATTCTCACATCGGTACAAAAATGTATGTCAATACTATGTTAACTATGTTACAGTTGACACAACTGTCACAGGGCTTCACTGTAACCTACATAAACTAGAAACCTATACTTAAAATATCTTTTTATTTATTAGGATGCTGCCCACTGAAGTATTTCCGAACCAATTCGAAAAGTCAAAGAGCGTACCATTCTTAAAAGGCCGGCAACGCACTCGCGAGTCATCTGGCATTGAGTGTCCACGGTAGCGGTATAAATTAACATCAGATGGCCCACCTGCCCGTTTGCCCCCTGTTCTATAAATACCAATTTTAAAAAGGCCGGCAACGCACTAGTGAGCCGTCTGGCATTAAGTGTTCATGGGCGGTGGTATCACTGGTAGGGATTTGTATGGATGTGCTTTTATTGTATACTAGTAGACTCGGCCAAGCGTTGCTGTGGCTAACATTTTTGTTATATTACATAGTAGTAAACTATTCAAGAGAAAAGGCAGGAGAACACCAATCCACCATGCTTTTTGGTGGTTATGCCATTAAATTGTAGCTTATGTGAAACGTTGGTAGTTATTTTGATAAGGATCAATACCTAGGTACGAATAAAGAGCCTTTTTAGCGGTGGTATTTTAATTAAAAAAAAATTAATAAAAGGACGCTTATTGTGACGTTACTATAAAAGATAGAGACATGCTGTCGCGACACTTTTTATAGATAGTGATGTGTCCTGAAAAATTGACATACATCATTTTGTTCTATCATTAATAGTTTTCGCAGCGCACGCGATTGAAGGAAGTTTTTTGTTTATTTTTCACACCTTGGGTTAGTAGATTATTCAAGTTTTAGTAAGCATCCCTAATTTTTTTGAAAATGAAACATAGCCTATGTCACTCGGGAATAGTTTAGCTTGCCAACGGTGAAAGAATTTTTAAATCGGGCCAGTAGTTTCGGAGCCTATTCATTTCAAAAAACAAAAAATAAAACCTTTCCTCTTTATAATATTATACATAGAAACTACCAAAAACGTACCAATTTTCAAAAGGCCGGCAACGCAATCGCGAGCCCTCTGGCATTGAGTGTCCACGGGTCGCGGTATAAATTAACATCAGGTGAGCCTCTTGCGCGTTTCTATACGTCCCCTTTTTTAAAAGGCCGGCAACGCACTAGTGAGCCGTCTGGCATTGAGTGTCCATGGGCGGTGGTATCACTGGTAGGGATTTTTAGGGGTAGTTTATACAAGATTTTTTTTTTAACTAGTCTTTTTTTACGGTTGTATCCATCGAATGTACTACTGGATATATTGAATTTGGATTCCATTCGGGGGAACATTCTGTAGGACTTGTTAAAGGGGTCACAGCTCTCGCGCTAAATTTCGAATCAGAAACCCTATGGTCCGTCCTACTCGTAACAATTCCGAATAATACAGAAACTAGTCGTTATGATCAACATCTGGACATTTAATTACGTTGTAGAACAAAATTTAATCTTTGTCAAATTTTGTTATTTATACACAAATAGTAATTCGGTATGTTTGACTTAAGACTGAAACAACATTACTTAACATTGTACATTGGAATATATGTATATATATATATATATATATATCTGTGGTCATAGATCAGACAATAATTATTTTAAAAAAAAAATTTTTTTTCATATATCGAATGTTTCATATTTTTATAGTGCCTTCAAGATTTCTTAATAATTTAATTGCTAGTCCTGTAAAGTAATGAATTTGCATTTATCATATCTGACCTATGGCCACAGATATATATTCGCCTTAATATAAAGTTACAAAGATGTTATCGCTAATTCATAATGATGGCACATTGTCACAGTTAAAAAGAAAAACCTTTGACAGCGATTACGGTAAGGTAGCACCGATCACAAATTACAAATCCAATTATCAATATCCACTAATTAAACATCGATATCGATGGCGCGTTTTGTTATTTTCAAAAAAATTAACCTCAAACGCCAGACTCACCATCAAAAAACTCCTCGTTTATTGCATAGAATCACTAATTTCATGTCACCAATGTATACATCCTTACAATCTCCATAATAATGAATTTGTTATTATTTTTCACACAAAACACATTTAGAACTAGAATCACGTCTCTAAGCACAGTTTTTCATTGTAACAATCGATAGATTGTTAATTCTTTATGAAAAATGCGATAATTTTTGCATATAATCGCTACGTTAAAAATACGGGCGTAACGTTTGCGGAAACGGGATATACTGATTATTTCATAGCAATACATAGCTATGATTATGTAAAATAACATAAATTTGTTAAAACAAAGAAAAATGGTCCTTATAATAACTTGTAGTGAGTTAATATTGCGATCATCACGAGAGGGTGGTAAAATTTCACCCTCCAAGTTCCAACTCTATAGGGTGTTGGTAAGTAGGGATGTGCTTAATGTAACTTTGTTTACGATTCTATTGTCTATGTTTAATCGATTCTTGAAATCATGTAAATATACGTTTTGTTAATATAACAAAATGTGTACTGACATTATTGATACCAAATCACTTATTGTTTTGATTGATAATAAAAAGTGGAAGGCACATAAAACTATTTATAATATTTATATATACATTTAATTAATATTTGGCTCAAATATAAACAGGTCAATAATATAAAGTGTTACTTATGGCCCTATTATTTTCAGTCTATAATATATAAGTTATTACTAAATCCTCTTAAAGTTAAAATACTATAGGTCGATTACTTTAATTCGATTCACAATATAAAAGTGTCAAAGTTCTAACATTCTTCTTACTATTTATTCCAAGAGTAAATTTTTGCCCTAATGCACAAACCGTGCCAGAGCCATAAAGAGAAAAAAATTTTTTTTTGCCCGTATAACATTTGACAATTGACGTTATTGTGTTTTGAATTTATTAAAGTTATGTATTAACCTATAAAATAATAGAGTTAGATTTTTAAAAGATAAAATATTTATTTAAAAAAAAACATTATCTATTAAAATATATATATACTTAAGAAGCAGTTTCATATTTAAGTGAAAACAATGAATATCGCAAGGAAATTAACAACAATACCTTATAATGTGCGGAAGACTTTTTACAGAAAATTCAAAATTTCATCAATAAACAGTGATACTGTTGAAGCAACTCAGCCAAAAGTGCAAGAAGAGAAGTTTGATTTTGAAGATTTAAAGGTGTTTGAGCGCACAGAACGAAGAAGCGCCAAAATAGACCCGTTTATGAAAGAAGTTTTCGTTTCAAAATTTAACCGCGACTTACTCGCTTATCCAGAAATTTTGACTAAAGACGAGGACGAAGCCCTCGAAAACAGGATATCTTTCCTCAAAAAGTCATTTTCTAACGCTAACAGTACAAAAGAAGAACGCAAAAATACGTTAAGACGAGCTAGTATGTATGCGGCTACTGTAAATCTTACTAAGAACGGTTTAGCAGCTAATTATACAGAACTATTACGATATTTAGAAATAATAGGAGCTGATTTAGAATTAGGACAGGCTATAAGCGAGCATTGGGTTGGTGTGACAGCTCTCTCACAAGGTTTATCAGCAGATGACTATACAGATATTATTGATGAAATAGTGTCTGGTGATGATACAATTAGTATTTGTATTAAAGAGAGGATGTCTGATAGATTAACTCAGCCAGACTTCAGGACCACAGCTGAAATTGATGAGAAAGGTTAGTTGAAATAGTTTTTCTGCCAAGTAACAAAAACCCTTAGGTTAATTATAAATACCCCCCGTAAATCTATGGTGAAATGAAATAGAAATTCTACTAAGGAATATCATAAAATTCCAAATTGTGTAAAAATCAAGGAAATTCTTTCATGTATGTACATACTTCGGCAAGTTAGGGTGTAAAACTGCTTTTGAAAACACATTTTGGTATTGACTTGGTACTGGTTATTATAAAGTACATACATAAAGAACATACATAGTAAATTTTGAAGGCCAAGCTTTGCTATTTAGAAATGATTATTTTAATCAGAGCTCCAAAACTTGTATTGCTTTGAATGTAATAAATTTTTGGTGTTAACGAAGATGAACTTTAATGTTAAAAAAATAATACAAATATATTTTACTCTATATGTGATATAGGGTATTCTTGAGTAAACGGTACTTGTCTTTTTCTACCTACACATTCCAGACAAGAAATGTTGCTGTGTCCCATATCTCGATATTCTGTGTTCAGGTTGTCTTCCTTAAAATACCATATTCTTAGCTTAATTAATCTTCTTAGACATTTTGCTTCTCTATTTCTCTTGTGTTTAGGCTGTAAAAGATACTATTATTTCAGGTTTTGATACATAAATTTATGTATTTTGAAAAAAAATACTAAAACATATTTCTCTAAAAACAAAACAAATGCGTTGCTAGCTCATCTACTTACTAGCCAATGCACGGGTTAGTGGTAGGACATCTCTCCCAATTCATAATTCTTATTACAGTTAACCAGATAGGCTTGCACTATTATTATGATACCTGTGTATATAAAATAAAGCTATGATTTTCCCAAAAATTGTATTTCCAGAAGTGACTGTGGAAAGTGTTAGTACTTAACTATCATTTGTTCTATCTTTGTGATTTTCAGGTATTTGGAGAATACATGGGGAGAAAATTCACATCAACAAAACTGGTTATATTCTTGTTTTGGCCATAACAGACGGCAGCAAACTAAAAGCGTTACTTGTCCGACCTGGAGCTGAGGGAATAAGTTATAAGGACAATTTTGTTACCTTCTCCAATACGCCTGGTACATGTTGTGATTATTTACATATAAAGGGTTTGCCTGGTTATTTTTAACATTTCAATTAATTTTGCTTTTTGCCAGCAGTTTCCCACCAATTCTTCTATGCCCTAAATTTGAGAACTATTTTTTTTACTGACCAATTTATAATGACACACCAAATACTCACAACGGACCTATTGAGAGTGTAAGTGCGGACAAACACACACAAACCAATGACATACCAAACTGATTTAATAAAATATATTTCTAATACTTTAAGATATTTTGGGTAAAGAATTCTGATGTTTTATAATCAATGAAAATATCCTGTGTCTGGAACACTTAAAAAGAGTTGTGTTAGAGATTTAAAGTTGAACAATATGTGTATTACAGCTTTAGAATTGAACATGGCAAACGAAGCAATTCTAAGTCAGACATTAGGTACTAATCGCTTGCATACAGCAACACTGTGCAGGACAAGCTTACAACAAGCAACACAGGCCTGTTTAGAGTATATTCGTCCACGGTTTATAAATGGTAAGTGATGTAGAATATATTATGATCTTGTGTTAAATTTTTTGAACTGCCTATAAATCCCTTACAAAGATTTAATTGATTGAATTGAAGAATAATTGATTGATTGCTACTGTTCTGTCTCTCTCTGTCAAATAGTTTTAACGCTATGATAAAAAGAAACTGATATCTTCTTTAATTGAATTTAGGCTCTTTAACCGGTTTAAAAATAAGATATACTATAAATTAGAAATTATTTTGTATGTTCAAGCATATCTCTGCCAAATGATTCGGATTTGCAGCGAATAAATTTCATAAACAGAAAATTTAAATAAATAGTTTATACATTTCATTTTCTTGGAAATACAATCAATAGAAATATTGTATTTAAAACAGTGCTATTTGGATTATGTTTTATTTTTTTTAATATGAATTTTGAGTCATATCAGAAACAAACCTAAAAAAATATATGAGACGGAAGGAAAACATCGTGAGGAAACCACAAAAGGCTCCGGGTAAGGGTTGCAGCGCTTTTTTTTTTAAATTTTTAAATTGTATTTTACAGGCAAGCCGCTATCAGAATTATCAACAATCAGATCGACGATCGGAGAAGCTATATTATATATATACGCGAGTGAAAGTGCAGAGTACTTCACAGCTGGTCTACTCGATGGCTTCATGGATCCTGATGCTGAACTGGAGATGGCTATGTGCAGGTAAAAGGATTTCTTTTTATTAACACAATTTGTATAGAATGTAGTCACTGATAAATAACATGATATTGTTATAAATTTAATTTAAAATAATTTGTAAATGTAAAAATAATCTGTAAAGTTAAAATCATTTATAAATGTAAAATAATTTGTAAAGTTAAAAATAATGTTTAAATGTAAAAATAATTTGTAAACTTAACAATAAATTATTGATTGTTTTTTCAGAAATTTTATATCGCACCATGGGCAGCGTGTGCTCCTAAAACTTCTGGCGATACCAGGAGTGGAGAAACAGAAAGACTGTCTCCGATTACTGGAGAATATGAGGTCATTGACCCTGCGAGGGGAGAACGTCGAAGAAGTTAATATGTTTATAGGTTAAAAAAATCTTTGTTTATATATTATGACCTATATATTTCGACACAGTGTCCATGAGCGGTAGGCATTTCCGAACCAATTCTACTTAGGGTATTTCAAGAAAAGATCGTACTAATATTGAAAAGGCCGGCAACGCACTCGCGAGCCCCCTCTCGTTTAGTGTCAATTGTTATTCCGAACTAATTCGACTTTGAAGAAAAACGCGTACCAATTTTTAAAAGGCTGGCAACGCACCCGCGATCCTTCTGTCATTAAGAGTGTCCATGGGCGGTAGGCATTTCCGAACTAATCGATTAAAGAAAAAGCGCGTACCAATTTTTTAAAGGCTGGAACGCACCGCGATCCTTCTGCATTAAGAGTGTCCATGGGCGGTAGGATTTCCGAACCAATTCTACTTAGGGATTTCAAGAAAAGATCGTACTAATTTTAAAAGGCCGGCAACGCACCTCGCGACCCCCCCTCTCGTTTAGTGTCAATGGGCGGTATTTATTTCCGAACTAATTCGACTTTGAAGAAAAAAGCGCGTACCAATTTTTAAAAGGCCGCAAGCACTTGAGATCCTTTTGTCATTTAGATTGTCCATGGGCAGTAGGCATTTCCGAACCAATTCTACTTAGGGTATTTCAAGAAAAGATCGTACTAATATTGAAAAGGCCGGCAACGCACTCGCGAGCCCTCTCTCGTTTAGTGTCAATGGGCGGTAGTTATTTCCGAACTAATTCGACTTTGAAGAAAAAAGCGCGTACCAATTTTTAAAAGGCTGGCAACGCACCCGCGATCCTTCTGTCATTAAGAGTGTCCATGGGCGGTAGGCATTTCCGAACCAATTCTACTTAGGGTATTTCAAGAAAAGATCGTACTAATATTTAAAAGGCCGGCAACGCACTCGCGAGCCCTCTCTCGTTTAGTGTCAATGGGCGGTATTTATTTCCGAACTAATTCGACTTTGAAGAAAAAAGCGCGTACCAATTTTTAAAAGGCCGGCAACGCACTTGAGATCCTTTTGTCATTTAGATTGTCTATGGGCAGTAGGCATTTCCGAACCAATTCTACTTAGGGTATTTCAAGAAAAGATCGTACTAATATTGAAAAGGCCGGCAACGCACTCGCGAGCCCTCTCTCGTTTAGTGTCAATGGGCGGTAGTTATTTCCGAACTAATTCGACTTTGAAGAAAAAAGCGCGTACCAATTTTTAAAAGGCTGGCAACGCACCCGCGATCCTTCTGTCATTAAGAGTGTCCATGGGCGGTAGGCATTTCCGAACCAATTCTACTTAGGGTATTTCAAGAAAAGATCGTACTAATATTTAAAAGGCCGGCAACGCACTCGCGAGCCCTCTCTCGTTTAGTGTCAATGGGCGGTATTTATTTCCGAACTAATTCGACTTTGAAGAAAAAAGCGCGTACCAATTTTTAAAAGGCCGGCAACGCACTTGAGATCCTTGTCATTTAGATTGTCTATGGGCAGTAGGCATTTCCGAACCAATTCTACTTAGGGTATTTCAAGAAAAGATCGTACTAATATTTAAAAGGCCGGCAACGCACTCGCGAGCCCTCTCTCGTTTAGTGTCAATGGGCGGTAGTCATTTCCGAACTAATTCGACTTTGAAGAAAAAAGCGCGTACCAATTTTTAAAAGGCCGGCAACGCACTCAGCGGTCAGTATTTAGGCCCAGGTCTAAAGAGTTTAATAAAAATTTCAGCATTGCACGGAGCCCACCACGCCACCAAATCAATGGCAGAAGAGATTAAGAAGATAAGGAATCCGTTTTTTAATCCGACTTTCGTGTTCAAGAAGATGATTACCAACAGGCATCAGGTGAGTGACGTGATTTAAAAAAAACCAGCGGCGCTACAGCCTTTTTAGGTCTGGGCCTCAGGTTCCTGTATCTGTTAATCAAGTAGGTGATTTTTGTAAAACGTTGCGATGCCGCACGGGGATTGAATGACGCGTTATTGTTAATATTATTTTCGACTTTCCAGTACTTTGGAAGCGTTCAAGTATTACGTAACGCAATTTTTGAAGATTACTGACCCCCCTCCCCCATGAACTCGCCGTAATGCCGGCCATACACGCTACGGTCTACCGGAGAGGTAATCTGTGCAGGTATGCCTGCGCAGGTCAACCAAAGTACGTGTATGGGGACGTTCCGGTGTATCGGAGCGGTCTTCAGTTCTCTTTCGATGGCTCGAATGTGGACTGCACCTGGCTTCTAGGTCTTATTTTAATTTTGAAGGAAAATGATACGAAAAACAAGCGAAGAAAGTGGTGGAAGCATTGGTTATTGAAAAGGAAAACATATAGTCATGTTAATTTATGAATTGAAACTTGAACCAGAAGATTATAAAAACTATCTTCGATTGGACGAGAAAACATACCTTAAATTACTTGAAATGGTTACTGCTATAATAAAAAAAGAACACATAGTTAAATAACAAATCAAACTTAAAACATAAGTAATAAATGTAGATACATTGCCGATTACTATCTTAACAACCTGCGCAGGCGACCGGAGTACACGCACACACGCACAGGTACACCGTACGGTGTCACTAGAAAGAATCGATTTTCGATCTTGCGCCGGGGGGGGGGGGGTGGGGCGGCCGCCTGTGCAGGTTCAAAAAACCTGCACAGGTCTATTCCCACACACATTCCGGTCTACCTGCGCAGGCATACCTGCACACCTCCGGTAGACCGTAGCGTGTATGGCCGGCATAACGTTTTTCAGTACCCAAGTACAGTAAAACGTTTCGTGACCACCTAGTGACACTTTAATTACTATTATGTGGTGTAAGTAGAAAATAATATTAACAATAACGCGTAATTCAATCACCGCCCCGCATCGTAACGTTTTACAAAAGGACCCCCCTCCTAAAATTCGTTACGTAATACTTGAACGCTCCCTTTACACCACATAATGGTAACTTTTAGGTATAAAGAGTGACTAGGTGGTCACGAAACGTTTTACTATACTTGGGTACACAAAAACGTTACGGCGCGTTACATGGGGGGTGTCAATAATCTCTAAAAATTGCGTGACGTAATACTTGAACGCTCCCTAATAGAAAAAATACAGTTAACGAACCAACACCTATTTCACCATGCCTCCTGCTGATAGAGGACAACTCTTTGTTTATAATTTATTATTATTAATTACTTAAGATGTCATGTGGAACATGGTGTAATGGTTGCAGCTCCTTACATGGTGCACAAAATGGTGCGTGTACTTATGTACGCGCGTAAGAAGTTATACTTCTTTGGCTTTCTTTATTTTTTTAAATATTAAATAATTAATAATAAATATTTAACGTTAATAATATTTAATATTTAGTATATTATTCAATTATTAATTAATATTAATAATAATAATTCTTATTTTATTATATTATTAATTCAATTTAATAACTAGGTATGTTTCATAACCTTTAAACTAAGTAACCATAGGTCTCTGTGAAAAAGCATTGCTAAATTTCTTTGAAAAAATAATTAAAACTCCTTTATTTGTTTAAAAGGTACTACATTAATGTCATTCAAAATTCTTGGCATAGCTGCTAACGTCACGCATATTCTATTTCTTTTTACTTGTAGATTGTCTTATTCCCATCTCGCTCGCGCACGCTCGGCGCCCATACTGTTAATTTTGTGTCACGGTGCGCGCGCATCGTAAAATTTCACTCTCATAAATTTTTCATAACGCGCCTAAAGAAGTATAACTTCAAAAATGGTTTAATATTTATTTTCGTTATTTGAAAAATACAGTTAATTATAATTTTCAGGATAAAGATGATCCAAAACTGGACTTATACTTGTCCGAACACCTTCACCCGAGTCTGAAGCCACCGTCAGAGAGCCTAGAGTATTGTGTCAAACGCATGCGTTTCGTCACCGAGATCATCATGTCCAGGCATGGCTTGGAAGTCGCAAGCGCATACACGTAAGTGCAAATACTATTCATAAATTTAATACTTCTTATTTGTATTTATAAATGCTTAAAGACAGATTATTTATCCCCCCTCCCCCCCTTCCTCTTGTCACCAAAAGTAAGCAAAGCTCTCAAAAATAATAGTACACAAACGTATTAATTTTTTGTAGAAATCCTCGAAAATGTATTTCGTTTTCAAGCATAGACAATGTGTGGGTAATATGTGTACAAAAGTGAAATCACCAAATAAGAAAATCGAACCGTCTTAACTCTTCTTTATATTTATACAAATCTAAAACTTTAGATTTCCGAGACTTAAAGGGAGGGAAAAAGGAAGATATGTTAGGAATTTAATTATCATTAAAATATAAAAAGTATAGAAAATTAATACCAATTATAAATTTAATTTATTTCTTCGATAATAAAAACACATGGCATTTTAATTTAAATTTTACAATTTATGAAATATTAGTATTTTAAAATATAAAATACTAATATTTCATAAATTCGTAATTTCTTTACGAAATTTTAATTTAAAAAATAGAATTTCTATAAGGTAATTCGCCCTTCTCACTCTCTCTCAATTGCTTTCTCCATTTTCTTCTACAAAAACGCTGCACATCTTCGTGACGTTCCGTATAAATCTCATGCGCCTAAAGAAGTTTTAAAAAAAATTTTTTCAGGGAGTTGAATCGGTTGGCTGAGGCTGCAACTGAAATATTAGTGTGTACCGCTGTCCTTGCGAGAGCTTCGAGGTAAGTTAAAGAATTACCATTAAATATATTTAATTATACTTTTGAGTATAATTAATATTGAGTGCAGATGTCATATAGAGGAATCAGTCTGGCCACTGACTGTCCTTACTGTACTGTGGCTAGTAGGGATGTGAAAAATAATCGATTTTTTTTAAAGTAAAAATCGATTTTTTTACGCGATTTTTATATTTAAAATAATCGATTATTTTTATAATTGAAAATCAATCATAGTCGATTTTTCATCTGCCACCTCCCGACATTATGTCTGGTCTTTTATAACCCGGACCTCGAACATTTAGGGATATTCTATATACATCGATGTTTACAATGCGATACATAATACATTGAATCCGATTCTTTGAAGATGTATTGATATACTCGATGAATTGATGTTTTTTTGTAAAACATCCAAAGGATGATAAAACCAATTTATTTTACAAAAACTCAAGTTTGAATGGAACACTATAATTTCAAAGTAAAATAAATTTATTCAGCAGCACAAGACTACATACAATTAAAAAGACAACAAAATTACTGCAATGTGCTACTGAAAAGGCATACACTCAGCATTTATCAAATTTCACCAAAAATCTATCAAAACGAGATTTAGTTAATTTCGATTTTGATTATTCTTAAACGTTAATTTGTGTTTATAATTTCTATTGTTTATTTTTAATTAAAAAAACCATGAAAAATAAAATATTTAGGGTGTTTTATGTTTATTTTGAAATTAATTCAAAAATTAGGAAAAAATCGATTAATAAAAAAAATCGATTATTTTTTTAAGAAAATCGATTAATAAATAATAGATTTTTTTTCACATCCCTAGTGAGTAGTAGCTAGATTAAACACTTCGCCACCGCGTTTTAACTTGTAACGTCATCATTTAAATCCTCTCATATAAAGTGCCCTCATCTTGAAAGATGGTGAATCAATCTGAAAGGCTTCAGGGCTTTAGTTGCGAATGCCGAAAAGTTGTAGGTATATATGCAAAGTTGGAATTACTTTGATAGCGCGTTTTAACGTGTGACGTCATCATTTAAATCCTCTCATATAAAGTGCCCTCATCTTGAAAGATGGTGAATCAATCTGAAAGGCTTCAGGGCTTTAGTTGCGAATGCCGAAAAGTTGTAGGTTATATGCAAAGTTGGAATTACTTTGATAGCGCGTTTTAACGTGTGACGTCATCATTTAAATCCTCTCATATAAATCCCTCATCTTGAAAGATGGTGAATCAATCTGAAAGGCTTCAGGGCTTTAGTTGCGAATGCCGAAAAGTTGTAGGTTTATGCAAAGTTGGAATTACTTTGATAGCGCGTTTTAACGTGTGACGTCATCATTTAAATCCTCTCATATAAAGTGCCCTCATCTTGAAAGATGGTGAATCAATCTGAAAGGCTTCAGGGCTTTAGTTGCGAATGCCGAAAAGTTGAGGTTATGCAAAGTTGGAATTACTTTGATAGCGCGTTTTAACGTTACGTCATCTTTAAATCCTCTCATATAAAGTGCCCTCATCTTGAAAATGGTGAATCAATCTGAAAGGCTTCAGGGCTTTAGTTGCGAATGCCGAAAAGTTGTAGGTATATATGCAAAGTTGGAATTACTTTGATAGCGCGTTTTAACGTGTGACTCATCATTTAAATCCTCTCATATAAAGTGCCCTCATCTTGAAAGATGGTGAATCAATCTGAAAGGCTTCAGGGCTTAGTTGCGAATGCCGAAAAGTTGTAGGTATATATGCAAAGTTGGAATTACTTTGATAGCGCGTTTTAACGTGTGACGTCATCATTTAAATCCTCTCATATAAAGTGCCCCTCATCTTGAAAGATGGTGAATCAATCTGAAAGGCTTCAGGGCTTTAGTTGCGAATGCCGAAAAGTTGTAGGTATATATGCAAAGTTGGAATTACTTTGATAGCGCGTTTTAACGTGTACGTCATCATTTAAATCCTCTCATATAAAGTGCCCTCATCTTGAAAGATGGTGATCAATCTGAAAGGCTTCAGGGCTTTAGTTGCGAATGCCGAAAAGTTGTAGGTATTATGCAAAGTTGGAATTACTTTGATAGCGCGTTTTAACTGTGAGTCATCATTAAATCCTCTCATATAAAGTGCCCTATCTTGAAAATGGTGAATCAATCTGAAAGGCTTCAGGGCTTAGTTGCGAATGCCGAAAAGTTGTAGGTTATATGCAAAGTTGGAATTACTTTGATAGCGCGTTTTAACGTGTGACGTCATCATTTAAATCCTCTCATATAAAGTGCCCTCATCTTGAAAGATGGTGAATCAATCTGAAAGGCTTCAGGGCTTTAGTTGCGAATGCCGAAAAGTTGTAGGTATTATGCAAAGTTGGAATTACTTTGATAGCGCGTTTTAACGTGTGACGTCATCATTTAAATCCTCTCATATAAAGTGCCCTCATCTTGAAAGATGGTGAATCAATCTGAAAGGCTTCAGGGCTTTAGTTGCGAATGCCGAAAAGTTGTAGGTATATATGCAAAGTTGGAATTACTTTGATAGCGCGTTTTAACGTGTGACGTCATCATTTAAATCCTCTCATATAAAGTGCCCTCATCTTGAAAGATGGTGAATCAATCTGAAAGGCTTCAGGGCTTTAGTTGCGAATGCCGAAAAGTTGTAGGTATATATGCAAAGTTGGAATTACTTTGATAGCGCGTTTTAACGTGTGACGTCATCATTTAAATCCTCTCATATAAAGTGCCCTCATCTTGAAAGATGGTGAATCAATCTGAAACTTCAGGGCTTTGGTTGCGAATGCCGAAAAGTTGTAGGTATATATGCAAAGTTGGCAAATTACTTTGATAGCGCGTTTTAACGTGTGACGTCATCATTTAAATCCTCTCATATAAAGTGCCCTCATCTTGAAAGATGGTGAATCAATCTGAAAGGCTTCAGGGCTTTAGGCCGGTTGCGAATGCCGAAAAGTTGTAGGTATATATGCAAAGTTGGAATTACTTTGATAGCGCGTTTTAACGTGTGACGTCATCATTTAAATCCTCTCATTCCTAAAGTGCCCTCATCTTGAAAGATGGTGAATCAATCTGAAAGGCTTCAGGGCTTTAGTTGCGGGCGAATGCCGAAAAGTTGTAGGTAAATATGCAAAGTTGGAATTACTTTGATAGCGCGTTTTAACGTGTGACGTCATCGCAGTTTGTAGATGTCGCTACGCTAACTTAAACAAAGAAATAACTGCTAATTAATAAATTAATATAAACTACTCTTTTCAGATCTTACTGTATCGGACTGAGAAATGCGGCGAACGAAATGAAGTTGGCAGCGTGTTACGTCGAAATGACTAAAAATAGGGTCAAAACGCTATTATCTGAAATTATTGATGGGGAGTACCTCAATTTAGACCATTTCAGAGTGCAATTTGGTCGGAAATATCTGGATACGAACGAAAGTTTGACTGAGAAGCCTACTGCTAGGGTGTTTTGGTAGAAAAATTAATAAAATTTTAAAATTTATTAAAGCGCCATCTATCGAGATCAAATGAAATCTTTCGCTAATATTTCCAGGTTCAAAGGTTAGGATATCAAATTTGTGTTTCAAGACCTGTGAAACCATTTCTGTACGCATTTTAACATTTGACAGCGCTCAAGACTGGATTGTGAGATATAAATATAAACAGGCTAAGCTAAAAACGTTTCAACGCCATCTCTGCGAAATATTGCGAAATTTAATCATTCAGATATTGGTAATAATTAATAAATAGCTTACTTTAATAGTTTTTCAAAACTATAAATACAGTAAACCCTCATATAACACGGTAAATCAGTTCCGCGTTGTAGTAGTATTATCGCGCTTGTATGACCCCATATTACACCCCTGTTTGGGGGGGGGGCGCCCCCCCCTGAAACCGCTTATAGATAAACGCGATAGGTTTACGCTTTTAGTAAGGAAGTTTACTGTAGTATTGTCTATAGTATAAATCAGATATCTTGTTAAATATACGAAAAAAGTACAATTTTGTTGAAACACCATTGCAACGCCATCTAGCGAACTAAATTGTAAACTAAATCCATATACATTAATAATAAGAAACATTGTACAATGTCATATTTAGGATCTTAACTTCAGCGCCATCTATTGGATATTTAAATCACCCAAAACCTAGTTCATGTTTACTAAAAACATGTTTTGATCGGAAAGTGAAAAAGTTGTTAGAAGTAAAAAGTATTTTAGTTATTTGTTAATAAAAATTATAATTATAAAATGCTTTGTTTTATTTAATAATATTTTTATATATACTAGCTGACCCGGCAAACGTTGTTTTGCCATTATTATTTCTAGGAAACCTTTTTTTAGTTCAATAAAATTAACTACAGTAGAATCCGGATATAACGACCTTCAAGGGACCGGCGATACTATGTCGTACTAACCGGATGACGTACAAAACGGATTATTTCTTAAGTACATACAGAATACATATGAATGTATGTACTTAAGAAATATTCCATGTACTTAACTTACGAATACATATTTATTATAATTGGGAAAGTTTGATTTTCTTATTTAGGTAAATAAAACATTTTGTAGGAATCACATAAAGCTTCATTTTAATGGTTCTTAAACATTCCAAATTACAAAAATAGTTATGTACATTATGTACTGGTTAATTTATAAAACAGCCCGGTCTCATCTGCATTAAAAATTTCATCATCTCTAAATTGCGCACGCAGAATAGGCCAAACCTTTTCTAACCAATCGACTACATCACCTTGTTGAACTGATAAAGACTCGCCAGCAATCTTACCACTGACGATGTTGTGTCTTACTTTAAAACGGTTTATCCAACTCATCGAACATGTGAAATTTTGCATGTCTAACTGTCTAGCAAAAAAGTTTGCTTTCTCTTGTAGCAGAGGCCCATTAACGGGTATTCCCCGGTCGCGCTGAAGCTTAAACCACTGTAACAATGCCTTATCCACCTGCTCATGAGTAGAAGTCCTTACACGTTTGCATTTCAAAACATTAGCACTAAACAGCGGCTCGATCTTATATTTATTCTTCTTTATTGTAGAAATTGTAGAATAAGATACGCCAAACTCCTTTGCGATGGTTGCATTTGATTCACCGGCTTCTAATCGGAATAATATTGCACTTTTTTCTTCAATTGTAAAACACTTTCGCTTCACAGAACTCATTTTGTCGAGCTTTAAGAACTTGTCATAACAAGTGACAAACACTAACTATGATTTACGCACGCCACTAAGGATGCACGCGGGGCGGGGTAAAGTTGGGGCGCCGAGGTATTGGTGCGTAGGTTGTGTAAACAAAACATTGCGCGTCGTTTTAGCCGGACGTATTATCATAAATAATGGTCGCTATAAGCAGTTGGTCGCTTAAACCGGAGTCGCACTAAACGGTTACATTTTCTCAGTACCTAAGTATGAAACCTAACTTGAGTAAACATTATCGTCGTTAAAAGCGGTTAGTCGTTATAAGCGAAGTCGTTATATGTGGAATCTACTGTATTTACTATAACAAAAAAGGGGTTGAACGTAGAGGGGTGAAAATTAGGGGTGGTATGTAGCTTTGTATGCTGTATCATAAAAAAAAATAAACAATTTTGTATAAAAATAAAAAATAAATATTTGGAGTTGACACCCCTTATTACTTAGGGGTTTGAAATACAGATAGTTTAGAATTTTATGAGTTTTTTAAGGCGTACACAAACCAACATAATATATATATATATAGATTACCTCTAATCACATTTCTCAGTAATATATGCTAGTCAGCGAATTGACTGCTCCATACATTCTCATAGCCTAGCGGTTTTATTAAGCAGCTAGATGAGGGGTACCGGGTTCGATCCCGGTTTGAGGGCAAGTTTTAATTTAATTTAAATTTGTTCTCGGCCTTTGGGAGGGTTGTACCGGGCGAGTGCTTAAACCGTCCATGGAGGACACGGTCGAATTTCTACAGACAAGCACGAATTATAAAAAAATCCTATACTTGACGCTGGCTAATGCACAAATCGTGCCAGAGCCATAAAAAAAAAACGTCAACTGTAAAAATTGGCGGGAACTTTTCAAAATGGTGGGAATGTTTATATTTATTTTGATCGTATTATTAAATATACAGTATTTACAATATTCTTAACCTACATAATAATAATTAAAACAAATTTAAAAAGTTTGGTCCCTCTGGCATTGTACTTTTAACGCAGGCAGCAATTCCACACTGTATTGCGATACTTATTCGTTAAGGAAAGCACCAGCTCTGGGGTCACCGGTACTACCAGGCGCCAACTTAAATCTTTAATTAGCTGTGCACTTGAACTCCACGGCCCAAGAGTCTCTACTCCAAAGGGAACAAAATCGAAGTTGGAGACTTATATTTTAGCCGTTTATTACTTTCATTCGAGGGAGGTGAGACTAGGCTATGTCCAAACAAGTGCAGATACCGGCAAACTTCTTGAGCACTAAACAAGGGAGTGGGGGAGAGTTTGTGCATCGTACACACAAACCAATCACGCGATCGACACGTTACTCTCCCCATACCTAAAAATTGCTTCTGCGCAGGCAAGGACATTTGTTCAAGATGTTTGCCGGATCTGTATATACCAAAGCCCGTCCCATCCTTCATTTTACCTTTTTCATTTAAGTGTTAGATGTTATTTGACTGGTGACGAATTGAAGAGTGAATAAATAAACATTATACACCTTTTCTACGACGCAGTAGCGTAAATAAAACATAGAGCTATGAATGAATGTGTATAATAAACATATATATAGACAATGTATTCTTTGTTGATTATAAAAAGGATATTGAGCGTTGTTATACTTTCTAGTTGACATTTATCACTCTCCGACATTTACGAAAACATTTCCCGAGAATGTTATTGTAAGTATTACGTTAATTTTAACATATTTAAAGTACGTGCGTACAAAGTACACATGTCAGAAGTGAAACTTCTTTGTAAATTAATTATTGAGTAAGCTGCCCAAATCCCATAATTTAATTTTGCCAGTCTTTCTATATTAATGAATGATGCTAATTAAATTAAATTAGTTGTTGTTATGTATATAGAAATACCACTATTAATATTGTAATTACCAAATAATGTAACAAATTCATTATCATAATTGCTAACTTTTACCATTTTCTAAAATAGCCAACTGGATCAAAAGGTCTTGGTCCTGTGCCCTTATTAAAAAACCAACAAAAAAATGGTAACTTAGTAAATTAATAAAATAATAATTATATTGATAATATGTATTAAAAACACCATCGGTTATGAATAATTGCACCACAATATTGTAGTAGCACATCTTTGTTAAAGAAAGAAAATCGACAAAAACGCTGCACATCTTCGTGACGTTCCGTAACAATTTTACCCTCATGCGCCTAAAAAAGTTTCACTTCAAAAAATATAGCCAATGTTACCTTCTATCCCTTCCCCAACATTACTTGTCTTGGGGTTAAAATATAATAATACGTGGCGCTACAACCTCTTTAGGTCTTGGTCTCAGATTTTTGAATCTGTTTCATAATCACTTTTAAATCTAATAGGCAAGTAGGTGATCACCCTCCAGTGCCTGGCACACGCCGTCGACTTTTAGGTCTAAAGAATGTCGGTTTCCTCACGATGTTTTCCTTCACCGTTCGATCAAATGTTAAATGTGCACATGGAAAGAAAGTCCATTGGTGCACAGCCGGGGATCAAACCTACGACCTCAGGTATGGGAGTCGCTTGCTGAAGCCACTAGGCCAACACTGCTCTCTTGGGGATGGTGGGGTATAATAAATTAGAAACAAGACGTGACTTACAGTTGGCCTAACAGCAATCCAAATGTTTTTGAACGCGGTTTCTTTGTACCTAGGGGATATGTGCGAAGGCCAAAATATTTGCGATACCAAGGGCCAGAATCTGTTGCACAGATCCCAGTTACCTACTGAATGCTGTCATCGACTATCGACATATTTATATGTTCCCAGAGTTCACAGCGATATTGTGTACATTATGTATTTAACCTACTAATATTATAAACGCAATATAAAGTTTGTAAGGATGTTTGTTACTCTTTCACGTAAAAACTACTGAATGGATTTTAATGAAACTTTACAATAATATAGCTTATACATCAGAATAACACATAGGCTACAATTTATAAAGATATTGTGTTAATTGTCCAAAATATCAAGTAAAAAATCTACCATCTGCGAGCTATTCTGGCGTGCGCTCTCAAAACCGCTAGAGTTACACATATGTTATGTATGATGGACATGTTTATCTTAAATAGTTATACAAAAAAGCCCGTCATAGTATATATCTATGTCTTATGTGTAAGCCATTATAGCCAAAATAGTGTACCATAACTACAATATAAATTAATAATTTATTTCAAATGCACATTTGGTAGTAATAAATTGATTCCTAAATGAAAATACATACTTTTATCGCTTCTGGTATTTAAAGTAGGTATTTCACTCATATACATGTAGTATATGCTATATAGAATACTATACAATATTCATTTGGACAATTTATATTATTTTAATCCTGCGCAAGTTGCAGCTAGTATGATATATTTAATTTCGACGTTATCGTATTGGCTTAGTATTTTTTTAATAGTTACGCCCAAGAACGAAGTTCCACTCTACTCTTGTTGGTTTTATCGCTGCATATGAATGGCGGTGATGCATTCTGGGACGTTGGCACCAGCACACCATACCCCACACGTCTTGACAAATTGGGGCGCACCAGTTTCTTCCGATGGCAGAAAGCAGAGTCAACCTATATGTCGTTCTCGAAGCCAGTTCTGAACTGGAATGAAGAATATAATAGATTCAGGCTGAGGGTCGTAGCTGGGATTTCTATTGGTAATTAGAAGACTGCTATTTCTTCTTTTAATGTCCTATTGGTAATTAGAATACTGCTATTTCTTCTTTTAAAGTTCTATTGGTAATAAGAGGACTGCTATTTCTTCTTTTAAAGTTCTATTGGTAATTAGAAGACTGCTATTCTTCTTTTAAAGTTCTATTGGTAATTAGAAGACTGCTATTTCTTCTTTTAAAGTTCTATTGGTATTTAGAAGACTGCTATTTCTTCTTTTAAAGTTCTATTGGTAATTATAAGACTGCTATTTCTTCTTTTAAAGTTCTATTGGTAATTAGAAGACTGCTATTTCTTCTTTTAAAGTTCCATTAGTAATTAGAAGACGGCTATTTCTTCTTTTATGATTCCATTGGGAATTAGAAGACTGCTATTTCTTCTTTTAAAGTTCTATTAGTAATTAGAAGACTGCTATTTCTTCTTATAAAGTTCTATTGGTAGTGAGAAGACTGCTATTTCTTCTTTTTAAATTCTATTGTTAATTCTTTCTAACTTGGGAACGGTCTATGTTCAGACTGAATGCTATAACAGTCATACCACGTTGGACGTCCGATAGACCAGAGCATCAGGAACACGTACTGCTGGTGTACTTACGATTTCAATGGGCAGAAGGCTCCCCTGATGTTAAGTGATACAGCCACTCATGGACACTAAATCACTTTGATATTGCATCGCTAGCCTTAGAAGAATTGGTACGATCTTTTCTTGAAGGCCTGAATGAATGAAATTAATAGCTGGGTTGTGAAATCAATAGGACTGTTTTAAACACACAAAGAAAAATCAACAGAAAGGGAATGGAGTGTTCTGAATTCATGAATCAACTAAGACTTTACCTTCTGTCACATTCTAATTGGAACGAAGTTCCTTATCGCGCGTTGTGAAAAAGGCTAGACGGAAAAAATTCTTACGAAAAGTTGTCACGACACTTTTTTGCTATTTGCTATTGTAATACACCGGTTCTCGTCCGATCACCGAAGTTAAGCAACGTCGGGCGAGGTCAGTACTTGGATGGGTGACCGCCTGAGAACACCTCGTGATGTTGGCTTTTTTTTGTAGGGATAAGAAATGAAAATTATTTTTGGAATCACTTAACTAAATTAGTCTTGTTGGAACGAAGTTATCGAGCGTTGCGAAAGGGGGCTAGACGGAATAAATTAAAACGTAAGATTGTTGTCGAGAAAATCTATCATACTGTTATGATACCAATTAACATATAAATTAATCGAAAGGAATTTCGTTCCATCCGGGTGTCCCTTGACACCTCTAAAGTTTTATTTTTTTCTTCTTCCGTCAACCCTCGGGACTTTTATCAAGAGATCTTCTATCTACAAGTCCAAAACCACTCTTTCTCAGTACTTTTGTGAACTAGCGAACTGGGGAATCAGCGGGGTTCCCTGGATGACCTCCAATTGTTTAAAAAGGTCCCCTCCAGAAACGCACTCACAAAAATGGCTCTTCATGGACTGCAATGACTACCCTATGGGAGTGTTCAAGTATTATGAAACGAATTCAGGAGGAGGGGTGTTCCTATTGTATTAAAAAAACCAGTGGCGCTACAACCTCTTTAGGTCTTGGCCTCAGATTTCTGAATCTGTTTCATGATCTGGCAGGAGGTGGGCCTCCAGTGTTACACGCCGTCGACTTTTTGTGTCTAAGACATGTGTCGGTTTCCTCACGATGTTTTCCTTAACCGTTCGTGCAAATGTTAAATGTGCACATAGAAAGAAAGTCCATTGGTGCACAGCCGGGGATCGAACCTACGACCTCAGGTATGATGATACGCTGAAGCCACTAGGCCAACACTGCTCCTATTGTATTACCTCTAGTATATTGTACGATTTATTTCCGACTTTCCAGTACTTTACACCACTAGGTAATCACAGTTACGTGACTTGATACTTTAGGTCTAGACTTAAATTTAGGTCTCAAATGAAGCTCTTTTCAGACATGACCCCACTCTCAACTGCTGCAATACTGAACAATCGAATATTGGTTACGTCTGCCAACTTCCTGATGCCTCACATCCACAGGCAGACGGACCTTCGTATCTGGGCTTTAGGAAGATCGGGGCTGTACAACACGCCCTATCGTTACCGAGTCTGGCGGATCTGGCGTGTGTTCAGCCCCAGTGCGAACCCCGAACACCAGCACGGGCCGAAGGGAGAACACACCCCGCGACACGATTTGGCAATAATCTTCACCCGGGATCAGATGTTCGTGTTCTGGAAGCCGTCCAACACTGAGCAGTACGCGTACCAGGCCTGGCTGATTTATCCTCACTGGACGATAATTAACACAAAAACTGATGATGAAGATAAGCTTCTGTTTGCTGGGTCAGGGTATGAGTATATGGAACACGTTCGGGAGAACTACAAAATCTTCTTTTCGACACCCAAAGAAGAGGATATTGTTGACTGTTCAAAATATATACCCAAATTTTGGGGAAAGTTTATATGTATTAGGAATGTAATGCGGTATTCTGGGGTACAGAACGGTGGTCCTCTGTTGCTAGGGTCGCATATTCTTGGGGTAGGTTGCTTCGAGATTCGGGTGAATGAGGAAAGGATTCTTGTGTTCACTGATATGAGATACTATGTCCATATTATAAAACAAGTGGCGGAACTGAAGGCTCATCAGTATTATGAATACGCGTATCCCCAGTGGGGGATCTACTATGGATACTTTGGTACAATATACGGGAATTCTCCCAGAATTCCTTCGATCTACACTCCATGGTGGGTGAGGATAGATCACCTTGGCTAATACGTAGTGTATAAGATGTTGAATAAATTATTAAAAAAGGTTTTATTGTTGATTTAAACCCTCACCAACAACTAACAACTTCTAAACTGGAACTTATTAGATACATTACCCAATGTTTCGTCTGCTATAATAATGGAGAGCGGTAAAAATCCCTTGGAGAAAGGGACGGGTTTGGTATAAAATATAAAAATTAAATATGTTTATTATGGAACATAAGATACATGTATCACTTATTCCACGTCATTAAATTTGAATTTGTAGGCATCCCTACTCATCGGCAAAGAAGACAGAGGGTGTAGGCCGAGAGAAAAAACCGGTGTAAAAAAACTCTCGGTACTCTTTTAAAATAGCAAATCATCAAACAACACTTATTTTAAAATAAATTCCGCAAATTAATTAGAAGTATGGGATAATACGTGGGTGACACTGAAAATATTTAGAACTGGCCAGTTAGAAACATTGCTAATGAAAACTTTTTTGAATTTCAATTTTAGAACTCTTTGGTAACCTAATGTATATTGCATTTGTCATTTGTTTTTGTGATTTGGCGGCAAATCTCAAACTCTAGTTACACGTGAAAATTCGAGTTATTCGCTTTACGAGCCCTGAAGATGCGGTGAAAGCGTACGAAATTGCCATAGAAGACCGAAGGAAGAATGGCCCACTGCTTTTCTCAGTGGTTCCATCGAATGCGACGATGCGAAGAGAGGAACGGAGATTACTTCGAAAAACAATAAAGTATTGGCAACGTTCTACATTAAGCCGTTTTTCATTTTGTAAACATTTTCAGTGTTACCTAGGTAATAATAATTTATTTGCATGATTCATTCTTAAAGTACAATAATGTACAAGTACATAAATGTTATGGTAGTAAGTACATTAAGTCGATTTTAAATCTCTAGTAGGAAGATCTTTGAATTGGTAAATTATTATAAACTTTGATTATGTTCAAAGATACTTTATTTCTCAAAGAATTACATTCACTTAGCGAGAAAATTTAGAGTAAGTTAGTTATGTACATCGTGTTATGAAATTATTTGAAAATAAATTATATAAAATAAAAATATTAGTTTCTAACAATGTGTACCATATTTGTTACAAAAGTGCAGGTAGGTCGCATCGATGTTACAACAGGCATTATGTGACAATGAATAGTAATAATTTCTAAGACGCTCGTTCGCAGACATAAGTAAATGCTAGAATAGCCTTTTTGATGTTTTGTAAATACATTAATTAGTCCATTAATTCATATTAAACTTTTACGATTGTTACAGACACAGATATAGAATATGGTTGTTTTTATTTTTGTTATTTTATAGGCATGTTGTTAATTATATGTACTTTTAAAAGTTTTTTAAATTTGTAAAAAAGGTTTTATTACTTTTAATCTGGGTGGCAATGTATTAAATATTTGTGCGCCTTGATACATAATATTAAGTTTTAAACTTTGATTGCCATACAAAAGACGTTTTCCAATACAATTCCAGATTGATTTTTGGCACAGCCAATTTCTCCCCGTCTACTTCCGTCTACTTCTTGATTGATTGTCTACTTCGTGATTTTGTTCCCTTTGGAGTAGAGACTCTTGGGCAGTGGGTTTCAAGTGCACAGGCGCTAATTAAAGATTTAAGTTGGCGCCTGACAGATGGTACCACTGACGCTAAAGCTGGAGTTTCCCTTAACGAATAAGTCTCGCAATACAGCCAGGAAATGCTGCCAGTTAAAAGGTCACTGCCACAGGGACCAAATTTAAATTTGTTTTAATTTTCTTTTTATCCATATTTAATTATTTTATCATTAAAATAGGCAATATTGCATGGTGTATAGTTAAAAGATCACCGAAGTCACCCGCATGCCCCTTCAGGAAAGATAAATGTGGGAAGACCACAAAAACATGGAAGCTAAGAATAGATTCCAATGGAAAGTTCAGCTTTTACCCAAACGAAGGGAAAAAGCAATAACAGACGTAGATTAAGTGTATATAATAACAAAACCTTTTAATTTGTATTTTATATAGGAAAAAAATAAGACGAAGAACAAAATTGATGGATTCCTTACATTATTCCCTAAAACAGAAGTGACATATAGCAATATGCACAGATAATGGTCGCCCAAAAAAGAGGTAGTTAGAAGAAATAGAAGCGATAGCAGGAAACGAATGGAGAAAGAGAGCGATACCCGTGAAGGGGTTCCGATCGACGGTACTGAAGGAAGTTAGGATACCGGATAACAAGCAAAAGAAAAAAAAAGGGGGGGGGAGACATAACCCCCCAAAAAAAAAAAACCCCCAAAAAAAAAAAAAAAAAAAAAAAAAAAAAAAAAAAAAAAAAACCCCCACCCCCAAAAAAAAAAAAAAAAAAAAAAAAAAAAACAAAAAAACACAAAAAACAAAAAAAAAAAAAACAAAAAAAAAAAAAAAAAAAAAAAAAAAAAAAAAAAAAAAAAAACAAAACCCCAAACAAAAAAAACAAAAAAAAAAACTCCTCCCCCCCTTAAACCTGGCCCCAAAAAAAAAGGAAAAAAAAAAAAAAAAAAAAAAAAAAAATTTTTTTTTCTTTTAATAAAAAAAAAAAAAAAATTATTTAAAAAAAAAAAAAAAAAAAAAATTAAAAAATCTCTTCCCCCAAACAAAAAAAAAAAAAAGTGGGGTTGTGGGGAAAATTAAAAAAAAAAAAAAAAAAAAAAAAAAAAAAAAAAAAAAAAAAATATTTGGGGGGAAAAAAAAATGTAAATAATCTAAGCTGTGTATTATAATTTGTTTTTGTCATGTTTGGAAATAAAACGGGCTTTATTATTATTATAATTTATTAATTTATATGCAACCTTACCGCTAACACATATCCAAATTATATAAGAAATAAATATAATGAAAAAGCGTGGGTTGCTCGATAGACGAAAAATATGGCACAGAGCGCCCCACGCTTTTACACAATAATACCAGTATTTTTTGTTCATTACCATTTTCAGCCTAAATTAGAAATTATTTTTCACTTTTTAGTTTGATGTGCTTTAAAAGCGTGTTTTTAGTTTTTTTAAACTATATTTATTTTCCACTTTTTAGTCCTAGCAGCAATACGTGTTGTCTCAATTTAACCGTATTGCTTTGTGGACTTAAAAAAAATTCATTGTTTTTTCGAGATAAACCTATGAAATTATTATATTGTCCCTGATAAGTGTACAAAGTTTGAATTAAATCTGTCCGTTTAAAGTGGGTCAAAATCGAGTCCGAAGGAGTCGGTTACATACATACATACATACAGGTGAAGCTAATATAAAGCGTGTAAAAACTTAGACAATATACAAAGCCAAAACAGATAGATAAACAAAATATAGGTATATAGGACATACATACGAAACAGAAGACATAATAAATTAATCAGTGTACAACCTTGTTAGGTCTGGGCCTCAGATGTCTGAATCTATTTCATGATCATTTGTCTTATAGGCAAGTAGGTGATCAGCCTCATGTGCCTGTCACACGCGACTTGGGTCTAAGGGAAGCCGGTTTCCTCGCAATGTTTTCCTTCGTACGAGCGAATGTTAAATGCGCACATAGAAAGTCCATTGGTGCACAGCCGGGGACCGAACCTACGACCTCAGTGATGAGAGTGGCAAACTCAAACTCAAAATATAAGTACACTTATGAACGTCTGCAAAAAAGTTAAATTAATTGTAAATTTACATTTACTACCAGTTCGCAAGTCAAGGGCGTAGAGCGGGTAAGAAGAACTCGCAAGAAACTTTCCGACACTCTTTTTAATCGCTATGTTTTGAGTCATACAAATTGTTTGAACTGGAGCAAATCAATAATTTAAATTAACGTCATATTTATTAAAAGCTTTATTTATTAATTCAAGCTGAAGCCGCTAGGCCAACACAGCCCTGCGATTCTGAAAAGGTGGGAGCTTGTAGTTTATTGTTTATTTGAATGCCAAATCATAAAATGACTGCTTCACGACTGATTTGAGAGCGACCGCCGATGCGAAAACCGGTTGTGAGTTCGAAAAGTGAGTTACATAATCGCAGGGCTGCTCTCTCTCATGTACATTAATAGATATAAAAAAACTTAATATTTTAAAGAAAAAACTAAATTGTAAAGTCAGTATTCCCGCTTCGTCAAATATTTCATTACACCCTCTTTGGTGCAACATATAAAAATATATGTCTTCATCAATTGTGTGATAGCTAAAACCCGAAAAATTTTATCTACATCTTCTACTAATTATATGATATCTTTATTTAAAAAAACATGTGTGTACTTATGTAGGTACACGCGTTAGAAGTTATACTCGAATCTACAGAGACCTTACGGATTTTGGCATTACTCTGAGGTTCCAAATACTAACACAGATACATGGCACGCTTATAAAAACTAAAAAAAACTAAATTTAGTTGATTCTACGGTATTTCTGGGCATTACAATAGACCAAAAACTTCAATGGAGTCAGCATATCACTAAACTTTCTGACAAGCTTAGTTCTGCGGCATACGCTATTAGGAAAATTAGGCAACTCACAGACGAGGAAACTGCCAGAATAGTATATTTTAGTTACTTTCACAGCGTTATGTCGTATGGAATTCTTTTATGGGGCAAAGCAGCAGATGTACAATCTATTTTTATCTTGCAAAAACGTGCTATTAGGTCAATTTATTGCTTGAAACCAGGCACTTCACTTAGAAATTTGTTCAAGAAAATCGATATTTTGACGGTACCTTCCCAATATATTTACAACTGTATCGTTTTTGTGCGTAGAAATATTAATTCTCTTTTAAAGAACAGCGACATTCACAATAGGAATACAAGAAATAAGGGAAAACTTTTCCAGCCGTCTTACAGGTTGCAGAAAATAAATACTTCATTTATGGGCCTAAGTATACGCTGCTATAACATGATTCCTAGTGAAATATTGGAACTGCCTTTAAACAGATTCAAAACACATATCAAAAAAACCTTAATGTGTAAAGGTTACTACACAGTCAATGACTACCTGGAAGATAAAAACGCTTGGCAATAGTTCTAATTATATTCTTATAATTTGATTTGTGTGTAATGGTGAATGTGGTAAATCACAGAACAGATTTTTATTTTTTTTGTACTTATGTAACTTTAATGACATTGTGGTTTATGACATTTTCCTTTGAATAATTGTAATGTAAAGGGAGGGCAAACTTGCTGAGTTTCTTGCCCGTTCTTCTCAGAACAAGGCCTCCTGGTAGTTTTGCGAACGGATGGCGTAGTCTTGCTCTTTCGTGAATTTTGTAAACGTTGTTGACATTCATAAGCATGCTCTAAGAAGCATCTAAATTGAATAAACGTATTTTGATTTTGATAACAACTATCATATACATACACACCCATCCAAATACCCACTCATTCGCGCTCAATGTCTTGAGACTTGTAACACTAAAACTGAATCAGCTGCCCACTGAAGTATTTCCGAACTCATTCGACTTAGGGTCCTTCAAGAGCGTACCATTTCCTAAAAGGCCGACAGCGCGCTTGCGAGCCGACTGGCAGTGTGAGTATCACTTAACATCAGGTGAGCCTCTACCCGTATGCCTCCTGTAACATAAAAAAAAAGGGTCCGTGTACTTATGTACGCGCGTAAGAAGTTATACTTCTTTGGCAATATTAAAAATAGTTTGGCTTTGTTCCACCTCCAGTTTTTGATGTTTCACAGCGATAAGATGACAACTCTTTTTTTGTATTCAATTTAGTGCACTTACACTGATTCACTTACACTCTTGTCCTTATATTTGCTAGATAAAATCAGAAAAATGACATGTTTTGATTAAACAATGTGGTTAATTTTTTAATCAAAACATTACTCGATAATAATAATAATACATACGGATAGTTAACCTCAATTGTATTGAAGCACTTAGGAAGGTTGATGAGCACAGTTTTTTCACAAATATTAATTAGTATTGGTTTAAATATTCAATTTAAATCACTTCTGATTATAATTCAAAAAGCATCGCTAAATTTCTTTGAAAAAATAATTAAAACTCCTTTATTTGATTAAAAGGTAAATGACAAATGTCATTATGGTCATTCAAAATTGTTGGCATACGAACTTCACGCATATTCTATTTCTTTTTACTTGTAGATTGTCTTATTCCTATCTCGCTCGCGCACGCTATAATCACACTCCTAATTTTGTGTCACGGGTCGCGCGCATTGTAAAATTTCACTCTCATAAATTTTTCATAACGCGCCTAAAGAAGTATAACTTCAAAAAGTGCGAGCGTACAAAGTACAGCCTTGCTATTCTGTAACTCACTTTTCAAACTCTCACAGCGGTTTTCGCAGCGGCGTTCGCGCTCAAATCAGTCGTAAAGCAGTCATTTTACAATTTGGCATTCTGATAAACAATAAACTACAAGCTCCTTATGCGAAAACCGCTGTGAAAGTTCGAAAAGTGAGTTACAGAATCGCAAGGCAGAAGTCAAACTTCTTTGGCAAACTAATTTTTAAGTCTTGTTCATATTTATACAAGTCTAAAACTTTAGATTTCCGAGACTTAGAGGGAGGGAAAAAAAAGGAAGATATGTTAGGAATTTAATAAATTTAATTGTCACTAAAACATGAAGTGTCAAAATTAACACAAATTATAAATTTAATACTTTAAATTTATTTCTTCGATAAAAAAAAACACGTGGCATTTAATATAAAATTCGTCATTTGAGATTTCAATTTATTTTGCATCAAATATATTATAGTATTTCATAAATTAAAAATCGAATTTCTTAAAATAAATAAATAGCTTCTCACCCTCTCTCAATCGGTCTCAATCGCTCTCTCCCTTTTATTCGACAAAAACGCTGCACATCTTCGTGACGCATCCGTACAAAATTTTAATGAAGTGTCACTTCAAAAATAAGTGAATACTCTAGTGTAGGTGACTAGCGATAGATGTCACAACCTATTTGTCATGAATGAAGTTTTTATTATTATTAACTAACGCGGAAGAGTAAGGAATGTTTTGTTTAATAAACATAAGTTTAAACAATATTATTGACGGTTCATATAAAAAGAAATACTTCAGTTAGTTACCATTTAGTTGTTGGAAAGATAGTGAATATGTTTTTGTAAGTATGTTGTTACTTATTAATACTTCACGAAATATGTATTATCATTTATTATTTGTAGCTTAACACACTGGCAGCTTTTAATAAGCTGATGCGCGTGTATTTTGTGATTTGGAGAAACTATCCAATCTATTTTTAAAGGTGTTTAAAGATGGTGCACTGACTACACTTTTCGGAAGCCTATTCCAGTCGGCCACTACTCGGTTTGGGAGAAAGTTCTTTAGGAAATTTGTGTTGTGTTGAGTGGTCTTAAGTTTTGAAGAACTACCCCTCAAATGTGTATTTTCACTTAAAATAAAGAGCTTCTCAATTCCTGGAACATTATAGTGGCCAGTGAGGATTTTATAGGTTTCAATGAGATTTCCTCGTAATCTCCTACTTCCTAAATCAGTAAGGTCAAGTGCTTTCAGACGCTCATTATAAGATTTCTTCCTGAATGACCTGATCATTTTCGTGGCTTTTCTTTGAACCCTTTCAAGCATAGAAATAAGGATCCCAAATGCTGTATGCATACTCTAATAGTGGTCTAATGTAACATTTATATATCTTTAAGTTCAGGTATTGTATAGGCAAATCTTTGTTTTTAATTTATTTTGTTATTATTTTATTAGAGCTAATAATAATAAGTAATAAATAAATGTATAGCGGTGTTGAAAGGATAAAACTTTCGGTTTTTTCGAAGTTCAACTTCAAGGTGATTTAAGATATAAGCGCCTAAATGAATCGCAGGTACTTCACCGGGCTATAGCCGCTATGTGCTACGGAGGTAGATTAGTAGGTAATATTAGTAGTAATATATTTTTTATATTTGTGTTGTGTCTGTTCTAGTAAATCCCATATCACACAGACATATCACTATAAAAAAGTAACTTGTTATGTATTGACAATTTGCCTTATCTACTATCTATTAGCCGGTACTTTTGTTTGTATCTTATATCTAATTAATCTCTTTTCTTTTTCACGTGTTCTTTCCAACGAATTGTATAGGCAATAAATATGTTATGTACAGTATGGTTCGATTAGTATAATGGACATGAACAGATGAATAGTTCAGATTTATTCGCTGATTAATTGTCCAATAAAAAAAAAGGGTGCGTGTACTTATGTACGCCCGTAAGAAGTTATATAGGTGTGTTATTTAAAGCTGGCGGCTTCAACACATTTACACTTTGTGCTTGTGTAGTGTCTGTGAATAAGCGCGAGGCGTGATGTCACACTGAATATGCATCATGAAAAGATTGTCCGTCTCTCTCGCGCTCGGTCAAGCTTATGAGTATAAAAGAGACAGTTATTGTTTTGCTTTTGCCACTGTTTATGTTGATCTTTACTATACATGTTGATCTTTTTTCAAACATTACCAGGGACATCTCGTGAAATGGTGCACAATGTTTTTAATTATTTTAAGCATCTTAATAAAAACAGTTTAATGAAAAAATTTATATTTCATTTGACATCAGATGCTGAAAGCTGATTTCATTTTTTTTTATTTGTTGAAAGCTGGGTTCACCACCATACTCATGAATCAAAGCAACAGTCCAAACAATGGAAAATATCTGGATCACCTACTCCGTAAACGGCTAACGTCGTTTTGTCGACCAACAAAGTCATGGCTAGATGGAGCGTATGTCGAAAAAATGAAAAATTATTTACACAAACTACTCTTTTACGTTCTTGGTCAGGCTTAGAACTTTTGGATCCACCCTCGTATGCACCTAATATTTATATGTATTTGACACATTTTTATTTATTTACAACCCACCCAACCTTACTAAAACCAGAGTGGACTAAAATATATAGCTTGGCAAAAAAATCATATTTTGAAACATACTGTATGTGAAATTGCATTAGTGTGAGTACTGTGAACCCGCCAGCTTTCGATAACCGACCTATACTTCTTTGGCATTATTAAAAATAGTTTTTGATTGCATGCAAATAATTAATTACAATTAAATAATCAAAGACTAGAAAAGGAGTCATTATAGTCAATAAAGTTCAGTTTACATTTGAAAAATTTAATAAATAAATATTTATTATTATTCTCTTACATTAAGTGTAACATAAATTCTATTATTATTCGAATGTTGTTTTTAAATTATGTCCAATGCCGTAGCATCTTCCGTGGGCAACTTCATTCTGTTAATTTTGTGACACGGTGCGCGCGCATCGTAAAATTTCACTCTCATCAATTTTTCATAACGCGCCTAAAGCAGTATAACTTCAAAAACAGTGGCGCTACAATCTTTTTAGTTCTGGGCCTTAGATTTCTGTATCTGTTTCATGATCTGTCAATCTGGGGAGTAGGGGCCTGACACGTCATGTCGAATTGGTTTGACTCCATTTCATTTGGCTCAACTGAAACTAGCAGTAGGCATCAACTGGAGAAGTCGAGAAGAGATATACTGGAGTGAAAATTTAACTACATATGTATAAGATCACAGAGTTTCGGAATTTAAAGGCTATTAAAGGCTTTATCTTAATATATTTAAATTACGTGTCACGTTGTTTGTCCGCTATGGACTCCTAAACTACCGAACCGATATCAATGAAATTTGCACACCGTGTGTAGTTTGATCCAACTTAAAAGATAGTATAGCTAACATCTCAATTTATACCCGCAATGAAATTTTTTTCCAAATTATTTGTTTATTATTTGACAGAATTCTAACAGATAGCGCTGTGTTGAAAGTACCAACGTTTCACATAAGATACAATTTAATGGCATAACCACCAATAAAGCATGGTGGTCCCCATGACCGGTGTTCTCCTACCGTTTCCCTTGAATAGTTTACTACTATGTAATATAACAAAAACCTTAGCCACAGCAACGCTTGGCCGAGTCTGCTAGTTATTATATTATATATTTTGGTGATCGACAATATCATTCTTTATTTTTAGATTAATTCTCTCTGTAAGTGTGTCTATGAGTGAAGCATTCTGGGACGTTGGTACCAGCACACCGTTCCCTAATCGCCTTGACAAAGTGGGGCGCACCAGCTTTTTCCGATGGCAGAAAGCAGAGTCAACCTCTGGGGCGTTCTCGAAAGGGACTATAGACTGGAATGATGAATATAACAGATTTCGTTTGAGTGTCGTCGCTGGAATATCTATAGGTATTTATTTTATATATTTTAAGCTATCGCATACATGTTATCGCGGGCTTTGAGCGCGGCCACCGAATCAAGAAATTCCGTAACGAAAAAAACCTAACATACGATGTCGTAATATAGGTGCGGCAAATACGCGTTAGAGTGGGACAGAACGCATACTGCGCATTCCCATCTCTCTGACGAGATTGGTGACGTAGCGTGAGCGGGGCCGGTGCAGCCGGTACGCGTTAGAGTGAGACAGACTATATAGGCTGTTTAGTCTGAGTCTGGTAGTAGTAGATTGAAATAATATGAAAGAAAAAACTTGAATTAATATCAAAAAAAACAAATACTGCATAAATAAATAATTATAATTGCATAAGTTGATAAGAAATGCTATGCAATAGCTTTACCGCGGCAGTCCCCGAGTGCCACACGTTTTTTTTATATAAGTGAGCAGTGTTGGCCTAGTGGCTTCAGCGTGCGACTCTCATACCTGAGGTCGTAGGTTCGATCGCCGGCGGTGCACCAATGGACTTTCTTTCTATGTGCGCATTTAACATTTGCTCGAACGGTGAAGGAAAACATCGTGAGGAAACCGACATGTCTTAGACCCAAAAAGTTGATGGCGTGTGTCAGGCACTGGAGGCTGATCTTGCCTATTAGATTTAAAAATGATCATGAAACAGATTCAGAAAAGTTGTAGTGCCACTTATTCTTAACTCACCTTATTAAATAGCTATAATATATAGCTAGCTTAAATTAAATATCGTCACTGTAGAATCATAACCTCGTATGTCAAAAAATCATTTATTTTTTATTCTTAGGGTGCGTACAGACTATGTAACATATTATATAACTTGTGTTTTATAACACGTCCACATTATTTAACCTTGTTATTCAACATTATAACATAAAACAATACTGTACACATTAGAATAAACAATGTTATATAACCATTTTAAATAACAAAAGAAAAACAAAAAAAACGTAGATGCTGGGTTCGTCCTAGCATACATATCAATAACATGTTATTATAACTTGTTTTATAACATTCAGTGTCCACATTATATGAAACATGTTGTATAGCAATGTTGTATAACATGTTATGTTATAGAGTCTGTACGCACCTTTAGACTCTTATGTCATTTAACTGGTATAATCATGGTATGTTTATGTTATTAATACATAAGTCCTTTTTACCATCCAAAACTTTGGATAAAAAAACTAAATAATATTTTAATTCAGGATTTCACTAACATTAATACAACTTTTTTTTGTTTATTGCCATTGCGAAAGAAGAAGTTATATGCGTAATTCTGTCAACAGATGGCACCACATGCTGTTTACATTCGTAAAATTAATTAATGGTTATTCGATAACATATCCGATATTTTATGACTTATTCTGCTATTCGGAGCGGAGAAGAATCCACCAAAAAAGAGATAACTAACATCGGTCCAGCCGATCTTGATTTTAGTGGTGTATCTAACACGACTTTGTTACATACAGGATGGCCAAAAAGTCGTGGATCAAACGCAAATAGGGAATAGATGGGGTCATCAGCTGTAAAAAATTGTTCTACGGGAGGTCTCTAAGCTCAACCCCTTCAGAGTTATAATTTATTTTGCGTTTTTATAAGAAAATTGACTTTCTTTATTAATTCTTATTAAAATTCGAAAAATTTACATCCTGTATCTTTTTCATAATATCCAAAAGATTGGTACTGATGAGTTCTTGCGTTAGACATACTATTTATAGATGTTTATTGATTGTATTGAAGATAATATTAAGTTATACGATATAATTTTATTCAAAACTTTTTGTTAACTTCGGACCCAACAACAAAAAAAATTACTCTACCGAAAAGTGATCCTGTATAACGAGGGACTTTTTGGCCATCCTGTATATATTTAGATGACAGCCGAACATCACGGCAATGTGTAGGAAATGTAACACATCATAGTTCTTATACACATGTCTTTCCATTTCAGACGCAATTCCTCTGTCCACAGCTGCGATATTAAACCAGCGAATTTTGCTAACATCCGCCAACTACCTCGTCCCCTACCTCCACAGACAGACGGACCTTCGGATCTGGGCTTTGGGCAGAGCTGGCTATTACAACACACCATACCGTTACCGCGTCTGGCGGGTCTGGCGTATCTTCGCGCCCAGCATGAATCCCGAACACCAGCACGGTCCCAAAGGAGAGCACAGTCCCAGGCACGACCTCGCTGTCATATTCAGCCGGGATCGTATGTTCGTCTACTGGAAACCGTCGCAATCTTATCAGTATCCTTATCAAACGTTTCTAATCCAGCCACATTTGACCATCATCAAAACGGTAACAGCCGAAGAGGACAAACTCCTCTATGCTGGCTCGGGGTATGAATATATGGAGCACGTCAGAGAAAATTACAAAATCTACTTCGCACTGCCAAAGGAGGAGCACATTGTCGACTGTTCGAAATACCTTCCGAAATTCTGGGGGAAGTTTATATGCTTCAAGAATGTTTTGAGATTTTCTGGGATCCAAAACGGTGGTCCACTGTTGCTAGGGGAGAATCTTCTTGGGGTTGGTTGCTTCGAGATTCGCGTGAATGAGGATAGGATTTTTGCGTTCACTGATTTGAGATACTATGTCCATATTATTAAACAAGTGGCGGAACTGAAGGCTCATCAGTATTATGAATACGCGTATCCCCAGTGGGGGGTTCATTATGGAGCCTTTAGTTCTATATCCGGTAATCTCCCCAGAATTCCGAAGCTGTATACGCCGTGGTGGGTCAAGGTGGATCATCTTGGCTAATATTTGGTTAATAAAGAAGAGAATTGAAGCAAAACCCGATAGACTTAGTAATTTATTTAATTATTTTACGGTAATAAATTAATTATTATTATTGTACAATTTACATGGTTTATTGATGTAATCAGATGACTTTTTAATAAAATACCTTATAAAGACTCATTTTTATTTATTTTTAATTTGAATATATTGCGCAACTAACACTGGTAAATTGATATTCAACGAGTGCTACTTGTGGTGACTGGTCGGTCGTGTGTGTAGACCAGGGTAGAAGCCTTTAAAAAAAAAAAGTGAAAAAAAATAATAGTAGGATGAAATCTATTGGAAAGGGAGGAGAATATTATAAAAATTAAAGGAAAAATAATTTACGACAGGAAAATATGTTAGGAATTTAATGAATTTAATTGTCATTAAAACATTAAAAGTGTCGAAAATTAATACAAATAATTTTTTTTTTAATTTATTTCTTCGATAGTAAAAATACGTGGCATTTTAATTTACAATTCGTCATTTGAGATTTCAATAAATTATTTTGCACAAAATATAAAATACTAATATTTCATTAATTCTCTTTACGAAATTTTAATTTTAAAAATAGAATTTTTATAAGGTAATTCACCCTTCTCACTCTCTCTCAATCGCTCTCTCTTTTCTTCGACAAATACGCTGCACATATTCGTGACGTTCCATAAAAATTTTGCCCTCATGCGCCTAAAGAAGTTTCCTTCAAAAAATTTATATCCCCTACGAACTTTTTTTTTTATAATAGGGGGGCAAACGAGCTTGCGGGACGACCAAAAAGGGCAGTCTTCGCAGCCCATAGACACCCATTTTAGTGGGTGTGTTGCCGGCCTTTATATCAATTAAAATAACTTTTCAGTCCATCTAATGTTGGAGATGTTATATCCAAAATACTAACTCCTTCTGTTAATTGTGTGACCCCCTTCCCGCAATCTACCCTCTATGCAAAAGCTATCTTTTTCAAATTTCAAAACAAGCTGCTGCTGGGCTCATCCCTGTTCGCTCGGAGCTCCTAAGGGATCCCTGGTTAGTTTCTTTTCCTCCGTTTACTAATATGCTTAAATTCGGCGGATGATCCTTAGTTTTTTACTTGGGGAAATGCATTGCGCATACCCTACCGCGGTGCGACTGCTTAGTGCGGGAGGGTTACGTGGGACTCGCGAATGTGCATACCCACTAAAACCCCAAGGCGCCACCAACAATCGTCTTAGGCGGGAAGCGGTAACAGCAGAGCCTTATCCGCTTCCCGACATGCAATGCGGCGGTTGTGTCCGCCTCTCCGCGCCCATTGATCATTTGTGAAGATACTTGACACAGCAAGTATCCTTCACAGATCGGGCCATACGCTTTTATCAATAGCTAGGGGAGATCGGGTCCAGTGCTTGAAGGGATGGATCACCATCCCTTCTTTTGAACACATGGACCCCTGCTTCCCCGCTTGGGCACTCTTTAGGTGAATATCGAAATAGGCGGATGATCCTCCCTGATCTGAGGCCAACGATACAAAGATATGAGGCAATTTACAAAAAGCTTATCAGTAAGTAGTACGAGTTCGCTAGTTTGACACACACTGAAACATAATTATATACTTAACAACAAGTATACACTCACTCACACACACACACACACACACATGCGCGCATACACACAACCACGCATGCATAAAATAAGTTCATAGAATCGTCAGAGAAACTATGAGAATTACATTTCATTTTATTTAATTTTTTACAGGCTTTGCTTCTTAGCTGGGTTTTGTATTGTTTTGTATTATTTTCTAACAACTGTCTGAATCTATATATATAAAAGAAAAATGGTCTTCGTTTGAGGCTCCTTCACGCCTAAACCACTGATCGTATCGACATGAAATTACCACCATTCGATGCGAAATTAAATTAAAAAAAATTAAATTCCAACGTTCCTTCATTTTTATTGCTGTTTTACTTTTATGAAAATTTATCCATACGGACTTTACCGCGGAAACATTCGGGGAGGCTTCCTAGAACCTCAAAACGTCCACATCTGTTAAAAACTCGAGTTTTAACCGGGAAGTTAAAAAGAAGAATAATAAAAACATGAAAAAAAAAATAATGAAACAAAATTTTATTTATTTCCTATTTTAATTCGACCAGCAAAGCGGGCGGGAAGCGGCTAGTCTATATATATAAAAGAAAAATGGTCTTCGTTTGAGGCTCCTTCACGCCTAAACCACTGATCGTATCGACATGAAATTACCACCATTCGATGCGAAATTAAATTAAAAAAAATTAAATTCCAACGTTCCTTCATTTTTATTGCTGTTTTACTTTTATGAAAATTTATCCATACGGACTTTACCGCGGAAACATTCTAGAATTATTTATTTTTTTTTTTTATTAAACCAACAAAGGGGGGGGGGGGGCAGCCCTTTTTTTTTTTTTTAAAAAATTTTTTTTTTTTTTTTGTTTCCCCCCCCCCCCTCCCCCTTTTTTTTTTTTTTTTTTTTTTTTTTCTTTTTTTTTTTTTTTTTTTTTTTTTTTTAATTTTTTTTTTTTTTTTTTTTTTTTTTTTTTTTTTTTTTTTTTTTTTTTTTTTTTTTTTTTTTTTTTTTTTTTTTTGGTTTTTTTTTTTTTTTTTTTTTTTTTTTTTTTTTTTTTTTGGTGTGTTTTTTGGGGGGGGGGAAGAAAAAAAAAAAAAAGTTTTTTTTTTTTTTTTTTCGGGCGGCGGGGGGGGGGGGGGGGGGGGAGGCTTCCTAGAACCTCAAAACGTCCACATCTGTTAAAAACTCGAGTTTTAACCGGGAAGTTAAAAAGAAGAATAATAAAAACATGAAAAAAAAAAATAATGAAACAAAATTTTATTTATTTCCTATTTTAATTCGACCAGCAAAGCGGGCGGGAAGCGGCTAGTCTATATATATAAAAGAAAAATGGTCTTCGTTTGAGGCTCCTTCACGCCTAAACCACTGATCGTATCGACATGAAATTACCACCATTCGATGCGAAATTTTTCTAAATTAAAAATATTAAATTCCAACGTTCCTTCATTTTTATTGCTGTTTTACTTTTATGAAAATTTATCCATACGGACTTTACCGCGGAAACATTCGGGGAGGCTTCCTAGAACCTCAAAACGTCCACATCTGTTAAAAACTCGAGTTTTAACCGGGAAGTTAAAAAGAAGAATAATAAAAACATGAAAAAAAAAATAATGAAACAAAATTTTATTTATTTCCTATTTTAATTCGACCAGCAAAGCGGGCGGGAAGCGGCTAGTCTATATATATAAAAGAAAAATGGTCTTCGTTTGAGGCTCCTTCACGCCTAAACCACTACCACCATTCGATGCGAAATTTTTCCTAGATGGTTTATGGTTATTTATTTATTAAATTCCAACGTTCCTTCATTTTTTTATTGCTGTTTTACTTTTATGAAAATTTATCCATACGGACTTCACCGCGGAAACATTCGGGGAGGCTTCCTAGAACCTCTAAACGTCAACATCTGTTAAAAACTCGATTTTCGAAATATTTCAATTTTCTTAGCGGGAAGTTAAAAAGAAGAATAATAAAAATATGAAAAAAAATAAAATAATGAAACATAAAATTTATTTTAATTCGTCCAGCAAAGCGGGCGCGACACGGCTAGTAGATATTGTATAAATAAGGGAAGTAGCGAGCCAACCCCAACACAAGTGTCTCTGACTACTTACGGGGGCTGTCTCAACTCATGTAGTTAATGTAAAATTTGAGATACAAATAAACATTTTCATTTTTTTTTTCAAGTTGTCCGCAAGACTTCCGAACAACAAGAGTTCGTCGGACTGTTCGGCGGGTTTTGGAGGATTGTAATAATAAAACATTGTTAGACGTGTTAACTTTTATTAAGACAACCTTATGTTAAACTTAAAAAAAAACGATTATATCTAACTAGATAAATTACTTTATTTATTTAAAGAAAACACTTTTTAACCGGATTAAAGTTATGTATTATTATAAATTTACAATTATTTAACATAATTTTAAATTTAACCGACGTTTCGCGTGCTTTAAGCTGTCTACACACCAGCCGCCGCCCGCCGGCACGAACCCGGCGGGCAAGGCCGGCGGCCTTAGTTTTAACGATGTTACCGGCGACTTGCGCCCGCGCGATCTTCCCCGCGGCACGCCCTTCTCCGCTCTTCACCACCGGTTGCCCACCGGCTTTTAAGAAATAGTGACGCGTCAGTGTTTTTATCGACTAAACATTATGGAATCCGTTAATGAAGTGGTGAGAAAAATAAAAAATTTAACAAGTCACTAGCAAGCACTTGGCAATCACTAATTGTGAACACTGCATGCCGCGACTGTATGTCGTGCCGCCGGGAAAATTGTCAGGCTCGCAACTTCTAAAGCCGCCGGGTTCACCCGCCGGCATTAACCCGCCGGGTTCGTGCCGGCGGGCCGGCGCCTGCGGTGTGTAGACAGCTTTACAGCGTGCGTGGTCACGGTGACTGAAGAAGTAAAATAATTGTAAATTTATAATAATACACAACTTTAATCCGGTTGAAAAATGTTTCTTTAAATGTGTAAAGGTTATGACAATAAAAGACAGTACTATACTTTATTTATTATTAAGGCACACTAACGAAACACATACAGAGAACACACAACATTTGTGTGCATAAATTATAAAATAGAAAAAAAATAATACAATTATAAATTTTTAAGAAATACAAATATTAAATCAAATATGCAATTTATTTCAAATATAATAGTATTTCCTCCAACTTCGATTTTGTTCCCTTTGGCGAACTTTTGGGCTGTGGGGATCAAGCTTATAGGCGCTAATTAAATAAGATTAATTAAAGATTTAAGTTGGCGCCTGGTTGATAGTACCGGTGACCCCAGAGCTGGTGCTTTCTTTAACAAATAAGTATCGCAATACAGCGAGGAAATGCTGCCACTGGGACTAAACTTTTTAAATTTGTTTTAATTTTCTATTTATTCATTTTAATTATTATTACTATGTAGATAAAGGATATTATAAATACGGTATATATGTGTGTACATAAATATCTTTTTTATGAGTAAATCATCACATTATTACGACATATAAAGTCATATACTTTAAAAACAATTTGCGCGCCATTGTGTGTGGCAGAATATGCGAACTTATAAACCCCGCACATTGACATTGCGATGGAACCTTGTCACAATAACAGCTACGTGACGTCATCCTCCGCAGAAAAGTACAGACAACAAAAAAGTTAATAATTATAATATTCATTTATTTGCGTGAATGTTTCACGAGCACGGCTGTTAATTACTTTCTTGCTCATTTTAATAGGATTAGTATGATAACAAACTAAACAACAAAAGTAAAACAGGATAACGAAAATAAAAAGCAATAAAAACACGTAGTAGATATACTCAATACGCGTAAGCGCTGGCTGACCTTGCGCATGGTACTGACATTGACAGTTCGACTACGTCACTAAGATGGCCGCCAGTCGCAATATCAACGTGCGGGACTTATACGATTGTACCTTACACATTTTTGTACCATATTCTTGCAATAAATTATTATTATTATAAATTTATAATACCTAAGGTATGTAATTTTTTGGGTTCACATTTATATGTGACACTGGTTTAAAGCTGTCCCCAATCGTGATGGGGCCCTTCCTCTTTCTGACTTTTGAAAATGCCATTTTCTTCGGCTTTTCCAACACATTCACCTTATTTTCCTTTCGTTTGTAGTAAAACACCTCCCAGGCTAACGTAACCATGGCTAAACCCAGTCCAAATAATGTCGCAATGAATACGCCACCTGTCATTAATAAAAAAAAATATGTTTATTATGGAATATAAGATACAGGTATCACTTTCACGTCATTAAATTTGAATCGGTAGGCATCGCTACACATCGGCAAAGAAGACAGAGAAGGAAAGAAAAAGCCGGCGTAAAAAACTCTCGGTACTCTTTTGAAATAGTAAATCATCAAACATCACTTATTTTAAAACAAATATCGCAAATTAATTAGAAGCAGCCTGTCTAGCACTAGTCCCAGGCCCTTTTATCAACTAGATAATCAATTGTGTTAATAAAAATAGTCTTTTTAGTTAAAAGAGAAACTGCCCACAGGATTCCCTCTAGTAGAGAGTCTCTTGATATATTAATGATTTGAGGTTCCGGACAGCAGCCCAGCGCACTGCCTTCTCTTACTCATACTTACTCTTACGAAGGAAAACATGGTAAGTTTCTGGCCTTTGACTCAAAAGTTACAGCGTGAAAGGCACTTATAGCGGTATGACTCTTACAGCGGTTTTCGTTATTTATTTATAAAAAAAATAAGCTGCAAACGCAGTCGCGCGCATTAAGAGTCCATGGGCGGCGGTATCACTAAACATCAGATGAGCCGTCTTGCTCACTGTTTTATATATAAAAAAATAAGCCGCAAACGCAGTCGCGAGCCCCCCATTAAGAGGCCATGGGCGGCGGTATCACTAAACATCAGATGAGCCGTTTTGCTCACTGTTTTATATATAATAAAATAAGCTGCAAACGCAGTCGCGAGCCCCCCCATTGAGAGTCCATGGGCGGCGGTATTACTAAACATCAGATGAGCCGTCATGCTCACTGTTTTATATATAAAAATAAAGGCCGGCAACGCACTCGCGAGGCCTCATTGAGAGTCCATGCCCCTATTAGATTATGATTTCTGTAAAATATGTTCAAAAAAATACCTAAACTCTCCAGAGTGATCCCTTCCGATTCATCAGCATCTGGACATGTCTGGCGAGCTGTTTCATTCCAGTATCTTAAATGTAAGAATAATTGATATGCATTAATGTTTTGCACCCTGAAGTTAGCATAGTTAACATTTTAAAATAAAAATGGCACTCGGGGACTGCCGCGGTAAAGCTATTGCATAATTTTTTTTTCAACTTATGCAATTATAATTATTTATTTATGCAGCCTTGCGATTCTGTAACTCACTTTTCGAACTCACACAGCGGTTTTGGCATTCTGATAAACAATAAACTACAAGCTCCCACCTTTTCAGAATGCCAAATCATAAAATGACTGCTTCACGACTGATTTGAGAGCGACCGCCGATGCGAAAACCGCTGTGTGAGTTCGAAAAGTGAGTTACAGAATCGCAGGGCAGTATTTGTTTTTCTTTGATATTAATTCAAGTTTTTTCTTTGATATTAATTCAAGTTTTTTCTTTGATATTAATTCAATCTACTACTCTACCAGACTCAGACTAACTCGCCTATATAGTCTGTCTCACTCTAACGCGCACCGGCTGCACCGATCTCGTCAGAGAGATGTGAATACGCAGTATGCGTTCTGTCCCGCTCTAACGCGCAAGGTTTTTTCGTTTCGTTTCTGGATTCGGTCTCCACGCTCGAGGCCGCGATAGAAGCTATGCAATAGCTTAAAAATGTCCATTCCTTTAATAGTGTAGAAATATTTTTTTTGTGATATTTAAATAAACTTTATTTAACTAGGTAATGCGTTATAATAAAGTGTATTTAATACCTTTTTTTCTATTGTTAGTGTCGTTTTTTCTACAAACGTAGAATAAAATTTTTGAAAAGATTTCTATCTTGTTACGCCAAAGAAGTATAACTTCTAACGCGAGTACATGAGTACACACACGTTTTTTTTATATTATATAAAGATAACAGTATCTATTGCTATTAGTGTACCCACCTGGGATCTGCTTCACCTTAGGAAAAGTCATAGAAATCGGTCAAGCCGTTTTGGATAAGTTAGTAATACGAGAATTTTCTACATGTTTGTTTTTTTAGTGTATTTAAATAACGGCAATGTATATGAAAGGCCGGCAACGCACTTTCGGGCCTTCAATGTGTCCATGGGCGGTATCACTTAACATCAGATGAGCCTCCTGCCCTTTTGCCTCCTTTTAAATATATTTAAATTCTGTCTTAAAGATATTTGTTTTCTAAGAATCAAAATCTCACTTGGAAGCCAGCTGTTCCAGAAACCTCTCCTTCTGCAAATCCAGAAGTGTCCTGGACAAGTCCTCTTGTAACCTGGAACCTAATAATTTTATGTAGAAAATAATTACTTTCACAATTTTAATCAAAATTTGACCACATCTCGGTCTTTTGTTACCAGAGGGTAGATCGAGTCCAGCACTTTCAGGGAACTGCTTCATAGCTTGGGCACTTTTAAGGTGGCGATGATTTCGTTCGTTAATGACTGACGCAACTTAGGATTCACAAACCAAGGCCGCATATAATTTGACGGCTCATTGGTCTAGTGGTTAGTACCCCTGACTGCGAATCCATGATCCTGGGTTCGATCCCCGGCTGAGACGAACATCGATGTGATGAGCATCTGGTGTTGTGCTTAGGTCTTGGGTGTTTAAATATGTATTTAAATGTTTATCTATCTATAATACGTATGTATATCCGTTGCCTAGTACCCATAACACAAGCTTCACCAGCTTAACATGGGACTAGATCAATTGGTGTGAATTGTCCAATAATATTTGTAATTTATCCCCCCCCCTTCCTCTTGTCAGTAAAAGTAATCCTCGAAAAGCTTTCAAAAATGTTAATAGTACATAAACGTATTTTACAGACGTACAGACTTCCCCCTATAGTGCTTATGCACTTGAACGGCCCTTAGAGTGTAACTCGTCTGTTTGGGCTCTGCTTTTATTACATACTTTCTTCTTTTAGTGCCTCTCCATTGGAGGTTGGCCAGTCTCTTCAAGAATATCATATCCTGTACCAGATGCATCAACTCTTCAGAATTTTTACAGTTCCGCAGTTATTACTTACTAAATGGCTACTAAACTTGGGGATGGTGGGGTATAATAAATTGGGAACAAGCGACTTACAGTTGACCTAACAGCAACCCAAGTGTTCTCCAAGAACTCTTCTTTGTACCTAGGGGATATGTACGAAGGCCAAAGTGTTAGCGATACGAAGGGCCAGAATCTGTTGCACAGATCGCCGTTACCTACTGTCTCCGATTATCGACATATTTATATGTTCGCAGAGTTCACAGCGATAATGTGTATATTATGTATTTAATATTATATACAGTGTAAACTCTTTATAATGAATTTCAAGGGACCGAGCATGTTTTTTTTCGTTATAGAGAGATGTTGTTATACGGAGGGAAGATAAAACAAAACAAATTTAACCAATTACACTAATTTATATATATATATATGTCGGAGATTCACCGCGATTAATAATTACAAAGTTGGTATCACTACCGTCGTCGTACATTATTACTTAATTACTTAATATTTAAACACAGTCAGTGCGCACATCCGGCGCAGGCGCCGATCGGAAAGCAACTCAAGCTCTTCACGACCGATTCTACGCACTACTGACAGCTCGACTTTGACAATTGACACTTTACAACCAAGATGTCTATGACATTGCGTGGTGTTGCCATTACGTGGTGTTGCCATTGTGATCAAACAAATTACACCGTGTTCTATTATAACCTAATCTCTGACATATATATTTATATAATAGATAGGTGACGATGGTGCGTTTAGTAACTGAGACCAAAATTTCCTACAGGCAATGTAATCTAAGAATAATGGCACACGTGTTAATGCAATTAGCAATAACAAAGGCAAGACGGCTGTTTATGACCTCAGGTGTCATTCTAAGAAATTTCGGTTACGTTTTAAAGAGTGTACTCTATATTTTATTTCGACATTATTGTCTTAGAACTATATTTTTGTGAATAAGTACCTTGTTGGACAGCAATGGCGTAGGGCTGCTCCGCAAATATTTCACCGACTTCAGTGAGGTTGCAATTTCTCGTTATTTCGTATCTAAAACGAGTTCTCTAACTCAGAAATGGATTGACTCTTCTATGACACTAATAGTCACTCTATGCGCGCATTACATATTCGTATGGTGAAGGAAAACATCGTGAGGAAACCGGAATGTCTTAGACTCGTATGTCAGAAGAAGGCTGATCACCTATTTGTTTAGTTGTTCGCATTAATACTTGCAGCTGAGTTTCATCATCGGACGTCGAGGCAGAATACGAAATTCCACCCGTATCACCTCAACGTCCGCCGTTCCACAACTGAGCGTTTTTCAAGGCAGTTTTTGCCGCGCACCACCACTATGTGGAACCAGCTGTCCAATGAAGTATTTCCGAACCAATTCGACTTAGGGTTCTTCAAGAAAAGAGCACTCGCGAGCCTTCTGGCATTGAGTGTCCATGGGCGGCGGTATCACTTAACATCAGGTGAGCCTCCTGCCCGTTTGCCCCCTGTTCTATAAAAAAAAATGATCTGGAAACAGATCAACTAAAGGTGCCGTTCAAGTGTTCCGTAACCAGATTTACTGCAATTTATCTCCCCCCCTTCCTCTTGTCAGCAAAAGTAAGCAAAGCTCTCACAAATAGGAGGTTTTTTTTGTAGGAATCCTCGAAAATGCATTTCATTTTCAAGCATAGACAATGTATGCGTAATTTGGGTAAAAAAGTTCATAATTACTGTTGACGTAATCATCAAATCCGAAAATCAAAGATCCCCCCTAAAGTGCTTTCGTCTTGAACGGCCCCAAAGCCAAACCAAAAACACACTTTTCTTATAGTCCAATTAGAAGAGGGCTAGAGGTCCAGAAATATAGAATCATTTGAATTGTGATTGGCAAAGTGCGAGGCTGATCTCCTATACTGGACTGATCAAGTAAAGGCCCTTATAGGTACCCTCACTCAGGAGCTGAGGCTTGCGCAAGACACAAGGAAGTGGAGGAAATTGAGCGGCGTCACTTACACGAACTCCAGAAATGAAGAGCGATTGAAGAGATTGTTTTTATAGGGGGCAAAAGGGAAGTCCACCTGATGTTAGGTGATACCTCACTACACACATCGCTAGAAGGCTGTGGCGTTGCCGGCTTTTTAAGACTACTACTACTATCTTTGAAGGACTACTGTTTTAATAGTTCTAATTATATTGTCATAATTTGTTTTGTTATATTTTTATTTTATTATTTTTAGAACAGATTTTTTTTCACTTATGTAACTTTAATGACGTGAGTTATGACAATTTCCTTTGAATAATTGTAATGTAGAGGGAGGGTAAAACTTGATGAGTTTCTTGCCCGTTCTTCTCAGAACAAGGCCTCCTGGTAGTTTTGCGAACGATGGCGTAGTCTTGCTCTTTCACGAATTTTGTAAAAGTTTTTGACATTCATAAGCATGCCCTAAGACGCATCTAAACTGAATAAACTTATTTTGATTTGGACCTTAAGTCGAAATGGTTCGGAAATACTTCCACATTAACTTACTTGACTTCAGCTGAATCGTGTATGAACGCAAAATCAGCTTCTGCATGTTCATTCACTTGCCGAAAACCGGTTTTCGCGTCCGGTACTGGGCCTGCAAAGACCTGGATGTGAATTATTCTGTCTGATCAGCTCTGTCTCATAATTTACTATCCTACCTTGGATCCTACGGTAAGAAATAGTTTTTGAAGTTATACTTCTTTAGGCACGTTATGAAAAATTGATGAGAGTGAAATTTTACGATGCGCGCGCACCGTGACACAAAATTAACAGAATGAAGTTGCCCACGGAAGATGCTACGGCATTGGACATAATTTAAAAACATTCGAATCATAATAGAATTTTTGTTACACTTAATGTAAGAGAATAATAATAAATATTTATTTATTTAATTTTTCAAATGTAAACTGAACTTTATTGACTATAATGACTCCTTTTCGTGTCTTTGATTGTTTAATTGTAATTAATTATTTGCATGCAATCAAAAACTATTTTTAATAATGCCAATGAAGTATAACTTCTTACGCGCGTACATAATTACACGCACCCTTTTTTTATGATAAATACAGTCAAAACCGTTTACGAAGACATAGTTTAGAACAACATACCGGTTATATTGACCAAAATCAAAGGTACCGGCTGAATTCTATTGTATTAGGTTCTTAATAACAACGTCATTGGCTGATAATATCGGTTTTTACGACCAAATATGAGTTGTCCCTTCGATGTCGTTATAACAGATTTTGACTGTATATATTTTTAATGTTGTGTTATGTGTATTGCTTTGTGTGTAAATGTAAAAAAGCTGCATTGGCGTAATCTGTAATGGTAGCTTATTTTGTTAAATAATAATTTGTACGTTAGAATATAACACTCGTTCGTGAAGCAATATCTATAACTTAGACACGAATATCGACTTGACAGGCACAAAAAGCTTGTATATAAAGAAAGTTATCACGCAATACACAAACTCTGAGGCCAAACACAAACCTAGTTGAAGTAGTTTCTTTATAGAACAGGGGGCAAATGGGCAGGAGGCCCACCTGATGTCAAGTGATACCACCGCCCATGGACACTATGAATGAGGGCTCGCGAGTGCGTGCCGGACTTTAAACTGGTTAAAACAGGAAGCAAACATCATTTTGTATTTCTCAGCACAATAAAATAAATAAATCAGTGGCGCTACAAGCTTTTTGGGTCTGGACCTCAATTCTGTCAATCTAATAGGCAAGAAGTTGATCACCCTTCTGTCACACGTCGTCGTGTTGGTTCTAAGGCAAGTTTTTCTCACGATGTTTGCCTTGATACGAGCGACAGCCGGGTTTCTACGACCTCAGGGATGAGATACGCTGAAGCCACTTGGCCAACACTGCTCTGCTCTCTCAGCACATGGTTATATATGTTGCGGTACGAGATTCTGCTGGATGCCGTCCAAAACCAAACTGACCGAACGGTGGTCGGCCACCACTTCTCCACCCGTTCCGTCCCCACTCTCGAACCGTACACAGACCTCACTCAAACGCCATCTCTTAAAGAGACAGCATTTGACGCTTATTAACAGCTAATAACGACATCTATGATCGCTTAAACGCAACCTCGCTGACATATATGTAAGGAAAACATAATATATTTTCCATAAAAACTCTTGTCTATATTGTATTTTATATAAATTCTTTTGTAATGTTGTCTTTGCCGTCTGATCGACGATGTTTAATTTATGTCACTTGACATAATATATGTAAGATATTTTAATTTTTTTCATTATATTATTTTACTTTATAAAACCTAGAATATAGGCTTTAAATGTTGTTTCTTTTGTATTCACAGGTGAGTGAATAATTTGTAAATATATATTTTTTATTAAATGTAAATTAATAGATATTTGTTAGTAAAACTTTTGTATTCACAGATAAACGCAATTGCGCCTTATTTATTCGCAGTATAAGCGATTGATACTATTATATATATATATATTAATAAATCTTATGATAATTACCTGACGCATTAATGGCGAGCAATATATGACCATATTGTTCCCGGATTGGATAATCCCATACTCTGTACTGCGCCTGATCTGATGTCGCGTTTAATGTTATTTCTTTCCATACTCTAGAAATTTATAAGTCAACTAGTAGACTCGGCCAAGCGTTGCTGTGGCTAAGATTTTTGTTATATTACATAGTAGTAAACTATTCAAGGGAAACGGTAGGAGAACTTATGTGAAAGGTAGATGACAGCTTATGTGAAACGTTGATAATTTTAACACAGCGCCATCTGTTAGAATTGTATCAAATAATAAACAAATATTTTGCAACAAATTAAAATTGCGACTATAATTTGAGATTTAAACTATCCTATCTCTCAAGTTGGATCGAACTGCACATGGTGTGCAAATTTGATTGATATCGGTTCGGTAGTTTAGGAGTCCATTGAGGACAAACATTGTGACACGAGATTTATATATATTAAGATTAATAGATTGAAAGTTAAAAGGAACAGTTAAACTAATGTAGACATTTTTGGAAACACACACACAACGCAAACCTACGCAATTGTTCGGAGGCAGAATACGAAATAACATCCGTTACGTAACTGAGCGTTTGTTAAGGCAGTTTTTGCCACCACGATGTGGAACCAGCTGCCTACTGGAGTATTTCCGAACCAATTCGTTAGGGTCCTTCAAGAAAAGAGCGTACCAATTATTTAAAAGGCCGGCAATGCTAGCAAGGCAACGCACTCGCTAGCACTCTGGCATTGAGTGCCCATGGACGACGGTATCACTTAACATCGGGTGATCCCGTTTGCCTCCAGTCCTATAAAAAAAAACAAGCTACCCAAAAACCGCACTTCGAGTTATGAGCCCTTTAGTTTTTCACACACTCATAAATTGTAATATTACATTCTCGTTTCCGATAATCTCCAATAGGTCGTCTACTTATATTCTTTATAGGCAACAGAAGTGTAGTGTACACTTCAACAATAGTTTAATTATAAAGTCAATTTTATTCCATTAATATGTCAAATGGAAGAGACTATAATACTGCTTTCTCTTTCTGTCTTGCTTTCATATTATAATTACTAATTGTTGTTTGAAAATAATGCGGAACAAATGCGCAATAAACATTTTTTTAATATAATAGGGGGGCAAACGAGCTTGCGGGACGACAAAAAGGGCAGTCTTCGCAGCCCATAGACACCCATTTTTAGTGGGTGCGGTGCCGACCTTTGAGGGAGGAGTACATTCGCTCTTTAAACATTTGGAGGTCGTATCTCTGAGGGAAGACCCCCAGAATTTGAAGACCCTCAATTAATTTTATTCATTAATATGTCAAATGGAAGAGACTATATGCTTTTTTTCTGTCTTGCTTTCATATTATAATTACTAACGTATAAGTTTTGTTTGTTCTGCCAAAATAATTCGGAACAAATACGCAATCATTAAATCATCGACTGGGTTTAAAGGGCAGTTCCCCCCATTTTTAGTGGGTGGGGCGACCTTGAGGGAGGAGTACATTCGCTCTTTAAACATTTGGAGGTCGTATCTCTTAGGGAACACGCGAATTAGAAGACCAGCCCTCCATTCTGTAACTCACTTTTCGAACTCACACAGTGTTTCGCATGGTCCAAATCAGTCTGAAGCAGTAATAAATCTTTTAAAAAAAAACTACAAGCTCCGACCTTTCTACGTTTGTGAGTTCGAAAAGTGACTTACAGAATCGCCACTAACAATTAAGTCTTTAATATATTCATTGTTAAAGTTTTTATTACTGAACGCATTACTTCTCCCGTTTAGTTTCTTTCTACACATTTAAATAACGTCTTTTAGAATATCACATAAATATTATATCTACATAATTGAAGAAATTGACATTTTTTATTTTAAAATGTTGATTAAGCCAACGACACAAAATAAAAACTTCCACTTTAGGGTACGTTGGCGCGTTAGGGAAAAATACCCGCACACTAGTCACAAGAAACCGACACCCTGAATAACTGTTCAAACGTTGGTAAAACAGTCTGGGCCGCTAGTTGGCGCTTGCTCTGTTTTATCGACAAGTTGCATTGTCTGTCATGGCGTAGTGTTCAGAGGCGTGTTTATTTAAAGAAAAATATTGATTTCTATACGAGAAAACCCGTTCCAAAGTGATAAAAAACAGTGTTTAATGTAAAATATCATGATTAGTACATATTATATCGTTTCGATTGGAAGTGACCATTCAAATGGACAAGAAAAATGCAATTCTAAGAGGGAAACTTCCCTCTAAAGTGGTCGAAGAAAATTATTACGCCAAAGAAGAATAACTTCTAACGCCTGTACATAAGTACACATTTTTTTTTGGGTAACACTAGTATAGACATACCTATATAGTGTGTCTTCAGCGAACTTCATGTTAATGAAATATTGGTGTACAGTCGAACCCTCCACCACAGTGTAATTGATACGAGACTGACGGGCCAACTGCTCCAACGATGACACGGGTGTCTAAAATATATTTTAAATAAATATATCTAAAAAACCGCACAATCAGCTATATAAAAATAGGCATGCAAGTGTAATTATAAGAACAGTAATTTATAATTGTTATCGAAACTTATGGTCTAAATGCTCTCCCACGCTACACGGCACAGCGTAGCATGTATATATATCTGTCGTAAAAGGAAAATCAATTGTTTTTCAGGAAAAATAGAAGAAGGTAATGCTATTATTACTATTACTAAGTACTATACATATAAAATACATATTAAATGAAAGCTATGTTAGTGTAAATAGTCAAAAAATAACTGAATGTAGATTACAGTAATTTGTCTAATTAAAGTGTAAAAGCGTTTTGCAGATACCGGCAAACTTCTTGAGTTTTTTTTTATGGCTCTGGCACGGTTTGTGCATTAGCAGCAATTATTTTTAAAGTTTCTTTCAAATTTTGATAGAGCTTTCAATATTTTGGTGTTTAAAAATTTTAATTTTTTTAAATATATTTACAAATTGTTTAATTATAAAATAATGGTATGGGGTAAGTATTGTTCACAAATTTGTTTATTAAAAATAAATACTAAAACAACTCTAAAATCATAAGTAACTATATTAAAAATAATTCCTTCAAATTGTACAAACTCAATTTATAGTTAACTAATTCATATAATATAAATAATTATACTTTCTTTAAGGAAAGCCCTCTTATCTCCCAATACTTGACCCCGGGATAATACTACATCCTTCCATCTCCACTACAAAACTTCGATGTTCACTTACAATCAAAATCTTTTCTATCAAATGAAAGATTATTATTATGACGAACACAAACTATTCCAATAAAGGTTAATAGTACATTACAATATGTTTAAAACTATGTTTACCTGGTCAAAAGTATCTTTCTTAAAACAAGACACACATTAGGTTAAAAGACGAGTCAAATAACCTGGAATAAATGACAATAAAGAAAAAAATAAACCTTAAATCAGAATTTTAAAACTTAAGAAAAAATTTATGGACTATATTTATACTTCCATACATACCATATGGCTTCCAGACATGGATTTACATAATACACCAAACCCAAAATTAACCAACAAAGTTAAGAGGTAGACCAAAGTAAAACTGGATTGATTAAATAAAAGAAAAGCTGGTGAAAATGACACAAAAAAGACAGACAGATGTGGAGCAAAATGGAGGAGGCCTTTACCCTAGAGGGGTCCATAACATTCAATGATACTTTATAATATTTATAAAAATGATTTTTTTTATTTTTGATTCTTATTAATTTATTTATCATTTCAATTTATATACATTAAATTATTAATTATGATTGGTATATAATTTAAAGATTATAAATAATAATATTGTATTTTTTAATCATGCAATATTATTAATAATTAATATATATATACTTGTTTAATATGTTATTCATTATGGAAATAAAGAGGCTATAATAATAATAATAATTTTCTATACAGCTTAACTGAAAAATCGCTAAATTGAGACTATATGAATAAATGTTTATAACCAATTGAACATTGCCTGAAGAATCTTTTTCTATCTTGATGGAGTCATCTAATAAATAATACTTTATTATAATATTTTTAAATGGCTTATTATTTACACATTATAAATATAAAATACCAATGTTTTTTAAACAACAAAAAGCAGAGGAGAATAATAAAATTCATGAACATAGTGAGGAAAAATTTAATTATAATAAATTTGCTAGTAATATGGATTCTTATTATGTAAAATATGATATAATATTGGAGGATTATGTTTTTGTTAGACATGATAAATAATTAATTGAATATTATGAACAATGTGCAATTATTTGTAGGTACACTGAAATCTTCAATGAATCAAAGTCAATAATCTATAGTAAATTATAAACTCAATATCTACAAGTCGTAGTCGGAAGGGCATTTGTCTTGTTTCTCATCTCCGTCTATGTTTTAATAATTTATTTATAATCACACTCTAAATAAAATACCCAAAATATCGTAAATATAAAAATTATATTTTTTTCTATATTACAAGTAGATAAATCTTATTATTTTAACTTTATTAACAAGTTTTAATACAAATATTGAATTTTATAGGTTCTAAATTATTATTTGGAATTTCGATACAAAAAAGTTGAACAAAAGTAACTTTTTAGAATCGCTTATTCTGTCATAGTTGAAGGGCACTGTCAAATTTCGTTCAGCGAGCGGTCATGGTACGGCTTTTCATACAAATTGAAGAAGAAATCTGATAACGTAAGGTCACGTGGGAAATAAGTGTCTCGTTTTCGATGTCATGTACAATTAGATGCATTCAGTGTAGGTTGTCAATAGGCCAATAAGAGTTCATGGTAGGCCCCTATTTGCAAACGGATCGACACGTCACTCTCCCGCCTCCGCGCCAGTAAATAAAAATTAACCATTATAAGGAATAATTCATGTCATGCAGTCTGACTCAATAATTTATGGAAATATCTTAATAAAACAATGTGTCTAGTACACAAGTCAAGGGCGAACTGCCCTGCGATTCTGTAACTCACTTTTCGAACTCACACAGCGGTTTTCGCATCGGCGGTCGCTCTCAAATCAGTCGTGAAGATTTTATGATTTGGATTCTAATAAACAATATACTACAAGCTCCCACCTTTTCAGAATGCCAAATCATAAAATGACTGCTTCACGACTGATTTGAGAGTGACCGCCGATGCGAAAACCGCTGTGTGAGTTCGAAAAGTGAGTTACAGAATCGCAGGGCTGGTAGTAAATGTAAATTTAGTTACTTTTCTTGGGCGGCGGCTGAAATTGGTACTACCGTCGCCATTTTGAAATGTCAGACTAATTCTGGGTGCGTACAACAAATAATTTTACTATCTACCAACATCTAATAAAAAAAAAACAACTAAAATGAACATATTTTTATTATTTGCATTATTAATTATAATGGCAAAGTTTTAGTGAAAGTCAATGTCAAAATAACTTAATTCATATAGGTAAACAAGTACACTTATTAATTTTTTTTTATGGCTCTCGCACGCGCCAGCGTCAAGTATAAGATTTTTATAATTCGTGTTTGCCTTAGAAATTGGACCGTGCCCTCCATGTCCGGTTTAGGCACTCGCCCGGTACCACACAACCCTCCCAAAGGCCGAGAACAAATTTAAATTAAATTAAAACTTGCCCTCGAACCGGGAATCGAACCCGGTACCCTTCACCTAGCTGCCACTTAATAAGACCGCTAGGCCATGAGATTAAATTTATTTCGAACGGTTCTGATTACTAGGTACCTATCTCAAAAGATATTATTTTAATAGTCCAAATAAAATATTTAATAAAAATCCAAGAAGTTCCAACAATCCAATACCTGCATCCTCTCAACTGTTAGAAACGCGGCCAAATTGGCTGTAAATGTCGCCAGCATGAGTACCACAAACAACCAGTATGCAGCCACAAGTGTCCGACCCGAGAGGGCCTTGGGCGCCTCACCACCCCCTTGTGGTGTAAAGGAGGTAAGGGCGAACCAAAAACTCTCTTTCAAAGTGAACTCTCTGAAACGGAAAATTATAATAAACAAATTTATTATTATTATTATTATTATTATTATTATTATTATTATTATTATTATTATTATTATTATTATTATTATTATTATTATTATTATTATTATTATTATTATTATTATTATTATTATTATTATTATTAAAGAGCAGTGTTGTTCAAGTAGCTTGTACGAGTGCACTAATGGAAGTATCTGTGATGCCCATTTAACACTCGCATTGAAAACATTATGAAGAAGCCAGCCTTAGACCCCAGACACACAAAAGGCTGATCACCTAGTCACATGGTACAGTCTTTCCGCTTTCAGCTGATTTTAAGACTCAGACCCAGACTCAGTGATGCCCTTTGATGAAGGCACATTCTGGAGTGAACTTTCTAGATGTGAGTAACTTCAGGGTGTCGGTTTTTTGTGACGACGTACGCGCCCATCGTAAAAATTTACTCTCATCATTTTTCCGTAAAGCGGGCCAAAGACGGACCGCATGTTGCAGTCAAGACCGACTGCAATATCCGGTTTGCTCAGGAACTGCTCGAGCGGTCCGTGTATTGCGAATATGAATTTAGTATGGAAACTGCAGATCGCCGTGCGGCGCCCGCATATTGCAGTCGGTCTTGACTGCAATATGCGGTCCGTCTATGGCCCGCTTAACGCTCCATGTATAACATTAAAAATTAAAAATAAATCAGTGGCGCTACAACCTTTTTAGGTCTTTTATCTGATTTCTGTATCTGTTTCATGATTTGTCAATCTTATAAGGGCTCCCACACAAAAATGCGAATTTTTGCGATACGATTTAGTGCGTCAAACCGTTTGGTAGGGCGACCATTCCTTCGAATTCAGCCGTACTGAACGTGTTTTTAAGAAGCGTAAGATGGATCGCAAAAAGATTATTGCACTGCTGTTATTGTTAAATAGATATAAAAGAAAAAGAAGATTCTTGCTTCATCCATTCATTATGATTATGAACTCTGATGGGAACTATTTTATTCAAAAGTACTATGCGTTGAGAACTGAAGAAGATACATTTTTTTATTATTTTAGAATGAGCATATTATCTTCATTTGAAGAGTTTTTGAGTATATTATCACCATGCCTTCAAAAACGATCGTACAAAGGAAGAATTCCTGTTATGCCTTTGGAAATGCTGGGACTGACTATCAGGTCAGGACCAAAGGACGGGACGCTCCTCAATTAAAGATATTAAAAAATCTAATTCATATTCCGCCATTTTTCTCTAAAGCTGTCTCAGAGCGGACTAAAATGATGTCACCAAGGATGACGTAAAATCGCAGGAATGTGCGATGCGAAGCAGATCGGAAATTCTTGCGTTGCGTTCGTGCGAATTCGCAGATATTTGCGATGCGATGCGAATTCGCAGTTTTGTGTGGAAGCCTTAAGAAAGTTGATCGTACTCTAAGGCCGGTTTCCTCACCATGTTTTCCTTCATAGGAGTCAAAGAAAGCCGGTGTTCCACGACCTCAGGGATGAGAGTCGCACGCTGAAGCCACTAGGCCACAAAATAATAAGATAAAAATTCTGGCACCTGCATGGGTACGGGTAGGCATCTGGATTATTCCTGGCCGAATACGGTGAATACTTCTCCAGAAGCCATATCATGAGGCCGGTTAGTAATAGGGCAGCGACGATACTAAGCCATACCTCCGTTCGTAAAACAGTCATGAATTTAAACAGTGAAGTCTTACGGATGGGCTTACGAATTACTGAAAATTTTTCAAAATATATAAGTACACTATACGCTGATTTTTAATTCCGTAGAAGTCTGACAGAGAGTCAGAGATTGGCCGGGTACATTCAATTTCAATACGAGTCTACCTTGCAATTCTATTCTGGTAAACAATAAGCGTTATCAGGTCCCTCAGCCTGTATTTAGATTGGCTTCTGAAATGGCTATGTTTACCAAAATGACTGCTTTACGACTGATTTGAGCGCGACCGCCGCTGTGAAAACCGCTGTTTGAGATCGAAAAGTGAGTTACAGAATCGCAAGGCTGAACATCTGAGTCTATCCATAAGTTTTATTTGTTAGTGAATGTATCATTTTATTAAGAGCGGTGCTCCACATTAAAAGTGGTTTTACGGCGAGTGATAATTGCGTCCCTTTTCATCACAAATAGGAAAAAAAACGCACAAGTAAGATAACATTTTATTTATTTAAAAAAGTTTCCTAAACCTGGAATTAGTAGGCAGTGATGCCAGCTAAAGAATAAAATAAAGTAATTAAAGTTAATTCGATATATTGTTCGTGATATTGAAACATTTGTTATTTTTATTTTAGGTCACTTGGGTAAATATTTAGATTTACCTTTTTGTATGTAAAACAAAAAATACGTAGCATTTTCTTTATTGCCCTCAAATGGGTCAAATTTGTCCCTTTTTCGATGGAGAACTTTTTTAGTAGCAACACTTATGAAATGTCAGAATTCTACGGAATTAAAAATCAGAGTATAGCGGACTCGACATACGTTGTCCTGCATGATATTTCAAGTGATTAGGATATTAAACAAAGTATGAACTGACTGCAGCGCCATCAGCCGGGCTGATAGCATGGATTACACGGTTTTTTACGGTAGAATTGTTTTTTGTTTTTTACAAATTATGTTTTCTGATGGCATACCAATAAGTATTCCAGTTTGTTCGAAATATGGCGCTACAAAGTCAATAACCTCCTCCCTCTCAGCTGTCATGGTTAAAGCCGAAATCGCTATATCAGTTTCCTAAAACGAAAAAATTCAATCAAATACATTTTATTACCTTAAACTCAAACTCAAAATATCTTTATTCATGTAGGTAAACAAGTACACTTATGAATTGTCAGAAAGAAGTTAAAATAATTGTAAATTTACATTTACTACCAGTTCGCAAGTCAAGGGCGTAGAGCGGGTAAGAAGAACTGGCAAGAAACTTTCCGCCACTCTTTTTAATCGCCAAGTATTTATACTTATATTAAAGACTACGCACTTGTACCTCTAGCAGTATCGATGGGTTTCACTTAACATCAGGAGAGGTGGATTCTAACAAAGTGGGTCGCTTTTGAATGGACATTCTTTAAGACCTAGGTCCGGTCACGTGTTTCAGCGCGACACTACCTGCGTGGCAAAGCGAAATCAGACTAGCATAAAAAACCGCCTTCACCGGGGAAGGCGTGGGCTTTTATTTCGCATTTCACTCACTCCAGTGAGCTTCCGTCCTGCCCTTCATGCGATTGACCACCCGGCGACGGCCCAAGTCGAAGTCCAAGCTACGCTCGCCTAAACCGATTGACCTAAGCTGTAAAGGCCCTTAAGGCCAACAGCAAAACATTTAAAAAAAAGTGTTTAACCGAGCGTTCAGAACATAAACAAGTAGAATAAAACTGTTTTCGTCACACTTTCACTGATTCGTATTAAAGATACATTTTTTCTTTCGTCAATGTTTGAACCTTTTTGTATGTGTTAAACGTACATTAATCAATAAAGCTTTTTATAAATTTTGACAATTATTTAAATGATTGATTTGCTCCAGTTCAAACAATTTATATGACTAAAAACTTGGCGATTAAAGAGTGGTGGAGAGTTTCTTGCCAGTTCTTCTTGCCCGCTCTACGCCCTAGACTTGCGAACTGGTAGTAAATGTAAATTTAGAATCAATTTAACATCTTTTCTGTTGACGTTCATAAGTGTACTTGGTTACCTAGCTAAATAAACAAAGTTATTTTGAGTTATTACAATGACACCATTCCATGTACCTTTGGTAACCTCTTGCCGAAACGTTTGAGTAAAAGTTCTAGTCAAACATTACATAGAAATCAACAAATAATTAAATTTAAAAGCATAGATAGATATAAAAAAATTGACAATTTTTGACATCCCTGTAATAGTTTCCGCAGCATATAGGAACCTTTATTAGTATTAACAGCTTGGTTCAGCACTATCGTAACAAGACCTAATTTTTGAACTATTGCACGGACGAGCGACTCATTTGTTAAGCGTTTTGGCGGGTTCTCGAAAGCATCCAGCTGGCTAGGGCCGTAACAGAAAATGTGTATTAAAAGTCACTAAAGGTGCGCTTACACGGGGGCAACTAAAATTGCTCAATTCCAGTCAATACTCGTCAACTTGACGTCACGACTACATCAAGCAATTTACGGCGCCACGGCTCAAGCATCAATCTGCGCAATACAAAGCGAATGGCGCAACAAGAATATGTGTCATACACGACATTTCAGTTTTCGCTCGTTTTGGACGATTGTTCTTACGGCTTGTAGTGCTTTTTTGTTATAATCAAAAACAAAAAAATAAAAGAGCGTACTGGGTGCAGTTGGCAAAGGGACAAATTAAACAGAATTAGATGATAATTGTTCAACTTTACTAGAATATCACGAACAGACGAATTACTTTTGAAAAAAGTTACCCCATTAATTAAGAAACAGACGACCAACATGAGAACTCATCAACAAAACTTGCTTTAAAACTTCGATTTCTGGCACGAGAGTCATACAAAAGTCTTAATGTATCTGTTTAGAATTCTGATAGTTGTATTGCATTAGTACCTACTGTATGAAAGGAGCCATTGCAGAAGTTCTTCGAGAATATAAACAGGAAACAATTCAATTTCACACTGTTAGTTAATTGCACTATAATTAATACGACATTCTTCGGCTTTGCAAGATAAATGAATCAATTAAAAAATACAAGACAAATCAAGCTGTTGGCTATGTTTGACTAGACGAAAAGACACCGTTGTGTGAACCTTTGTCAATGAAGTTGTAATTTAGAAGTAATTATAAAATATTTATTTATAAATTACAACTTAGCTCACTTTTATTTTAATTTATTTATAACACAACAAACAGAGGCTGACTACGCTGCTTTGACACTATTGTCACGTGACTGCAACCGCAAGCGGCACGCCCAAACAAACATGTGAATGAGAATATACAAAAATGCAGTTTAGTCTGGGATACTCGTAATTTATCTGCGACATTGAGCGATTGAAATATCTGGAGCATTAGAAGCAATTCTTATTTATTCAGACTTAATGATTTGTATTATAAAGTCACTAATAATTAATAAATAATCAAAAATGTTTTTTTTCAACAGCGTTATTTTTGAAGTTCTTCTTTTGGCGCGTTAGGGAAAAATGATGATAGTAAATTTTTACGATCGCGCACACAAAAACCGACACCCTGAAGTTAGCTATAGTCAACATTTTAATTTTTTCTATTGTTAATAAATTAAATAAATCAGTGGCGCTACAACCTCATTAGGTCTTGGCCTCAGATTTCTGAATCTGTTCTGATCATTTTTTAAATCTAATAGGCAGGCCTGACACACGCCGTCGACTTTTTGGGTCTAAGACAGGTCAGTTTCGTCACGATGTTTTCCTTCACCGTTCGAGCAAATGTTAAATGCGCACATAGAAAGAAAGTCCATTGGTGCACAGCCGGGGTTCGAACCTACGATCTCAGGTATGAGAGTCGCACGCTGACTAGGCCTACACTGCTTTTTCTATGCTTAGAGTCGCTTTTTCCACAAACGTAGAATAAAATTTTTGAAAAGATTTCTATCTTGTTGCGCCAAAGAAGTATAACTTCTAACGCGTGTACATAAGTACACACACGTTTTTTTTCCATTCTCTGATATTTTCTTCTTACCTCAGCAATTTTTTCTATAAGATCCACACAATATCCTCCGTACAGTGGCTGTCCATCTTCTGTGTACATAGCATCGCCTGTCACTGGGTCCAGTTTTGGCAGAGTCCAGGGCACAGCCTAAAAATTAAATAATAAATGGCGCTACAACCTTTTAGGTCTGGGCCTCAGATTTGAATATCCATTACGTGATCTTTTGTTTTTCTAATAAGCAAGTTGATCAGCCTTCTGTGCTTGACACACGCTAGTTGCTGCCAGTTCTCTCGCTATTTCTATTTTTTTAACAGAACAGTGCAAACGGGCAGGAGGCTCACCTGATGTTAAGTGGAAGTTTATGGCTGGCTAGTGTGTTGCCGGCCTTTATCTATGGCGAGTGTTAAATGCGCTCATATTATGTCCATTAGTGATCAGCCAGGGATAAAAGTCGATACCACTACCTAGTTAAAAAATAATTTCTTAAAAATATACAACAGACTCCAAAATGTTTTGCTGCGAAAACTCTAAATCTAGCTGTCTAGCTTAAGGCCACTTAAGTGTCTTGACAGTAAGAGACTCGGACCTCGGCTTGGTTGGTCGTCGCGGGGTTGTCAATCACCCTAAAGGGCTGTACGGAAACTCACTGGACTCTGGAGTGAGCAAAGTACGAGGTAAAGACTGAAGGTCCATCTCTTCCCGGAGAAGGCGGTTTTTCGCTATGATTTTGCTTTACGGTGATTGCATCATCCGGATCTGTTAGAACGATTCTCCAAAAAGATAATGCACAATCGAAAATTTAAAATATGCTTCGGGGGAAATACTTCGTTAGCGCGTTTTAAGGTGATGACGTCATCGCAGTGATTGTAGCCATAAATTGGAGATGTCGCTACATCATTATTAAATAATATTTTTAAACAAGCTAAAAGGCTAAATTAGTGTTTTCTTTCTTATTAAAAGGTGCACCATTACATGGTGTAATGGTTGCAGCTCCTTACAAAAAAAAGGGAGGCGGAGAGTTTATTGCCAGTTCTTCTCTTCCGTTCTACGCCCTTGATTTAAGAACTGGAGCATTAATATGTATTTCTTTACTGACGAGTACCTATATGATTAAATGTTTTTTGAATATGAATTTGAATTTGAAAAAAATATAAATAATTAATTATATATAAAAAACAACAGTCACGGTCGCCTAACAGCCTACAACTTACCGGATAAGTCCCAATCCTAAAGAAATCCCTTAAAGGCTCAAACTCAAATCCCTGTAATGTTTTATACTCTTCATTTGAGGACCAGGAAGCAGCTCGTTGAAGACCTTCAGTCGGTTTGAAGGTGGACAAGATGAAGGGAGATCGAAGGTTTAAGCTGGAACTAAAAACGCTAAAATTTAGACACAAAATTGACAGCTGACAGATGTCAAAAACTATTGACATATATTGACTCACAAAAACTAAACTCTAATTATTATGAATAGAAAAAATAAAGAATAATATATGTTTTACAATAAAAGGTCTTTTAAAGGACCCTAAGTCAAATTGGTTCGGAAATACTTCAGTGGGAAACTTCTTTCCAAGGATTATAATGCGGAAACCTGTCATTGCAAAGAGTTTCGACAAAATATTGGGTTGACAGTCGGAACAAGTTGCAATGACAGGCTTTCGGCTGAATCTATTTTTAAAACAGTTGCGAAAAAAATTATGCAATTTAATAAAATAATAAAAAAACCAATAAACTCAACTCACTAATCATTTATTTCTTATACAAATTATTGTTCACATATACATTGGTACAGTTTTTTATACTAACTGGAGAAGTTTTAGGTTGCATATTTATTTACTGTTTGAGATAAACTATTATTTATTTCGTATGATTATTCTTGTATATTTAATATAACAAACAACTAAATGCGCAAAGAACATTTTTGGAAAATGGCGCCCACCGTAAAAAATATAAAAGCAGATTTTTTTTTTCTTCACCCATTCTGGGTAGGCAAAGGAACTAGGCCCATACAGCCAAGTCTTCAGTACAATTTTTTATTGATATGAAATGAAATTTAATGAGATGAAATGAAATCTAACCTAACTCAAAAGAAGAAACAAAGCAGTAGCTTCTTTTTAGAAATATTTGCATGAATCATAAAATACTATGAATTTTTTTAGTAAAACCTTTGTGGTTGGTTTTTCTTTTAATAGACATTATTTTGACAGTTGGGAAAGAAAACGCACTAGTTCGAAAAGGTAAAAAAAAGTACAGAGTTTAGTAGCCCACAACCCGAACGCTTACGTCCCTGCAATACGCCACTTTTTGAGCAACTGTATTAAAAAAATTTTTACGGATGAAACGTCACGAAGACACGCAGCGTTTTTATCGAAGAAAAGGAAGAGAGCGAGAACCTTATAGAAATTATATTTTTTAAATTAAAATTTGTTAAAGAGAATTTATGAAACAATAGTATTTTATATTTTATGCAAAATAATTTATGAAATCTCAAATGACGTATTATAAATTAAAATGCCACGTGTTTTTATTATGGAAGAAATAAATTTAAAAAAATCAAATTATAAATTTTCAACACTTTTAATATTTTAATGAAAATTAAATTCCTAACATATCTTCCTTTTTCCCTCCCTATAAGTCTCGGAAATCTAAAGTTTTAGATTTGTAATTTAGATTTGTTATTTTAGATGAAATATGAACAAGACTTAAAAATTCGTTTGCCAAAGAAGTATCACTTCTGACATGTGTACTTTGTACGCACGCACTTTTTTTAAATTATAATATCCAATATTGGTATTAATTATTATTACAATACTCACTCTTCGTCATTCCAATAAAACAGGCTCTCGTTCCCGCCATTTTTAAAGATGACAATTGGTTCCATGGTGTCATTGTTGTGTTCGTCACATGTCATTTTCGTTAGACCAATATTTAATGTAATACACGTCTCTGATATATACTGAAGTAAATTAGTTAGAATTAATTGTTTACGCTGAAAAGACAAAGGTTAACTGTTATTTAAGTTTTAAAAGATCCAATAAAGTGTTTTTAGTTTAGTTTTGACAATTGACATTATACATGTGTTAATAATTACATTTAGTGGTTTAAGAATTATAACGCCTTTAGTACACCTACGCGTTCGTATGCGGCTGCGAGTCTTTGCGAAATAATTGCGGTAGCGAAATATCTGCGGAACGTTAGTACACTGCAGTTTTTTCGCAAGGAAATGTCATTGTAGCTTTATTTCTTACCATCTATCCCCGTCTTTTCTTGAATTTTCCTCCATGCCACCTCTTTTTTGTATGCATTTTTGTAATTAACATGCCCAGCTAAATATAATTCGGGATAATTTCGAATCAAATTTAATAATAATTCAATATTTTCGGCTTCCATTGTGCGAAATTCTGTCCTCACTGACAGAACGCGTGGTGACGCATTGCGATGCGAAACTCCGCTAGCGAAACGGCTGCGTCTGTGTAACAGCCATTTCGCAGTTACTTGCGAAACAATACCGACAAGGACGCAACTATTTCATCTAGCTATATAATAGAGCGAGACAAAACACATGCGAAACGTTGCCATACAACTTACAGTTTTTTCGTCGTTTCGCTGCCGCATGCGATTGCGTAGGTGTACTAAAGGCGTAACTGGTCAAAGTTCTTAATTTTGTCACTCACTGACTGATCATCAAAACTCTAAGGCACTTCTAGCAGATAAAGAAGATTTAAGAATACAATTGGTGTTTAATATTGATATGGCCACTGGTTAGGTAATAGCTTATTACGTAATAACTTAAGACAGAAGGTCCAAGGAAGGAAGAAGACAAGAATTAACCCACTTGGTATTACCTGGATCTCACTTTTTACGACAGAAGAACTGTGAGACATGTTTTTTTTGTACAAGTTATGTTTTTCATAGCATTACCTGAGTATTCGCAGGACAAGTACACTCGCTGACACCAATAAGCTTGCAACACTCATTTGTATCTATTTGCAGAATGACAGATGGCAACACCAACACTGCCGGATCGAACGGCTCGTAATCATTTATTACCAGGTTCCAGCGGTAATCGCGACGCACAAGCTTTTCTTTGACAGCCTAAAAACATTTTAACAAAAAAGGCTACCATAGCGAATTCATCCAACTATTTAAATCACATATAAAATAATACAAACACATAGTTTTTCACGTGTAACATATTATTGCGCATTAAGTAGCATATAGAGCTTAGGAGGTGGCATTTATGGTAAGGGGTCATTCAAGTATTACGTCACCACTACAAGGGAAGGGGGGTCTTTGACTTTCATGTTTGGTGATTACGTCAACAGTATTTACTTTTTTACACATATTATCCACACATTGTCTATGCTTGAAAACGAAATTCATTTTCGAGGATTCTTGAGATTTTTGAGAGCTTTGCTTACTCTTGATGACAAGAGGAGGGGGGGAAATAAAATTGCAGTAAATTGCTTACGTAATACTTCAACGACCTCTTATCATGCATATAGAACAGCCGATGGACTCCTTGAATAACGTCTCCGTGAGACAGAACAAAATACCTCCGGGTAATCCACCCACGTGATGGATCACGACATCACAAAGCATGCAAGCCAATGGATGCAAAAAGCTCAATGGTGGTCGAGTTAGAGGAGTAAAAGTCAAACACCAAAGATGGGTCTCAAATAATGCTGATGATGATGGTGAGGATCGTAATGATGGTGAGGATCATGGTGGTGGTCATCATGGTGATGAGTGTTCATTAATGATGATACCACTATAGATAGATGACCACCACCATGATAATGATGGTGATGGTGGTTATGGTGGTAATTATGGTGAGAATCGTGGTAATATGATGGTGGTGGTGACGATGACAATGATGGTGATGAAGATTGTGATTCAAATCAAATCAATCAAATAAAAATACGTTTATTCAATTTAGATGCGTCTTAGGGCATGCTTATGAATGTCAAAAACGTTTACGATTATGATGGTGGTGATAATGGTGAGGATCGTGGTGGTGGTGATGATGGTGAGGATCATGGTGAAGGTCATCATGGAGGTGAGTATCCTAATGATGACAGTGATGACGGTGATAATGGTGACGATGACAATTATGGTGATGGTGGTGATGAAGATGATGAGATAATAACAGGATGAGGTAGGTTATTTTGAACAGTTAACTAACCCGTTTATAAGTTCTTGTGACAAAATTTCTATCTCCAGCAATGATGTAGAAGCTCGGGTCAGGTCTCATCTTTGACAGTGACCTGGCGGAGTCCCTCGTGAGACCTGAATTGACCCACACTCTGACGTTCGATTTACCCAGGAGGGTGTATAGCGTCCTGTCAACATCTAAAAAAACCGTCATTTATAAAATTTTATATGATAAAAGTACGGAAATTCCATCAGTTCATCCTTCTTTTAGGATTCATTTGTTTCGGATCTCCACCATTAAGCTGTGGAATAGGCTGCCCGACTCCATACGATTGGCTCCCTCCCTAACATCTTTTAAAACTCTTCTGCATAAACATTTCTGAACCATATCCTATCCTGCTCTATTTATCTGTATCGCGTGAATCCGTGATATTAGCTTTTTAGTTTATTTTTTTAATTTCTTTGTATTATTTTTAATTTAAGTTGGTCTTTTAAAATCTATATTTTTTTAGATTAAGAATCTATATTTTTTTTAATTTAGAATTTATATTTTTTAGATTTAGAATCTATATTTATTTAGATTTAGAATCTATATTTTTTAGATTTAGAATCTATATTTTTTAGATTTAGAATCTATATTTTTTAGATTTAGAATCTATAAAAAAATTTTATAAGATTTGGTTATGCACTTCTTACACTTTATTTCTTTTTTTAAGTGTTTCCCTTACTAGGGTTGCCTGTAAGAGATCGTTTGTTAACAATAAGGCCGCCCGTTGTATCCATTATAACGTTTATGTTATTTGTATTTCTATAAATGTAACGAAGTGTAAATAAATAAAATCAATAACTTACCATTTTCACTTTGAACTAAAATGGCTGCGTCCGTCGCATTCCTTGACTCTAAATAGCTATTCATTGCAGTAATCAGATCCTGTGAGTCCAAAGACGCTCTGATGATGGGCAGACCAGATCCCATCTCCCAAGAGGCCCACGACAGATCAATGATTAAAGACACGCCCTTGGAAATTGAGGAGCAAACTAAAAAAATATATTTAAAACCCGTATGAGGTGAGCAGGTCAGCAACTCTCGATGCCAGAGGGCTCGCAATTGTGATGCCAGCCTTCTAAGAATTGGTACGCTCTTTTCTTGAAGAAACCTAAGGCATATTGGTTCGGAAATGCTTTGGTGGGCTGCTTAAAAAATGCTCAGTTGTGGAACAGACGTCGAGGTGATACGGGTGGAATTTCGTATTCTGCCTCGACAATTATAAAACAGTTAGATATTAATCCGAACAACTCCTCTGAACAGTCTCCGTTTTGAATGCGGTAGAAGATGCAGAGAGACAGAACATCACTACGCAACGGCAAGATATCAAGCGGGTCGGATAGATTTAAAATTTTTTTTAAAGAAAGTTTTTTCAGAAAAGCTTCTGAAATGAAACTTCTTTAGGCGCTTGAGGGTAACATTTTTATGGATGAAACGCAATAATAATAATATTAGCGTCACGAAGATGTGCAGCGTTTTCGTCGAAGAAAAGGAAGAGAGCGACTGAGACCGATTAAGAAAGAGTGAGAAAGGGCGAACGTAGCATGAAGCAAATAGCCATGAAGCGAGCGTAGGAAGCAAGCAAGTGAGAAAGATCGAGAGAGTGAGATAGAGCGAACGTCGCATCACGCACAGTGACATGGAGTGCGAGGAGGAAACATGGAGTGATCATATACTGGTACATGATCATCTATTGGGGCTTTTACCTTAGTAATAATTAATTTACAAAGAAGTTTCACTTCTGACATATTGTGTACTTTGTACGCACGCACATTTTGTTTAAAGTTTTAATTTTCAATTTATTAATTACTAGCTGATCCGGCAAACACCGTTTTGCCATGTCATTATATCATTTATGGTTATTGTGCCTCACTCGACATAGATAGGTATAGTGTGTCGCGGACTTTTTTGTAGATATTTATAAGATCTACAATTACTTAGAAGATTTTATGGTTCTATCTTTAATAGTTTAGGCAGGGTACGCAAAATAAGTAACTTTTTTGGTTGATTTTTTACACCTTGTGTCCGAAAAACCCTAATATCTTACGGAACCCTATTTTCGTTCAAAATTAAATATAGCCTATATTACTCGTGGATAATGTAGCTTTCGAATGGTGAAAGAATTTTTAAAATCGGTCCAGTAGTTTATGAGCCTATTCATTACAATCAAACAAACAAACAAACAAAGTTTTCCTCTTTATAATATTAGTGTAGATTATTATTATTACTATGTAGGTTCAGAATATTGTAAACGCTGTGTATTTGTGTGTTGGAAGATATTTACGTTGATTGTAGGCATCTTCTTCGTTTTCTCTGTCTAGAAATATGATGTCATCACCAACACGGAGTCCTGGTTTTGCTTTCTCAATTGTTTTAATTGCTGTAGCAATTTGCTCCGGTACATCGACATCGTGTTTTTCAAGGATGAATACTAAAAAATATATAGACACTCCATTTAAGGAAAAGGAAATCAAAATCGAAGAACAGTTTTGTTTAGATTTAATACATTTTTGCACTTATTTTAATAATAAAAAAAAAATAACATTATTAACTGGCAGGAGGCTCATCTGATGTTAAGAAAAGAAAGAAAAAATACATACCACCAACGGACACCCTCGATGCCAGAGGGCTCGCGAGTGCGTCGCCGGCCTTTTAAGAATTGGTACGCTCTTTTCTTGAAGGACCCTAAGTCGACTTAATTCGGAAAAACCTACCGCCCACGGACACTCAATATCAGAGGGTTTGCGAGTGCGTTGCCGGGTCTTTTAAGAATTGGTTTGCTTTTTGAACCTACCCAGAAGAAGGCGGTTTGTATTATTTACCCTTAATCTGTTTTGACTTAGCATTGCTGCACAGGCGGCTTTTAATTCGTTAAAACATATCTTCTATCAGATTCAGATCTTCTACAGGTTTTTTTGTCAGGATTAAGAGGATAGCTAAAGTTTTTTTTTAAAATGGAATCTCGCTGTTGGCCTTAAGGGCCTTTACAGCTCAGCTAGGGCTGTATTGACGAGCGTTCAGCGTAGCTCGGCCTGAATATGGCTAAAGTCGAGAAGTTGTAGGTATATTATATACTTAGTTGGAAATACTTCGTCACCGCGTTTTAACGTGTGACGTCATCGCATTCATTTGTAGTCGAAGATTGTAGGTATCGTTACATCTGTAAAACTATTTTAAGTATGCGTAATATATTAAAATTTTAGATACTTACTGTACTTAAGACTAGCCTCAGACGCGACGCAACATAGATTAAACAAAAAAATTAATAACAATAAAAAATAAATCTCCATCTCAATTTCCACAACCCCTACAAGTATTGCAACGGCCGACTTTATTAATAAGAATCACTGTGATATATTCTTGTAATAAATAAGGAATTAATAACATTAAACAAACATAGAAAATTATACGCAATTTCTCAAACATGTCTAGGACATCGCGTCACAGACGAACACAAAAAGTCGATTAAAAACTCTTTGATAGCGTTTACAAAAAAGACTAGAAACTCCTTAGAAGAAAGCGGCAAAAGTGACGGATGAAAAATGGCGCCAAAACAAATATGGCATGATTTAATGTCATAACAGAGTAATCAAATATTAAAGTGTAGGGTTAGTTTCGTTAAACAAAGCAAACAGTGATTTTCATTAATTATTCGTGTGTACGCTCGCGCAGTTATATCTATTTATGGAGTTTATTTTCAAGACAATGAAAATTTTTGAAGTTGTATCATACTTTAGCTATCATAAGCCTCTTGTCACAATCTACTGAACTCCAACCAATGGCCGTGAATTAAATAATAAATATCAATATATCAATAATATGATTTTATCTCGTTACGCCAAAGTTTTTTTACGTTTTTAAATGTGTCATGAATCAGGTATTTTTGTTTATTTATTTCGTATTCCTACAGCCATAACTTATATATAAAGAACATTAATACTAAATATACATATAGCCAAATATAAGGAAACAATAAAAATAATTCAATTTATATACCTAATTCGGCTGTGTTGTGAGCACACTTATGTCCACGACTGTACCCATTATTCACCCATACGGGATTTCCAAAGGAAATCGTGGGAAACACACCACTTGCAGTTCAAAGGCAAGGTTTATACTATCTTATGATAAAATAAAATAAATGAATTTATTTTATTTTTATTTATTGCTTAAGATGTCATGTGAAACATGGTGTAATGGTTGCAGCTCCTTACAAACGTTGTGTAAAAAAAAACAGGGCGATTAAAAAGAGTGGCGGAGAGTTTATTGCTAGTTCTTCTCTTCCGTTCTACGCCCTTGATTTGAGCAAAAGTAAATGTAAAATTAGAAGCATTTAATGTATATTTCTTTTTTGACGTTCTTAAGTGTACATCGTGTTACCTTAATCAATAAATGATTTTGACTTTTGTTTACGTATAAAGGCAGTTTTTTGCCGCGCACCACCATTATGTAGAACCAGGTCCACACTGAAGTATTTCCGAACCAATTCGACTTAGCGTCCTTCAACAAAAGAGCGTACCAATATTTAAAGGGCCGGCAACGCACTCGCGAGCCCTCTGTTACTTAGTGTCCATAGGCGGTGGGTATTTCTAAACCAATTCAGCTTAGGGTCCTTCAAGAAAAGGACGTACCAATTCTTATGAGGCGACGACGCACTCTCGAGCCCTCTGTTAGTTAGTGTCCATGGGCGGTGGGTATTTCTGAGCCAATTCAACTTAGGGTCCTTCAAGAAAAGGACGTACCAATTCTTATGAGACAACGCACTTGCGAGCCTTCTACAATGTGAGTGTCCATGGGCTGGGTATTTCTGAGCCAATTCAACTAAGGGTCCTTAAAGAAAAGGACTACCAATTCTTATGAGACAACCACTTGCGAGCCTTCTGGCAATGTGAGTGTCCATGGGTGGTGGTATTTCTAGCCAATTCAACTTAGGGTCCTTCAAGAAAGACTCCAATTCTTATGAACACACTTGCGAGCCTTCTGGCAATGTGAGTGTCCATGGGCGGTGGGTATTTCTGAGCCAATTCAACTTAGGGTCCTTCAAGAAAAGGGTACCAATTCTTATGAGACAACGCACTTGCGAGCCTTCTGGCAATGTGAGTGTCCATGGGCGGTGGGTATTTCTGAGCCAATTCAACTTAGGGTCCTTAAAGAAAAGGACGTACCAATTCTTATGAGACAACGCACTTGCGAGCCTTCTGGCAATGTGAGTGTCCATGGGTGGTGGTATTTCTGAGCCAATTCAACTTAGGGTCCTTCAAAAAAGGCTCCAATTCTTATGAGACAACCACTTCGAGCCTTCTGCAATGTGAGTGTCCATGGGCGGTGGGTATTTCTGAGCAATTCAACTTAGGGTCCTTAAAGAAAAGGACTACCAATTCTTATGAGACAAGCACTTGCGAGCCTTCTGGCAATGTGAGTGTCCATGGGTGGTGGTATTTCTGAGCCAATTCAACTTAGGGTCCTTCAAGAAAAGGACGTACCAATTCTTATGAGACAACGCACTTGCGAGCCTTCTGGCAATGTGAGTGTCCATGGGCGGTGGGTATTTCTGAGCCAATTCAACTTAGGGTCCTTCAAGAGGACGTACCAATTCTTATGAGACAAGCACTTGCGAGCCTTCTGGCAATGTGAGTGTCCATGGGCGGTGGGTATTTCTGAGCCAATTAACTTAGGGTCCTTCAAGAAAAGGACGTACCAATTCTTATAAGACAACGCACTTGCGAGCCTTCTGGCAATGTGAGTGTCCATGGGCGGTGGGTATTTCTGAGCCAATTCAACTTAGGGTCCTTCAAGAAAAGGACGTACCAATTCTTATGAGACAACGCACTTGCGAGCCTTCTGGCAATGTGAGTGTCCATGGGCGGTGGGTATTTCTGAGCCAATTCAACTTAGGGTCCTTCAAGAAAAGGACGTACCAATTTTTATAAGACAACGCACTTGCGAGCCTTCTGGCAATGTGAGTGTCCATGGGCGGTAGGTATTTCTAAACCAATTCAACTTAGGGTCCTTCAAGAAAAGGACGTACCAATTCTTATGAGACAACGCACTTGCGAGCCTTCTGGCAATGTGAGTGTCCATGGGCGGTGGGTATTTCTGAGCCAATTCAACTTAGGGTCCTTCAAGAAAAGGACGTACCAATTTTTATAAGACAACGCACTTGCGAGCCTTCTGGCAATGTGAGTGTCCATGGGCGGTAGGTATTTCTAAACCAATTCAACTTAGGGTCCTTCAAGAAAAGGACGTACCAATTCTTATGAGACAACGCACTTGCGAGCCTTCTGGCAATGTGAGTGTCCATGGGCGGTGGGTATTTCTGAGCCAATTCAACTTAGGGTCCTTCAAGAAAAGGACGTACCAATTTTTATAAGACAACGCACTTGCGAGCCTTCTGGCAATGTGATGTCCATGGGCGGTAGGTATTTCTAAACCAATTCAACTTAGGGTCCTTCAAGAAAAGGACGTACCAATTCTTATGAGACAACGCACTTGCGAGCCTTCTGGCAATGTGAGTGTCCATGGGCGGTAGGTATTTCCGAACCAATTCGAATTAGGGTCCTTTAAAGAGCGTACAAATTCTTCAAAGATACTTGCGAGGCTCTGGCATTGTCCATGGGCGGTATCACTTTACATCAGATGAGCCTCCTTCCCGTTTGCCTCCTATTAAGTAAAACAAAAGCAATGAATAACCGTTCATGTTTCAGTTTTACTCAACATTCACAATTCTACATACCTTTTCTTCTTTCTCCCAATTAATACAGCGTTCTCTTTTATTACTTAGCATTTAATATCGTATGAAAGAGGTAATGATAATAATAATACATACATCCGTATGTATTGTATATAATAGTTAACCTCAATTGTATTGAAGCACTTAGGAAGGTTGATGAGCACAGGTTTTTCACAAATATTTTCTAATATTAATTAGTATTGATTTAAATATTCAATTTACATCACTTCTGATTATAATTCAGACGCACATATAAAATTCGCACTTGTATAATGAAAATAACTAGGTATGTTTCATAACCTTTTAACTAAGTAACAATAGGTCTTTAAAAAATCCAGCAACTCTCGGATCCGCTAGTTAAATTATAAACACAAATTCGTCTAAATGATTTCTTAAAGAGTATTTGATAAAAGTTTTAGTTAAAATAAAGTGCGTGCGTACAAAGTACACATGTCGGAAGTGAAACTTCTTTCGCAAACTAATTTTTAAGTCTTGTTCATATTTATACAAATCTAAAACTTTACATTTCCGAGACTTAGAGGAGGGAAAAAGGAAGATATGTTAGGAATTTAATTAATTCAATTGTTAGTAAAATATAACGTGTCGAAAATTAATACAAATTATTTATTTTTTTCTCCATGGCTCACTCTCTCTCAATCGGTCTCAATCGCTCTCTCCCTTTTCTTCGACAAAAACGCTGCACATCTTCGTGACGCTAATATTATTATTATTGCGTTTTATCTGTAAAATTTTACCCTCATGCGCCTAAAGAAGTTTCACTTCAACAATGTGCCAATATAGGATTTTGGCCATTTATATTTTACATTTAAATCCCTCTAAACAGCCCTTCGGTGTAGTGTAAACAAACCGGGTCTCTAAAACTCTGAGTTTATCGGTAAGTTAACAGTTTCCACCTCAATTTAAAAACCATGTAGGTACTCGCCCTTTAAAAATTATGCTTCAGGACTATGATTACTTTAAGTATAAGTTCACGTGTTTAATCTAATATAAGCAATGAAATTTGGTTTCATTTGTAGCATTAGCCAATATTCATCATTAAATATTGTGTTTTTATATAACAAAAACAAACCAGTAGGATGCTCATCTGATGTTAAGTGATAAGGGACGGGGCAGAGAGGTAAGACGGGGTACTAGTCCCGCACGTTGATATTGCGACTGGCGGCCATCTTAGTGACGTAGTCGAACTGTCGGTGTCAGTAAAGTACCGAATTACAAAATTTAGGTAGGTAGCAAAAATGTTTATTAACATTAATATTTATCAGAAGAACAAATTTGTTTTATTATTGGTAACGATATCAAATAAGAATAAAACTCTTGGCACGATTTTTTATTTATTTATACTTCATTGCCATATACATAATTATACATATAAAAATACAAAAAGTAAGTAGGTTACATAAGTTATTAGGCAACGGTTAGCGATTTATTTATATTCTGCTGCTCAAATTTTCGCGCGTCCCACACTTCATTCCGAGGACTCCGGGACTCCGAGAAAAAGGGACAGTCCCGTTCAAAACGTGACGTCTGGTCACTTTAGTAATACGTATTTATTTTAAGGTAATTATGATCAACCCATTTATTTTTCTTGATCTTTAGTTACTAGTGCTTAGTGACGTAACAATAGTGTGGCAGGGCTGGCGAAATGCCACGGGCCCGTGACTAAGAGATATTATGTTCTATGGATGAATGTGACTCTCCAATACGCATTGGGCTAGCGTGGGGACTACAGACCATTCCCTCTCGCCTAAGAGAGGTCTATCGCCATTAGTGGGACATATACAACGTGTAATTGAGTACGCTGAAAATCTCGAAGTTTATTAAAATTAAACTGAGTAGGGACGATTTTACTGATAGGGCCCCATCCAAAGAATTTGCCACGGGCCCCAGATGGTTTTTTTTTTTTTTTTTTAAAGACAATTCACACCAATTGACCTAGCCCCATGCTAAGCTGGTGAAGCTTGTGTTATGGGTACTAGGCAACGGATATACATACATATTATAGATAGACGTATAAATACATATTTTAAACACCCAAGACCTAAGCACAACACCAAATGCTCATCACATCAATGTTCGTCTCAGCCGGGGATCGAACCCGGGACCCATGGATTCGCAGTCAGGGGTACTAACCACTAGACCAATGAGTCGTCAAAAGATGGTATAGTATACTTTGAATGCGGCCCTGACCTAAAAAAGGTATCGCCTATATCGCCATTGGTTAAGTTTGACATCGGACTTGTTCGGGACGTCGGAGTTGTTTGGACTGATACAGCTGAGTTTCATCATCGAACGTCAAGGCAGAACACAATATACCATCCTTATCACCTCGACGTCCGTCGTTCCACAGCTGAGCTGCCCACTGAAGTATTTCCGAACCAATTCGACTTAGGAGTCCTTCAAGAAAAGAGCGTACCAATTCTTATGAGCCTTCTGGCAATGTAAGTGTCCATGGGCGGTGGTATCACTTAACGTCAGGTGAGACTCCTGCCCGTTTGCTATTACATAAAAAATAAAAAAAGTACGTGCGTACAAAGTACACGTCAGAAGTGAAACTTCTTTGTATATTAATTATTGAGTAATTAGGCTGCCCAAATCCCATAATTTAATTTTGCCAGTCTTTCTATATTAATGAATACTAAGGCTAATTAAAAACCAGAACTAAAATTAGTTGTTGTTATGTATATAGAAATACCACCATAAATATGGTAATTACCAAATAATATAACAAATTCATTACTATCATAATTGCTGAAATGTCCACATTTTCTAAAATAGCCAAAAGGTCTTGGTTCTGTGGCCTTATAAAAATACAAAACGAATAAAAAACTGGTAATTTATTTACCTACTTAATAAAATAATAATGATAATGATATGTATTAAAAACACCATCGGTGTTCAAGTATGAATAATTGCACCACAATATTACACTAGCACACTTATTAAAGAAAAAAAAAATCGACAAAAATGCTGCACATCTTCGTGACGTTCCGTAAAAATTTTACCCTCATGCGCGTAAAGAAGTTTCACTTCAAAAACAACAATTCCTTCCGACAGTATTCCATGGGCAACATTAGACCATATTGCAGGCTTTCTTTTGGGTTTAAAAATAAAACGACCAATCAATATATAATAACTATTTATGTAAGTATATAAACAGTACATCGATAAGAAAAAATAATTCATTTACCTAAATCGAAATTAAACATAATATAGTAAAACTATTGTTGGCATAAGACATCTAAACTTATAATTTAAAAAATATTCAATTGTTTTGTAATATTCAATTTGACACTGGCCAAACTACAATCACCACTTTTCCCGCGCCTGTGTGACAATTCGCGCGTTAACAGCTGACGCGTTTGACATTTCCAGTCGAGTCATAGACAGGTGAGATAGTCTACGTTATATTATGCGCTGTTTAAACAGTATTGTGTGCTATTTACGCTTTAATATCGGAATATATTGCGATAGATTTAGCTGCGCCAATTTGGAGACTTAAGGAAGTATTTTAACACGCTTGTGAAATTTACATAGCAACTTATACTTGTCTGTGGACTGTATTAAAAAAAATGTCTTAAGTACCCTCACAATAGCTAAACTATAAATTTTAACATACAATCACACTACATATATTAAATTAAAAAAACCAATAGAAATTCCATTAAAAAAAAATTCATGTCCATTTGCAATTTATCGATCTATTTTACGCTAACTTAATCTATAAACACTGCACGTTTCAACAATTTTTCGGTCCTGGCAACAAACAGAAAAAAACAAAAATATTTACAAATCCATGACAAAACTAGTGATGTACACTCGTAAACATTTATCGATACTTTGCGATTCCAAATACGAATTTCATTCGAAGCCTAGGACCCAAAACTTGCGCACTATGGACAGGGCGGAGCCCTAACTTAGACGCTACCTCACCGAAAAATCTCTATAATAACCTATTTTATACAAATTTCCATACACCCCGAAAAAAAAACTTAAATACCGGATTGAAATGAAATTTTAGTACAAAATTCCATAAAAACGCTTCCGCGGACTCCCAAAGGTTGGACACAAAATCAATTCCTGTAATTGGTCGCCCGCACTACATCTATATTATTATAATAATTTATGAATAAATGCATATTTTCATAAACACATTTCGCTTTGGGAATTATCAGAAATGTACATCTTTTTTTTTAAGGCAAACGAGCTTACGGGACACCCAAAAAGCGCAGTCATCCTGAACCCCCATTTTAGTTGGGCCTCTATAGCTACTTTCCCCACTTTTACTGGCGGCGCAAGAGTCGATTTTAGGTCCCATACGTCAACGTCTTGTCCTAAAAGCTGATTTTTAGCCATATGAAAAGAACTCTCCCAAAAGTTCGGCAACCAATGGAACTTATAAATAAAAATACGAATCTAGGAACATTATATCTTAACCAAAAGCTAAAATAATTTATATTAAAAATGGAAGATGTGATACACCTACTTCTTTCAGTTTTGCGTTTAAATAACCAAGTGTTCAGCGTGAAAAACACATTAGAACGAAAATCAAATATTTTTTAAGCAAATAAAGAGCCGATAACACTAAATTGATACCAAATTAATTATTATTAAAATAATATAACTGAAAAATCTTTACTAAAAATAAATATGGAATTAAGTAATCTTGGCTAAAAACCATTGTCAATATAAAAAAATAATGTTAAAACATCGAAAAACCATTCAAGCAATACTAATGTATTAATACACAATACATTTATATATTTAAATTAATTCTATATAAAAACATATATTCGAAATAAAATTAATATCGACATGTATAAACAACATCACTATTGTGTACGACAATTTGAATAAAGAATTTATACATTCGCTACACAAGATGGCGGCGAAACAATTTTTTTCTAAACAGCCAGTCCATAAAAATTCAAAATTTCGAACTTCAATTGTGCGAAACAAAAATCGTCGACCCAATAAATAAAATTGCAAATGAATTGATTGAAGTCCTAGCACGAACTAAATAATTACATGTACAGCGCGAATCGTTTCGCTTAAGCGTCAATATCGTGATTGAATTCGTGCTAGGCTAGCTGAATACTATGTTCCTTGTATATTAAACAGTAGCCAATATCAATACATATATCTACTGTGCTATATTTTGGCAGATCGTACCGTTATGCAACAATAAAAAAGTATGAAACCGCTTAGAACAGGTCGAAAATACTAGACGTTCCCATTCCAAACTTTCATGACAGGAAGCTCGCATGACATAACGCTGACAAACCGCCAAAATTCAAATATAGAAAACGGTGCACTAAAATTAATAAACGCGCCAATCGGATCGCGCGGGGTTGCCAACATACCGGTCTCCCATTTCTGAGATCGGACTCGCTTGAAATGGCTTCGAAAACTTTACTTAAAGCCGCGTAATTTCAATTCGATATTCAAAAATAACTCTACGCTAACGTGACGCACACATTAAAACGACACTTCACGTCACTGACATCTGACAGTTGACAGTTGGCGCCATTACGAGTCAATGTATAATTCCGGTATGTTACGTCGAACCCCGCTCACTGCATAAAGTAGTCTGGGTGATCTGGGTCCTTTTCGAATCGCTTCGCCTCCTCTTGCATGCTCTCTTTAATTTTCAAAATGGCGGCCGATTCCGTCTGGTCACTTTGATCCCCGCCGGGCCCACCGAAACCTTTCAATCAGAAATCAACAACACCACCTGTTTTAAATTATCATCTGATGCTCTGAATTCGAAGGCCCATACCCCAGAACGTATGTCAAAACAGCAACTGTCACAAATGTCAAAACGACACGTCCTGGAGTACGAGCTTGCGTCCATATCATTGGGTGGCAATAATTATGAATTTAATTTAAATATTTGAAATTTGGAAGTACATTACAAAATAAAACAAAAGTTTCAAAATATAAGTTTTAATGTACTTTTACAATTCAATTTAAAATGAACAAAATTATGTCAAATCGTATTTACATATGTTGTTTACAAATGTCAATTAATGTCACACGACACTTTACAATGAGTTTCTAAATCAGAGCAACAGATGGCGCAAATAGCAATGGCAAGATTATATACATAACACGACTTTACGCCAACACCTAGTCTACTTAGCCTATTAGGACGGTATTTCCAAATTGTTTGTAAGCTCGCAATGCTAAAATCAATAAATAGTTCATTATTAAGTATCAAGAGCTTTGAGAGCTTTAGCAGACCGAGCTTAAAACATCAGCAGTGTTACAAGGATATTTTGGCAGTTAATAAGGCGTGAACGCAAACATTAAGTGATAAACGAAACTGATGTCTGGTTTCTGTATGTCAAAATCGTCAAGTCTCGTTTCTGAATCTCACTCTTAGAGTTGAGACTAATAAATTCTGGACTATGGAAGTAATTTACGCTGAGTCGACACTATATCACCCTAAACTCCTTAACTATTAACATAGACCAGCCAAAACAACCTTGTAAAACTCAGGTCTATATTCCACAACATTTCTTGAGCACTGTCAAACAAAATGTCAAACTTAGAGAGGTCAGGGGCCTACCACGACTTTGCCAGGTAATAAACTCCCATTTATACCACAACTCTAAATATCCGAGTAGTATTTATTTTCTAGCATTATCTCCATACTTCTGAATGTTCTCCATAACTTCCAATGGCGATTCCGACATTATTCTATAAAATTTCATTGTTCTGTCAATATTCAGTTAATAACCGCTAATTGGAAGTTACAGAGTCACCACACTGGTTTTCGCTAGCATGGAAAAACCAGTTCATTTTTGACTTGGCTGGTCCGCCCTGGTAAGCCCCCAAAGCATTAATATTTTCATCACCTAAAGAGCTTAATTGACAAACGCGCCATCTAGTACTTCATAAAACACTTACTTAAGTTGTAATCCCCCATTCCCGAGGCCGAGTCCTCGCGGGGCGTTCCCGGCCCTCCTCCACCGACGCCACCCGGAGACGACTTCATACCATCAACACCACCTAATCCTGTTATACATGAACAATACAAAGGAATTAACGAAAACAGTTTGTTGTTGGGATCCTGTTAGGACTAAATATTTTCAAACGCCATCGTTTTCTTACAAATCTTGCTTTATGTCAAATGGGTTTTGACATTTTCAGGCAACTTAGGCACACAGAAATTAGTTGATCAATATGTTCAAATACTATAATTGTTTACAAATCTTGCTTTATGTCAAATAGGTTATGACATTTTCAGGCAACTTAGGCACACAGAAATTACTTTGTCAATTCATAATCAAATACAAATTAGCTTACGCATCAGCCATCAGATGTGTGAGGCAAGATTGCGTAAGGAACATAAGGAAAGAAGGTAAAAAAAATCCTACGACGGTTCTCATTTCTCTCGCTCTCCGCAGTTTCGTCTTTCCTTCGTTCCAAAAGGCATCACAAGTTACAACCTCGGTTAGAGCACTGTCAAATATGTCAAACTTCGAATAGAAACAATTTTTTGACAGCTCTTTAAAGTTTAAGTGACGTTCTAGAAAGCGCTAGTAATAAACTTTCTACTGTATTTGTAAACTAACGATCCACTTCGCGTCATCTCATTTTTATAACTACGTAGATTGGAGGTACGCACAATTTACAATCAAAAACATGTCTGTGAAACCTTCACTTTGCCAGTTGGCTGTGGTGCTGCGACCATGGGTATTGCTCGCCGGCAAACGGACACTCCACCGTTAGGACTTCCGTGACGGGCTTCATCATCGTATACATATTGTCACCCCCTTCCGCGCATTGACATTCCGATATCGAGATGTATGACATTGACAGTCCGGAAATTTAGATGTAGTACTGTGCTCTAGACTGTGCTGTACCAAATAGCATACATTCACTTTTTCTACTTTAATCTATTGCCGTATATATCAATTTTAATAAACACTTATACAATTTGACAGATAAGGGCAATCTCTGTACTATACAACATTGCCTCAATAAGAAGCCATAAAACGAAACCCTACTTTATCTACATAAAATACGTTACCAAAAATACTGGCCCCATAATGCATCCAGTGTTAATTATCAACTAAAAATGGATGCCCAAATTCCCAAAAAGCACGATTTTTTAGGAAACGTTTCAACAATACCATCATAAAAACGCTTAGACGCGACACACGTCAAACAAATTTCTATTAAGACACGTGGCGAAACGTGATATACTCTGTTAAGTTGTAAAGTCACGCGTGGACCAAAAATTAACTAGCTTTGACATATGTCAAATCTCTAAATGCCCAAATTATTTGTATGAAAAAATGGCAGCAAATTTTTTAAGGCGTGTGTCATCTTTCTAAAGATGAACTTTCAAGTGTCAATGTGGCCCCATAGACAACGATTTACAACATACCATTTCAAAGTTCGAACAATTTTTAAAATATGAATACAATTCAATCACACTTTAGATTATTTTCGACCTTGTTTATTACCATGATAAATCTTTGGCGCTACAACCATTTTAGGTCTGGGCCTCCTCTTGTCAGCAAAAGTAAGCAAAGCTCTCAATAGTAACCTACATAAACGTATTAATTATTCGTATAGTACATTTCGTTATCAAGCAATTTGTGGGTAATATGTGTAAAAAAGTAAATAATTACTGTTGACGTAATCACCATGTAAGAAAATCATCTCTGGTCGGCATCACATCAACCGAAAAGGCTTTTTTAATACAGTTTCTCAAAAAGTGGCGTATTGCAGGGACGTATAGCGTTCGGGATGTGGGCTATTACACACTCGTACTTTTTTTTTACCTTTTCCGAACTAGTGCGTTTTCTTTCCCAACTGTCAAAATAATGTCTATTAAAAAGAAAAAACCAACCACGAAGTTTTTACTTAAAAAAAAATTCATAGAATTTTTTATGATTCATGCAAATATTTCTAAAAAGAAGCTACTGCTTTGTTTCAATATCATATTTAATGATTTGATTCAATGAGTTAGGTTAGATTTCATTTCATATCAATAAAAAATTGTACTGAAGACTTGGCTGTATGGGCATAGTTCCCTTTGCCTACCCAGAATGGGTGAAGAAAAAAAAAATCTGCTTATATTCTTTTACGGTTGGCGCCATTTTCCATAAATGTCCTTTGCGCGTTTAGTTGTTTGTTATATTATATATTAAATATACATGAACAATCATACGAAATTAATAATAGTTTGTCTCAAACAGTAAATAAATATGCAACCTAAAACTTCTCCAGTTAGTATAAAAAACTGTACCAATGTATATGTGAACAATAATTTGTATAAGAAATAAATGATTAGTTAGTTGAGTTTATTGTGTTTTTATTATTTTATTAAATTGCATAATTTTTTCGCAACTGTATTAAAAATAGTTGTTCAGTACACGTGCGGAACCGTCATTGCAACTTGTTCCGACTGTCAACCCTCACCTTCGGCTGCGCCTCGGCTCGGGTAGACATTTGTCGAAACTCTTTGCAATGACAGGCTTTCCGCACTTGTAATGAAATATACTATTTATACTACCGCAAGATACCGCGGCAATTAGGTAGCAGTAAGGTGGCACCAGAACAGAAATAAAGTTTAAACCTATCACCCGATTCCAACTTGAAGATGATTTATGGAATTTCTGAATCTATTTTCAATATATTAGTATTCAACATTAATTTATTTATTCGCACGACTTCATATTGTCACCACACCGACACAGAAGACGAAGAAAACGGTATTCAGAAGGGGACGTATTACTTCCTGGTCCATGGTGTAAGGACCAGACATGTGCAGATGCTGTTCCACGTAGTTCTGGAATGCGTGGCAGAGAGATCGCTCCAGTGCCCAGAAAACTTCTGCGCTTCTTGAAGGAAGACTTTATTATCCAGTACTTTTTACCTAATGATAGTCTAAGTGCGTCAACCAACCATGTGGGTAAATTCATATTGTATATTTTTGTGAGGGAATGGAAATTATCAGGAAATGTTCTGATCGAGAATTGTTACTTTGGTTAATTGAGATTCCTTATATTACTTTAAAGAATCATAATTTAATTCGCCATTATTTTGGAATGATTGTACGTAACGAATATTGTTACGACCAATCAGAGCAGAGCATCTTGACTTTGGACAGTGCTTCAAGAAACGCAGTACTGATTGAGTATTCAGTGAAGTGGTGATGAGAGGATGGACCGAGTTGGGTCTTTGTGATTAAAAGTGAGATCGGTGCAACCAGCTGCTCGTTATTTAAGCTAAAATTTTATTTGTAGTGTTAAAAGGAAATCTAAATGCGTCATGGCTGGCCATGCGTCATGCTCGTGAACTCGGGTGCTGCTTGTGGTCTGGCCGTACTTGAATTCGTGAATGCGGTGCTGATGGTTATTTCGACTATGTTTGCGTGTTGTTCCCACGAGAATGTAAGTGCGTGCTCCTATTTCACCATGCCTTCTGCTGATAGAGGACAAATCTTTGTTTTTAATTTATGTTATTATTATTAATTACTTAAAATGTCACATGGGACATGGTGTAATGGTTGCAGCTCCTTACGAACATTTTGTAAAACAAAACAATGGCGAATAAAAAGAGTGGCGGAGAGTTTATTGCCAGTTCTTCTCTCCCGTTCTACGCCCTTGATTTGAGATCTGACAGTAAATGTAAAATTAGAAGCATTATTATGAATTTCTTTACTGACAAGTCATAAGTGTACATTATGTTACCTATGTGATTAAATGTTTTTTTTTTTTAATTTTTTTTTTTAATTCAATTCGCGTCCTTTGTGCTCACACTTTACCCACAAGACGTCCGGAATTTTTATTTACGATCCTCAGATTTCTGAATAAATACTGTTCGAGCGAATGTTAAATGCACACAAAAGTCCATTGGTGCACAGACTGGTATTGAATCTACGACCTCAGGGATGAGAGTCGCACTCTGAAGCCACTAGGCCAACACTGTTCTTAATTCCTCTCTCTTCAATCGGCAGCTCATATCTGAGCTTCATGGTCAGCAAGGAAGCATCTGGAGCGGTCTATCTGTTTCTACCGGTTTCTGTTCAGCCCCTCTCTTATGTACAGTTTTGATTACGACTCATTCCCTTGATCGGTCCATCTGGTTGGTGAACGGCCACGTGATCTTTTGCCTTCTACCAACCACGATCAGTTTCTCCAAGTTCTCATCGCCTCATGCGGAGTTGGATCAGAATCGATGTATTGGTGCGCAGTCCAAGGTATTCTGAGCTTTCAGCCAGCACCACATCTCAAAGGCATCAATCCATTCTCAAGCCAAGATAGTTTCTTTTGTCTTATTTTGGTGTACCAATTCCTCTTAATTCTTCTCTTAACAAAGGTTTCTCTTAATAAAGGCTTTATATCAAATCTAATTGCGTATAGTCTGGCTAATTAAAGATATCGAAGAAACGCGGCAAATTCAAAAAAATTTAGTATAGTATCCCTAAAAGTTTGATACATTTTGTGGATTAAACTTACTTGATACTTGATTTTATTTTATTATTTTTTTACATTGATAGTAACTGTATTTCTATGAAATTAAATGCTATACATATTTAGTCTTTTACTATTGATACTTTAAATTACTAGCATTGCATTGAAAACTAAAACTATATTTATTATAAAACACAACTTTATTCGGAATAATCAAAATCAGAATCCAAAATATAAATATGCATAGATTCATTAGAGTCATTGCTGTTTTCTCTGTCTCTCACATTGATTATAAAACTTTCTAAATGTTTAGGCAAAAAATATATAATAGAAATAAAAATGAGTAATTGCATGAAGTATCAAGACAATAAATCATACTAACCTAAGACATTCAATCACATTCTGTGTTGCCATCCGAAAGTTTTCAAATAATTCAATTATCCTCTTTCATTAGCCAGACTCTATCAGCATAGCTACTACATAACTTCAAATACAACATCCGAAGCATTCTGGCCAATACAAATTTACGGAGAACCGATTCCAAAAAAATCACTTACCTGAGTTCGATGAATCCTGTGGGCTTGGCATTATAGGTGTCGGGGGCCCCGGGGGTCCATTTGACCCCGGCGGCGCCCCGTACGCCCCCGGCGAGCCACCGCTGTAATTAAGGGGGGCTGAGCCCCCGGCTGATCCACTGCCGCCCGCCCATGCGCCCCTCGGCCCCATTCCCATTGGAGGCATGCCTGAATCATCATTCATTATTTTATTTTTAAATTTGTATTTCCAAATGAAAAAAGTGGTACTTTCGAAATTAATAAAGTGATATTTCCAAATTTAAAAAAAAATTGTATTTTCATATTTCTAAGTGAAATTTCTAAAAAAAAAGTAAAATTTTCAAATTTAAAAAAGCGAAATTTATATGTAAATTAAAAAAAACTAGTTATTCCAAAGTTTTTAAAAAGTTTTCTTACCAAATTAAAAAAAAAAGTAATTTCCAAAATTAAAAATTGTTTTCTAATATTTCATTAAAAATTAACCATCAACTTATTTAAATTAATTTTTAAATTACTAACCGAATAACTAACTTTGTAACAATGGTAATTACATACCCGCTCCCTGAGGCGGTGGGCCTCTCATACCCGCAGCGTAGGCCCCGGGGCTCATCGGCCCCATGCCAGGTCGCGGAGGTGTCATACGAGGCCCGCCGAGCATTCCAGCACCTCCCGCACCACCCCTTTCCAACGAATTGCCCATCATACCTTGTCCTGAGAAAACAAGATCATTGAAGTGAAACTTGAGAGATGTGCAGCGTTTTTGTCGAAGAAAAGGGAGAGGGCGATTGAGAGAGTGAGAAGGGTGAATTACCTTATAGAAATTCTATTTTTAAAATTAAAATTTCGTAAAGAGAATTTATGAAATATTACTATTTTATATTTTATGCAAAATAATTTATTGAAATCTAAAATGGCGAATTGTTAATTAAAATGCCACGTGTTTTTATTATCGAATAAATAAATTTCCCTCCCTCTAAGTCTAGGAATTCTAAAGTTTTAGATTTGGATAAATTTGTACAAGAGTTAAAAATTAGTTTGCCAAAGAAGTTTCTTCTGACAGGTGTACTTTGTACACACGCACATATTTTATTAACATTTAAAAATAAATTAATAGTCAAATTTATGATTTAAAAAATGTATAAATTTTTACCATATTCATAAGATCTAAAAACACACATACAAACTCTAAACATAAGATACATTTTGTTTTTTAAGACAATTCACACAAATTGACCTAGTCCCATGCTAAGCGGGTGAAGCTTGTGTTATGGGTACTAGGCAACGGATATACATAAATATTATAGATAGATAGACATATAAATACATATTTAAACGCCCAAGACCTAAGCACAACACCAAATGCTCATCACATCGATGTTCTTCTCAGCCAGGGATCGAACCCAGGACCCGTGGATTTGCAGTCAGGGGTACCAAACACTAGACCAATGAGTCGTCATATTTAAATTATAATTTTATTCCCCACAGCCATTTCAAAATAAAAACAAATTTACATAGATATTTCAACCCGTATGCTATCCATCCTAAATAATATTTCCGCTGATAACCAAAGAAAACTATTATATACACCAGCTTTACAATTGCCACATATAACATGCTAATCAGGGCTGAGACTTCATCGATCACAATAAAGTCACTACACTTATTTTTATACTTTATTCTGCAAACTAAAAATTCTCCATTCCTACCTGGTGGTCCATTAAAGTCATTGCCCATTCCCATTCGTACAGCTGATCGTGGTCCTCCTGAATACCATGGTCCAATAAACGGTTGTCCGGAGCCCATCAGCTGCGGCTGTGGCCCGTGGGGTGATGGCTGAGAGCCTGGATGTGGGGCTGGTGGTGACGGCCGGAGTGAGGAGTTAGGGAAGAAACCGGGTGGCATTCCACCTCCACCCATACCTGGAATTAATTAACATATAAATAAGAATATGTTAGGATTCTTACTGAGGTTAAAATTCACAAGAGTTTTTTTTTTCTTTATTTATTTGTGAAACAAAATAGATACATCTCTATACAATAAAAAAATAAAAAATAAAATAAACACATTGGATGTATCCACAAATAGAAGAACAACAAACATACTGGTAGCCATAATAAAGAAGAAAGATACAAGGATTAGGACATTAATAGTTGTTTTAAATTTAATTTACTATCAATTATTAAATATTGTTGTGACTATATTCGAATGCTAGTTCCATACTGGGATTACGCACAACAGAGCTAATGACAGTCTAAGTATGGAAACAGAGTCCATCAACCATTAAACCCATACTGCGAATACGACTAAAGGAGCACCTGTATAGTTGACTAGACCATAACTCTTCTGTGGTAAATGTTTAAAAAGAATATAAGTAAGAACAAAAGTTATCTTAACGTTGAATGTTGAATCTTAGTTGAATTAATAAACAAGTCAAGTTACAGCTTAAGTATGCATGGCCTGCCTAACACATCTTATTTGATGTGTGATTGTTAATTTCAGACAACATACAAACTTGTAATGATATCTATAATATAAAAATGAATCGCAAAATGTGTTGGTAAGCGCATAACTCAACAACGCCTGGACCAATTTGGCCAATTCTTTTTTTATAATATTCCTTGAAGTACGAGGATGGTTCTTACGGAAAGAAAAAATTTGAATTGAGTGAAAAAGTCAAAAATCAACACTTTCCCATACAAAAGATTCGTAATAATACTTAAAAGTCAATTTGAACTTTAATACCATATCATAAAGTTCAAGTGTTAGTGGAGGGGTTCCGGGAAGGTAAATTTTTATTTTTTGACATAATGTATTTGTTATCTTATCAACTTTCTTTTTTTTTATCTTACTAGCTAGACCGGTGTCCCGAATAGCAGAATAAGTATTAAAAAAAATATAAAGAATCGACTGTTAGGCGGTACGATGTTCGCCAGGCCAGCTAGTTTATTATAATTATGGCATGAGATCAGTGCCACATACAACTCACAACCCTAATGATCCCATCTAAAGCAATATTTCTATTTTAAATGCAAAATAATTAATTTGGCAACATTGTGTGGAATCAAACCAGTCTTAGATTAAGATTCAATCTTAAGTCTTGACTTTAGTTATAAAAACAAATATAAATTTCATTGTTTTTTTTTTGTTTTTAATTTCTATAAACACCTGATGACACATGTTACATATCCATTGCACTCCCTTCTCCCCGCATAAGCAATATCTGTACCGTAATACACCGTTATAAAAGGAAATGGACAACAGATACCAATAGCTTTGATCGGATACCTCACATCGGACCGGTCAATTCTCATCTAGTAATAAGTCTATAATATAGATTATTGATTGTGCATTTCATATCGGGCCGATTCAATTTTCATATTTAGTTAAGTCTCAATTATTGTACTAGTAATTAAACAAATTTTAGTTTTTTTTGGAATTCACCGCTGGCCCTCACATAATTCACATGTCAATATTTTCAGTATATGTAAAGTCTTGAAGTATCAGTTTACAACTAATTTTTTAAAGAAAATTTAATTTGACCATACCATAATTATTACACATAATTGAATTATACAACTGAATGACAGAAGACAAACCTTGGGGACAGCCCTCGGTAATCAATTGGTTTTTAAAAAAAAATGCATTGGGAGAATAAAAGCTACGTTTTGATTTGCCTTTTTTTATTGAATTAAATGAAAAAACATGAAATTTTTACATGTTTTAAATATAAATAAATGCTATGTACAAGTTTAGAAATAAAAATCTTGTTTTTTAAACATCTCCGTCAATGTAAGCTGTTTTGCGGTTTCAAGTTTTCGGGGTAGATAATCGGCGATTCGGATAGTCGGAGTTCGAATAATTGGAGTTCTACTGTACTATATTTTTAACCCATAACACAAAAGAGGGGTATAATAAGTTGTATGTATTTCTATGCTGTGACAACATAGTTATATATATATAGGAAAGAATTTATTAAGGCGTCATGCTTGAGCATTTCAAGGTTGTGTTGACTTAAAACTTTTTTAAATTATGTTTATAAATTAAGAGGTGTCTTTAAAGAGCCCCGTGTTTAAATATTTTGTTTCAGACCGAAAGAAAGATAATGCCTTCTCTGTCAACTCTATCTCTAATAGCATTTAGGAATTTGTTACTTGTCAATAAAGTACAAAATAAATACAAAATATATTATTCAAGATTGACAAGGTCTCAAAAGTACTAAGTTAATAGAGTTTGATATATGCAACACTTTTTATACACCTAAAAATACAGTATGTTTATAGCAAATCAGATACATACTCTAGAGACCCTTAAAACATATCTGAAACATAATACTTGTACTATATTATATAGATTTTTGTAATGGGATAAATGCTAAGTTTTTATACATATATGTTGCACTAATTCAGCTTCTCTAATATGAAATAAGTGTATTTCGGTAAGTAATTGGAGATATTATAATGAACATACTCAACAACTCAGTCAGGGCTCATTTTATAAAAGGGTATTGAATGTTCTTATCACTTATTACAACTAATTAACTATATTGTTTTTTTTTATCACCTTCCTCAACCTTCAAATTCAACATGCAAATTCACATTGAACTTTTACTGTTTGACTTATTTTATATTTTATTATTAATAACGATAGTCAGACTACAAATAAAAATTTGATTTGTTTTTACATATTGTTCATATTACTTATACTTTAGTTTTTTTAATTATACTGGCTAGATGCTTTAATTCATTAGTTTTTTTCATATAAAAAGTGATTAAATATATAGACATACAAATTCATGTTGCTATGCCATTTTCACATGTACTCAGCACTCTCTCTTTTTCATAGATATAATAACAATGTAAACTCATTATAACCAAATGAAAAACGTCGAAAACACAACATTATTTGCACAAAAAGATAAGAAACATAGTGTCCTAGAAATCTAATTTCTAAATGTTAACAACCTAATTTCTGTTGGGTGAATGTTAAAAATAGCTCGCTTACCATCGTTCGGCGGCGCTGGGCCTGCATTGTGACCGATTCCGTTAACACCATATCCAGAATTGACAAAACCATAATCGTGAAATGCCTTCGCTTCTGAAGAGTGCTCACATGTGTCCCGCCGTTCTGGCGCGGCGCAGTAAAGATCCCAAAACACACACCACCACGAGTGGAGGAACCCAGGGGGTTCTCCAAGCGTTATATTCTTCTCCCATCGGATTTCCGAAAGGAAAGTTTGCGCCGCTTTCTGTGCCCCAACATGCAGTAAGTATTCGTAGACATAGAGGGCCAACTTCTCGCGTGCCTGAGCGTCCGAAGGTACCGTAGAGCCTTTGCCCTTGGCATACATATCGACTGAAAGCCGACGTTTATGTTAGAATTGTTTATTATTTACATTAACGCTTTATATCAATAAATTCAACTACACAAAATGTCATTGATCGATGGCGACATTTGGCGTCTGTGGCATAGAGAAATCGGATTGTTTTCTATTTCCAACTGTACATTTTTGTTATGTCATAAAATATTGACTATGGTTTTATACAGACCAAACAAACGGTGTTATGTAGTGTAACAGAGTACAAATAAAAAGTAATTAAATTTTTGTAGGAATTACTTATTTTTACTCAATCGTTTTTCATTTGAAGTTCTATATTAATTTAATAATTATAGTTCAAATTATATTGAGTTATTTATTTGGCAATAATAATAAAAAGTAAATATGGCTTGCATTTATTGCAAAAAAAAACTATAAAACGATCATAAAATTATCAGATGTGTACATCTTAAAAAATAATTTTTCCTGTCTCGATTATGAAAAAACGACGATTGTGATGTTATTGATTGCTTCACGTTGTTAAAAAAACAAATTTTTAGTGTTATTTTACAAAACTTTAATTTGACTTTTAGATGGGGTTGGGTGCAAGAGTGATGCATCTGAATCTGATGATACTGATTATGCAGGAGTCTCGGGGACTTTGATTGGAACACCTCCAAGTGATTTTAGCTACCGGAAATGCGTCAAAGTATTTAAAAAAAAAATTAAAGTTTTGTGAAATGTATTGAAACTTGTAAACAATCCACCATTATCTACTTTTCTATTGGTTATAAGAGATGTGACATTCTCGTTTTCTATTGGTTATAAGTGATGTGACATTTTCGCCAAATTAATCGGATCGATTATTTTCTCATTTGTTATTTTTAAAGTTGAACCTAATCGAATCGATTATTTCCTCATTTGTTAATTTTAAAGTTGAACCTAATTTAACCATTACGTCTTGTCAAATGTTTTTGTTCATTACATTAACTTCATGTTTCAATTAGTGTATGGTTCCGAAAAATTTTAAATTATTCAAAAAGTACCCAAAACCGAATCAGAGCACCCCACTATCCACGTGGTCTTGTCTGCCTTACCCCTAGAGTGTATATAAATAATCGGAGGCGCGGAGGAAGAGCAGCCCCCACCCGCTGTAACAAAGCACAGGCATTATGCAAGCCAAAAAGCCGAGGTTGCGGAGGCTTGAATAAAATGCCTGTGCTTTGGTACGCAAGGGTGGAGGGGCTGCATTTCCCGTAGCGCCGGAGCTGTCCAAAAACCAATTAAAACCAGGTAAATAAACAAAAAAATTTAAAAAAAATTCCGGCGCGCAAACTTGGTGGGGGGTGATTACTACACCCCTCCCCCTCCTCATACCCCGCAACCCCCAATTTGGGTGCATCGTTGTCGCATCGTTACCGATTTTATTATTACCAATTGGTGATTTTATTGAACATACTTCCTATATAATTTATTTTTCATTGTACATATAAAATTGAACTTGCCGGTCTATAATATGCCGACAAAGAATTATCTCATATTTTGGCCATACAATGCGCATAGCTGACGAGAACTTAGAGAAACTGATCGTGTTTAACCAGGCGGACTGGCCAAGTGAAAGATTCAACGTCCTAAAAACTGTATACAGTGATAAGAGAGGTGCTGGTCAGAAACCGGTGGAAACTAATAGTACGCTCCGATGTTTCATTGCTTACCACGAAGCTCAGACATGAGCTACCGACTGAAGAGAGAGAGAGATATGAAAAATATTTAATACAATACTCTTCGTGTTGATGTTGTTTCATTGCCATATGACGTCGTCTAAATTTATGATTGAAATTAAGTAGCGTCAAAATAGTAATTTTGATATAAAATAAACATTAAACCAATTTAAACAATGTTTTCAAAAATTCCAAAAGGAGGAAGTTTTCTGTGGAAATTCATAGACAACATATTTCTGATAAAAAATTATTGAAATATTGACAGTGAAAACACATATAACCTCTGGGAATTGTAATTGTCTATACCTTCTTCCTTTTTGTGCGGCCGTGTCACCGCGTGGTTCACAGCCGTGTTTCGTGTAAGAAACAAAACTCAAAATGGCAATCAGACCTGTATATAGGCCTACTATCGTCAAAAAGAGGACGAAAAGATTCATCAGACATCAATCGGATCGCTATGACAAACTTAAACGCAACTGGCGTAAACCCAGAGGTAAGAATGTGTTTTTTTTGTAACTCGTGCACGTTTTAATTTAAATAATCATCAATCATTTTCTATTACATTTATGTCACATCGTATAACCCCATACCATTTCATTTTTAGCATAACAAAGATATCACACTGTCTATATTTATCAACCATACTTTTTTGAGGTTATATTTATACATGATAGCAAAAACGCTATGAAAAATAGCAAAAATGTAACGCTAGACGAAGTTAAATAGGCCTGTATATAAACCATAGAGCTTTCTAGTCTTGATAGCTTTCTGTAAACGCTTTTGTAGTTATTATCTGCTTAAATAGTTGTAAATTTTACGTATGATGTTCCATTACTCTTTGAAACAATATTATTAATTAAGACATTATTTAAATCTTAAAAATAAACAACCGCGTGAATCTCATCAAGACGTCAAGATTCTACACATTAGGACAAATAATAAAGATGCAAGGGCACTCTGTGCTAATTTACCTATAAGTTAGTAGCAATTTGTTACCTTGCTATAAAAAATCTACTAAACCCTATTCCGAGAACTACTATATTGTTACTTGGTCATCTTAGTAGAGACAATTTTAACACTATATTTAGTTCTATACACTGACACTTATTGGTTTATTCTTGGAGGTATTGGTAAAAAAATTAAATACATATTCATTAAAGTTATGAAGAAATTTGACTTTATTTTTATATAGGTTTCTTAACAGACAAAACTATTGGTTAGTGCATACAACATGTCACTTAAACCTCCCATTGTGAATTTCAGGTATTGACAACAGAGTCCGTAGGCGTTTCAAGGGACAGTACTTGATGCCCAGCATTGGATACGGTTCAAACAAGAAGACACGTCACATGCTACCCAATGGCTTCCGCAAGGTAATTATAATGCTATAGTTAAACTATAACTCATCTCTACCCAGATTTACTCTACTTACTAATCTAACTTAACTTCAATCTTGCATGTTAAAAGTCTTATCGTCTTGTCACTATGAACTATTAAATTCCATTTGACATCTTGCCTTTTATTCAACTTTCTATTGACTGCAAACTTTATATTAGTATATAAAGGTAAGGGAATCCAATCCCCTATACTAAGGGCCTCGGCCAAAAAGCTGTGTGTAAAACCAATTAACCAGTTTATATTAGGCGCTTAGTGACTATTGTATTCCTGAACACTGAGAATTTTTATCTAAGGCACCTCAGAGCAATCAGGACCCTGATTAATTGAATTTATGAGAATTCAGTAATAAAATCACAGTTACTCACTAATATTTAATTTATCTGTTTTATTTATAGATTTCTAAATACTTACCCTCATTCACATTCGTTATATGCAAGGGCACTCTGTGCTAATCATTATCAATATGTTAGTAACAATTTGTTACCTTGCTAGATTAAATTCTACTAAACCCTATTCCGAGAACCACTGCATGGTTACTTGGTCATATTAGTAGAAACATTTAATCAGTATAATTTATAGTTATCGGAACATGCTAAAAAATATTCATCATATACTCCTTCAACACACATAAATGTAGATGGAAGCAAGAGAGTCACATAATCCTTACAAGATTCTTTTAATAATAATTTGGTTATTTAAATGCACATTGCACACTAGAAAACCGTCCACAGGCTGAATTAAACAGATTGCCTTATGACTTTAAAGCAATTTTGAGATAACTGTACTAATTGAGAGCATTAATAGAGCAGTAATAACACCGAAAATTGCAAACCATATTACTAATATAATATTTAGGATAATATAACTAACCATCAATTCCTTATATCCCCTAGATGGGTCAGGGGGTGTCCACATTGTTGTGTCCTATCTCTATTCAACTAACACAATACTTAACAAACTGATGTATAATTTTCCACTTCATAAATATTTGTTATTCTAAAAACATATAAATTCATATTATTTGCATTGAAAAGACTTGGTTTTTGTCTTAAATAGGAGTAAAAGAATGTTTGTTGGCTATAAGCTAGAAATTTATTTGTATTCCAGGTGCTAGTACACAACGTCAAAGAGCTAGAGATCCTTATGATGCAAAACCGTAAATACTGTGCGGAGATCGCTCACGGTGTATCCTCCAAGAAGCGGAAGGCGATTGTCGAACGCGCCCAACAGCTCAGTATCAGAGTGACAAACGCCGCCGCGCGTCTCCGAAGCCAGGAGAATGAATAAGCTAACAAATAAATTTAAGAAAGTTTATTGAGTTTTATTTATAACTGTATGCTTTATGCGCCGTTTGACCAGTTATGTTCACATACACGTTATTTTTGAACAGTTGATTACCATGTAGTGAATGCTTGCATGAAATTGTTGTCGCGGACTATTTCTTAATACTAAATGTTTTCAATAACTAATCACGCAATGGTAGCTTAGGGAAACTTGGTCTAAATCGAGGTCGCCATTGCTCAAAAATCTTAAAGTAAGATTTACCATATAAAATAAAGATATTTTGACTTTCTTTAGAAACAATTGCATTTAATGATTTTTACCTAAAGGTTAACTAACATTACCTGCCAAGTCTATATAGGTATATAAAGTAGTCTAGACCTCCATGGTATTGCAAGAGGATGTTGAAAGATATTAGTCTTTTTAATTATTGTATTAAAAATACCAATCCTAACATTTTCGTTCTGCTTGTAATGTCTTCACAAATTCTAACCGATTAAAAAAATAACAGATAAATAAATAAGATTAAGTGTTGGAGGCAGTCAGAGGTATTTAAGAATGATACATAGTCAAGTAGGGATGTGAAAAATTAATCGATTTTTATATTTAAGATAATCGATTAATAATCAATTATTTTTATAATTGCAAATCAATCATAATCGATTTTTTATCTGCCACCTCCCGATATTATGTCTGGTCTTTTATAACCCGGACCTCGAACTATTAGGGATATTCGATACACAACGATTTTACAATGCGATACATTGAATCCGATTCTTTGAAGATGTATTGATATACTCGATACATTGATGTTTTTTTGTAAAACATCAAAAGGATGATAAAAGCAGTTAATTTTACAAAAACTCAAGTTTGAATGGAACACTATAATTTAAAAGTAAAATAAATTTATTCAGCAGAACAAGACAACATACAATTAAAAAGGCAACAAAAATACTGCAATGTGCTACTGAAAAGGAATACACTCAGCATCTATCAAAACGAGATTAAGTTAATTTCGATTTTGATTATTCTTAAACGTTATTTTGTGTTTATAATTTCTATTGTTTATTAGGGTGGGTCAATTTTTTTTTTTTTAAGTAATCGATTTCTAATACCGAAAATATGTTGTAGTTAGGTATTGTTATAAACCCTTTAAAATATTATTTAATTATTTTAAGTGGAACAGCCCGCGCAACGCCCTCGAAGTTTTGAAAAAAATAGCTCAGGTACCCACTTTTACACCTTAAGTTACACGTTTGACATTGGGTATAGTTGAATGTTTTAATAAGTTTCCATTAAAACACACATTACTTTTCTTATATAAACTGTGTTATTTATTAAAAGAAGATTTTTTGAGGTAAGTACATTCAGAGAATTTATGTATCAATGTGGCTAGTTTCTAGTGAAATGTTGCGAAATTGTAAACTATGTATTTTTGCTTAAGAACTTGGAAATCAAATTTTTCTATCATGTCAAATAATAGACAGTCTTACAAGTGCCCTATATATATTAAGAACTATAGAAGATATAAAAGAAATCGTGTTATCAATATACCAGGATGTCATGAAATGTTACGAGTGGATAGACTACAGAAAGTTAAAAATAGCAGTAAATAAGAGCCTGCGTTTTCCGAAATTGCAGAAATTGAAGGAGAAAAGGCATCAATCCCTGAAGCCTCGCATACAACAGTCATTCAGCTCCTGAAAGCATTACAAGGAACTGCAAAGGCCATTGAGGTATAAACGCTTTTCTTTTCGCCAAAAATATAAGTACTGTTGACCTCCTGGCTATTGGATGCGATGGAACAGTAACAAATACAGGTAAATTTAGTAGTGTCATAAGGTTATTTGAAAAAAGACTTCAGAGACCTTTGCAATGGATAATTTGCTTGCTGCATTGAAATGAACTGCCCTTGAGGCATTTGTTTGATTATATGGATGGTAAAACTTCTGGTCCATCTACGTATAATGGTCCTATTGGTTTGTTGCTGGATAAGTGTGAAATGCAAGTTGTAGTTGAATTGGAGTCAATACCAGGTTAAAACCTGATGACTTAAGCACAGACCAAAAGTTTTTGTATACCTTAGCAGTAATTACTGGAAGAACTTAGCAAATAAATCACCTGGATAAATATCACATGCTCGTTGGTTGACTAAGGCAAATCGGATCTTGCGGCTTTACATTTCTACACCAACGCCATCAACTAATTTTATAATTTTGGCCCAATACATTGTAAAAGTATATGCCCCCGAGTGGTTCCAAATAAAGACACACTCATCATACAAAGACGGATCACGGCACCTCTGGACATTGATTAAATGTTCGCGATTTTTATCAAGTGCATTAAAAGCAGTCCTAGATCGCCCAGATTTGCCCACTCTAAAAATCTACTATTAGCGATGTTAACAGATAAAGAAAAGCATATAAGAGAACTTGCAGCTAGAAGAATTCTAAAAGTTGTTCATCTACAACGGGAAAACTACCACGCACTTTTGAAGTTCCTAAGCTTAATTTTGATGCTAAATGTTACATTAATCGAATAAACTGGCCAGAAACCAACTTTCATCCACCTATTCTAAGAAATCAAACTAATGACGAACTTATTCAGATAATGGAGAAAAAGGTGACGAAAGGATGTTGTTTATTAGGCTACCTTGCCATATACTGGCGGTTGAACCAAGTTTAAAGATTGTGACTGAAGCTGCAATGTCGGCATGTGATCGGAAGTGAAACTCACTTCAAGGAAAGTTATGGCGAAATTCAATAGTAGGCGGGATTTTTTTGTATAAAAATAGATAATTTTTTGATAACCTTTATGTCTATTTGTTTAAGTGTTTTGTTTTAAACGTGAATATATATGTCTTTCACTAAATATTTGTAATGTTTCAATAGTATTTTAAGTAATTTCTAATAAAGAACTATCGTATTTAGTAATACATGTTTTTCTCAAAAACTAATAACTTTGAAGCTCATGCGCGGGCTGAAGATATATGTTTTATTATCCGTTTTTTAGCTAAACATACTTTTTATAGTACACTACAACATAATATTACTATTAGAATTTGATTCATCAACTTTTATTTTTTTCCTAACTAGAGTGACCCACCCTATTGCTTATATTTAATTAAAAAAACCATGAAAAATAAAATATTTAGGGTGTTTATTTTGAAATTAATTCAAAAATTAGGAAAAAAATCGATTAATAAAAAAATCGATTATTTTTTTAAGAAAAATCGATTATTTATTAATCGATTATTCATGCTAAAAAAATAATCGATTAATAAAAAATCGATTTTTTTATGCAGAATGTCACATCCCTAGTCTGAAGTCTGAACTAGCATTATTTTTGTTATTGTACAATATTGACAGCGGGTCGGCGTCTGTTTCTTTCCATCACAGCGTAGACTCATTTGTCAGAAAGAGAAAGAGTGCTATTTATAGCTTCAAATACATATAACCTAAGCAATATTGAGTAAATAGCCATAAAGTGGTTTATGACTGGCCCATGTAATTGTTTATGAATGTCTATAAGACATCATTAAATAAAAGTGTTATCTGAAGTAGTCCCTTGTCTCGGAAGGCTGTTGGGATCTAGTTTAAAACTGTATTTTCGTGTCCGTTCGGTTTAAAACATTTAAATTCGATCATAAAGAAATTTCATACATCACGAAAATCCTGCTTAAAAACTACAAGGAACTAACTTATTTTCGAAAAAAACTATGCGTGATCGCATCGCGTGCTTTGCTAAAATAATTCAAGCCTTACCGAACTACTGTCAAAAGAAGGATGTGCTTATGCAACGTTACAAAATTCATTAATTAATTACAGATTTCTGTAAACATTGAATTGACCGTTGTTTATAGAGGCAAGTAGGTAGGATTGGCCTTTTGAACATGCTGGCGAATGTTGATGTTAGTTTTACGACGTAGGATAATAATATAAAAAAATCCAAAAGTACGCCGTTCAGTCGGGGAGCGAATTTATGACCAGCCAAGTGTTGCGCGAAAAAAAATTATTTACACTATATAAAATTATGTTTACAACTATATAATAGATATTTTTCGTAATAATTTCGTTAAGGGTGATTTATAATTTTGTAACACGGCTGGCTTAAATGTATAATCCTGGATCTGCCTTTTAGTTCCGAAGATTTTGGGACAAACAAAACACTTTAGTACACGTACTTGAAAAAAAGGTTGGAAAACACTTAATAATTATTATTGAAAGAGATAATCGCCGACAAAATTTGTACTGTTGCATGCAGCGGTCCACCGAGCAGATCACTCGCAAAATGGTATGGAAAACGATCATTGGCAATGTTATGATATTTTTTATGATGCACGAGCTCGTACCAAGTACGGCTTGTTAAAGTTTTATACAGTATGCTCACTAATTTATTTATAATATTTTTGAAGTGAAACTTCTTTATCGAGGTTGGAAAAAAATTTAGTGTAACATTTTTTCGTTACGCGTCACATTTTTCGGTTACGCGCCACGTTGCTTTTTGAAGTCAAACTTCTTTATCGGCGTTGGAAAGAAACTTCTTTATCGACGTATGGGAGAAATTTTGTAGCAAATCGTCACGTTTTTCAATGATAGTAATAATTCTATTACAATTAATGAAATTCTATAATAATCTTCGTAGTAATAAGGTGAAATGAAATATTTGTATTCATGTCTATAGACTACGGATTCAAAGCTTTCGCTTCATCCACTGTCATAACATTCACCATGCATTTTTGAAGTTATACTTCTTTTGGCGCATCTTAAAAAATTGCGCGTGTACACACACGTTTTTTTAAATGTAACAGTAGACAAACGGACACGAGGCTCATCTGATGTTAAGTGACACCGCCCATGGACACTCCCATAGCCAGACGACTCGCAAATGCGTTGCCAGCCTTTTAAGAATTGGTACGTTCTTGATGGAACTTAAGTCGATTCGGTTTGGAAATACTTCAAAAGTGGAGCAAATACTAAACTGGTTCCCAAGGTACAATAAACGAAAAAGAGGAGGACAATTTAGAAGGTGGATTCACCAAATAAAGGAAACAGCAGACATGGCTGAGAGAGGCACTGGCAGACAGAGGCGGGATTTGGCCAAATTGGAGGAAACACAAACAGATACCTAACGTAAATCTTTTTTTTATGGCTCTGGCACGGTTTGTGCATTAGCCAGCGTCAAGTATAAGATTTTAATAATTCGTGCTTTGGCTTTAGAAATTCGACCGTGTCCTCCAAGTACGGTTTAAGCACTCGCCCGGTACCGCACAACCCTCCCAAAGGCCGAGAACAAATTTAAATTAAATTAAAACTTGCCCTCGAACCGGGAATCGAACCCGGTACCCCTCACCTAAACGTAAATCTGTTTAAGTATCTGTTTGTGTTGTAAAATTATGTTTAAGTGTATATGTATCTGAAACAAAAGGTTATTATTATTACGTACATATTCTTCCATATGGTATGGTCAAACCCCTAATAAAACGAATGGTTAGGCGTTTCAGACAGTAAAACGAACACCCTTTAACCCCAACTGGGTGAATTTCAATGTACGAAAATTCATGCAAAAATCAACTGAACAACGAAACGAAACGAAAGCCCGTGGTAAGACTTTACATCTATTTATTTATATATTTTAAATCCTAATTTATTTATTGCGTTTATGACTTTAATCATTACATAGCTAGGCTTTTTATTATGTTAAATCAAAGGAATAAATCCGAATATGATGTTGTCCCATTCGGTGTCGAGACCCTTGGGGTCCTAGCGCTATAAGGCTTTTTAAGTAAATATCAAAAAGGATAGTCGTCATCACAAGAGACCGAAGAGCTGGCAGCTACCTCGGACAAAGAATTAGTCTAGCTATTCAAAGGGGGATCGCTGCTAGTACCTTCGGAACCTTGTCTAAAGGGACTCCTTTTAATAATATATTTAAGTTAATTATTGTTATTAATTAATTAATTAGTATATTATTTAAATATTCATAATCATGATGTGGTAAACTTTGGTTTTGGTTATTATTTTATATTTTTTAAGGTTATTTAGTATCACTTGTATATTCTGTAATTTGGTTGTTGTATATTAAAAATAATTAATAAATTGAAAAATATAATATTAAAACAAAATTAAAAACTTTGCTCTATTTAATGCTGGCATTTCCTTGCTCTGGAGCCACCGGTACTATCTTCTTCAACTTAAATCTTTAATTAGCCACTTGAACCCCACGGCCCAAGATTCTCTACTCCAAAGGGAACAAAATCGAAGTTGGAGGAAAGTCTCTTATGTTTGAGCCGTTTCTTATTTTCCGACTGCTCTACACCGTTTTTTAAGCTTATTCAGTTGAACGCTTAATAGGGGCTTCACATGTCGTCATACATTAGCATCGGCCGTACCAAATCCTCCTATTCAAGGGATCAAACACCCATACGGCCGCTTGCCATCTTCTCTTGCGATGCCTGTTGGCTCCAAAAAAAAATTGATTTGACATATAGAAGTTACAGTTCACGCTCTCGTTTCTGTTTTGTCAAAAACGTGACGTTGCGGCTCTCTTTCTCCTGTGAAATGTCAAGTGACTTTTAATATTACAGAAATGTCGCTGAAAGTTCTCCAGCCTCAAAAACATCGACACCACACTGTCCGATTCTCCAGCGATGACTTACCAAGATATAAATCCCTGGTAAGAATAATTCTTCAATACAGAGACGGTAATTGGAGGTATGCATGTATCTGGTCTTTGTGCCTTCTTAAGTTCTCATGTCATTTTCACACGTATAAATCCTTTAACATATTATATGTGATTGTCCTCATTTTAATATGTATATGTGACGTGAAAGCATTAATACAATAAGAATATTATAGATATTACATTTATTAGTAATTATAACAAACAAATATACAGTACTAGCTGATCCGGCTAACTTCGTTTCGCCTTACAATCTAATAATATCGTTGTTACTTTAGTTAAACTTTTTTTAGGATTTCATTAAGGTAACATTTGATAATGTTTTATTGCTTACCACTGTGAAAGAAGAATGGCAGTTTTACACATTAGGCCTCTTCTCTCTAGCGCCAATATTGCGATACTGCATGTTAAAGCACTTTCTGATGTACAACATTTTTTGATGAGGTAATGCATGTCTTCGATCAAGATCGGAATTTCTTGAACTGACACGAATTCGACGTAAAATGATGCGTAGTTTTATCAACAGATGGCACCAAATGCTGTTTGCATTCGTAAAATTAATTAATTTATTTATTGTTATTCCATGACTCATCCGATATTTTGTTACTTATTCTGCTATTTGGAGCGGAGAAGAATCCACCAAAAAAGAGATAACTAACATCGGTCCAGCCGTGTAACTAACACGACTTTGTTTTATATATTTAAATTTATAATTTTCTTAACATAAATAGTAATGAATTAAAACAAATTTAAAAAGTTTGGTCCCTGTGGCAGTGTACCTTTAACGATTTCCTCGCTGTATTGCGATACTTATTCGTTAAGGAAAGCACCAGCTCTGGGGTCACCCTACTATCTACCAGGCGCCAACTTTAATCTTAGCGCCTGCACTTGAACCCCACGGCCCAAGAGTCTCTACTCCAAAGGGAACAAAATCGAAGTTGGGGGAAATACTCTTATATTTGATCCGTTTATTATCTCTGATCTTTGATGATAAATTAATCTACTAGTATTTTTCTATATGCATAGTAATGTTGGCCTAGTGGTTTACTAGGTTCGATTCCCGGCTGTGGACATTTTGCGTAAGGTATTCAACATAGAGAATGTTACGGTGAGGGAAAACATAGTGTGATCGTCTTCGACGATGTGTCAGGCACAAAAGAACAGTCGAAATTCCTGAAGTCTGCGGCTCATATTTGAAAGGCTGTTCTTCTTTTAACTCAGATAATGCTGCTAAGCAGGTCGTTCCAGTCTTTTGTTCTTCGAAAACTACCACAAAAATTATGATTTGCGGTATTTGTTTTAAAATAAGTGTTGTTTGATGATTTGCTATTTTAAAAGAGTACCGAGAGTTTTTTACGCCGGCTTTTTCTTTCCTACACCCTCTGTCTTCTTTGCCGATGAGGGATGCCTACAGATTCAAATTTAATGACGTGGAATAAGTGATACCTGTATCTTATATTCCATAATATACATATTTTATTATGGAATATTTAAGTATATATTCTATTTTCAGGAACAAACAGAGCAATCGTTTGTGGAGTATGGATCACCGCAGTCCTATTCTGGAGTCGACTCTGGGGCTCCAAGTCCAGACTTTCCTTTCCAACCAGCCGCTGAGAGGTTTAGGCTTAATGAACAACGTAAGTATTTGGATAAAACGTCAATTATGTTTAATACAACCAAGGACTAATTACGGAATTAATATAATGTATCAAGGCGCACAAATATTTAATACATTGCCATCCAGTTAAGAAGGAATAAACCCTTTTTTTTTTAAAGTATGTATAATTAACAACATACCAATAAAATAACAAAAATAAAAACACACATATATCTATGTCTGTAAAAGTTCAATATAAATTATAAAATAAATATGTATTTACAAAACATAAAAAATCTGTGAACGAGTGTCTAAGAAATTATTTATATCCATTAGTCACATAATGGCTGTTGTAACATCGATGCGACCTACCTTGTAAAAAATATTGTACATTTTGTTGTTTTTTATCACGTTACATTCATTGTCCCGTTACGCTCATTGTACGCTTGCGTCGCATCTATCTCTAAAACCTACTTTACAGACAACCACTGTACTGTACCTACGTGCTCTCTTCCCTGAGGTCGTAGGTTCGATCTGTGGTTGTTCACCAATGGACTTTCATTTGCATTTAACGAACGGTGAAGGAAAACATCGTGAGTAAAGCGGCTTTAGACCCAAAAATCAACAGTGTGCCAGGCACAGGATATTGAATTATTGATAAATCATGAAACAGATCAATCTGAGCCCCAGATTTAAAAAAATTGTAGCGCCAATAGTTTTTGTACTGTACCCCGTGTTTAGGCCAGTAGCCTTTATTATGTGATAATATTACGTTTTTGTTGTATATATTTCTTGATCTTTACCTAATGACTATTCTTTAATCATTAGTTTATATGTCGCACTTTTAAAGATGGCTTTCGTAGCGTATGTGCGTAATTGAGTAAAATATAACGCCTGCCAAAAAAAAGTTGTGCGTTATCCCACTCATACACCCGCAAATTTCTACAAGAGACCCATAAAAAACTGCATTCATTTGGTTGGCGTGTGTAAAAGTGTACCAGTGAATAGGTCCTGAGCTAAAGTAAACAATAAACTACAAGCTCCCTCCTTATCAGAATGCCAAATCATAAAATGACTGCTTCACGACTGAATTGAGAGCGACCGTCGATGCGAAAACCGCTGTGTGAGTACGAAAAGTGAGTTACAGAATCGCAAGGCTGATACCAATAATAATAATAAATCGTTTATTTGTAATGAAAGTGGTACATTCAGATTAAAAATACCGCACGATCAGCCATATAAAAATAGACATGTAATCATATTAATAATTATCATAATAATAAGTATTGTGCAGTGTTGGCTTCAGCGTGCGACTCTCATACCTGAGGTCGTAGGTTCGATCCCCGGTTGTGCACCAATGGACTTTCTATGTGCGCATTTAACATTTGCTCGAACAGTGAAGGAAAACATCGTGAGGAAACCGACATGTCTTAGACCCAAAAAGTCGAAGGCGTGTGTCAGGCACTGGAGGCTGATCTTGCCTATTTGATTTAAAAATGATCATGAAACAGATTCAGAAATCTGAGGTCAAGACCTAAAGAGGTTGTAGTGCCACTGATTTATTTAATAATAAGTACAGTTAAGATACTTATTATTTTTAAAACTTATGGTCTAAATACTGGACACTTTACTTTAAAAATTTAATTTTAATGTATCCTTACGATTCGTATTAGTTCACCTCAGTAGAAGTGTATTTTTTTACAGGCATCAAATTACTAACAGCCATCAATCAAATTGTACAACAGAGGGCTGAACAGGAATCAAACCGCCTTACCCTCTCTTCCCTTCTCGATGAGTTGAGGAGGAAATTGAAGAGGAGAGTAGAAGACTGTCATTTAGACAAAAGGGATAAGTTGAAAGTAAGATTAGAGTAGTCTACAAGTATTTTTGAAGTTATACTTCTTTTGGCGCGTTAGGGAAAAATGATGAGAGTATTTTTTACGATGCGCGCGCACACCGTCACGAAACACCGACACCCTGAAGTTAGCATAGTCAACATTTTAAAATAAAAATGACCATTTCTTTAATTACGTAGAAATCATTTTTTTGTGATATTTAAATAAACTTTATTTAACTAGATAATGCGTTATAATAAAACTTTCAATGTATTAAATACCTTTTTTCTATTGTTAGTGTCGTTATTTCTACAAACGAATAAGGTGAAAGTTGAATTTTTATAAAGATTTTTACCTTGTTACAAAGAAGTATAACTTCTAACGCGTGTACGCGCAAACTAGCTGCTGTGGTCTCTGACAGAATGACCAGCGCTGTGGAACTTTTTGCTCCTCAGCATAATGCTGAGCTAGGGGCAATTACAGTCACAGCACACACGCATTGCACACTGGAAGCGAACCGAATGGCAAAAGGGAATTTTTATTGAAGTGAAACTTCTTTATCGAGGTTGGAAAAAATTTAGTGTAACATTTTTTCGTTACTTGTCACATTTTTCGGTTACGCGCCATGTTGCTTTTTGAAGTCATACTTCTTTATCGGCGTTGGAATGAAACTTCTTTATCGACGTATGGGAGAAATTTTGTAGCAAATCGTCACGTTTTTCAATGATAGTAATAATTCTATTACAATTAATGAAATTCTATAATAATCTTCGTAGTAATAAGGTAAAATGAAATATTTGTATTCATGTCTATGATAATAAAAGCCTTTTGTTAAACTTTATCTAATTTAACGAATTTCTGTAAAGTTGCATATAGTAGATCATTTTTCGAAAAATAAGATCATAAAGAAGTTTCACTTCATACGTGTGTACACCTAGTACACGCACAATTTTTTTTTTTTTTTTGTTTTTGATATGTCTTATTTTATTTTTTCTCTGAGTATTGTTATTTTGTGTGTTTATGTGTTTGTGTTTTCGTATGTAATAAATGTTATGTCAATGTCTATTTTTTTTTATAAATTAATTCTGCACAAAGACAGACCTTAATTTAAGACTAAAGTGTCCAATAACTTACAGTATTACGGGAAAGAAACTCTTCTTTTGGGTTCTATTTTTCCAGTTACCTCTGTTTAGCACTTAAACTAACGTGCACTAACACCGATTCAAATGGTTTTCTCCCTTTCAATCTTCTCACTAGGCCCCTGTTGGGTTTTTTTAGGCACTAAAGCAAGCGAACCAGCGACTGGAGAAGGAGAAGTTCAGCATCACAGTGGAGATAGGGCACCTCAAACGGCACCTGGAGAAGGAGGAAGCTCATCATGTCCAGCACGCGAGGACTGCTGTTGTTCAGGTATCAGGGTTTTCATTATCCCGTCAGCTTCACAGCTTTATAAAGCTAAATTTAATTGTAACTAGCAGACCCGACTGCCGTCCTGTCTGAAGGCCCTATCCCAGCACGAATTGCTGTGTCAGTGTCTCGGGGTGGACTGCGGGGCGCAGTGGAGAGCTGGAGCACTGAGCCGCGCCGGCCCGTAATAACAATTAGTTGTGTAAAACATTAAATTAATGTAATTTTAACAGTATTTTTTTCTGAAATGGATTACTTGGCTTGCGATGTTCTATATACACTTTCGTCATAAAATGAATTCAAATCGTTAAATATGGCTGTTTGGATTTTTTTTAATAATAAGGAAAGGAAGAGAAGAACTGGCAATAAAATCTCCGCCACTCTTTTTAATCGACAAGTTTTTTGTTTTACACAATGTTTGTAAGGAGCTGCAACCATTACACCATTTTCCACATGACATCTTAAGTAATATAATAAATTAAAAACAAATATGTGTCCTCTATCGGCAGGAGGCATGGTGAACTAGGAGCACGCACTTACATTCTCGTGGGAACAACACGCAAATCATATTTTATCGTCCATTATTAATTAACACATATACTCCGAACAATGATGTTCTGACTACTCACGATTTGAAGTCAATATCTATTGAATGTGTTTATTCAATATTGTTATATTGAAACATAGTGAAATTGGTTCGTGATATTTATTGACCGTCTGAGAATTGACTGAGAGAGTAGTTTTTTTTTTTTATTGGCTCTGGCACGATTTGTTCATTAGCCAGCGTCAAGTATAGGATTTTTTATAATTCTTAGCCCTTAGAAATTCGACCGTGTCCTCCATGTACGGTTTAAGCACTCGCCCGGTACCGGACAACCCTCCCAAAGGCCGAGAACAAATTTAAATTAAATTAAAACTTGCCCTCGAACCGGGAATCGAACCCGGTACCCCTCACCTAGCTGCCACTTAATAAGACCGCTAGGCTATGAGTATATATATAGACAAGTGTCCAAAGACAATACTGCATGCTCGAGTCTCTATCGAGGATTTATAATCTGTATAATCTTTTCAAGGCCATCCAGGGTGTAACAAAATCGCCATTGGAGCTCTTCACGTCGTGTTCTGTGTCTCAACTGCCCGATATTGTCTGTAGAAGTGTCGCCAAGAACGCGCCATCAAAAGTTGTGAGTATTAATTTGGCTTGATTGCACAACAAATTTGTCGTAAGATTACTTGGTTGAATATAGTCTGTTGTATATTTTTTGAAGTGAAACTTCTTTAGGCGCATGAGGGTAAAATTTTTACGGATGAAACGCAATAATAATATTAGCGTCACGAATATGTGCAGCGTTTTTGTCGAAGAAAAGGGAGAGCGCTATTGCGACCGGTTGAGAGTGAGAACGGCGAATTAACTTTTAGAAATTCTATTTTTTCAATTAAAATTTCGAAAAGAGAATTTATTGAATAGTATTAGTATTTTATATTTCATGCAAAATAATTAATGGAAATCTCAAATGACGAATTGTAAATTAAAATGCCACGTGTTTTTACTATCGAAAAAATAAATTTAAAAATTAAATTTATAACTTGTATTAATTTTCGACATTTAATATTTTGATGACAATTAAATCCTTAACATATTATCTTCCTTTTTCCCTCCCTCTAAGTCTCGGAAATTTAAGTTTTAGTTTGTATAAATATGAACAAGAGTTAAAGATTAGTTGCCAAAGAAGTTTCACTTCTGACATGTGTACTTTGTACGCACGCAATTTTTTATTTATTTATTAGATATTGTATATTTTACGAGTTATTTCAATAAAAAGCGTTTGGCGTTTACTTCATTTTTGTTCCGCGAAACACACGTCTTATCTGACGCGAATTTTAGGCATAATATGTTTGTTTCACTAATCAGTCGCCACTCCATTGAGACGAGAACACTTCTCTTGTTTGCGCCAGCGCGGCGCTGCATATCTTAATATATATATAAACCGATATCAATAAAATTTGCACACCGTGTGTAGTTTGATCTAACTTAAAAGATTGGATAGCTTAAATCTCAATTTATACCCGCAATATTATTTCTTTGCAGAATATTTGTTTATTATTTGATAGTCACAATTCCAACAGATGGCGCTGTGTTGAAAGTACGTTTCACATAAGCTACAATTTAATGGCATAACCACCAAAAAAGCATGGTGGTCCCCATGACTGGTGTTCTCCTACCGTTTCCCTTGAATAGTTTACTACTATGTAATATAACAAAAACCTTAGCCACAGCAACGCTTGGCCGGTCTGCTAGTAATATTATAATTACCACCACAATTAAATACTAAAGTTAAACTTTCGTATGTTTTAGGCCGACTACAAACTAAATGCCGCGCGGCTGATGCGCGACATAGTTGATTTGCGACAGCGTCTTGCGCAGGTGGAAGCTAAACTATCCAATGAACTCAAGGTAACTATTAAATGTGCCACATATAGATATATATATATAAATGTTATGTTGGTTTGTGTACGCTTCAAAAACTCAAAAAGTTCTGCACCGATCAAGCTGAAATTTTAGCACGATATATAATCTGCATCAAGGATTGTTTTTGCATCAGTCACATATCTGCGACCGTGAAAAAACTGTTTTTTTAACGCTCAGCTGTGTACCAGTGACTGCGCCATCTGCCAGAAGCGAGGAAAACACTCGCGCTTCAGCGAAGCGACTCACTGCTGGGCCCTAATGAACTTATTATGTTCGAATCCTAGCCCGTAAAGGAAAAACATAGGAAACCAGCATGCCTTAGACCAGTTTCCCAACGTGGGGCCTACGCCCCAGAGGGGATTTGATTGTTATAGGAATAAAAAAATGAACTCGATGTTTGGAAAACCTTTGTGTGTTTCGTTAATAATTTCCTAGTGATTTATTTCCACTTGATTCAGTGCCTTATGTGAACAGATCAATTTTTAAAATCAAAAATTATGTAGGTACTAGTGGACCCCACAGACGTTGTCCTGCATGATATTTAAAGCGATTAGGATATTAAGCAAAGTATGAAAGTACCGATGAGTGCCATCTGCCGGGCTGATTTGTGAATTTAAACCATTCCCAGATCCCCTTGAACACAAAAAAAATTTCATCAAAATTGGTCCAGTCGTTTAGGAGGAGTTCAGTCACATACACACGCACACAAGAAATATATATATTAAGATGTATAGGGGCATAAGAATTTTAGAAAGGCTCAGGGACTAAAGGCTAATCTATTCAAGTCATGAGGAAAATAGAAGTAATAATAATAATTAACATTGACCAATACATTAATCCATCTTTACAAAAAACACTTTATAAAAAAAAATCTTTTTGAACCTCTAATAAAGTATAGGCCTCCTCTAACTGGCTGCATCTCTCTCTATCTTGAGCATTTTACTCCCAACCCATCTGTCTTGTTCCAAAACGTTGGAATATCCAAAAAATTATGGAAAACGTCATGAGGAAAACGAAGAAATAGATAAATAAAAATGGATGGCGTGTATTTGTGAATTTTTTTATTTTTATGTAATAGGAGGCGAACGGGCAGGAGGCTCACCTGATGTTAAGTGATACCGCCGCCCATGGACACTCACATTGCCAGAAAACTCGCAAGTGCGTTGCCGACCTTTCAAGAATTGGTACACTCTTTTCTTGAAGGACCCTAAGTTGAATTGGTTCGGAAATACTTCAGTGGGCAGCTGGTTCCACATAGTGGTGTTGCGCGGCAAAAACTGCCTTTAAACGCTCAGTTATGGAACGACGGACGTCGAGGTGATACGGATGGTATTTTGTATTTTGCCTTGACGTCCGATAATGAAACACAGCAGGTATTAGACCGAACAACTACTCTGAACACTCTCCATGGTAAATGCGGTAGAAGATGCATATATCTTGACTTATCTAGCTATTATTTTTTTTATTACACAAACAGTTTATAGTTGTAAAAAATTATCAGTCCATTTCCAGCGTAAAAGGCAGGTTGAGAACGACATTGTGCGACTGAGGAAGGAGCTGTCTGCGACTAAGAGCAACGTTGCGTCGTTGCGGCTTTTGCCCGCGCCACAAAAGAAGCCATGCGCAAAATTCGCCTAACTTTTTGAACGAAATTTTACCTTTACTTTTTTCACTAAAATATGTTTAATTATAAAGGCCGATTTACATTATCTTAGTGTTTAGGAGAGTGCTTTAGGATAGTACTTTAGTTGAAACATGTAAACGCTACTTGCTTTAGTACGGTTCTACTTGACTTACAAGTTGAATCAAAATAGAATCGCTTTTTATTTTTGTTTCAAGTGATACCCCTCCCGCGCCTGCGCAACCCCCGAGATCTTTCCTCGTTGTGTGTAAACACGTAATTTAGTACAATCTTTAGGAGAGTGCACAAGTGCCGTGAAACGCGTGCGTGTTTTTTGATTTTTAAAGATGGCTAAATGGTCGGAAGATACAACTATCAAATTTGTGTCTGAATATATTGTTCACGAATGTTTGTGGAACGTTAAAAACAATTTATACAAAAACAAACAGGCTAGGCATTCGGCATACACTGCCTTAAAAGAAGCTATTTTATTTATTATTCATATTTAGTTTATTTATTTTGAATAAAATCTCGTCTTCTATTTGTTCCATAACTACAGTTAGTATTTTGCGTAGAATAGAGCGTATTTGCCGACGTCGTTGCGCGTTCATTGTGGCGATGTAATGAATAATGATACTCTACTGGAGGAAATGTAAACGTTCACTCGCAACGCACTAAAGCACTAAAGAACTTGCCTTTCAACTTGTACTAAAATACTCTCCTAAACACTAAGATAATGTAAATCGGCCCTAATACCTAGAACAAAAATGTGTTTAAAATACAGTTATTTTAATGTTTCATCAGAACACTATTACTTTTTTTTTTTAAATGGCTCTGGCATGATTTGTGCATTTAGCCAGCGTCAAGTATAGGATTTTTTATAATTCGCGCTTGTTTTTAGAAATTCGGCCGTGTCCTCCATGTACGGTTTAAGCACTCGCCCGGTACCGCACAACCCTCCCAAAGGCCGAGAACAAATTTAAATTAAATTAAAGTTTGCCCTCGAACCGGGAATCGAACCCGGTACCCCTCATCTAGCTGCCACTTAATAAGACCCCTGAGGTCACAACACTATTACTTATTAGTTATATTATTTACACCACAGACAAAACAAAATTCATAATTTACAAATATTCAAAAAACTAAATTGTTTGTGGCCAATTCAATAATATTTACACAAATTAAAGTACTAGAGCGATATTTCTATTCGTCAACACATACCTTTGTCTCTTTCTGTCTAACTGTATTTCCGCTGTGATAATAAGAGACAGGTGAGTTTTAATAAAACTGCTTTATTTTGTATAAATAATTATTATGATTATACCTATTTCTTACGTACTTCCGTAAATACATGATCTCCGCAGTAAAATTTACTTCACTTCCTGCCTCTATCCGTTTTCCTCTAAATTTCTTAAAACCACTATTATATAAGTATTACCTGCCCAAATCGTAACGCTAACAGGTTTTCCTTTCTTTCTCTCTGTATTAATTCCCTTAACCATATTCTGTTTTATCTTTTCCAACTGAAATATTCGCTATTTCTTATTATTGCAACCCATATTTATATATATATGTTAACGTAGAATTGTAAACACCGTTAGATTGTAATCTATCTCGCGAGATTATGAACTGTCGAAAGATTGTGAACCTCAGCATACTGCTTACAATTTAACGTAATATTATTCGGTAGATTGTAATCTATCGAAGTGAAACCGTCAAATTATGAAACGGATCGCACCTCGTGCGCTGATTGGTTGAACGGAATATGCCCCTCGCCACCATATTTGTTTGTTAATTCGTTTGTTGTCGAATGTAACTTGATTGTTTTGATGAATGTAAATTGATGTAGTGTTGAAAGTAACTCACAGCTTTAGAATTAGTGATATGAAATTGTTGGGAAGTAAAATTAATATGTGATTGACCAAAGAAGTTTGAATAATAAATAAGTTAGTGTTGGAAATGAAATGAAAGAGTTCGTTGAGGTTCACAATCTTTCGGCAGTTTACAATCTCGCGAGATAGATTACAATCTAACGGTGTTTACAATTTTAAGGTGACATATACATACACAACATAAAAACATTAGCGTAAAGTTTTGTGTCAGTTATTAATCATTATTAAAATTCATAACTAAATCTGCTGACGACACGAAGAATGAAAAATAGATTATCCGGGAATAATGTGTACTGTGAAGAATGCGGCGTGTGACGCTAGCCCGTCCCCTGCTCCCCGCAGATGTATTACGCATATTTAAACACGAAACAAAAATAACATTTTATCGTGCACAGAATGTAAAATGGTATTACTTATTTGCTATTATTTATTTATTAAAAAACATGAATGTACTACACTTTTATATTAAACTATTATTTCTTTCACCTGGTAAAAAGAATTGAGTCAATGTCGCCTATTTTGTATGTTTTTGGTGTGTAATAAAACAACATTATCAGTTAAATGGCTTTTATTAACCTACTAAAGGACCAAAACGGTTCCCGCCAAAAGGCTTAAAACAATCTTTGCTTATACAAAAGAAATATTTGAACCATTGAGTGAATCGTTCTTTAGTTTTTATTTTCGTACTTGAATTATCACAAATTAATCTCTACCTGCGCTCTAGAGATTAATTTTACAATTATATCATGTATCGATCAACGCTTTTAGAACGTAATTTGCCGCCAAAATAAACAACAGAGTAAATACATTTTCACAGACAAACTTCAACTTTTGACAATGTGTAAACAGACAATAATAAGTCAACAGATTAAAAATATCATTTTCCGTGTGACAAATAATGCGATTGAAAACTTTCCTTGCCTTTAAAATACCGTAAACACACATCGCATTGATATACGGGTTGGCCCGTGTGCGTCCTCATATGACGATCGAGCATTTCTCGTGATTTTAGGTCCTTCCCACAGATAGCGCATAGATAATCTGACTTTTTTCTATGCTCTCTCTGCACATGTGCTGCCAGATGCTGCGCGACTGTATATTTTTTGGGACATTCGGCGCAATAGTGTTGATGTAATAGGGGAAAATTGCCGTCTGTTCTTCCTTGATTTATGTTTTTTGAACCTAAACTTAATCTGAAAGATTTGAGGTATTGTATATTAATTGTAGCGACAAAATTATTTGTGACTGCGTTTTGTCTTCAGGTTGTTACTAAGTCCGTAAGGCTGTATGACATTTTACTATACTCCATGACAAGGGTTCGACATGAGTACTGCGTTTTCCAATCTCTTAAGGTGCGATTACACGGGCAACTAAAATTGCTCAATTCCAGTCATAGTCAATTATGACGTCACGACTACATCAAGCAATTTACGGCAACGGCAACAAGCATCAATACTGCGCAATACAATATTGAGCGATATGGCGCAACTTCATCAACTAGGCAATACTGTCATACACGAGCATTTCAGTTTTCGCTCGCTATGGACGACATTGTTCTTGCTGCGGCGGCTTTAGCGTAGCTTGCTGTAGCGCTTTTTTTTATCATTAATCAAAAACAAAAAAGAAAGAAAAGGAATAGGCGTATCTGGGTGCGATCGTTTTTGGCAAAGAGGACAAAATTTTCATTATGTAAAGATGATATATTATTCAAAAACTTTACTAGAATGTCACGAACAGACTTTGAATTACTTTTGAATAAAGTAATTAGAAATTATTATTATATAGACCTCTCGCTCTCCCCGCGGAAGCAAGACGGCAAGCCGCAAAACAAACAAGTGCGAATGAGACATATACAAAAATTGCTAGGAATTTCCAAGTCCATTGGATATTCGTCAATTCGTATCTGCGACATTGAGCGATATGAAATATCTGGAGCAATTAGAAGCAATATCGCCGAAATAATTTATTGCAATTTATTGAAATTGCTCCATTAATTGCTCCAGATCGGTCCATTCGTGTCGCCGAGCAATTATTGCCCTCGTGTAAGCGCACCTTTACATTTATTTCGACGGTAATGTAATCTACCTCAAATTGAAAGATAAACCAAACGCTTAATCAATTCACTTTTCTACTACAATATAGGGTCAATGTATTAATAGTTGACCGGTTAAGCGCTTTTTACTGCTTCGAAATGTACAGCAGACTTGGTTTATTACTTACATCAAATTTAAATATAGTAAATGATTGTGTGAACTTTAGTGTGTTTAGAGATATAAATATTACTATTTAACTGGAACCATTTTTCAGAATATCAAAAAATAAAATAAAAATATATAAATGCGCCACTAGTTGACCAGCAAACTCCAAAGTCTGACCGTGAATGTACCATAAGTTGACCATACAGTGAAATGTAAATAAAACGAAATTTACAAAGAAAATTATTATTTTTAATAGTCAAATTTAAATTAACAAAACCTTGAGAAGAAAATCAACATAATATTACATGTTTTAAACAGTATATGGAAGGTATTTGTCCATTTCCTTTACGACATAAAAACCTCTCTTGTTAGAGAGCACAGGTGCATCTATTACTTCCACTACATCTTTTTGATGGTACCAGATTTTATCAGGCTTTTCTGGCCATTTAAATGTATTTGCCACGGAAAAGCTCATAGTGCTTATTTCAAAAAATTGTTCGTCGACATTTTCAACAAGCCCAGGAAAATATTGTCCTTCATATATGAGGATGACATAATTTCCTTTACATATTCCTTTTTTCTTCGCAGATAAAACGCTTAACAATTCTTCTTCGGAAGCTGGTTCAGATCCTACTGTTTGTATATTTTCATTTTCTTTGTTTATATTTCTTGTATCAATTATGTTACTATCGTCTGATTCACTATCACTCCGTATAATGAGACTGTTTGTTTTCTTTTTCATTCTTTTGCCTTGGACTTTACATTTTTTTATATCTATTTCTGAGACACAGGAGAGCGAGCGTATCACTGCTCTCTTTACTTTTGGTTTCTTTACTTGACTTTTACTTATTTTCTTCTCATCTCGCTCTCTTTTTCTGTTTTCTATATATTCTAACTTCTTTTGCTTTTCTTCTTCTTTTTTTTTTTTAAATAATCTATGAAATATTTTGATGTCACCGCAAGTGGCAGGCGTTCCTTAGTTTTTTTCTTTATTGGGGAGTCTGATGGCCACAAAATGGTTACCAAAAGCAGGGCTTATTAGTTTTTGTTTTTTGGCCATAAGCTGAAATAGTTTATTTTTAGAAGTGTTAACTGTGTTGCTTCCTTGTTGATTTGTTGCAATCTCTGCCTCTGGAGTAATTGCAGATGTCTGCCGATTCACTGGAGCGTCAGATGGATTTTGAAAAGGTGAAGTAGGCATATTAACAGGTATGTCATCTACAACGGCCACAGGTGCAGTATCTTTGGAACAATCGCAAGCTTCTGGAGTGGGTGTTGAAATTGATGCTTCCTGCGCTAGAAGCTGATCTAATTTATTTTCTGAAATGGATACCGAGTTGCTACCTTGATCAGTCACAACAATCATCTCCATCTCTAGAGATGTTGTAGATGTTCGTCTACTTACTTGAGCGCTTACCGATGGTTGTAAGAGTGATGGGGATTTATTAGTAGGTAATTCATACTCTGTCACAAGCGCAACAGAACAGCTACTACTACCTTCTGGAATAGATGCTTCACGAAGAGAAGAAGATGTGGAAGAAAGGTAATGTTGACGAAGTTTTTTCCAGACGTAAAATAGTTCCTTAGCCGATTCGTCACCTTCCCATTGTTCATCTTTTATGGCTTGTCTAAATTGTTCTGTTCGACCTTTTCGCATAAAAGATTCTAGCAACAGAATTGTTTCTACTCCTCCTGTCTCTGCAAGTGTTGGTGCATTGCGCACTTCATGGTCCATACATTTGGTATAATCAACTGCAGAAGGGTCAAAAGGGTAGATTCCACATCTTTTAAATCTATTGGAAATGATTGCAGGCGTAACTTTCTCTTTGAATACTTTTAAAAGAAGTGGCGCAAAGGTAGCTCTAGTGATGTGTCTATTGCCACTGTTTCTTTTGTATTCAAACGCGATGTTTTGCCAACCACTTTTCAGGCACTTGAAAAGTGATACATCAGCGGGCTGGGTAATATGTGTTGAATTTGGGAATAATGCGTGTACTAGAATTTGGTTATTTGAGCAATATTCTGCCACTTGCAAAGTCATGTGAGATCGGTGACCATCTATTAAAAGTAAAACAGGTTTCGAAATCTTATTGTTCTTTAGCCATGGATCAAATACATTTACTATATATTCATAATATAGAGGTGCTGTCATCCATCCTTTTTTAGACTTTCCTATAGCCCAATCTGCTGGAACGTTGTGGGCTATATCACTAGATATACGCATCAATGGATATACAACCATAGGTGCAACTAATTGCCCAGCTGCATTCAAGCAGGCCATCACAGTAAGTTGCTCCTTTTCCTTTCCTGACTTAACTTCAAAAAAATTTTTCATTCCAACTGGTCCAAGAACTCTACCAGATTCAGGACATGTCTGAAACCCTGACTCATCTGCGTTGTATAATCTTGTAGGATCCTCTAATATTTCCAGGGCATTCTCCTTTACTAAATATTCTTTTACTGAATCGAACCATCCTCTTAAATCAGACACTAGCACGAGCTGTTGATATGCTTTCGGCACATCTTTCTTTAATTTGCGGGTTACGTTTCAAAAATAAATCAAACCATTTTCGGCCTGGACAGTTATTTTTAAACGGAGTTTTTCTATTATCTTCTTCAATTATCTTTTTTACTGTATCTACTAAAGTTTGGCGTTTTAATGGTATTCCCTTTCTAGCATTTGCTATAATATAAGCAACTAGTAAATTTTCTTCAGCCTCTGTTAGGAAAGTGTCACGTCCCATCTTTCGTTTTTCAGGTACCCTCCCCTTTAATTTATTTATAAGAGTACTGTGTGGAACGCCAAAGTGGCGAGCAGCTTCTCGTATCTTAAATGTACCATCACGCACTGCTTTAATAGCAGATTGCATAGCAGTATCTGGGTAGCGTAATATTTTCGCATTTTCCTTTCTTTTCTTTACTGGAATAGAAAATAAAAGGAAAATGTACACACCAACACCATTCAATTTAACTGGACAAGCATTGGCAAACCTCGTTCCTAAAGCTGACCACAGCAAGTAGGCACAAAATTTAGCACTGGTCAACTATTGGACAAGCATATCTTACAGGGGTCATGCTTTAGGTGAAATTAACGAAAATATATAATAACATAAGAAAAACAAAAAAAAACTTTACATTCTTAAATATATGTTTAAGCCAAAGCTTGACCACCATGGACAGCTTTAGGAGCACGATTAAAATTTCGGAGCCAATGGATAACCACCCCACAAAAATCAGTTATCCACAAAAAACAGCATAAATATTACATTCAGCACTTTAACAAACTATTACCCTTAAACCCTATCGCATTAAATCAAAAAATGCACGAGAAAATACTCAGATGAAATAAGATTTACCAAGAAACTCATAAAAAACATTCTTACTAAATCAGATGTGTACTTACCGGGCGCCATCTTCACTTGCAAAGAACTCGGATTGGTCAACCAATAGCGAACTTACTCGTGTACCACGTGACAGTAATAGTGTTGTCAACATGAACGACAAAAAACTGCTATCAAAACCTGCCATTTTACGTTAAAAAAGGCTAAAGTGTGTGTTTTGGTCAACTATTGGTGCATGGTCAGCTAATAGCACATTGACCCTATACTGCTCAAAACAATTAGCGGAACAAGATTTTTCTCCTTTCTATTGCTTAAACTAAAATTAGATTTAAATTAACTTGTACGCTATTTTTTACCTTGTTAATTTGTTAATTACTACAATTAATAAAAAAAATCAATTTGTATGTTTTTTATTAAAAAAAAATTAAAATGTGCATTGTAGACGAAAAACTAATTGGTGATAAAAAAGGTCCATCAAAGAAATATTCTTATATCGTTTATAATATTCGTCTTTAGTGACTTTCAGTAACGTGTGTGGCCTCCATGAGCCCTAATCACGGCTTGACAACGACGCGGCATGCTTCGTATGATCCTCCGAATATCTTCTTGTGGAATTCGCTCCCATTCTTCAATCAACGCTTCAGTGAGCTGCTGCAGTGTTTGAGGTGCAATCGGACGCTTCCGGATGCGCCTGTCAAGCAAGTCCCAAATGTGTTCAATTGGATTTAGGTCAGGGCTCATGGAAGGCCACTCCATTACACGGATTTCCTGCTGTCGTAAGTAATCTGACGTGATGGCTGCAGTATGCGGCCTGGCATTATCTTGCATTAAAAGAAAATCTGGGCCCATACCATATGCTGCGGGCCAAACATGATCTTCGAGCACATTTTCAATGTAAGTTTGAGCACACAAGCGCCCGGGAACAACGACGAGATCTGTGCGCTCGTCCAAACTAACTCCGCCCCAAACCATCACAGAGCCACATCCAAATTTGTCATATTCCTGGACTGCTGCTGCACTGTATCGCTCGCCTGGGCGTCTGTAAACACGGAGACGACCATTGCAACGTGTTAGATGGAATCGTGATTCGTCAGTGAAAAGCACTGGCCTCCAATGTCGAAGTTGCCAATTAGCGAGATTTTGCGCGAACTGTCGGCGAGCTTGTCTATGTTGAATTGTTAGACGCACAGCCCGAACTGGTCGGCGTGATCTTAAATTGGCTTCCAACAACCTATTTCTTACCGTCTGGTCGGAACTTTCTACACCAGTAGCCGTCCTTAGTGTATTTTGTAGATCTCTTGCAGTTGTGGTGCGGTTACGTAAAGCACAGTTGACGATGTAGCGATCTTGCAAACGTGTAGTTTTTCTCTTTCGACCTTGACCACGCCTTCGTGAGTATTCTCCCGTCTCACGGTATCGCTTCCAAAGTCTGTAGATAACAGAAGGGGCTACTCCTAGATCATTTCCTACATAACGCATAGATCGACCCTCTTCAAGCAAAGCGATAGCTCGGGAGACATGCAATTCAGTCAGATCTGGCATTATGACCTAAACTCACTCGCTTCAATGAATAACAATACTCAAAAGGCTCACTTCAATTTCTATTAATACTCAAAAGATTGAAAAAAACTACTTAAAATGTGTTTTCTGTGATTAGAAAGTAATGAAAATTCAAAGACGTCACTTTGTTTTTCGTCTACAATGCACATTTTAATTTTTTTTTAATAAAAAAAATACAAATTGAATTTTTTTATTAATTGTAGTAATTAACAAATTAACAAGAGAAAAAATAGCGTACAAGTTAATTTAAATCTAATTTTAGTTTAAGCAATAGAAAGGAGAAAAATCTTGTTCCGCTAATTGTTTTGAGCAGTATATTATATATTTATAAGAAGCAGTGTTGGTCTAGTCACTAGACTTTAGTGGCTTAAGCGAGCGACTGTCATCCCTGAGGTCGTAGTTTCGATCCCCAGCTATGCACCAATGGACTTTATTTCTATATAAAATGTTACATATTTAACAAGGAATAGATTGTGTGTAAACCGGCTTGCCTTAGAACCAAAAAGTCGACGGCGCGTGTCAGGCTTAAGAGGCTGACCATCTTCTTGTTTCACTTTATAAATGATCATGAAACAGACACAGAAAACTAATGGTCTGGGACCTTAAAAGGTTGTAGTTGCCTCAGATTTTTTTGACGATTGACAATAAAATATATATTAATTGTGTGTTATGTATTTGTTAAATTACATCCATATATCATTCATTGTTGTTTTGTAGTATTATTTTACTTTGTTTTTGGTATGTGTAACTGTTAATAGTAATAATAGATTAATTATAGTTATATAAATGTATCTGTGTATATAATTTTTAAAGTTGTAATGGCGCGTCTAAACGGGCCATGTTTTGCTGCAATTGATGGCTGCACTGTTGGCCACTAATTGCCCGGCCATTACAAAAATATTTTAATGCAGCTGATGGCCGAACAATCTATGGCTGGGCAATGTGTTGCAATATGTCTGCAATAGTATGGCCCATGATGCAGACTCCTAAACGGGCTACACAAACAGGCAACAATGGCTGATGAAATCACACTTGTCGCAGCAGCTTATATTGTTTTAAAAAAGAAACAGAAAAAGAAGAGATTGTGGATTCGACCTTACTTAAATAGGCGTGAAACTGTAGACAATTTGAGTCTAGAAATAAGTCTTGATAATAAATTATTCAAGAACTAGAATGTCAAAAGTAGTCATTTTTACGTAGTAATCTAACGTCAAATACAGCTGATCGCAAAACACAGAATAAAGCAACACGCACACTTCACTCAAAGCAAACGTCATGTCGCGTAGAAAAGGATACACTATACCATAACAAAGAGAGTGACTGAAACAACAAGAGAACTGGCTGTGCAATATTGCAGTTGAATTCGATAGCCTAGCGATCGTCCGGCCACCCATCGGGGCAACATCGGCCATATGTGGCTATACAAAACATGTTTGGCTATATGGCCGGGACATTACTGCAATATTGCATAGTGTGGCTGCTATTGTTTGCAATGTTGCCGGCCACAGTGTTGCAGCCATCAATTGCAGCAAAACATGGCCCGTTTAGACGCGCCATAACAGAAATAAAGATTATATAGCCATGAAAGTCGCTTGTCAGTTGTAATTGTTCATAACTAAAGATAACTTAACTGTCTGTGGTTTAACAAAGAACTACAGATTAACGGATATAATCTATGGTTAATAAAAGTTTCGGTAAAGTCGCTGAGTTGAGCTTTTATCGAATAGAGACATTTTTCTTAAATATACCTGCTTTTTCGTTTCATTTCGTTCCTCGTGTGAATTTCCAAATGTTCGCGTAATTTATTTGCCGGCAATATAATATTACACTTTCTGCATATTGTATTACGGGGTGCCGATTTCTTTTTACAACGCGAACATATGAAGATCTTCGATGTTTTCGTTGGTAGCAACATGGGATACCTGTAACATTCATTTAGTATTAGCTTTGCCCCGCGCTATTATTTATAGTCTACTTAAACGAGAATAAATATATATTTTTTTAATAAACTGTTTCTGCACAACACACACACATACACACATATACTTTTATTAGATAAATGCAGAACTATATACAATATATGAGCGTGCGACTCTTCCTTGAGGTCGTAGGTTCGATGTCCGGCTGTGCACCAATGTACTTTCTAAGTGCGCATTTAACATACGCTCGAACGGTGAAGGAAAACATCGTGACGAAACCACAGTCATGCACAGGAGACTGATCATCTACTTGCCTATTATTGACATGAAACAGACATAGAAATCTGAGGATCAGACCTAAAAAGGTTGAAGCGCCTCTGGTTATACACAATATATGAATTTAATAATTATTCTGCTCATATATACACTTGTGGTTCCATGTGTTCACATTGAAAGACAAAAGACACCAATATGACGCCAATAATAACACACCTAGAATCAATTACCAGCACCAACCAGCTCATCAAACCTATGTCCACAGGAGTAAGCTAAAAAGTGCTAAAAACGTTTCAAGACCATTCACTAAATTTCGTGTTTCGTCTAGCATAAGACAACATTTTCAATGTGTCGCCTGCATCGTATAGGCTGGATCCAGAAGGTCTCTTGACGAGAAAGTTTTGAATCGAGTTGGAATGTCTAGACTTATGCAGAACATTAAACAACGGAAAGTTGCGTACCTGGGCCACGTGTTCCGCCATGACCGCTACCACCTCATACAATTAAATTATATTGCAATTTTGTGGAGCAGAACGATATCTATGGTGAGACAGGTCACACCCTTGGATGGGGGGGGCTACTATGGGATGTAGTAGGACATCTTTAGGCTAGGACATCATACAAACCTTTGCTTACACATAGAACAAGCCACATTTGTCCTTTTGAGTTGAACATTCGTGTTTAAAGAGGACTTCTTTGAACTGGCCTGTTTCACGTACGCCTTCGAATCATTTTTCAGATATTCCGAAATTGACGATTTCTTGCATTTGATTTTTGCCTTCAGACTTCCTTTTCCACTTTTTTGTGATAAACGCGTGGAATCTAAAAAATACGCCTACTTGGATTGGGAAATTTTAAGAAGAAGACAATCAAGAGTCCCGTCAGTATTACAGATAAAATAGCATGTAACATATACTGTAGGTCAAAGTCAAAGTCAAAGTCAAATCGTTTATTTCAATTAGACCATCTAAAATGGCACTTTTGAACGTCAAAAAAAAAAATATAAAGATGATTCTAGTTGCCCCTTCCAAAAGGGTAGTTTCGTGTGGAGAAGAATGGGCAAGAAACTCCACACTTACTCTTTTAAAATAGGTTTACAATATTTTGTTACATTTGTTAAATAATTATATGTGAAGACAATGTACTCTTAGAATAAACTACTATACTAAAAAAGTTAGTATACATGTTCCTCACATATTTACAAATATCGAAACCTTAGAATATTAACATTAAAGAGTAATAAAAATATTAAAAAAACACAACAAAACAGTGTGTGAGATACAAAAAAAAATAATTACATTTGTAGCATTATATAAATTAAAAAAAAAAAAAAAATAACAAAAATATGTTAAAACAAAAAATCAGCAACCAATTCAAAAGTAGGTATTTTATATATTTGTTATTTTAAAATTCACCGGGATCAAACTAAAGCTCCCAAATCTAGGAGAATTTTAATTAAATTACTATTTATTATAAATAAAATCTCCAGACGGTGTTTGCGAACTAAAACACAAGCAGCCATTCATCGCTCGCATTGGTCGGTATTATGTTTAAAGGTTTCGTGTTAGCCTGGCTTTCATCAAGGACGCTACCTTATCCCTTATATAAGAAAACAACGGTATCTTGAAGGGCTACATAAACTATATACATTAACACTTATATATCTTTAAAAATATTCACATTCACTGGAAGCTCTTGCAAAGGCAGCCAAAACCAAGCTTCGAAATCTATGTATATTCCGAAGTTGTCTGATACAATTCTCACAGACCAGGCAATCTGGGGGCGATACCTGAAAATTAAAGATATTATTTAGACACTTAATGAATAATTGTATATCTCAATTAATGAACAATTGAGATCTGTAAGCATTAACATAGTAATAAATGGCGGAACATGAAAGGTTTATTATGAAACAAGACTTGGCTCGAACTAGACTCCTGTTTGTCAAATCAAATACTTTGACACTTCATATTTACAGTCTCCATTCTGAATCTTACCCTGAAACATGTTTCTGAGCTTCCGTCTGGAAAAGTTATGCAAAAAACACACAACAACATAATATTTACGGATATATGTTCGTTGTATCATTAATATATACGTCATTTGACAAAATAATATAATTTTGAACAAAAACCATCTTGATACTAAAACCGCAACAAAATCGCCTAATGCTACGCGCGCGTGTCCTTAATTTACCCGAGAAACATAATAGTGATAAAAGAGCAAATGTAAAATTTTAATATGGCAACACAAATTGATTGAGAAAATAAAACCTTTTTAAATTGACTTAAGGTCCTATTTTAAACGATAATTATATCTCTTGTAACATTATTAAATATTAATTATTATTTCAAACGTATACTATACGACATTGTTTTATATGTTCTAATCAAAATATATTTTTAATTCAATCCAGAAACACAATCTCTATTGGCATAGATAAGACATAATTAAACGTTTACATGCGATATGGCGATATAATTATCTATTTCTATATTACTACTCTTGTGATATTTTTAATGTTAGTTTAATGTAGTACATTTTTAATTCTAATCACCTTCCGAGCAGAATAGTCTTTAGCAGTAAGTACCACCGTGTAAACTCCACCATTTCGCGTGACAAAAATTGGAGACAGCCCGCCATGTTGTTTTTAGCAAAAGTTGTGTTCATCTTATAAATGATATGCAACAATTTATTTTATATATGTTTTAAATTAATCTATATATTTTAGTCAGTATACTCACTCTTATTCCAAAGCTACTGAACAGCATCTGATCGTACCTCTCTTCTACCCCTTCCCACATATAAGAAGTGCAAAAGCATCGAAGATTATTTTCGCTTCCGCACAACCTACAACATCTATTTAAGACGCCATCGCCCGATGCATGCGCAACCGCTAAACGAATTGAACTCTGCGAAAATTAAAAAAAAGCAACAAATATGATACTAATGATTATGTAAAATGAAAACAAAACAAAAATCTAGGTATACAGAAGTGTCGTGTCTGAAGTTGGAGGTAGAGACCATCCATGGAGGTAGGGTCCATCACTTCACTTCCTTGCCAAGGCCCGAGCAACCTTCGCAAAACGTCGGCCTGTAGGGCAGTCACGGAAGGTCCAATCCAATGTCAAATCTGTGCTGCTCTATGGATATGAAACGTGGAAGATCACTAACGACATTTCGCACTGGGTCCTAGTCTTCGTCAACCACTGTTTTCGCCGAATTCTGGGTATCTACTGGCCCGAGATTTCTAAGCAAATTTGGAAGCGCTGCGGAGAAACCCCGATTAGCCAGCAGATCAAGAGACGCAGATGGATAGGCCATACACTCTGAAGAGATCGCAATCATATCCCCAAGCAGGTTGATTGGAACTCGCAAGGAAGGTGGAAGTGTGGCCGTCCCAAGCAAACCGTCGCACAGAGGCAAAGAAAGCTGGAAAGACTGGAAGCGAGCTGAAATACGGGGCTCAAGACCGAACGCGATGGAGACTCACTATGGACGCCCTCTACCCCATCAAAGGGGACATGATATATATGGAATTGAAATAATATATTTGTCAATTACGCAAGCACTACACAGTTGTGCAGCGAATATAATGGCATTTTTTTTTGTAGAATGAGAGGCTCATGGACACCTATTTTTAGTGGGTGCGTTGCCGGCGTTTGCGAGAGAAGAGTATACTTTGAACAATTGGAGGTCGTATCTCTCAGGGAAGAACCCTGGGAAAGTGAGTCAATTCCACAACTAGTTAGTTCGCAAAAGCGTCTGTCTTTTTTATTGTTACAGGAGGCAAATGGGCAGAATGCTCACCTGATGTTAAGTGATACCGCCACCCATGGACAGTCGCACTGCCAGAAGGCTCGCAAGCGCACTGCCGGCGTTTTAAAAATTTTGTGAAGTGGTCTGTGGAAGACTTTCAGCCATCAACGTGATGCTGCATCACCTACTAATTTCGCGATGTTGCCATTGTTAACTACTCGTAAAATATATATTAAAAATAATAAATTTGCGTGATGAGTAAGTATTCCTATAAAAAGGTAGGCTTTGAAATCATATTAACACACAAACCATGATATTTTTTTTCTTTTTTTATAATAATATTTATAAAATACTTCTTGAATACTTAAATCACATTCTTACTTTACTAAATATTTTTAGCAGTCTTTCTTGTGGCCATAAGTAATCCATCTTTATGTTTAGGCTATTATAAACATTTTAAAAATAATTTTACGGTAGAATAAATATTGTGCTTTCGAAGAATAGAAATGACATTAATGTTTTGACAGCTGTTCCTGTAGTACTTTTCTTTATTTATGTCTAAAAAGTTTTCTCTTTAGAGTAATTCGTGTATATAACTTCCCAGTAAGCTTATATATAAGGCACAGTCGGTTAAAAAAAGTCCAATACAAAATGTTATGGGTTTCGTAGCTGTCAAACATTTTCCGTCAAATTAAACAACGTAATTAAATAAAGATTTCGAATCCACAATATTCGGATAATGGCGTATATTAGATTTAAAAATCTAGAATAATATCAGTACTTAAAAAATATTGGCATATATTGTCAAATATTTATGTACGTTCAGAAATGTGTTTTGTGTAAAATATGGAAAATAACAAGCTTCTTAAGTATCCATCAAATCCAGGCACATTGTAGCGTTGTGTTTTGCAATTCAGTGATATACATACATATAGGTAGATACATTATGCGCGTATAAACGGGCTATTTTTGTTGATAATTAGAAGCGCTGACCAAATGTTAGCAATCATCTTACACTTGTAGCCCTAGGCAATCAGAATGTCCCGGCCTTTACCCGGACCGTAAAACATGGCCGGGGTTCCCCTAGGTTCTGAGGATCACAAAAAAGGCCCGATTTTAATTTTTAAAACTCGGCGTTCTCTGGTTGTTTTAATACTTTTGTTATTGTTAGTTTATTTTTAAAGCCACTTCGAATGCAATAATAAGTAAATGGAATAAAAAGTGCCTGTTGATAAATTGTTCTTTATTACGTAAAAAGTAGTCTTCGTTGCTACGTTCCTACTAATAAAAAATGCCTTGCGACAAATTCGCGTTCTGACGCGTTTATCTCAAGACTATGAATAGAGTGAAGTGGGGAGCAGTTGGAAGGGGAGGGTGTAGCGAAGCTTGTCGCGCGTTGTGCGGGGTTTTGCCGATGATGATTTTTTTTAAATAAAAGCTTTAATTGATTTAAAAACAGATATTGTATTTACTGATGATGACTGGAGAAATAAAGATGAGATCCAAACAATATTGGATGTTATTAAAACTGTCGTCGAGGCGCTATGTCGACGCGATGCAACATTACTTACACCGATGTTTCCCTAAAATTTTCATTGAAGAAAATGGATGAAATGAAGACACCACTAAGTAACAAAATGGCAACTGCATTTGGCAAACGATACCTAAAAAAAATACTAACTCAAGCAGCCACACTACACTACCTACTTGACAAATCCGGGTAAATATTTTGAGAACATTCAAAATGAAGATAAAACTGTTTTTATCGGCCTACAGGTAATGAAATGCTAAACGAAATTGTTAATCTGATTAAACGCACAACCAAAAAATAAAATATACCTCTTGAAAATTTGCCAGCGCCAGACCAAGACCTGCGAGAAATTGACATTCAGCTGTCTACTTTGACAAATGAAGAGGAACTGAACAGACAGTTAAGTCAAGCTGTTGCTACTGATAATAATGCTCCTGAAACTGAATCAGCTTGTCCATCAGACGATTTGCTTACCTACTGTGAGGGTAGAAATAGCACTCTTCGAGAATGGCGGTACGCGACAGCGAGAGCGTTCCTCTCTTTTTTTCTCTTTAGAAAATCTTGGTCAGATGGTCAGAGGTTATGTCTTAAATAATGTGTCAAATGCATAACTACTTTTTACTTAATATTTTAGGTACTTATAGAAAGACCTAATTATTAAGAAAACGACTGCAATTTAAATTATAGTAGAATAGAAGACTAGAATTATTCGTTACTTAATTGTTAATGCGAAGAAGAGCTTTATTAATATTAAAATTAATTGTGATACTACAAAAATGTCTTTTGAAGATTTTATTTTTATTAGCTTTTAAATACAATAAGGCAATGTTTCCAAAATAATTCATTTAATGTTAAAACTAATCTCTGCAAGTCTGTGATTTAAAAAATACTAGATTACTTACTAAGTTTTAAGATATTCTGAAGAAAAAATAAATATTTATCACTTTTTTAAACATTAAAATTGTTTTTGTAATTTGTAAAGTACTGTTTCATTTATTTAAATTCTTCCTCATCCTTTATATTTTGTATTAATTGTAGGAAATCGATATATAAACGCAGATTAGTGCATTTGAAAAAAATTACAAAAAGACCGAAATGCCTCGGAAAAACCGGGTACCGGGTTTTGATTACTCTTAGACCCGAAAACCCGGGTTTTAAAAATTGGACCGAGTTTCGATGCCCTACTTGTAGCCAATAAATTTTAAAACGTCGGTTTGGTAATGAATGGGCCTTTAGTTTTTCATACATTCATAACTTTTAATTTAACACTCTCGTTTCCGATATGTCCAATAAGTCGATAGCACTTTTATTCTTTACATTATTTAACATTATATTATGTGTCACTTAAAATTAGGAACCCTTAAATGAGTCAAGTTACTTTTTTGTTGGCGTTGCAACCCCTTATTTTATGTTAGTTATAAGCTCATGTTTTAAACGATTAAAGCCAGTTGAGACTTAGCTTAAAACAAAGACTTTCATTTATTTGAACATCCCCCCAACAACCGCCACCGAACTTAACTCTCGTAAGTGCGTGTTTTAAAAGGACGATTAAGATTTAAGGTATTGTCTTTCTTTAATTACTAAAGATATATGTATTAAAGTTTAATACATATATCTGTGGGTTTTCTGCAGCGTAGTTACTTGACAGCTTTATGAGTTATGACATTGAGATTATGAGATATTGACAAATAACAAATAGCAGTCGTCAGTCGATAATAAGTGTTTGTGTATTCAGATTGCTTTCTTTTTTCTAAATGTTGATTATTTATTAAACATTGTTATGTTAATTATAATAAATTAAGGTATAATTACTCTACGTTTAAGCCACTATACTAAAGATATATCTACAGATTACAGAACAAACTAAGTTTTTGTTAGACATAAAAAAATTATTCCACAATGGGTGGAAAAGCTGAAAAGGGTACTCCTAAGTACATAGCAAACAAAATTAAGGCGAAAGGCTTGCAAAAACTTCGTTGGTATTGTCAAATGTGCCAAAAACAGTGTCGTGATGAAAATGGTTTCAAGTGCCACACAATGTCTGAGTCACATCAAAGACAGCTCCTGTTGTTTGCTGATAATTCATCCAAATACATAGATGACTTTTCAAAGGAGTTTGCTGATGGGTACATTGAATTATTAAGTCGACAGTTTGGTACTAAACGCGTGAATGCCAATAAGGTGTATCAAGATTATATATCCAATCGGTAAGCTAATTTACTACTTGTTGAAAACCGTTTTGCCTAATATACAAGATATATATATAAAAACCATTTAAATTTCCAGAGATCACCTGCATATGAATGCTACTCAGTGGGAGACCTTAACTGAATTTGTGAAGTGGCTGGGACGTGAGGGTAAATGTGTAGTTGATGAAACGGAGAAGGGATGGTTTGTGGCATATATAGACAGGGATCCAGCAACAATTGCCGCACTGGAGGCAAAGGCCAAGAAAGAGAAAATGGATAAGGATGATCAGGTAATATCAACTGTAACATAACCAACATTATGTACTATTTATTGTTGTTGTAGCTGTGACCTGAGGGACATCTAAGGTACTTCATAATATGTTTCTGTAGAGAATGAAAAGAAATACATTTTGCCTTAGATACTTGTTAATCAATGTCGGATTTGAAAAAATCCAAAATCCACTTTTAATCATATTTGGATACAACATTAACGAAATATTACGGCTACATTAAGAAAAATCCATGTGTTTTAAATTTCATATAAATCAGTCGGTAAAGTTGATGGATTTGATAGAAACATGTTATTTTTCTAGAAAAGTGTGTAATTAAATAAAAATGTTATTATTTTTATTTTGTTTCAAAACAAACCCTTTTGTTTGCTTGTATGCCAATTTTCATAATTACAGAACATGAATTAAAATAGTTATGATAAAACTAACATGATTATATAGTTTTGAAATGGCTGCCCTGTAAAGTTTACTATTTGTCAGATCCGACACTATTCTACGACCATGACAATATATGCAGCATAATTAGAAGATCAATAAAGTTTTGACATTATGTGATGAACATCATTCATTATATTAAATAAGTTATATTATATTAAACATTATTACAAAGTTTTGAAGTTATATAATAAACAAATATCCTAAGAGCCCAGGGCTCTTTGCTTAGGCCAGACCTTCATCATTTTATAAAAACTGAAAGTTCTTCTGTGCGTGTCCCCTATACAGGTAAGAACGACCAGAGACTATAGAGTTTGGGTAGTGGTTACTTTGGCAGATAACAGGTAGTAAAGGTGTATAAAATAGTACCTTAAATCCCTTAAAGTATAAAGCTCAATTTTTTTATATTTTATTAGGGACAACTTTATAAATATCGTCATACATTGCCGGACACTTATGACTGTTGCTTTCCCCTGCCAGACACCCCTAAACATTAATTAATTATAATTATACTTTCGTTAGAGTATAAAAGCTAAATTTTATATATGTTACTTGGGGACCTATGAAAATATGATACCTCAATAGCCGGACAGTTTCAATGGTTTTTACACCCTGCCAGACACATTGAAAGTCCGCTGTAGGTCCGAGCGCGAGCGCTTAGTCTTTACTAGCTGTTATCTGCCAAAGTAACCACTACCCAAACTCTATTGTCTCTGGTCGTTCTTACCTGTATAGGGGACACGCACAGAAGAACTTTCAGCTTTTATAAAATGACGAAGGTCTGGCAGTCCTGGGCTCTTGATCTAAAATAATCACAACTATAGTCTATAGTAGTTAATTAGTAAAGTTTTGAAACAATCTTCAAATATTATACAAACTTTACTATTAACATTTATCATTGTTATAGATAAATGAATTTTAAAATTGTTCCATTACAAAAAACTAACAAAAATAATTCTTATGTTTGTGTTGGAAAAAAAACAAATATTACATGTACGAAAATTTTTTAGGAAAGAATGTTAGAGTTTATACAAAAGCAAGTAGAAAAGGGAAAGAAAGATAAAGTTGATGAAGAGCCAAAGTACACAGAATTCAAAAGAGAAAGCAGTCAAGAGAAATTAACACTTAATCTTAATTTAAAGAGGAAAACAGAAGGTGAGTACAAATAACTATGAATAATAATAATATAAATTGCCTTTATATTCTGAAACTATGTGATCTTCACAACAGTATATCTCAGAGTATGGTGTGCCTCTTCGCAAAGGCCTCCTCTAACTCTTTCCACTGTTCTCTATCCTCTGCGACTCTTCTCCAGTTGTAGCCTAGATAGTGATTCAGGAGTTCTTAAAGTGCTGGTATTGAGCGATGCTAAACCAAGTTTAGTGTAGTCCTATACCAAGGAAAGGTTTAATTTTAAAATGTATCTACAAACTTTTACTTTAACTCGCTAAATGCTGATGAGCACTCAAAGGTTATATAAATAAATACATGTTTGTACATAGAGATTCATATTTTAATTTGTTACAGAAAAAAAGGTGGACTTGCCAAAAGCAACATTATTTACTAAAACAAAGGAACCGAGTAAAGAATCGTCGAAGAAACAGAAAATGGATTCAAAATCAGCCCTAGATGATATTATGGAAATGCAGGAAAAGCAAAAAGAAAGAGCTAATAGGTATGTTTAATAGTATTTAAGTAGTGCAAGCCTATCAAGTACTATGATGCAGGAACATTTGGAATGTCCGTAACAGGTGTTGGGTTTAACTATGGTAATAAGAGACAGGGGATAAATGTATATAATACTAATAGAATTTAATTTTTGTTGTAAAATACTTAATATAGTATATTAAAAATGTGAAGTACTATAAACACTATTAATCGGCAAGCGGGTTACTATATTTTCTACATTTCAATATTTTAAAAATATGATGAAATCTTCAAAACTATGCATTTTGGTCCTTCGAGCCGGATTTGGATTTATAGATTTTTTTTATTATATTCTCTAAAAATTGATTTTTGTTACCTAAATTTTCATTTGTTTACTGTTTTTATTGCATTTTTCAGAAAAGATTACTGGCTAACTGAGGGTATTATAGTGAAAATTGTTACCAAATCCCTTGGTGATAAATTTTACAAAAGAAAAGCGATTGTGGAAAATGTTTTTGACAAATATGGCGCTCAAGTTAAATTAATTGATGAAAATGTCAAATTAAAGTTGGATCAGGTACGCTATCTTTCTTACTGTACTTAGAGTGACGTGTCGATCGCGTGATTGGTAAATCAGTTGACGTTTGTGTCTTAGATGCGCAAACTTTCCCCCACTCCCTTGTTTAATGCTCAAGAAGTTTGCCGGTATCTGTACCCGAAATCCTTCTCCAAAATCTTCTTGTTTTCGTCTCTCGTCTATTTTTTAATCTTTCTCTGCTGTCTTTTATATCGTCTTCACAGGATTTAGTGAGCGTTTTCTCTCTTTTCTTCCCACTTGGCCATTCCAAGTACCATCTGTCATCAAACGGGGTCAAAAAGTCTGTAAGTAAGGGGCCTCATAGCCTAGCGGTCTTATTAAGTGGCAGCTAAGTAAGGGGTACCGGGTTCGATTCCCGGTTCGAGGGCAAGTTTTAATTTAAATTTGTTCTCGGCCTTTGGGAGGGTTGTGCGGTACCGGGCGAGTGCTTAAACCGTACATGGAGGACACGATCGAAGTTCTAAGGCAAACACGAATTATAAAAAATCCTATACTTGACGCTGGCTAATGCACAAACCGTGCCAGAGCCATAAAAAAAGAAAAAAGTCTATAAGTACTTGATTGTCAAACTTAGTTTGACATTCCCATGACCGTGATATTGACGTTTCATACCTGTACAATGTTACCTGTATGAAAAAATATTTTGATTAACTACTGAAAAATCTAGTAGTGTTAATTTTATTTTAGAATCACGTGGAAACAGTGATTCCGAGCGCGAATCGTCCCATACGATTTGTGAACGGGGCGTATCGTGGTCTGCGAGGCGTTTTACGAGATATAGATACTGATAATTATTGCTGTACTGTGGAGGTATGTAGGAAATAGATGGCATTCAATTTTGTATTTATTAAATCTTTATTTTGTAACTTGTTCATATTTATACAAATCTAAAACTTTAAATAGAAAGGAAGATATGTTAGGAATTTAATTGTCATTAAAATAATAAAAAAAATGTGGCATTTTAATTTACAATTCGTTAAAATACTAATATTTCATAAATTCTCTTTAAAAAAATTTAATTATTGGAATTCGCCCTTTCTTACTCTCTCTCAATCGGTCTCAATCGCTCTCTCCCTTTTCTTCGACAAAAATGTTGCACATCTTCGTGACGCTAATTTTATTATTATTGCATTTCATCAGTAAAAATTTTACCCTCACGCGCCTAAAGTTTCACTTCAGAAATCTGTTTCATTTGGCGAAAATATATTTTAGAATTTTTCTCTTTACAGGTATCAGAAGGTCCCCTTACGGGGAGAATAGTGAAGAATGTACAATACGAAGATATCAGCAAATTGGCGACGTAATTAAAACAATTTATTTTTAACATTTGTTTTATTTCCTTGTTAAATATTTTTTTTTATAAAGCAGTGCCGTTACAACCCTATATTTTATAGATTTTTGGGGTCTATTAGGTCTATCAGTGGAGCTATAACCTTTTTAGGTCTGGGACTCAGATTTCTGTATCTGTTTCATGACCATTTGTAAATCTAATATATAAGCGAAGGTTTGGGTCTAAGGCAAGTCAGTTTCCTCATACTGTTTTCCGTCACTGTCGAGGGAGTGTTATACGCGCATATAGACAGTCCATTGGTGCATAGCCGGGGATCGAAGCTACGACCTCGGAGATGAGAGTCGCACGCTTAATCCACCAAGCCAACAGAGCACCCGTAAATTTAATCTAATTCAATTTTGACATAATTTTTAAATCTAAGCTATTACTGGTAAGCAACCCCGGCTGTAGAGATGTGACATTCTGCATAAAAAAATCGATTTTTTACTAATCGATTATCTTTTTAGCATAAAAAATCGATTAATAATTAATAATCGATTTTTCCTAATTTTTGAATTAATTTCAAAATAAACATTAAACACCCTAAATATTTTATTTTTCATGGTTTTTTTAATTAAAATTAAACAATAGAAATTATAAACGCAAATTAACGTATAAGAATAATCAAAATCGAAATTAACTTAATCTCGTTTTGATATTTTTAGTTGAAATTTGATAAATGCTTAGTTATGCCTTTTCAGTAGCACATTGCAGTATTTTTGTTGTCTTTTTAATTGTATGTAATCTTGTGCTACTGAATAAATTTATTTTACTTTAAAATTATAGTGTTCCATTCAAACGTTTTGTAAAATTACCTAACTGGTTTTATCATCCTTTCGATGTTTTACAAAAACACATCAATGCATCGAGTATATCAAGACATCTTCAAAGCATCGGATTCAATGTATCGCATTGTAAACATCGATGTATATCGAATATCCCTAATAGTTCGAGGTCCGGGTTATATAAGACCAAACAATGTCGGGATGTGGCAGATGAAAAATCGACTATGATTATCAATTATAAAATAATCGATTATTTTAAATATAAAAATCGCGTACAAAAATCGATTTTTGTAATAATCGACTTTTCACATCCCTACCCGGCTGACATTTTTATGAATAAACTCGGTATTGTATGGCGCAACCAGGACATACTACTATGCATTGACTTGGTTAAGGTATCGTAATATATTATGTTTATAGGGGCCGTTCAAGTATTACGTAAGCAGATTTACTGCAATTTATCTCCCCCCCGCCCCTCTGTCAGCAAAAGTAAGGAAAGCTCTCAAAAATAATAATACATAAACGTATTAATTTTTAGTAGGAATCCTTGAAAATGCATTTCGTTTTCAAGCATAGACATGTGTGTAAAAAGTAAATAATTACCGTTGACGCAATGACCAAATTAGAAAATTAAAGACCCCCTCCCCCCTATAGTGCTTACCAACTAATAATAATACTTGACTGGCCCCAGGAGCATTACGAATATCCATAGCCCTAAATCACCTGCATCATGAGCACACCCCTACACCATCACACATCACAGCCGCATTAGGTATTACTTAGATAAATGTTTAATATTTTTTATCGATTTTTTCCTTTCGTATATGTTTGAACCTTTTTATATTTATGTATTCCATATTTGGCTTTAATGTTTCGTATAGTTGCTTTTGTTATACTAATTGTAAATGTTAGACGTTGGATTACGAAATAAAAAAATTCCCGCCATTTTTTTGGTTACGTTTTACTCTTGTCATAACTTTTAGTGGTAATAAATAAAACACATGTAATCAATGAAACATATAATTCACATTCGATTGTACATTAATTCATAAATATAACATTTAAGCTTACCTAAGTGAGTTAAAACTGACAGAATTGTCTAAAACACCGGAGTATATTGACATAAAAAAATTATAATTTTCGCTGTGAAAGGAACTATTTGTTCATAAATTTTAAATTCGAATTTGTCCTCATAAAGCCCCAAGCGCGGGAAATCTGTCTAACGTCGCTATCTTGATAAATTATTTGCTCCAAAATTTTAAAATTCGAATTTGACCGCGTACCAAAGCGTCACCGGAAATCGGTACTAGCGCCGCCATCTTGAAAAATCAATGGCTCCAAGTATTAAATTCGAATTTGACCGCGTAATGATGCTTCACTGGAAATTGATACTAACGTCGCCATCTTGTTGTATCACACTTTTAAAATTAGAATCAAACCTTCCTATCAATATGCGTAAAAATCACTTACAGGTAATATGAATTTCTTTGATTTTTTTACTTATGATATATAATTCAAGACTAATATTATTTGATTTCTAAAGACGTCTAATTCACAGCGAAAATTACACGAATAAAACTTTATAAAGGTAAGGCACCATTGGAAGGATTACGCGTGATTTATTCAAAAATAAATTCTAGCGTTCTTCTAGAGAATTAATAATATTGTGATGCTTTTAAATGGACGATTATAATAAGTACCACAATTGCACTTAAAAACTAGAATCTAAGCCTTTAGACCGATCAAATAATTTAATTTAAACATTCATTAGTGTTGCCATTTTCCATAGAAACTTTTTAAGCTCCTAAAAACGGGTAATTTAAGCTTAGGGTGACAAAGTCGAGACTTAGCATGACAAATTTGATAATGACAAAGCTCTCGTATGTCAAATTCAATACTTTTTTGAGACATTAGAGTATAGTCTTAGTAAATTCTTAGGAGATCAAGGAAGCCCCAAAATAAATTTTCTCCAGCAGAAATGATTTTTGTCTTAAATTATTCAACCATCTAAAAACAAGTTCACACGAACTGTCACCTTCAAAATGCAGTAAGCGTAAATAACTACGTATAAAATGCTTTTAAATACTTCAAAAAAGCTATATCTAATCAAAAATTCTACTTAAGCATTCGCCGCGAAATTGTCATAAGGGCTTGTAAAAAAAAGTACAGCGGATTCAAAGATTCAATAAATTGGCAGTTGTCTATGGAATATTGCAATACATATGGCAACATTTCAGTAGACTCTTAGGTATTCTATGAAACATAAATCTATTTACAAGAACTGTCAAACCATTTCTGTATGACGTTTGACATTTGACAGCGCAACCCAAGATACGAATTAAAATATGGAGCTTAGGTACGCATTCAAGAACGTCAAACATGAATCTAGTTACGAGAGCTGTCAAACCATTTCTGCGTGACGTTTGACATTTGACAGCGCGATCCGAGATTGTAGAATATGGAGCTTAGGCACTTATCCCAGAACGTCAAACATGAATCTAGTTACAGCAGCTGTCAAACCATTTCTGCGTGACGTTTGACATTTGACAGCGCGACCCGAGATACGAATTAAAATATGGAGCTTAGGCACGTATTGCGGAACGTCTAACATGAATCTAGTTACAACAGCTGTCAAACCATTTCTGCGTGACATTTGACATTTAACAGCGCGATCCGAGATTGTAGAACATGGAGCTTAGGCACTTATTCCAGAACGTAAAACATGATTCTATTTACGAGAGCTGTCAAACCATTTCTGCGTGACGTTTGACAGCGCGCGATCTGCATCGGATTGGATTTTGACATACGTCAATCGTAGTACGCGCCAAATCTCTCTATATTTCTATATTTCCATACGAAGCCAAGTATATATAAAATAATTTTGAACATATGACGTCATTTGACATATCCAATCGTTACCGAAGTTCGAGACGTCACCAGTGAGACAGTTTTTTTATAGGACGGGCAGTCGGGCTCCCCTGATGTTTAGTGATACCGCCCTCTCATTGCTAGAGGGCATGCGTTGCCGGCCTTTTAAGAATTGATACGCTCTTTAAAGGACCCTAAGTCGAGGACTAACATAAAATTTGGGTTCATACGTGAAGATGTTTTAAAACCCTTTATCATTGGCCACGCCCATCGCAAAAAAGGTAACCTGTTTGTAACTAGATTTATAATATTGATCTTTCAATCCTCTGTAATTTATGCCTTTAAAGCTACATTAAAATCTTTAAAAAAACCGGACGAAAAACATGTTATTGTAGTAAAAATGGCGCTAAAAAATCTGAATTTGACATTGACAGTTGACACTTTCAGTTACCCAAAAGCGTCATGTTGGTTTGTGCTACTTCTTAAGTAGTTTTTCTTCCTCGGCATTGTTCTCTTCGGTTTTGTATGTAGAGTTGGTGAGGAGACTGGATGGTAGAAACTGCAAAAAAATGTAACATAAATTAATGTTACATACATAAACATACTTTGTTTTACAACAACTCATGCATAGACATTTTAAAAACGCCAAAATAATGTCATGCTGTTAAGGGATCGTTCAAATATTACGTCACGCAATTTTTGATCCCCCCCGTGTAACGCGCCGTAACGTTTTTCTGTACCCAAGTATAGAAAAACGTTTCGTGACCATCCAATTACTCTTTATACCTAAAAGTTACCATTATGTGGTGTTTATATAATAATAATATTAACGAAAACGCGTAATTCAATCCCCGCCCCGCATCGTAACGCTTTACAAAAGGACCCCCCCTCAAATTCGTTACGTAATACTTGAACGCTCCCTAAAGTGCGAGCACAAAAGACACTATTTTACAAATACAAATAACTCTTAAGACTAAATAATGAGCAGCTGGTTGCACCGATCTCACTTTTAATCACATAGACCCAACTCGGTCAAGCATCACCACAATGTTCCACTGAATACTCAATCAGTACTGCCTTCCCTGAAGCACTGTCCAAAGTCAAGATGCTCTGCTCTGATTGGTCGTAACAATATTCGTTACGTACAATCATTCCAAACGAACAAATGGCAAATTAAATTATGATTCTTTAAAGAAATAGAAGGAATCTCAATTATTAACCAAAGCAACATTTGACTCGATCAGAAAATTTCCTGATAATCCGAGTATTCCCTGTAAATTTTAAACATTTTTTTTATGAAACATATTCTTAAGAATCTTGCTACAAGTGCGCATGTGCAGTTCAGTTGTTTAGGAATTGACTCGAACATCTGCCCGAAGTGGGATGGTCGAGTAGGGAATATATTGTAAAAGTGGTTGAAACACATGCGCACGGGCAATTCTTTGTTCAAGTTGAAGTGAAGTAAGTGAAGTTTACGTAAAATCATTGAAGTGAATAATAGTGAATCAAGTCATCATTGGAGTGTTTAATTTCCTACCCTAAGAACTAGATCAACCAGCCCTTACATATATATGAATGTCTATTTTAAAATTGTGATATTTTTTTTTGTTGTCAGGAGATGATTCTTATGAAACACAGCAAAACATTAGAAATCTAACGACAATATTCATTTTACAAAACTTGACAGCTGTCTTGTCAACAATTTCGTTAAGTGATACCGCCACCCATGGACACTATCAATGCGAGAAGGCCTTTTAGGAATTGGTACGGTCTTTAAGTGGAATTGGTTCGGAAATCAGGGGGCAGCTCCACATAGTGGGGGTAAACTACTAAATTAATTCAAAAACCTCTACAAACCTTCAATATTTCATTTTAGGAACTTCCAACTTCTAGCAGCATTAAAAAGTAGTATTTATCAATATAACAGTTATATGGGAGCATTCAAGTATTACGTCAAGCAATTTTTGGAGATTATTGACCCCCCCATGTAAAGCACCGTAACGTTTTTCTTTACCCCATAGTAAAACGTTTCGTGACCACCCAGTGACTCTTTATACCTAAAAGTTACCATTATGTGGTGTAAAGTACTGGAAAGTCGAAAATAATATTAACAATAACGTGTACTCCAATCCCCGCCCCGCATCGTAACGTTTTACAAAATGACCCCCCCCTCCCCAAAATTCGTTACGTAATACTTGAACGCTCCCTAAGGAAAAAAATTGTGTATGGTGAAATTATTAATAGTGTAAAACAACGTCTCGTTCATTCACCTGAGGTCACTGACCTCAAGTCAATATGTGTGTTCGGAATTCCTGTTTTTCTTAAAAATTTCTTAAATCAGAAGGTTATCTTAATTTTGCCATACTATGTAACCTGTTTTCATATGTAAATGTAAATAAATAAAAACTTCACCTGCTTAATTGGTGACTTTTCATTTTCAATTATATCATCAAGCCTATCTCCTTCACGAAGTAACTGAAAGAAAAAAAATATATTTTATTTTTGTCCCATAATTACCAACCGAAAATCCTAAGAAGAAATTATAATTTTTAAAAAGCTATTATTTTTGTCTATTATAATTATTAAATTAAAATTATACAAAAAATATACTAAAAAAGTAATTATTTTTGTGTCTATTATAATTATTAAACGAAATATCTACAAAAAAAAATATAATTAAAAATAAATTATTTTGTGCCTATTATAGTCATTAAACTAAATTTTCAAAAATTTAAACCCTGTATACGTTGCAATGCGTATACGAACGCACTTAAATTGATTTTTCTTGAAATTTAGACTTTCTCAAAAACGCTGAAATCTCTTTGGAATGCGATTAAAGTCAGGAATTAGAAGTTGCAGCAGGGCTGCTCTAGAGTCATCCAGGTCTTTCTTTAGGTACGACTACTCCAATGGAAATAAAGAAAAAGCTATATCTTCTTCTAGTGCCTCTCCATTGGAGGTTGGCCGTCAGTCTCATGAAGCTTGTCTTGTCCTGTGCCTGATGCAGCACCTCTTCAGCAGTCCAAACACTCGTCCACTAACGTTACGAAGCCATTTTTCTTTTTTTTATAATAAGGGGCAAACGGGCAGGAGGATATTAAGTGATAAATATGCACACTCACAATGACAGTGCGTTGCCGGCCTTTTATGAGTTGGTACGCTCTTTGGAGGATCCTAAGTCGAATTGGTTCGGAAATACCTGTCGCCTATGGACACTGAATGCTAGAGGGCTCGCGAGTGAGTTGTCGGCCTATTAAGAATTGATACGGTACCCAAAATCTAACTGGTTCGGAAATACCTATGGACACTCAATGCCAGAGTGCTCGCAATTGCGTTGTCGGCCTTTTGAGAATTGGTACGCTCTATGAAGGACCCTAAGTCGAATTGGTTCAGAAATACCTGTCGACTATGGACACTCAATGCCGGAGCACTCGCAAGTGCGTTGTCGGCCTTTTAAAAATTGGTACGCTCTTTGAAGGAAATCGAATTGGTTCGGAAATAAAATTGCTTTTCATGCGTTACCTTATCAACTTCTGGTTCGATTTGTTCATTTGTTCCACCTTTGTTCAGGACCCCCTTCTCCATCAGAGTTGCTCGTTTAGCTGCCAAATACATGGTTCTGAAAAGAATTATTGCCTTAATTATAGAAAACAATTGATTAACTTTTTTAATTCTGTCAAAAATTTATAAAAACACGTGGCATTTTAATTTACAATTCTTCATTTGATATTTCAATAAATTATTTTGCATAAAATATCAAATACCAATAAATTCTGTTTACGAAGTATTAATTTGAAAAAATATAATTTCTATAAGGTAATTTACCCTTCTCACTCTCTCTCAATCGCTCTCTCCCTTTCGACAAAAACGCTGCACATCTTCGTGACGTTCCGTAAAAATTTTAAAGTTTAAAGTTTCACTTCAAGAAAGACATATTTAAAAAACGATTAAAAATAACCTTTGCTCGTCAATAGATGGCGTTATAGCAACATTTAACACAAAAATCTTATCTCAAGTGACAATCCAGTCTCGCGCTGTCACCTTTGTCTGTGACCTTTTTAGGTCTAAGCCTCAGATTTCTATATCTGTTTCATGATGATGGTTTCCTCACGATGTTTTCCTTGCGAATGTTAGGGCATAGAATGTCCATTGGTGCACAGCCGGGGATCGAACCTACGACCTCAGGGATGAGTCGCACGCTGAAGCCACCAGGCCAACACTGTACCAACGCCATGTACAAAATTGTTTTCCTTACCTCTTAATAGTTAAGTAGTACAACTCGGCGATGGCCTTAACGGAGTAGTCTGGTACGAATGTGTGACGTAGCATGGAGTCCATGTTCAGGTTTTGAAGCGAGCCAAGTGTTGAGGGCGCTGGAGACTCAGCTGAAAAATAAAAAAGGTTAGAATCGTAGTGTCAAAAAGTGTAAAAAAATAAAAAGAATCGAAAAGTGTAAAAAAAATAAAACAAGAATCTAAAAGTGTAAAAAAATTAAAAAGAATCGAGGTGTGTAAAACAAATTAAAAAGAACCGAAAAGTGTAAAAATTAAAAAGTATAGAAAAGTGTAAAAAAATAAAAAGAATCGAAAAGAGTAAAAAAATTAAAAAGAATCTAAAAGTGTAAAAAAATTAAAAAGAATAGAAAAGTGTAAAAAAATTAAAAAGAACCGGGGAGTCTAAAACAAATTAAAAAGAACCGAAAAGTGAAAAAAATAAAAAGAATTGAAAAGTGTAAAAAAATAAAAAGAATCTGAAAGAGTAAAAAAATTAAAATGAATCAGGAACTTAAATTTTTTTTGATAATTTTGTCAAACAAACAACCTATTTAAAGTTCTTAATACCATTCATAAGGAATTTAAAAAAATGGCGCCACAGGAACATTCTTGAACCTTATAACGAAAATAACTAACCAAGTCCAACATTCTGCGTGAGCGCCTGTACCCCAAAGTATGTAAAGGGACCAGCTTCGAAGACCAAGTTCTCACGGCCCACTGTCACCTCTACGCGACCCTCCAGGATCAACACGAAGTAATCGGACTGGAGACAATTTCATAGTAAATACAGTTTTAGGTATTTTCATACAGGATGATACCTCAAAATCTAATGAACCGATTTCGCCATGTTCTATATTGCTATTTTTTACTCTGCCCCTTTTTTAATTAATATATTTCTCTTTTAATATATGCCCCTTTTTTAATGCCTCCAAATTCTATATTGCTAATTTCTACTCTGCCCCTTTTTTATTCATATATTGCTCTTTTTATTTATCCCCCATTTTTAATGCCCCCTTATTCTATATTACTAATTTCTACACTGCCCCTTTTTTAATTCATATATTGCTCTTTTTTATAGAAAATTTCTCCCCTATTTTACATGTCCCAATTGCTTATACTGCCCCTTTTCCATACTCTATACTCTTTATTCCATATTCCCACCAACAAACAAAAGAACATAAAAAAGTCTTACCGGTTTTCCTTCCTGATAAACGAATCTCTTCGGATCATTCTTTTCTTCATCTCCGCGTAACTTGATGTGCTGTATGACATCCTGCTTCAACAATCTCCTCAGAACAGTCTCCGATATCATATCACAACGGAACGGGTCCACACCTATTTTTATTGTGAATATTATTAATCTATATTCAAACTCAAAATAACTTTATTCATATATTAAACAAGTACACTTATGAAGGTCGGGAAAGAAGTTAAAATAATTCTAAATTTACATTTACTACCAGTTTGCAAGTCAAGGGCGTAGAGCGGAGAAGAACTTACAAGAATCTCTTAGCCACTATTTTAATCGCCAAGTTTTGAGTCATACAAATTTTAAATTTAAATCATGGTAAAATAAAAAGCTTATTATAATGATCACCTAAGCATATTATGTACCTACAACTGATGACGTCACACGTTAAAACGCGGTGACGAAGTGTTTCCAACAAACCATATATACCTACAGCTTTTCGACTTTAGCCACTGAAGCTTTCGGGACAGTCAATGGTCAGACTGATTCCTCCCTCTTTGCGCGTTCAAGTATTACGTCACGCAATTTTTAGAGATTATTGACACCCCCCCCCCATGTTACGCGACGTAACGTTTTTCTGTACCCAATAGTAAAACGTTTCGTGTCCACCTAGTGACTCTTTATATACCTAAAAGTTACCATTATGTGGTGTAAAGTACTGGAAAGTCGAAAATAATATTAACAATAACGCGTACTCCAATCCCCGCCCCGATCGTAACGTTTTACAAAAGGACCCCCCCCCCCTATCAAAATTCGTTACGTAATACTTGAACGCTCCCTATTAGGAGGAACAGTACACCTTCCTTCCTCCACAATATTTATGCAAGATGTGGGCACTTCAAATGAAGATTTAGCTGATGACGTCACAAGTTAAAACGCGGTGACGAAGTATTTCCAACTAAGCATATATACCTAAAACATCCCGACCTAAGCTACTGAAGCCTTCGGGCCAGTCCAGTCGTCAGACTGATTCCTCTATTTAAGGAGTAACTGTTCGCCATTCTTCTAGAACCTTTAGGGTCTGGGCATCAGATTTCGGTGTTTCTGACTAGGCCAGTAGGTGATCAGCTTTCTGGGACCTAGGACTAAAGCTTCCTCTGATGTTTTCCTTGTGTGATAATGAGGAATGAGGATATTACTTACTTGTACTAAGGAATTGGAAGGTGGCCAAGATCAGCTGAGGTGAGACATGGACTCTCTGGTGCTGATGTCCAGCAAACGCAGCTATATCATGCAGCTTGTTCAACGGTCTCAGTAAACGCTTTTTCGTTCTGTTGTCAGCTGAAAAAAATATTTTATATTTTAAATGCAGTCTTCGCAGGGAATTCCAGTCTATCTGCTTAGCTCCTTATCTCTTCCTTTAAACCTCTACTGTCCACATTGCTTCCGTTACATAATTTAGAACTTATTTGTGGTTGTGGAAGAGATCCACTCTTAAACGCTACCCTTTGCCCCCGAGGCTCACTTGAAGTGATTCCGTCCATGGACACTTATAACCAGAAGGCTAAGGGGCCGTTCAATTTATCCCCCCCCATCCTCTTGTCAGCAAAAGTAAGCAAAGCTCTTATAATAGTACAGAAACGTATTAATTTTTTGTAGGAATCCTTGAAAATGCATTTCTGTTGACGTAATCACCAAATAAGAAAATCAAAGCCCCCCTCGCCCCTATAGTGCTTACGTAATACTTGAACGGTCCCTTGCCGGCCTTTAAATAATTGGTACGCTCTTTGAAGGACCATAAAACGAAGTGGCTCGGAAATACTCAGTGGGCAGCTGGTTCCAGCTGGCGGCAATTTCCTTAAAAACGCTCAGTTCTGGAACGACGAACGTCGTGGTGGAGTTTCGTATACAGCCTCAACGTCCGATGAAACGATTTCCTATGCGATGATGTATTAATAGAACTTACAGATGACATCACTTTCATCCACTATCTCCGCCTGTATCATCTCTTCTATGACATCCTCCAGTGTAAGAAGACCCACGGTCTCATACACGGGATCACCATCACCTTCCTCAATGCGCTGGACGAATGCCATATGACCTTTGTGACCTGGAAGTAATTTTCAAATTAATATTATATGGTACGCTCTTTTATTGTAGGAGAGTAGAGACCTAATAATGTGAATAAAAAATAATCTTTAGTCTATGGTTCTACCTACGAGAAAACCAGCTCAAATGCTCTTCCTTACCTTCTTTAAACTGCTTCAGCATGACATCCAGCGTGACGTCTTCGAAAACGAAATTGCAAGGGTTCTGGTAGTACTGGCAGAGGGTCCGCAGTGGTGTGTTATCATCAGGATCCACGAAGGCCAGGTCCTTGATGAAGAGCACCGTGACTATGTTACCGCGTTGACCCTCGTACACCGGGATACGGGAATAGCCTGGAAACAGATTATTTAATGTCAAGTCAAAAATCATTTATTCATATAGGTAACACAATGAACACTTATGAACGTCAAAAAAAAATACATTAAATGCTTCTAATTTTACATTTACTGCCAGTTCTCAAATCAAGCAGAACGGAAGAGAAGAACTGGCAATAAACTCTCCGCCACTCTTTTTAATCGCCTAGTTTTTTGTTTTACTCAACGTTTGTAAGGAGCTGCAACCATCACACCATGTTCCTCATGACATTTAAGTAATAAAATAAACAATAGATATAGAAGATATGAAGAACTAGACCTAAGCCACAATCCCACCTCATGTGAAGTAAATTGTGGCCTATCGGTACACGCCTGTCCAGGTGATGCCTATTTAGCTGCCGCTTAGAACCCATGTTAAACCCTGGGTAGATTGGAGGGGGCAAGGAGTTCCATTCTTTTGCTGTTTTTACAAGACCGGCGACAGTCTGACAAGAAATATGTAGTGGATTCAGTTTCACCAGACACCCATTTGGTCAGTTGTGCGTAATACCAGCCCAGCTCCTTCCAGAAGCCAGAAGTTTCGGAGCGACCTTACTGCTCCGAGGATTTCTGTTTATTGGGAAGCATGCATTCCAGGACTACATGTGACGTGTTTGACGACTCATTGGTCTAGTGGTTAGTACCACTGACTGCGAATCCATGGGTCCCGGGTTCGATCCCCGGCTGAGACGAACATCGATGTGATGAGCATTTGGTGTTGTGCTTAGGTCTTGGGTGTTTAAATATGTATTTATATATCGATCTATCTATAATACGTATGTATATCCGTTGCCTAGTACCCATAACACAAGCTTCACCAGCTTAGCATGGGACTAGGTCAATTGGTGTGAATTGTCTTAAAAAAAAAAAAATTTGTGGACTAGATATAAGCGACTTATGTTTTTTAATAGGACCCCTAATATACTACCAACCACGTGATCAGGCAGATTTGGGCGAGAAGCTAAACAGCAGCTTTACTCTCCTTTCCTAAAAAGGGACTTTATTTGAGCTAGGTCTAGTGGGATTGGCGTCACCGGGTGACTACTCCCTAGGTATCTTCATGATACTTGTGAATTTAAGAGAGCTTCTATATAAAAGACAATTTCATAAAGATAGAAGGGAAAAGGAAATTCCAAAACGCCTTGATAACCCCCTTCGGGTTGGGTCACCCCAAATTTCTCTTTGATCAGGGATTAAAGTTCTTATAACCCTTAATCTTCACCAAGGGATGAACAGTTCCTCCAAAGGGGAGGATCAGGAACAGTGCAACCACTGACTGGCCCGAAGATCCCAGTAGTGATGGTGACCAGTTCATCCAAAAGGGAGGATCAGGAACAGTCCAACCACTGACTGGCCCGAAGATCCCAGTAGTGATGGTGACCAGTTCCTACAACGGAAGGATCCTCGACAAGTGTTACCACTGGCCAAAAGATTCCAATCGACCGAGTTACATATACTCAACTGGAAATACTTCGATACCGCGTTTTAATTTATGACGTCATCAGTGATTATAGCCATATACAAAAGCTTACCTGACTTGACAATCTCTGTCATGGTCTCAAAGTCCAGTATGGAATTGATAGGCAGCATAAAACAGTCTTTCAGTTTGGTCATAACATCCTTCACGGTTTTCTTACGAAGATCAAGAGCACCAGAGATGATATTCACTTCCTCCTTGTCCAAATCGTTCACGTGATTTGTCACCTGAAATATAGGTTCCACTATACAAATTGTCTTTAAATTCATGATTTTAAGAACCCGCCAAAACGCGTTAAACAAGATGGCGTCGTACCTATGACGTCGTAAGTAAACGCGTAATCGTCATGTTTTTAAGGCCCTATGTCTCGGGGTGGACTGCGGTGCGCAGTGGAGAGTTGGAGCACTGAGGCACGCCCGCCCGTAATAACAATTAGTTATGTAGAACATTAAATTAATGTAATTTTATCAATTCTTTTTTCTGAAATGGATTACTTGGCTTGCGATAAAATATATCGCGTAAATTTCAAAATCAAGTTATATACATTTTCGTCATTGAGTGTGTCAAAATTTGGCTATGATTGGATTTTTTTTCTATCGAGCGTAGTTATTTAAACCGTGTATCGATCTTTCAAAATGGATACATAAACTACTCAACTCTACCATATATATTTTCCATTCTCCCTACTTCAAGAAACGATGACGAAAAATGGAAAGAAACAATGTACTTTTTTGGAGTTTGGCGACCGGATAGGTCCTCAATATCTCATATTTTGTCATATTACACATAATATTTCAATGTTCAGTCTCCGACGAAATTAAACTCCACAGTATTAGGATTAGACAGGCGAAGACATTGTTTACAAGCATGTTACGTCATCTATTCGACTTATATGTGACAGTATTGTGTCACGTGATTGACGATAAATCAATATTCTTAGAAACAGAACCGCTACTGATGAAACTTGGACTGTTTCCTATATATACCTGATTAATTCATTCTCTTTAATTCTTTTCGTTGAGCGCAGTGTTGGCCTAGTGGCTTCAGCCTGCGACTATCATCCCTGAGTTCGTAGAACCCTGGCTGTGCACCAATGTACTTTCTATGTGAGCATTTAACATTCGCTCGTACGAATGAAAATATCGTGAGGATACCATCTTGCCTTAGAGCCATAAAGTCGACCAAGTCGGGCATAGGAAGCTGATCACCTACTTGCCTATTTCATTGACAAACGATCATGAAACAAATACAGAAATAGGCCCAGACCTTAAAAAGGTTATAGCACCACTGATTTACCAACCACATTCTTGAGCCTAAATAGAGCAGCTACTATCTACTTAAAGCCTTGTGGTGGTGAGCAGCCCAAGTGTTCTCCAAGAACTCGGTTTAAAAAGAAATTAAATATGTTTATTATGGAACATAAGATACAGGTATCACTTATTCCTAGTCATTAAATTTGAATCGGTAGACATCCCTACTCATCGGCAAAGAAGACAGAGGGTGTAGGAAAGAAAAAGCCGGCGTAAAAACTCTCGGTACTCTTTTAATATAGCAAATCATCATACAAAATGACTATGACAAACATAGAAGAAACTAGAAGGATGGAGATACGGTCCTATTTGTATTATTTTTTTTTTGGTTTCTTAGTCAAAAAGAAAGTAAAAAATCATTTATTCATATATACACAATGTACACTTATGAACTTCGAAAAAGTAATATACATTATTTTTTTTGTTATATTTTTCGTATATAATATTGTTTATGTATGTAATCTGTTTTGGCTTTCTGTATTGTCTAAGTGCTTGTTTTATAATACAGTAGAACCTCGATAAAGGAAACCTCGGTAAAAAAAAAAACTTTTTTTTCTTAAAAAAATATTTTTTCCCTCCCCCCCGGGGCCCAAACCCCCTTTACCATAAAAAACCCCCCCTCTCTTATAAAAAAAAAATTTTTTTTTTTGGGCCCCCCCCCCCAAAAAAAAAATTTTTTTCCCCCCCCCCTTTTTAATTTTTTTTTTTTTTGTTTTTTTTTTTTTTTTTTTTTTAAAAAAAATTTTTTTTTTTTTTTTTTTTTTTTTTTTTTTTTTTTTTTTTTTTTTTTTCCCCCCCCCCCCCCCTCTTTTTTTTTTTTTTTTTCCTCCTTTTCCCCTTTTTGTGGGGGGGGGTGTTCTCCCCCCCCCCCCCTTTTTTTTTTTTTTTTTTTTTTTTTTTTTTTTTTTTTTTTTTTTTTTTTTTTTTTTTTTTTTTTTTTTTTTTTTTTTTTTTTTTTTTATTTTTTTTTTTTTTTTTTTTTTTTTTTTTTTTTTTTTTTTTTTTTTTTTTTTTTTTTTTTTTTTTTTTTTTTTTTTTTTTTTTTTTTTTTTTTTTTTTTTTTCCCCCCCCCCCTCCCCCTTTTTTAAAAAGGGGGGGAGGGGTCCCCCCCCCCCCCCCCCCCCCCCCCCCCCCCCCCCCCCCCCCCCCCCCCCCCCCCCCCCCCCCCCCCCCCCCCCCCTCTCTTTTTTTTTTTTTTTTTTTTTTTTTTTTTTTTTTTTGTTTTATAATAATATGTATGTTAGCTGTAAGATTACTTATAATTAAATAAATAAATACTTTAAATGCTTCTAATTTTACATTTACTGACAGTTCTCAAATCAAGGGCGTAGATCGGAAGAGAAGAACTGGCAAAAACTCTCGGCCATTCTTTTTAATCGCCAAGTTTTTTGTTTTACACAACGTTTGTAAGGAGCTGCAACCATTACACCATGTTCCACATGACATCTTAAGTAATTAATAATAATAAAATAAATTAAAAACAAAGATTTGTCCTCTATCAGCATGGTGAAATAGGAGCACGCACTTACATTCTCGTAGGAACAACACGCAAATTAGTTGTCATTGAATAAATTTTTTACAATACCTTCACAAGTTCCTTTAGTCTTTCCCTGTTGTAGTGTGTACCAATTTCCTCTCCCAAGAAGTAATCTAGCAATTTGCTAGTCGGCCATGCGAGAGGGGCACATATGCCCATTACAATCTGAAAAAATCACATATGGAACAAACGGAGTAACATTCTGAGAGACTTACGGCACGGGAGCCACGGGTCCCTTTTATACAGGGGGCAAACGGCGAGGAGGCTCACATGATGCTCAGTGATGAAGGCAAGAACATTGCCAGCTTTTTAAGGATTAATACGCTCTTGAAGGACTAAGTCGAATTAGTTCGGAAAAACTTCAGTGAACAGCTGATTCCACATAGTGGTGGCGGCTCAGTTGTGGAAGCGCAGTCGTGGAGTGGATGGAAATAGATATATCTCGACAACCGATGATTAAACTCAGCCGGTATTAATGCTCCGTGATAATTTTAGCGTTGTACTCTATCAGGTATGACATTCTCACCCTGGCTTATTGTGAAAACACCGATAGAAAACAGTATGCTTAAGTCAGACTGATGGCTGATGGCTAAAAAATTTCCTTATCTTCTTAAGATTGCCTATCTTCTATAAATCTTCTTATATGTACATGATCGACTTAATACATAATCTTTCTTTAAAGCAATCAACTACTTGCTTCCACATATGCAGAAGTTATGCATCTCTGAGCAGAACAGCATATAGATACCACACAGCTGTTTCATCAGAGCAGTGTTGGCCTGGGGGCTTTACGACTGTGCGCCAATCATTCCATGTGCGCATATAAATCACTTAGGTAAAGGAAATCTCGGGGAAACGCTTACCTTTGACCTAAAAACGTGAGCCGGGCCTGATCACCTACTTGCCTATTCAGAAAATCTATCAGATATCTGAAGCCAAGAAGACCTAGAATTTGTTGAGCCTCTGACGCAAAGTATGACTCTAGTACAAAAAGGTATTGAATTTTGAGATACAGTAGTCGTACTAAACGTTGTTGTTGGGAATCTAATATAAACAGGTTTTAGTGCCTACCTTCATTATCCATATACTTTTAGCACCGACAAACAGACCATGTCTTGCACAAATAGCCTGCGGGGTAATCTCAGCAATGAACACAATCGCGAGGGTAGATCCAATAACAGCTACCAATCCAGAGGTTAGATCATCCAAAATCACCGTAAATGTACTGTTCACGGCGACGTTACTCAACAAAATTGTACATAGAAGGTAATTCCCATGCGCACGTACAGGCATAATCGCTCTCGCGTACTTCCTCTCCTTCTCTGTACCCGTATTAGCAATGATACGGAGTTCCGTACGGTCCAAGGCCATCAGACCGAGGTTGAGACCAGAGAAGAGAGACGCCAGTACCAGTAGGATAACTATGAGGACAAGGGAAGCCCATAATGGAAGCAGCTTGTTGTGGATACCCAGAATTTTCCAGGGTTCCTTGCCCTGATGAATGAAATCTGCTGTCTCATCTGTCGCATTGTTCGAAGCGCAGATGTAAAAGGTTAGGTCCTGTTCTGGTTCTGGTACTTTCATTTTGAAGATTGCCGAGTCGCCTTCCAGCTTTGAGGCCTGGGGAATTTATTACTTACATTTATTACAGGTATAAATAAAAAAATATTAATGTTATTGATCAAAACTCTTGTCAACATAGTTTCGTTGTTTCCCCTATGGGGATATATATTCTGATTAACTCTCATATGACTCAGCAGCAATATGACAAAAATTGATGACTCTATTCTATCTGAATTGTAATATTCCAAAGATCTGATAAAATCAAACACTATCAACTTCAAAAAATTTTACGATTCTTTCGAACTTCGAAGATTAAAATTCCAAATAACTTTCGAATATCCCCCCTTAACTGCCTCAAGTGGGGCTGGGGAACTATAATAGGGGGTTATTAATCATAAATTGTCAGTACGAAGGATGCATTTAAAATAATTATTTTCTGACATGACATAGGCCTTTGATACATCTCAACACTGCAAAATATTTAGAATTGCAATCATCTTATTTACCTTATAATAAGTACCATATTGGAAATGGCAGCTGGTTCCATACTCCTGTGGGTGGCTGGTGAACACGATGGTCGTACCCTCTGTAAAACCTTCACCAAACAACCTCAATACAAATTCCTTCTCACTCAACACGCTCGGTATAACCCCATCAATAATTTTCGGTTCCTTCTCAGATTCATCAACTCGAAGGCCTAGTAATTTGATAACTGCTTCTGACTTATCTTCTTCATCTGGCACAGTGGCGTTGGCTTGACGTTTCTCTCTATTGTTTTCGTTATTTAAATCGATTGTGTCGTCGAGATCAGGGTTATTGAGAGCTTTCATATATTTCAATATATATTTTTCATCGATAACTCTTTCTTTTAAGTCTTTTCGTGCGATTTCATTCTCTTGCGACCTATGGACAGAAAAAATGATTAGCCAATCAAACATATTCTACTTGATACTTATGCTGGGTACGATTCTTCAATTGAAACTAAAAGACAAAATAAAAAAAAGGGTGCGTGTAATTAAATAATCAAAGACTGGAAAAGGAGTCATTATAGTCAATAAGGTTCAGTTTACATTTGAAAAATGAAACAAATATTTATTATTATTCTCTTACATTAAATTAAGTGTAACATAAATTCTATTATTATTCATATGTTGTTTTTAAATTATGTCCAATGCCGTAGCATCTTCCGTGGGCAACTTCATTCTGTAAATTTTGTGTCACGGTGCGCGCGCATCGTAAAATTTCACTCTCATAAATTTTTCATAACGCGCCTAAAGAAGTATAACTTCAATATAACTTCAAAAACGAGGTGATACGAAGCCGTACAAAAATAAAAGACGTTGTAACATATACAAAAAGGCTAAAACGGAAATGGGCCGGTCACATTGGCCACATTTGTGATGGCAGATGGGTCAAAAAAACCCTTACTTGGAAGGGCCCAATGGGAAGAAGAGAGGATGCCCACCAAAAACTTGGGAAGATGAAATAAAAGGGATAGCGGGAAAAAACTAGAAAACTGTCGCAACAAAAAGGGATAAGTGGAAGAATCTGGAGGAGGTCTTCACTCCATCGGAGGTTGAGTACAAGTGTAAAACTTAAAAGACATGGACTTACTGTTGTTATAGTGTACTTGAATAAAGGCTATATTTATTTTTGGAACGAAGTTCCTTACAGCTTGGAGGAGATAGGGATTTTGATGCGCGACCGAACTGAAAAAAATGTGATAGTAAAACCGTTAGAAAAAGTCCGTGGAATAAAACCGTTAAATGAGACGTGCGCAGGTGCGACAATCGTATACACAAGCGAGTATTGCGCAATATTTTTTAGTCTGTGTTTCGTCGGCAAGGAGGACACACGCGTGCACGCTTCCCAAAAATGGCAGACAAAGATAATAAGAAAGTTAAGGAAAGAGAGTTTATCGTTGTTTAGCCGTTGAAAAGGCGGTGATGCTTCCCTCATGTTTTCTTTTTCTCAAGTCTTTTAAGAGATTTGCAAATTGTGTCAATTCTACATTAGCCGAAGGAACTTCGTTCCTACCTGGTGTTCCACGACACCACATCTTTCATACTGGGTATAACATTTAATACTTCATCAGGTTTTTTTGTTACATGGGGCAAACGGTCTCACCTGATGTTAAGTGATACTATCTATGGACACTCAATGCCAGATAACTCGCAAATGCGTCATTTTAAGAATTGGTACGCTTGAAGGATCCAAGTCGTGGTGGGCAGCTGGTTCCACATAGTGGTGGTGCGCAGCTAAAACTATGTTAAAAACCCCAAAAAAACCAACCTACCTGCCAAAGAAATTGGTATTTGTACCACTATGTGGAATCAGCTGCCCACTAAAGTATTTCCAAATCAATTCGACTTAGGGTCCGTACAAGTATTACGTAAGCATATTTACTGCAATTAATCCCCCCCTTCCTCTAGTCATCAAAAGTAAGCAAAGCTCTCAAAAGTAACATAAACGTATTAATTTTTTGTAGGAATCCTCGAAAATGCATGTCGTTTTCAAGCATAGACAATGTGTGGGTAAGGGGGCGTCCATAAATTACGTGAGGTGTTTAAGGGGGGGGAGGGGGTCGAGTCAAATCTCATTTAATCTTACGTTGGAGAGAGGGGGGGTCTCGGCAAATATAACGCAATTTTATTTCTAATTAAAAAAAAAATAGGAAAACGGTTGACCCTAAAGGCTATCTCTGCAACTTCCCGCTAACTCCATACCTAAACGCTCAACATTTCACTTATTTTGTTTTAGTTGTAAATAAAAGCACGAAGCAATTTTTTGCTTTCTTTTTACAATAACAATCCAACGCGTTTATGTAAGAAATCCACATTTTGAAAAATCTCACGTGAGATTGGGCGATGGGGTTGAATAAAATCTCACGACATCTCACCAGGGGGGGAGGGAGGTACAGAAAATTAAAAAAAACACCTCACGTAATTTATGGACGCTTCCTAATATGTTTACAAAAGTAAATAATTACTGTTGACGTAATCACCAAATAAGAAAATCAAAGACCCCCTCCCCCTATAGTGCTTACGCCATACTTGACACCTTAGGGTCCTTCAAAAACAGCGTACCAGATATTAAGAGGCCGGCTACCCACTTGCCACCTCCTGACCGTTTTTTTAATACGAAAAGAAATTTATACAATTCGCGGCCAATACAGGATTGTAGCGCCTACATTATCATTGATAGCACCGAACGGACTCGTAATTACTTGACCCACTTTATGAGTACACATATGCAATACATATCTAGTCTATCTACACACTTCAGAAATAGGTCAAAGTTACTCAGTACACAATTCATCGATTGACATTTGAATATTACTAATAGGCATAAATCATTATGTATTTACAAAAATAGATATACTGGGTGGCGCAAAAGTAAAGACCCTATATGGTCCAGCTATAAAAATTTTTCTAAATTAGAAAACTAAATTTAGGTTTTTTAAATGTATATTTGTGCCTTTAAATTTCGTACCATTAGGATTTAAAGATGATGTCTTTTAAATGGTGACCTCCAGAGTTGATGCACATTTGAGTCCTATTTATGACATTTTGCATAACTTGCCGTAATACTTCCTGCGATATGGTCCTTATTTCTTGATGAATGTTTTCTTTTAGAGCTGCGAGAGTCTGTGGCTTGTTCACATACACCCGAGATTTCAAAAAACCCCAAAGAAAGAGGACTCGTCAGATCGGGTGATCTTGCAGGAAATCGTCGACGAAATTCACGTTGTGTTTTTATCACTGATGAATTATTCCGTAAGAACATTGACACGATTATTCCAAGTTCTTGGGGTGTAAAACGGCCCATGTTTATTTTCAGTGTATTTTACATTTGTTCACAACACAATTTTCAACAACAGTATGAAAACTATCGTCATATAAAAAAAATAAACAAATTTTCTTTAGTGCCAGTACTATTGCGCCACCCAGTACTATTACTGTAAAGTTAATACGATAATGTCGAAATTAGATAGATATATATCTACTAGTGGACCCAACAGACGTTGTCCTGCATGATATTTCAAGCGATATTAAACAAAGCATAAAGTACAGACTGCAGTGCCATCTGCCGGGCTGTTTTGTGAATCTAAACCATCCACGGCTCCACCCAAACGTATACAAAAAAAATCATTCAAATCGGTCCAGCCGTTTAAGAGGAGTTCAGTGACATACACACTCACAGAAAAATTATATATATAAAGATCTGACCCGACAAACGTTTGTTTTGCCATGTACGTAGTTGGTCCCAAAGTTCTGTCACTAGCACATTATTTCTACATTTCGAGCAGGATTTTATAAAAAAATTATTGCATTCTATTTTGGAATGTTTGATTATTGTTTTAAAATAAAAAACAATAACTTTCCGTAATTTTTCACGATGGAGTGGACATTGAAAGTAAACCGAATAGTTGTTATTGCGTTGCACCGCTGTGGACACTCGCCGAGTACCATTTTCAAGTTGCTCAAAAATTTGAATATAACGCTTAGGTTTGTGTACGGTACTATTGATAGGTACCTTGAAGTCTCCAGTGTTGAGGACAAGAAAAGAACTGGCTGGCCACGCTCCGCAAGAACACCAGCAGTAATCAAAGCTATCAAGGCGCGGATAGTAAGAAATCCTGTCCGAAAACAGAAGTCGATGGATTTGCAGATGGGTGTCAGTAGGAAAACAGTAAAAAAGGTTTTAAATGAAGATCTTGGTCTACGAGCATACAAAAAAAGAGTGGGCACTTACTTAATGCTCGTCTAAAAGCAATAAGGCTTAAGAGATCGCGGGTGTTGTTTAAGCGGTACGCGAAAAACCGACACCGTGATATCCTCTTTACGGACGAAAAATTTTTCGATATTGAAGAGAAGTACAATAAACAGAATTATACAGTGAACGCTAGGAGTTCTGAAGAAGCTGAAAATAAAGTTCCAAGGGTGCAACATGGACATCATCCATCATCAGTAATGGTTTGGTTGGGAGTGTCCTATTACGGGCTAACTGAGGTTAATTTTTTCGAAAAGGGGGTCAAAACCAGTGCTACAGTGTACCAAGAGACGGTTTTGTATCGCCTTGTCAAAGACATGTCCAGCACCCTATTTGCGGGACATCACTTCGTGTTCCAGCAGGAGTCTGCGTCTGCATACAAAGCCAAGACCACTAAAGCCTGGTTTGAGCGTCAAAACATCGTCTTAATTAGACATGAGGATTGGCCTTCCTCCAGTCCGGACCTTAATCCTTTGGACCAGAAATTATGACAGGGCTTAGAGAGGAAGGTCTGTGATAAACCTCATGAAAATTTGGAGAATCTGAAGTCATCTTTAAAAAAACCAGTGACTGAAATCGACACGAATATGGTGCGTGCTGCGATAGACGACTGGCCGCGACGCTTAAGGGCCTGTATTAAAAATGAGGGAGGTTATTTCGAATATTTTTATGCTTTTTTTATTCCTTAATTAATGTACTAAGAATTGATATATCACTCATTACAAACTGATAAGTACTTTTGTTTTTATCATTATTTCCATTTATGACAGAACTTTGGGACCGACTACGTATATTATTTCTAGGAAACATTTTTTTAGTTCAATAAAAATAACTATCTACAAAAATTGGGGTATCGCAAATTTGTCTTAAAGAATTTTACATTATTAATCAAAAGTCAATTCTTATATTATTTGTATCGTACATATCATATGTCAACTACAGTGTCTCACGCAAATAATCATTTATTGAATAATACATTTTTTCCAAAAGTAATACACCAAGTTGATTTTTAAAGACTTTAGTCGGAAGATCTTTTAATTCTTTTGGTAAAATTATTGTAAACTTTAATTGCCATACATAAGGATTTTTTGAAGTGAAACTTCTTTATCGGGGTTGGAAAAAAATTTAGTGTAACATTTTTGCGTTACGCGTCACATTTTTCCGTTACGCGCCATGTTGTTAAAATATGACATATAGTATGTTTTTGACTTTGAAGTTTGACAACGGATTACATTTTCGAAGTCAAACTTCTTTATCGGCGTTAAAATATAACATATAGTATGTTTTTGACTTTGAAGTTTGACAACGAATTACATTTTCGAAGTCAAACTTCTTTATCGGCGTTAAAATATGACATATAGTATGTTTTTGACTTTGAAGTTTGACAACGGATTACATTTTCGACTTGAAATTTGCTAATCGCAATTTGCAGCAATTAATTTGTAAATTGTATGCTAGGCAGTGTATCAAAATTTACTGTGTTTAAAGAAATAGTTTCTAATAAGGTCATAAAGAAGTTTCACTTCTTACGTGTGTACACCTAGTACACGCACACATTTTTTTTCTAAAGAGTTCCAGATTGATTTTTGGCACAGCCAATTTCTTGTATTTTATATCTTTACGTTTAGGCTTCAGACATTTTATTTAATATTGATGTCGACGATGAACCATAGTCACGCGACTTCAATTCATTTAAAGCGATGAGGTCATGACTCCAAACACGCTATCCCTCACCGATCGCAACATAGAACAGTCTAAGCTAACTTAAAGCCAATGTCAGACACAGAAATCTCCCTACTGTGTCACCACATGTGTGTACTTGCCTAGAAAAAGAGCCCAAAATCTGAGGCCCAGAGATACCTCCCCCAAATCCATGAAAATCGATTCATTAATTGAGATACTATTTTGAGTGGTTAGTTGTATTTGAAGTTAGTGTCTCTAAATTATACTAAAATGAAATCATCTGCGCCGGCGCACATAAACGCCGTCTGGCCGCTGTTGGCGCTTTGTCAAATGACGTCACAATTATTTTAAGAGACATTGCGAAAATATCATGACGTCAATATTGTCACATTTCACATTCACAATTTCGCGAAAAAATTCGTTATAAATTGTGATGAAAAATGTCTCGGTGAACATTTTCATTTTAATTTTTATTTATTGACCTGACCCATGCTTAGGCGCATGAGGGTAAAATTAATACGGAACGTCACGAAGATGTGCAGCGTTTTTGTCAAAGAAAAGGGAGAGAGCGATTGAGACCGATTGAGAGAGAGTGAGAAGGGCGAATTACCATGTAGAAATTCTATATTTAAAATTAATTTTTATCTTATAGTATACAATAAATAAAGACCTAATGCAAAAAAAAAATAAAAACAAATGAAATATTACTATTTTATATTTTATGCAAAATAATTTATTGAAATCTTAAATGACGAATTGTAAATTAAAATGCCACGTGTTTTTAGTATCGAAGAAATAAATTGAAGAAACAAAAATATTTGTAATAATTTTCGACACTTAAATTCATAAAATTCCTAACATATCTTAAATATATATATATATATATATAGTAAATTTACATTTACTACCAGTTCGCAAGTCAAGGGCGTAGAACTGGCAAGAAACTCTCCGCCACTCTTTTTAATCGCCTAGTTTTGAGTCATACAAATTGTTTGAACTGGAGCAAATCAATCCCAAGGATTAGGATCATTTAAAATACGAAATATCATGCGATCAACTATAAGAACTGAAAGAATGTTTAAGTAAAATTAACTATGATATTACCTATATGAATAAAGTTATTTTGAGTTTGAGTTTATTAGCTTATATATTACTGCTTTATTATCTATATATAAAAATGAAACCCGTTTTCCGTTGTCACGACATAACATGAAAACGTCTTGACCGATTTGTCTGATTCTTTTTTTATAATATTCCTTGAAGTACGAGGATGGTTCTTACGGAGAAAAAAATTAAAAAAAATTGAGTGAAAAAGTCTAAAAACAACACTTTTCAATATTCCCATACAAAATATTCGTAATAACACTTAAAAGTCAATTTGAACTTTAATACCATATCATAAAGTTCAAGTGTTAGTGGAGGGGTTCCGGGAAGGTAAATTTTTATTTTTTGACATAATGTATTTGTTATCTTATCAACTTTCTTTTTTTTATCTTACTAGCCAGACCGGTGTCCCGAATAGTAGAATAAGTATTAAAAAAAAATAAAGAATCGACTGTTAGGCGGTACGATGTTCGCCAGGCCAGCTAGTTATTAAGAAATACTTCATTTATGGGCTTAAGTATATGCTGCTATAACATGATTCCTAGTGAAAATTGGAACTGCCTTTAAACAGATTCAAAACGCATATCAAAAAAACCTTAATGTGTAAAGGTACTACACAGTCAATGACTACCTGGAAGATAAAAACGCTTGGCAATAATTGTAATTATATTCTTATAATTTGATTTGTGTGTAATGGTGAATGTGGTAAATCACAGAACAGATTTTTTTTTTACTTATGTAACTATAATGACGTTGTGGTTTATGACATTTCCCTTTGAATAATTGTAATGTAGAGGGAGGGTAAAACTTGCTGAGTTTCTTGCCCGTTCTTCTCAGAACAAGGCCTCCTGGTAGTTTTGCGAACGGATGGCGTAGTCTTGCTCTTTCGCGAATTTTGTAAACTTTATTGACATTCATAAGCATGCGCTAAGACGCATCTAAATTGAATAAACGTATTTTGATTATTATAAAACAAAAATATGTTGAAGATAAAGAAACCTACGGGCATAAGCATACAAAATGTCCATTGGAATTGACCAAACAAAAATTAAGATCAATTAAACGTTAATTGGGCGTTATCACATTGTGTTACAACAGCCACGAATATGACGCATGCGACTCCAAATTTTTACAACCACGTCATTCCAAGTAAATTCAAACCAATTAGGCATCTCCAGTGATTACCAGATACTCGATAAGCGTCTGAAACTGGTAGTACAGAGGACATCACTTCACGCATTACCAAGGCCCAAGCAACCATCGCCCAC